AGAATGTTTAAGGGCTTTAAGGGCAGAGAGGTTAATGCTAGACAGGAAGTTATTTTGATGGTTTCAAGCCTTAAGAATGTTTAAGGGCTTTAAGGGTAGAGAAGTTAATGCAGACAAGCTAATGATTAAACCATAATACTATCCATTTCTAGTTCCTTAAGCCTTGTTACCATCTTGTCAAAGATGTTATATGTAACTAAGTTTTCTCTTAACCAACTTCGGAGACATTAACAAGCTGCAATGATCTTTAGGGATAATGTTAAGCGATGAGGTATAATCATAAGCCTATAAGAGCTAAATACCCGTTTAGGCTTATCTAACATTGCTGGAATTGTAAAGATATTAAGTGCTAGCTTTTAAAGTCTTAGAAATGCCAACTTTAAAGCTAGACTTATCTAATAATTAAGAGGGGGAGCAACCTTTTAAGATAGATCTGCAATACGAGAACACTAACGGCTATACTTATTATTGTCTTCAAACTTAGGATCATCTCTAAGGTTAAACAAGCGAGAGGTATGCCGGCGATTTAAAGATCTAGTTGTAGTTTTTGAAGTTGAAATAGACATATTTGAATAGTCTTTCCATAGTTTAAGCATAGCCTTTCTATGTTGTGAAAGCCATCTTAGGTTATGCTTCTAAAGCTTTTTAAGATAGGACTAAGTATAGCTAGGATGAAGAACAAGAGCAGCAACATAGATAGGTAAGAGATCTGTAAGTTAATAATACTAATCTAACTTCATCTAACCTTGATTGATTTAAACATAAAGCTTATCATGGTATTCCTTATTAAGAGCTTCTCTTACTTGTAGCTCTCCTTATATAAGGATTTGAGATAGTTAAGCTTATTGTTGGGTTAGTAGTTAAGTGGTTAGAGGTGTAGCTTCTTAAATAGTTGCTAGCTATAATCGTGTTTTTCGAGTTGCTCTTATTAAAACTGGAGTTGGTAATGGTTGAGTTGGCTTAGCCAATACTGATGTCAAAAGCTCTACTTAAGTGTCTTGCTATAATTGAAGCTCTTTAAGAGAAGGGCCATTGATATTAGATGGTACTAGTTGATATCTTTCCTTAAGTTCTTCAAAGTGTTTTAACAGGCCTTCCATAACTAGAATTGTTTGCCAAATTAAACCCTAAGCACTACTAGCACTATGACCTTGAATAATTATAGTTGCTTTATAAAGAGGTTAAAGGATCATATGATAATCAGATAACATCTACCAATCACTGCCATATAAGAAATCTCTAATAACAGTTGGTTTATCCTTAAGCTTAGAAGCAGGTACTTCCTTACCTTCAAGCTAATACTTGCGCTTAACTCTCTCCTAATTAAAAACAATCTCTTTAAGATATTCCTAGATAGGTAGTTGCTATTTAATACCACGTTTAAGCATCTTGTAAAAGGCATTCTAGCGGGTATTGTTATTAGAGATTAAGAGGTAGTTGTTAGGTTTAGATTGGCTAGTTATTGGATTAACTAAGGGATGTTTAGATTGGAAATACTTAAATCTCTCTCGGCGTGAAGTTGAGGCTCGAATCTAAGTAATTATATTGTGGAATCTGCTACAAGGTCCATGCTTTCTCTAAGCCTTAATATCTTCTAGATCAATTAAGAGGGTTGCTTTAAAAGCATTAGGATCTGCTCTAAAGATAATTAAACGAGCAATAAGGTTAATGATATGCCTAATATAACGTAGACGAGATGTGTTAAAGTTGAAGTTAAATTCCTTAGCCAGAGTTTGTAAACAAGTATCGTTGTTTGAGGCATTATCACATTAGAAGTATCTAAGCTTATTGCCAATGCTATATTAATTAATGATTTGCTTCAATGTTTAAGCAATGTTGGATCTAGAATGGTCTCTAGAATGGAAAGGAAGAGCAAGTAAAAAGCTTCTATACTTACTACTACTATCACAAAAGTATGCTATTATACTACAAAAAGCAGTATATACTCTTAAAGTCCAAAGATCAAAAGAAAGATTAATCTTGCTTAATGCTAATTATAAGAAGTCCATAATTATTCCAATATTAGCTCGATAGGCAGTATTAATCCAGTTTGCAAGTGCTATATGGCTTGGAAGATAACCCTTTTTATTATTAATAGTAGGGTTAAGAAATTGAAGGATCTTTTAAAGGCGTGGTGATTTAAAGGTATTAAGTAGTTTGTTGTCTAATATAACATAGTCTAAGAGAAGAGCCTTGAATTCTAGAGGATCAAAGGTAATTACATATCGATTAATAGTACTTCCAAAGCTTAATGTTATAGAGCTGATTTCTTCAAATGGTCGTTTTTAAGGAATAACTCCATGCTTAGTAAGTCGGTGTTGGTTTTTGAGATGAGAATGTACTCTAGTAGTGCCTTTGTCACACTTAATAGGCTTAAATAGCTAGTGCTTCTTTTGGTAACAGAGCTTACAAAGGAAGTAGTGTTCTCTTAGTCGAATTATTAGTTTAACACGCCAACTATAGGCCTAAATCCAACTTGTACTTAAACCCTTGCCGCCTCTACAAGGTCCAAATCTAGGAGAGACTTTGTCCTAATTAAGGCCATTATAGTGTTGGTGTTAGTTTAGTAGTAGGAAGGGGTTTTTAGCAATAATACTAGCAAAATCATTAGTATGTTATAGCTTAGTTGGAATATCAAGTTAGGAGGTTGCTACAGCAGATGTAATAGTTGAGGATGTTTCCTAAGCATCAAATAAGGATAATTAAGATGACATTATAGTAGTAATGCTAACCAATTGCTGGTGTTGTATAGAGTATTGAGAAGCTCAAGCTGGTGTTGAAAAATTTTCAATGCCAAGAGGTCTCAACTATACCTATTTAGGTAATGCTTGGCAATATCCATGGAGCTCCAAATGACCCCTTGTTGGAGCTCCAAACTCCATGGAGTTGAGGTCTCCTTCCACTCCATTTGGAATTATGGATTATCCATATGGAGCTCCAAATGGAGCTCCATCCACTTTCAGCACTGGACGGGGTCGGCACGAATTGTCAGTGCTGTACCGATGTATTGGCGACCTTTGGAGGTCCAAGCTTGAGCGAGGCCTTGATTTTTGGACGTGGACGATGTGCTGTAGCTACATTTTCCAAGTCAGCATGGCCATCAGTCTTCGAGGGAAAGACAAAGGCTTACTCGGTTGGGGTGGCAGCACTCAGGCCAAGCAGGGCGAGAGTTACGGTGATTGTGGGGAGGTGCATGCTGTGCTAGTACAGACAACGTTGGAGTGTCTACAAATGAGATTCGGTTGATCTGTCGATGGAAGGTTCCTGCAATATATGGAGGGACGAAGCCTTTTGTATTCGTCTGGGATAAATCTGATGCCACATACGGTCACCTTTGCGCTTGCTGTCCCTAGATTATCCGTCGACCAGCCGCAGTACGCTGCATCGCACAGGCGACATCGCTCTCCCCAAGATGTGATTGCGAGCGTCCAAGGCGGCTATACAGATTCTCAATGGCCAGACCTACCTCAATGAAAATCATCCCCGCAGAGTGCATACTGTGGAGATGAGAATTCCCCCCTGGGGTAAATGAACGACCCCTCACCTGGCAACCTTGATGGCAGCGAGCATCTGCAGACTAAGCCCTCGTGGCGTCCATTGGCATGAAGTGGTATACGTTGCCAAGGAGGATAAAGTCGTGGATATATTCTTGCCCAGAAAAGGCCAAGCAGCCAAGCCCGTACAGGCTGCTGCAAGCAATGTCCTTCGCGATATACCAGACGAAGGCATAGCGAGATGGTCGAACGAGAAGCTCGATGCCGAGAAATTTGATACCGGCTTCGTCTCTGTAGGCTGAATTTCTCTGTCAAAAGCCGAGGTTGTGCGAGCCAGAAGGCAACGCAATTGAGATGTAGGCATTAGGACGAGCTGAGCAGAAGGTGGAACTGTCGCTCCAAGGTGGCCGATCAACTTACAACCAGAGCTTATGTCTGCTTTTGGCGATTTACAGTACCAACGCGCACCCTTGAGAAGAGGAGGCAGATGTGCAAAGTGTGAGGTGTCCGTTTGGAACCGGGAAGGAACGTCGGAGCTTTGCTTGGCAGAGACGATCTCGACAAGCTTTGGAGGAGCATCTTTCTTGTATGTATGGACAACAAAATACACACAACATCGTGTACATCTTCGCGATGGGGCCGACGTAGATATGTTGAATGTGTTCTTGCTTTTGAGGGCCGAGAATGCTTCGTCCAATACCAGTGACACGCTGCACGTCGCCCTCAAGCCTGACGCCTACAGCGAAAGCCGCGTCGCCCTGACGGCCAGCGATCTTCTGTCACTCGCAGCTATAGACGCAAATGATCTGATGGGGCAGGATGCAGACCCATTAAATTGCTCCTGAGTGCAGATGACATCATATGTGATCCGCCTGCGTCGTCGACGATCTAAGAATCACACCGATACGAAAAAGAGCATGGAAGAGAACGTGACTCTATGTCAGACACTACAAGCGAGACCACATATTTTGCGACTGCCAATGCACCGATTTGGATCCGATTGAGTCAAGTTGCGAAGCGGTATTGCAATCACCAACAGCCCCTTGTCCTGCGGTAGCGAAGAAGACATGACTGAGAGTTTGCTATGAACATAGCCAGCCTTAGCCAATCTAGGCCAATGAGAAAACATGGGAACCCGTGTAGGTACGACACTCAGCAGTAGTACAAAATCTCGTAGGTCGCGTCCAGAGGGTAAGTGAAAACAACTGTACGATTTATCAGCTATCGTTGTTCCCAGGACGGTACAGGCCCAAGGTAGGTTCCATGCATTGTGAACAGTACCAACACGACAATATCAGTCCTATCGGCAACGACACTTCCTGGCTCGATCTTCGAAGCGGTACCTGTACGAACACGATAACGACCTAGGAAGATGATTCAAAGAAGGCACTTGGGCACAATTACAGCAGATGCTTTGCACCCTGATTAGAGCAGAGACCTAGGAGCACTCTTACAACATAACGACTCCCACTCCTCCCATGTTGCCTGCATCCGCTCGCATATTGTCATCCATTCCACCAGCCAACCTCGATGTCCGCCAGTTGAAGAGATAGAAATGCAATGACGAGTCTCCAGGTTCAAATTTCTGCTGCTGGAGAAAGAGTGGATTGTCCATTGCTGTTAGAGCATTGAAGACATGGAACTCAGCTTGTTTGGCGAGAATCAGGAGGTCGTGGACGAGTGTCTGGAGGTGTTGGGCATAGCTGTTTTTGTTCTCGGGCGTTAGGGCTTGGGAGCTGGCGTAGTAGTAAAGATAGGCTGTGCGAATTGTCAAAGGCGTTGCTGAAGAACGGAGAATGACTAGACTTCCATCAGTGATGACCAAAGAATACTTGCACTGGACGATCGTACCTCTAATGAGTAGAATAAAGCAAAATCTGTAATCTTGCCTTCGTGTTCAACGACATAGCTATAAACGATACCTTTTGATGACTTAGAACAGAAGTAGTGTATGACTTCTTCTTCGGTAAAGGTCTGCAACAGACCAAACCGTGCCAGATATTGATTCAAGAGTTGCTTGACTGCAGACGCATCTCTAGGTTCCATCTGTCTCAATCCTTTCGTCGCTGTCTTCTCAAGTTTGTACTTAAGCGTCTGCCTCAAGACCGTGATTCCACGAGGCAAACGCGAGAAGCCAGTTTTGTAAAGATGCTCCCAGTCAAGCGAGCGGTGATAGTACCTGCAAGTTGCCACTGGCGAGGGTAGGACAGTGCCAGCAGTATACAGTGCCTGATAAATGCCTTCGCGATAGCAACGCCGAGTGATCTCCTTGATAAGCACAGGAGCCAGACGTTTACCTCTCAGCTTCTGATGTATGGTGAGGAAGTTGATCTCCACCGCATCAATAATGTTGCTGCGAACATTAAGCTTGACAGGCCTACCGGCAACAAAAGCGACCAGTCGGCCAGTTTTGTCTGAAGTGCTCTTTGTACGTACACCGATGTGCCAGCATTTCTTCCAGCCAGGAGGTCGTAGGGCCCAAGACAGAAACTCAGGTGAGTAGTTGAGGCGAAAAGAGCCCTCGTCATCCTCGACGTAGTGGTTGTAGAGCAAGTCGTGCAATTCTGATAACACGTGAGATGCAGTCACATCAAGCTCGCACCACTCGAAGCCTTCGATGAGCTTCTCTGAATCTGCTTTCCCGATCTTGTCACAGACAGCAACAGGAAGTATTGGTCCATCCGACTGTGGAACGGCAGTGTTGGAGGTCGTTATTGAAGGTCCACGGTCGTCCAGTTTTGGCACGGGTTGTGTGTTCCAGAACTTATAGTCCTTAGGGTCCTTGCCGTTTCTTCTGACATTGGAGGCAGCTTCCAAGTCCTTCAAAAGTGTGGTCACATTCGTAGATGGAAGTAGATTGTCTGCTGTTGTCGCATCCTGTCCGAGCTCGAGCTTGGCTGAGCCATTGACTGATGCCATCTTGTAAGTCTTCCAAGGTTCGTGCTTTATACCTACCTTATTTGCGACGATCACTGAGATTGAAAAAGCGCGGTGCTCAATTTGACACGTTGCGCTCGCAGACATATTGTTGTAGGATTGAATCTGGTTATCAAGGTTCACCGGCGTTCAGCCACAAATTCTTATGCAAATTCGTATATATGGAAACATCGATTGTGCACGATGAACTTCTTTGAACAGCTCTTTGTAACATTCAATCGAAATCCGAATAGATCAGACAGCTCCTATCCTCGCATGCTGAGCATGTCGACGCATATAGTCATCGAAACCAGACACATCCTGGGAATTGAATTGCTCTCCACAAAAGGGGCAATCGTCGTCCCCAAATCCATATGGTAGAGCAAGGCAATCGCTGCATTTTCTGCAGACGTAACAGAACTCGTGTCTCTTCAACTGATTGCAAGAACAGCATTTCCAGAGACTCTCTCCATTTACTTGTCGGATAGTCTGGCCAGGAGTGTATCTGTCCAGGCCGCAGTCGAGACAGAATCTTGAACGAAATTGAACGCTTCCCTTGTTTCGTTTCTTGGTGATTTGCTTGATGGCAAATTGATCGCGTGGTTTGATCTCGCGACAGCTAAAGCAGACGTATCTGTCCGTGTTCTGTATGAAACTTTCTGCGGCGGTGATAAATTTGAGTTTTTCGGCAGAGGACTGGAAGAGTAGAGGAGGCTTGGCCGGTGATCTGTAGAAGTTCGAGGTCGCCGTAAGGAACATCGCGGATCGATAGTCTAGGTATCCAAAGATCTTCCATTGAAGCTCTAGAGGGATTGTCTGCAGAGTCGGGGGTCCAGTACGAACATTGGCATTAGGAATAGCCATCATGTGCGAGATTTTTGCTGAGCAAGTGTTCAATTTCCTGTGTTGGGTTAGAGACATAGTTATATCTCGATTGAGGGCTCAGGTCACCTTGTGTTCTGCTTAAGGTTGAACCTTCGCGGTCGTATGAGACCTTCAACATGAATATGACGACAGTGGTCTCGGCCAGTCTCAAGACTCACAAGTACTCTTCGCATTTGTGACAGTATTCTCGAGGATCATGATCATATCTCAGACAGGGGCAATTTTCTAGAGTCCGTCGACTATGCTGCTGTGGTTGTGGCAGGGGTTGATACACTTCATCAGTAAGTTCAAGGATTGTCGAATAGGGCAATTCCTCCTCGAACGCGACCTGGCACTCTCGCATCTTGTTGAGTTTTTCGGCTTCTCGTGCCATGCAAGATGGAGCTGGGCATCGCTTTGATTGGGGCCCATGCTCTGCGACCAAACAGTCATGGCACTTCCCACAGGGCACGCAGTAGAAACCATCAGTCAGCACAGGACAAACTGTGCATTTCCAAAGTACTGTACCGTCTGTCCTGCGAACCCGTTCTCCTGCACCGTAGAAGCCCTGTTTCGCGCCGCAGTCAAGACAGTAGCGAGATCTGGTCCGAGGTCGATTCTTGTTGTAGGGTCCTTTGACCATGTCCTTTGCGAACTGTATCCTTGGTTTCATGGTGTTGCAGTAGAAGCAGGCATAACTCCGGGCGGTACGGGTACGAGTAAAATGCTGGGCGTAATTTTCGACCACAAATAGAAAATCTTGCTTGTCGAATGGTGACTGGAATCTCAATGGATCTCTTGTATGGATGACATGACATGTCTCTGAGAGGAACAGGGCGGATGCATAGTCAAGATGTTCAAAAATCTTCCAGTGAAGTTCAGTTGGCAGGGCTTGGAACGAGGCACGCGTGCTGGAAGTTTGTTGATCCATCGTGGTCAACGTAGTACGGTATAACGATCATTATTGCGTGTTCTCCTCGTAAGCAGGTAAGAAGGAAAATGTATAGTGGATTTTCGTTGAAGTGTTGCCTCGAATACGTATGTTTCGCACGTGGAGAAGTCTCAATCCGTCCACCGGGACTGCAGCCTAACCTGTCGATCGACACCGCTTTACGCGGTAGCCTCACTTTGGGATACAACGAATATCGCAGCATGAAGTGGTTGCAAGAGCGATGTCGCCATTGAAAACATCTCTCAGAAAGACGACTCGAAACATCGGATGGGGTCAAGGATAAGAAGCAGGGCTCGAGGCGGCGGACTTCAATCGGCAAGCGCAAGCGTTTGGCAACACATGCGATGACAACGCGTGCTTGACGCTCATCATTTCTTCCCGGACGATGGTTGTTCACAAAGACTACAGCCAGGAAATTGAAGCTTGGGAGAAGACAGTGAAGGGCCTTGTAAAATATGTATACACCTGACCAAAACCCAATCCTTGTATATCCAGCCTTTGTGACAAAATACCGTTCATACCATTCGACCAGCCAAGTTACCTCCAACTCCAGAAGGTCAACCCCAATGTTTAAAACATCCACCCAAGAAGAGACAGAGAATACGAAAATGTGAGCTCGAGGCTCAATCGTCCAGGCCAATCATCAGGGACTTCCACCAAAAAGACCAACGCCGAATTCTTCCTTACCTTCCCACTTCCTAGGCTTAAGCACCCTCATCTTGCGAACAGGACTTTGATTCTCCTTCTCGCGTTCGAAAGCTTGAACCTTCTCCCTCAGTCTTGCGTTCTCTTCTTCTAACTCGGCAATCTTCTCCTCGCCTTCTGCATCACTGTCTTCGCGGACCTGTACTTCGCCCAAGCCACGAGTCAAGATCTCTAACTTCTTGTCCAGATGCTGGTCAACATGTTCCTGTTCAGCCTCACGAGCGGCATGGTAGCGACGACGTTCAGACTCGAGTTGTGATTCAAACTCTTCCCAGATCTCGTCGCGAAGTTCAAGTTCGAGCGATTCCAGACGGTTCTCTGCGGTCAACCATGAAGACTCTGCTTCCTTGCGTCGTTGTGTTTCTTCTTCGAGACGAAGTTGTGCGAGTTCGAGATCTTGACGTAGTAGGGCGAGTTCGGCCAGGGCGTTTTCGAGAGCCGCATCGCTGGCAGCAGGGTTGGAAGGGGTAAGGCGACCAGAGGCTGAGGTGCCTGGACGAGCGAGAGGGACCATGGTGCTGGTATAGCTGGGGATGCGAGGCACAGTGACTTCTCTGGCCAGGGCCGAGTAACGAAGAATTTGACTGGTAGCGTTGTAGTCGCCGAGAGGATCTGCCGTGACAATCATGATACCCTTTTGCGGCGGCTTGGGGGAACGAATCTGGTTTGACGGGAACGAGTTGGAGAAGAGCAGTTCGGTGAGTTTGCATTGGCGGAAAGGGACGATGTTGGATGCCTTTGTAGGGTCGGCGTTGTCGCTCTGCATCTGCATGCATTGACCAAGATACATGAGCGACTCGTTGATCTTGCCTGCTTCTGCAAGGGTTGAGCCAGCAGTCTTTGCAGCGCGAGCACGTTCAGAGCCTGTAACGGTCAGCTGTCAAGCCTTGATCAGTGCTTCAGGGGTACATGGAGATACGAACCAGCGAGATCAACGATTGTCAAAGCACTGCTCGACCAGTTGGAAGTGGCAGCGCCTGCAAGTCTCTTCTTGACTTCGACACAGAAGAAGCCGTGACTTCTGCTGCTGACAGCATTGCTTCCAGTACCAGCGACTCTGCGTTCTGTCAAACCGGTCTCAAGCACGAGAAGAGCTTCATCGAGATTCTCGCAGACGACCTTCCTAAGTCCAGCAACTACTTTGCGGTCAGGACTATGTTCGGTGCTCTTGTAAAGGAGATGTCTGCGTTTGGCTGTGGCTGTCTTGGAGGGTTGGTATGCGGCGGAACCTGCTAGCAGGTCGAAGATGCGGTCGTTGTATACTTCGTACATACTGACGACGATGGCGAATTCGGAGGTCTGGTCGACGTCGAGATTGGTATCTTGGATTATGGGGAACTGCGGCATGCTAGAAACTCTAGGCATGTGGCGCTTGGGGGCCATGGCGGACGAGGGGCGGGGGTTGGAAACGAAGGACATGTCCTTTTGAGGCTGCGGCTTAGCTTGACTTCTTGTCACAGGGCGCTGGAGGAAACTGAAGATTGATGAAGATTGTGGCCTTTGCACACAGGAATGACGCTGGTTGCTTTTTGTGGAGCAGGCGATACACGAAGTGGTAGAGATACATGATTGATGGTTGAGATTGGGATACAAGGCCTGTTTCGAAGGAGATGTTGATCGTACCATGAGGGGAGTTGCAGCTCTCGATTGAGCTCTTGAATGTGAGCGTGTGTCTGACGGAGCATCGCCGTAGATGGATTCGAGGTACTGGTTGGCGGCTGACATGTGTGCTTCGGACGTGTCGGATGCGAAGATAGACTGTAGGGCGAGTTGATCGCGTCTTGTTGAAATGAGCTGGTCGCCGAGATTCTGGTAGAGCACGTCGAGGGCGAGCTGTGTCAATCCGCGCTGGGAGCGGGAGCCCAAGATTGTGTGACTCTGCGTCTTGTCAGCTCCTTCTCTTCCAGATTCATGAACGATCAGGTACAGACCTTGCCGGAGCCAGTGACACCGAGAGTAGCAAAGAGCCCGTCACGGCCCTCTCTACCCTCGGCGCCCAGCACACCCTGCATCATCGAGCCCAAACCGGTGCCATGGAACAAGTCGAGTTGTGTTGCCTCCTCTTCAAAGACTCGGGTGAACTTGAAAGTCTCGACAGCCTTTCTTCGTTGATCGTGTGCGGGCGGGTGGATTGTGATGTGCGTGGGTGCTGCTTTGTCGTCGGCGGCGTCGACGTCGAGGAATCTTTCTGCATTGGGTGCGAATGATGGTCGTAGACGCAGGTAGACTTCGAACAGCGACGATGTCGTCGGCTTGGTTGGCGCCTCCATCTTTGTGTGTATGTGTCTGGATTGTGTCGTGTCGGTGGTCGCGTTGACCAAGTCGAGAAACAAATTGAATGACGTGAATTTCTGTGTTGACCAAACACGCCGTTGCTAGGGTCCAACATGTGCAGCTTTAGCCGCCCGCCGACTGCCAAGCCGCTTATACTTTGCTCTTTTCCCTCTCAACCTCCTTCTCATCTCGAATAACTCCATCTGATGAGAACAACATTATTGTTGACCACACAGCATCTTTACAGAGTTGATCCTGTATATCAGTAGGACTCCACAGTAAGCTAATCGGACCTACAGCTTTGTAAGTGTCCGCACCTGGCTGCTTCCATCGTAGCACTCTTATCCGTCATCTCTTTCGGGACGCTATGTCACGACAACCCACGCGAGTCCACCTTGACTACACTGTAACAATGACCTTATCCTTGGCTTGGGCCTACATCTGAAATCTCCAGCTTGGTGTAGGTAGTCCATTGCGTTCTTTCACAATTTCCAAGATCTCTTTGTCCATGCTCTTCCGCATCCGGACTGGGAACCATGGTTCCCGAGATACTCTCTGTCGAGGGCATCATATCGTCCACCATTGGTGAATTTCCGTCCTCAACCATCCCGTTTCTCACCTTGCCATCATCTGCTCGTCGTCAGCATCTCACGCTTACCACTAAATATGGCTGCAGCTGCCCGAGCATTACGAAAAGTCGTCTTGGAAGACAGGACTCCTCCTATACACAACCTTCCTGCCGGACACATCTGGAAGTACAGCAAATCGATCGGCGGAGGCGCCCAAGGGAAAGCACATCTCTGGGTCCACCTAGACGAAACCCAGAAGATTGTCGACCGCATCGTCATCAAGAACTTTGTAGCAGAATCAAAGTACATCACCGAAGATGGTCCCACAGGCCGAGTTCCAACAGAAGCCTATATCAGTCAATTGCTAGTACCGGATAACTCGAAAGAGTTTTATACTGTACCTATACTGGCTTGTCAGCCTATCTCAGGCTCTACTGGGGGTTGGAGAACTTACTCTCCCTACTACAGCCTTGGCAATTTCGAGAATCTGGTCAACAAGCATACAACAGACTCTCCTCTCCCAGAAGCCTTCCTCTGGTTCTTCTTTCACCGTATGGCAAAAGCTCTTGTCGTCATGGACGAAACATTGCGCAAAGACGACAAAGGTCCTGTTATCATCCACAATGATATCAAACCTGACAACATCTTTCTGGGTAGTCCAGGCTCACTCGGTAAAGACGCCGACTTCATCATGTATCCTCCAGCTTACCTTGGTGACTTTGGCCTTGCATTCACTACTCACTTGGGCGACCAGGGATTCGCTGAAGCAGGAGGCGCGTTTGGATGGTGGCCGCCTGAACATCATACTAACGAGGAATGGCGCGGTCGTCCGTTTTCGTCTACGGTAAGTTTGCTGCAACTTATCTAACAAAGAACATTACTGAGTCAAGAATCTCACAGAACGTATGGCAAATCGGGTTTCTTATTCTCTGCGCAATGAACGGTATCACGGATCCTGACCAGCCCAACGCCGATGCAGTCCTGCGCTACGATGCCGGCAGATGGGAACATCTGACAGAGGACGGAGCTTTTGCTGGCTATAGCGATAGTCTCCAAAGCCTAGTCCACGCTTGCTTGTGCTCCAATCCATCCGATCGCATCGACCCACAATCTCTACTTTTCCTTGTTGAGAATTCGATGGCTAAGCATATAGACGATATGCAACGATGGGGCACCATTAGTTGGATTGACAACAAGCACAACGAGACCTCAGGAGACGGCGGGGCCTATCATCCTGCTGTTGCGTCTGATGAACATGGGGAGGAAGGAGAAGAAGCTCAGTTCTCAGTCGAAGATGGAGACTTCTTTCGTCCACCCAGTCACCGGAAACGCAAATCATCATATCCTGATTCCGATCCTGGTTCAAAGCGCTTGAAGAGAACATCCGCCGTGTCGCGCGAGATCCTGCAGAGACGATACGCCTTGGTTGCAAAGCAGATGCAGCTTGGCAAGACAAGTCAAACGCTGGATGCACATCCCGACGACACCAGTTTTATCCTCGCAGACGGTTACAAGCTTAAACACTACAGAGATGAAGAATTTGACCCCGAGGCTTTCTTCAGCAGTCCTGATCCTGGTCCGGTCAAGTATATGACAGTAGCTGAACCTCCCATCCAAGCAGAAGATAATGAAGATGATGTATTGCCTGGTTCGACAGCAGTTGGGGATGGATCTTCTTCGGGATCTACATTCAGATTTACGAAGAAGGACATCCCTTACGTCGAGCTTGATTGATCAAGAACTTGCTACAACCATTCAGCATGTAGACTTCTCGTATAGCCTTTGGATTGCGCGTCTCATGTCAAGACTGCTTTAATTAGACAGAAATCGACACATGCGATCGGTTTATGAATGGCTTCAATATAAACGCTTAGCGCGCATCTCTATCCAATGTGATGTCGCTTGAGACTGCGATAGTCATGTGAATATGCACGCTTGCCATGTCACGACACTTCTGCTTAAATCTGGCGACATCATGCGGCACAGACAGATCATCCTTCATTTGACTGATAAAGCATCGAAATGATGGTCAGTCAGCCACATACTTCCATCTTCTGAGGGGTTTGCGTTCACGGTTCTCCCACGCATAACAATCTGTTTCTCAACCTCGCGCTCCAAGAGCTAAAATCTCGTTTCCATCGACAAGCCTCAGACAAGAACACTTTCTCCAAGATGTCAACATCTGAACCTCAATTCAGCCGCTTACTCTTCAGCAAACACTGCGCGCCAGGAGGTCGATTACCTAGCCTCGAGCAACACCCGAAAAGACACCAAAGATCTCGTGAGAATGGTATAAGACCTAATGTACAACATCTTACAACGCCACAACAACCACAGCAATCAGACAGAAACGCTAGATTGGGATTTGCACGATCTGTGGTATACACTTATCTGCGCTGCTAGCGTTTGTGATGCCGATAGTGCTGAGCAAGATACACTGGCGTGTTATGTGATACATGCACGAAAACTCGGTTTCATGCGTGCACATGAAGGCACTGAGACACCAATACCGAGCAATCAAGGTGGTTTCAAGAAGCTCCAATAGCTCGCCGCCGATCTGGAAGACTTCTGGATGCACACCTCAAACACACTATCCCCACAACATCGCCAAAACCTCTCAGCGTTTACGGCAAGACTAGTCGCTCTGGGCGTTGAAGATGGAAAACTCATTTCCTGTGGGGGTTTCCCTCTTGACCCAAAAACACTAAAAGTGTCACGATATTCTCCGCAACTGGTCGGGGATTCGCAACCCAGCCATGAGGACCTCTTACCTGCTGTAGTGTCTTGGATATCTCACGCCCGACATAAAACCCTCAAGCTATGCATAGAAACCCCACAATCTGGCAAACTTGTCAAGCACAAAACCTGGAGGTCTTGCAATTGGAGCAGGGATCACGGACAACAATCTCAGTATTGAAAGACGGAGGTTTTGGAAATTGCGATTGGAGGAGTTGCAAGAGGGATTGGGTGTTAGGTTGGGGGAGTCTGTTGGGCAGTGTGTGCAATCTATGAAAGCTGCTGAGGAGGAGCTTGGTGTTGATGTTTCGAGATCATAGATGTAGTGGGCTGGAGATTGAGGTGCAGTGACATGAAGGTTCGGTGTAATCGAGTTAGTGGTTGAATCAATCAAGATTTCTTGGATCTTTGACTGTCGAATGAACTTTCTATAAGGACTCATCACGTCCAGCATATCATGCGCGCAATAACAGGCTATACACACCCTGAACAGCCAACCCACACCATCTCCAACACAAATCGAAAGATCTGCTACAGAACACCCTCAAACCCAGTCAACCTCATAGATACCTTGGCACAAAGATTGGTGGCTCCGAACACTAAGCACCCCTGCCACACAGGGATCTCATTCCATCCCAAATCAAAATTGTAGTCATCATGCCACAGATTCAGAGCCACCATGAATAGACCCAGAAAAGGTGCTTGGAACATGAGTGTTGTGGCGACGCGTTTCAAGAACCCTGGATCTGGTTTAGCGACACCTGAAAATTCCGGTCAGGGGTTTGTTTCCATCTTGTTATTTCACTTTCTTGTTTCTTGGAAGCATTGGTAAAGACTCGAGGTGGACAATGAAGTACAGTGCAAGACTTACTTGTAGCATGTGATGAGACTTCGCATTGCTCGAGGTTGTGGGCCTCCATCTTTGTCTCGGTTGAGTACGGAGAGGACAGCGTTTTTAACATTATAATAGATTGCTGTCGTGACTGTCGGTCCTGGTTAGAAATTTACAATAGAAGAACAGACAATGAGAAGGAAAGCAAAGAGGAGACAATACAGGCTTCCAGAAGGATCGTGATATGATGTTCAGGTGGGGGAGTCGATAGGTCAAGTGGAGATGATCCTTCTGCTTCTTGGCATCGTGATGCACACGTCAATGGGGAACCTGAACAGAGAGAACAAAACAAGATGAATCTCTGGCTGGTGTTCAATACGTATGACAAACAAAACAGTAGAAAAAATCCCACGACGAGCGAGTGACGATCAAATCAATAACCTCCCTTGTGCTGCCTTGGTGGCCCACATCCAACTGAAGCCTCTACGAGAACAATCCCCCATATCCCATCTTATGTGACAAGAGATGGGCACAAAGGTTTGCCATGCTAATAGCTAAGGCCACCTGCCACCAGGGCGCATCAGCCATTTTGGTGGCATCGTTGTAGCTGCGGCGAAACCAGTGGAGGGCATTGATGGCTATGAATATGGAAAGCGACTGGATTGCGAAGATGGTCGCTACGCGCCTCGGTCGGCTAGGCTGGGAGTTTCGGTCTTCTAAGTTACATAGATCAGAGGGCGCGTGGCAGTAGCGACACTGGAACCAGATATACCTGTGTCGTTGTATTCAGCCATGTATCCTGGGAGACTTGATTTTTCCATGCTTGGGCTGCGAGAGATCGGGAACAGATCGTATACGGAACTTTTCGACGAGATTGGGCGTCGCGGGAAATTGGGTATACAATTGGTCTCAAAAGGCGCGGATTGAAGCTCGCATCAGTTTTCTAGGGTTCCTTTTGATTTTAACCCCGCACGCTTTATCGTAGACGTGTTGCTTCCGGGGATCTTCTATGTGGAGCTAAACCTTCAGTGCTTCGATCCGCTGACACCCGAACGGAATCTCGGACCAAATGCCTCATTCATGAGGCACTGTTCAGGTTTCATTGTTGCCTCTTGCACATACACCCTGAACGACTTTAAATCCCTATCTCCTCTTCTCCAATTCATGGAGTAAGTCTTTCAACGCTTGCCAGTCCTCCTCATCGCATTGGGGCTGATAAACAACCGCTTCCCCATACACCTTTGCCCAGTCATTGAATGCCTTATCACTGTTGTCGGCCTCTAGCCAGTTATTAGGTCCAGTACCTTCGTCAAAGTATTGATATCTTGCGTCTCTTAATCTACTCATCAGAACGTCGGCTTCGTCGAACGCAAGATGGTCATCCCATTTTCCGTGGCCAAAGGTAAAGTGCTTTAGCTTAGGCAACCCTTGCTGCAGGCGAGTAAAGACGTGGTGCCAGCGTGTGGGCCAAAGCCATTTCTGTTTCGGCGCCATACGGTCTATTTGGGGCTGATACGTCGGACGGCCATCCTTGATCTCGATTGGCGAGTAGAGGACACATTGTTTGTCTGTGTCAACGTTGCGCTCGAGAAATCTTGCACCGACTGCTATCATCGCGTCATCGAGAACCAGTTCTTCAAGTGTTGCTGCGTGACTAAGGATCCAGTCGATATGGTCGTCGTTCACAATGCTTATGTTTCCAAGAAGCAGTATACGCAGCCTTGGAAATCTTGGTAGATTGCATCTAGGATACATGCCAAAGTACATGTCGCTTGCATAAAGCTTGAGGTAAACAAGATTATCGGCTATTGGTGCAAGCCAGTAGGTTTGCAGTTCATGGCCAAAGAAGTCATGGCTCTCAGGGATTTCCAACATGTGTTCCGGTGCGGCGCTATCATCTTCTGTAGCAACCTGGAGGCTGAAATGTGTGATCCTTGACATGACGTGCTGGAAGTTCCTTGCGAATTCATTTTCCTTGTCGTCAGCGTTCTCAATCAGGGCTTTCGGAGTAAAGTCCTGTAGATTCTTGATGCTGAGATTGTACAACTTGCTCGCGGGGTGTTCGCAGTGATTGAGTCGAGCGTAGAAAACGCGCAAGATTTCTTCTCGGAACCGCATCATCTCCATGCAGTCATATTCCTGGTCCCATGACGGGCCACTGCAACTGCTTGAGAAGACCAGTTCCACATGTGTCAGATTAGAGAACTGACCGACTCGCGTCAGAGCATCGAGAAAATAGGGATGAGGCTGACGGTATTCATCTCCAGGGCCAGGTTCTCGACGAGCCCAGCATGAATTACTACCATCCGGTACCATCCTCGTCTGAAAGACAACTTTTTGTACGTGCTGGGACAAGGTAGCTGAGGAAAGGATGTTGTTGTAGCGAGAAGCAGATTCCTCAGTGGGCAGTAGTCGCACACAAGCATATAGATGTGTTGCGCACAAGGTAGAGAACTGCTTTGATGCAAGGCGTAGATTGCGCAAGCTGTCTACATCTGGGCGTGGTGTTACAGCAAGTCTGTTGCATGGACGACTCCTGGAGAATGCTGGATCGTTGACAGCCTTGTACTTGTTCTCGTCATCGTCGTCGTACGAGTCGATTGGATCTGGTCCACTGAGAGCGACAAACTCGGCAATGCGCGCACGCAGCTCTGGCGGAAGTTGTAGTAGCTCTGGCATGTTGAAGAGATTTATTGTGGAAGTTGAAGTCAGGATGAGATGCAGTCGGAGCGACGTCTCATTGATATACGCTGCGTTTCACGCGTGCACGGACAAAGGTGGCTGCCTGCTCCGAGATGAGCTCTTCCGCCTTGGGCGGAGCCACCTGATATGCCTCGCGACTCAGGCAGACAAGCATTGTCAATGGACTGTTAAACCGGTTTCTACGAGATGGTGAAGACAGAAAGTTGTGAGTTGAGTAAATATGGCAAGTCCGTACGATAGGAACTGCTTAGTCAGCATTTCTACTGGGGTCAATTTCCTCGGCGCCTGTCTTGTCTGCCCTTTTCAGCGTTTCTGTTCTCGAAGAAGGCGGCTTGTCTTCACCGCTCTGCTTCAGAGTCAGACTACCGCCGAGAACACTTGCATGGGTCTCCATCGCTCTTGTGCAATTGTTTGTGTGCGGCAATCTTGTTAGCTACAACTTTCCTGCCTTCTGTCACGCTTTACAACCACACCGTCTTGACTCTGAAGCAGACGAAATCTCAAGCCTGGCCATCAGAGATTTGTTCCATTCAAAGCCGAAGTCCATTTAGGAACGCCTTCCGAGCGAGTCCCGTTGGGTAACTATGAATTCTGCGACCTCCGACCTCGAGCAGACCGGTCCAGACACAAGAGCTGATCTGGCCAAGCGTCTGGCGCGTTCACCACATGAGGAGCCTGGCAGAACACAACTTATCTCCTTCCTTTCAACTCGGCGAGGAATTCGTTCAACGCTTGCCAGTCCTCCTCTTCGCAACCCGGTTCCTCTACCTGGATTCTGATCACCTCATCCCCCTCCTCTCTCCAGTCTCTCCAGTCTGTCCAGTCGAAATCTTCAGCGTCGTAACCGTCAAACTCATGCCAGTTACTCTCGTCAAAAGCCCCGTAACGCTCAATTCTCACAGCGCTGCACAACGCATCCGCATGCTCGTAAGCGTGGCTGTCCCAAAGACTATGGTTGAAGGCGAAATGCTTCAGCTTGGGCAGTCCTTTTGCAAAGTGAGCGAACAAATGGTGCCATCGCGTTGGGTCCATCCAGACTTGTGATTTGAGTCCACGACCTCGCCACTTGGGTTGATAGCCAGGCGGATCTGTGGAATAGTCTTTTTCGTACACGACTGTACGGCTAGGAATATCGGCGTACGACTCTCCTATCGTCACCGCCACACCTATCATGGCATCATCCAGAATCAGCTCCTCCAGTGTGTCTGCATGCGACAATATCCACTCCACTTGTTTCTCGCTAGTGAAGCTGTAGTCTCCGAGGATCAAGGTCCGCAAAGCAGGGAAATGCGGTAGGTTCCCAGCGGGATAGAAGCCCCAATAGACCTCTCTATTGCCGTAGATCTTGAGGTACTCTAGTTGTGCCGCAAATGGTTGCAACCAATACTCGCCCAACTCGTATCCGAAGAAATCATGGACTTGGGGGATACGAAGAGTATTCTCGGGCGCGGCGAAATTGTCTTGAGTCGTGATACCCAGTCCCAGCTGCGTGATCCTATTCATCACCCCATCAAAGTCCCTTTTGAAAGCAACTTCCTGCGGAGTGACTCCTTTTCCCATCAAAGCCTTGGGAGTCATGTTTTGAAGATTCTTGATGCTGAGATTGAAAACCTTGGTCGCGTGCACCAAACCCTTGTAGAACGCTGACAGAACCTCAAAGCGAAAACTTATGCCTTCTGGCTCTGCATACAATGACGCACCACAGGTAGTCACAAATACCAGTTCTGCATGTGTCAGATTTTGAAATCCTGCTGCTTGTTGCATGGCAGTAAGGAAGAAAGGCTTGGGTTTGTGATAGTCGTCTCCTGGTGGCATTTTTGCATCTGTCCAGTCGTAGAGTCTTGCATCTGGTTGGAGACGGGTTTGGAAAACTACTTTTTTTACGTAACCATTCAACCTTTTTGCCTCCAGGAGCTTGGTATATCTCTCTGCAGAAATCTCCGTAGGTAACACCCTTACAACAGCGAATATCATCGCCGCAGTCAATTCCTCAAAGATCTTTGTGACCAACCGCAGAGAGCGTAGGCTCGCCGTATCAGGGGCGGGAGATGTAGCGAGAGGAATATTGGAGTAACTTAGACCAGCAAAGGTAGGTCCGTCTGATACATGTTGACCCTCATGACGACTTGGATCGCGGCGTTTGGGGTCTGGAGGTGGAGGAGTAGCGACGTAAGAAACGATTCGTGAGAGGAGTTCTGGTGGGAGGTTGATAAGGTTGGACATCCTATGTTTGCTATGGGTGTGAGATTTAGTGATAAAGTTGTGGTATGTAAATGGGCAAAAGGTAGTGTTATAGTAATCAGAGGTTAGATAGAAGCTTGACTCGTAAAGACAACGCACAGACAAAGTGGCTTGAGGATGCTTAAATGAGGACTACCAATTTGGGTTTCTAGGCAGTGGGAATAGTGCAATATCTCGCTTGTGCAATGCTTGGTATTCAGTGATTAGGCAGCTTCCTGTTGAAGTCGTGTTGGTTGCCTAGATCCAATCTGAGAGGGAATTTGTGAGGCTATACAGGGTCGCACCTTCCACTAGCCGAACTGCATTATCTTGTTGTCTTTCTTCCTTGCGCGTTCCTCAAGGTTGGATTGGCGATTGGTTGCGGGATTCAAAGTTTTGCTCATCACTTCGCTGGTAGGATTTGTTGTCCTCCAGGGGAGGAAAAGGTTCTGGTCGGAAGGATATGCTCAATCTTGTATACTTTTGCGCTTCTCAAATAGAGAGCAAGCGATGTGTCTTTATATTTAACGACATGAATCGTTTCCTACTAACATCCTTACTACCATTCATCATCACCACCACCATAATCGTCATCGCCAATTCCAAAGTCTCCCGTGACATCCCCAGTAGCAGCTTCAAAGTCTTCGTCTTCCTCATAGTGTGGCGAGGTGGGTTGAGCTTCTGCTCCAGGCCAGTAGTCATCTTCGTCTTCTTCCTCCTCATCCTCTTCCTCTGCTTCTTCTTCTGGCGCAGCTCCTTCTGTTGCTGGTTGTGTTGCTTCGTGATGTGGTGAAACTTGTGTGGCTGCTGGCGTAGGAAGAGCGGTCTGTGAGGGTCCAGCTTGTGGTGACTGTGCAGTAGTAGATGGTGAAGCGGCGCGCACGCTCTCAGGTGCTGGGGTCGAGGCTTCCGATGTAGCTCTCGATTCGCCGTGACTGCGATCGCCGTAAATCTTGCCCAGAGCTGCATAGTTGACTCTTTGCGAGAAACCTTTGGGTGCTCTCTTTTCCAGCATGCGCAAAGAAGCATCGGCAGGTGACTCGACGGGTGTTCCTGCGTCGGTGAGGACAGTGCCATCGCCCATACGACCTCTCTTTTTGCGTTTGTTGGTCTTCTTGTCTCTGCCCTCTGCTTCTTCAAGAGCCTTCTTCAATTGCTTGGCTTGTTGGGCTCGGAGCCAGTCTTCGTTGTGTGCGACCCAGATCATTTCCTTGACCTTGACTTGCTCTTCGCTCAAGAGTGCATTGGCGACCTCGGGATCATCGGCAAACTCGTCTTCGCCGATAATTTCTGAGTCTGAGACCAGAGTATGAGTACGCCCCATGGCTTCTAGCCTCAAGGCATTCTGTTGGACGATGGCGGCACGTTGTTGTTCTGCAAGTGTCTTTGCGCGTTCCTCAATCTTCTCTTTCTCGGCTTGTTCTTTTGATGATATACATTCGCGTTCGAGCAGGATGTTCTGAATTTCACCTTCAAGTTCTTCTTCGGCCATGAAGTCGGCGTCTGTCAAGGGTGGTGGGGTGATTGTTTCCTTCTTCTTGCGACCACTCTTGACCTTGACGATTTCAAGAGGTTCAGGTATAGAGGAGGTATACTCATTAGCTTGAGTATTCGAAACGACACTGGTACTTCGGTGAAGAGCGGGGTCGAGAGGAATCTCAGGAATTGCGAAACCGTCTGCGTCACGGCGGGGCTGTTGTGATTGTTGAGTTGCTGCCTGAACAATAGTATTGCTGCGAGCGCTCGATACTTTTTGTCGTTTGGCAGATTGTGCTGCTTCTGCTTGAGAGTGTGATTCCGCGTCAGGTGCAACCGAAGATTGACGGGATGACTCCTTGCTCATTTCGTAAGCCTTGCGCTTGAGCAGTTTTCTCAACTGTTTTTGTTTTCGGAGTTCGGCTTCCATGAGAGATGGTGGGTCGGCTTGTTCTCTGATTCTCACACCTTTCTCGCGGAACTCGTCAATCTTGAGATGAGCAGCACGAGTACGCTTGAACTCTTCAAGACGTTTTGAGATTGTGAGATCAGCCACTTTGACGACGAAGACGACTTCTCTGACGGTGCGACGGAAGTTGTTCATGCGAGCAGCCAGGATGAGACAGGCACCACATAGACCAGCTGGGTGTCGACCAGTCACAATCCAATCACGCTTCATACGACGAATGATCTTGACGGCATCTTCGGCGACTTGGCGAGTCTTTTCACCAAATTCAAGCTTGCTGGCGTACTTGAGGATCAATGGCTCAATTTCGATCATCTTGGTAGTTTCCTTGAAGTCCACAAAGAGGTTAGCCAGCAGACCCTTGTAGGTATCTCCCAAGCTGAAGACGTTGACTGAAATGACTTCAGCAATGTCCATGAGCAAGATGGTGTTCTCGGCCTTGTTTCGACAGGCGATGTACAAGCAAGCACCGGCGACTTCATCAGCACGACGACCTTGAGTGAAGTTACTGTTCGAGGCAAGTTTCCAGATACCCATAGCTTTATCCGAGACATCAGGAGGGATAGGTAGTCGTGCGGTGAACAGGCGCAGGGATTCACGACCGTTGTTCTCGCTGTCCTCTCTACTCTGCATCGAAGCACCCAGTCTGCGAGCAGCAGCGGCACCCAGTGTCTTTGCATGACGCGAGTTTTCATTGACGATGCCACCTTCGACTGTGGCAGCACCAGTAGATGATTCTCCAAAAGTGACTTCAGCGACGATGTTTTGTTCACTGACTTGGGTACCGCAGTTCAGACAAATCTTGGCACCGTCGATGACTTCGAAACTAGGATTGTCGCAACCACATTCTGATTTCTTTGCTGGACGAGGAAGAGGTTTGAAAGAGGTAGGAGTCTTGCCTCCGAGACCAGATAGGCGCTGTGGACGACGAGGGGGAGCAATGCCAGGCATGGTGAAGCAGATAACAGAATTAAATTATGATCGAAAGCCGAAACGAGTATTGACAAAATTGAAATCCTTGTTAGAGATGCAGAATCGGTATACTCCAGGGACCACCAGTAATTCGAGAAGTTATTGGTAGTATCAGGCCTTTGTGAGTAGTGAAGGCTATGCCATGTACAGTGGAAACGCGCCCGAGGCAAACAGGAGCGAAATTCAGTTCTTGGCGAGTGCAGCGCGCCACCAACAAGTCGCGAGCGCAGCGGGCCAGAAGGGTGGTAGAAAGTCCAGATATATGCCTTGTACTCACGTGCGATGCAAGGCTTCGTTCTGACAGGGCGATCTGATGGCAGTCGATGGGTGGTGGAGGATGGTGCAGGCGCAGAGTCGCGGTGCGCTGTGTCAGAATTTTGCAGACGGCCTTCGTTCACTTTCACGGTTCCATGGCGCGGTGGGAAAGCGCGCGACTTCGCCAACGCACGGACTTTCTTGGCGCTCAACAAACTTCTGCGCTTGTGTTCGACTCTTGGAGTGGGCGACCACATTTGTGCCTGCCTTGCGACTTCGTCTTGTTAACCCTTCTTGTTATCCATCATCCATCTTTAGCATATGTCTGCTTTGTTGCCCAAGCATCGGGATATCCGCACACCACCCGTCTGAGCACACATCACTGCTGCTCTTGCTGAGTGCAATTCATGCCCGACTTTATGCAAGCGCACGGTCATTGCTTTGCCGCTGCCAGCAATTTACGCGCCGTCGCTCTCGTAAAATCTATACCATCGCCTGTCCTTCTTGTCCTCGCTCCTCGACTTCTGACGACTGCTCTATGAGATGTCACAGTCATGACCTTGCTGATGTCGAGGGCCACTGGCGCAGTCGCCTCTATCAGGTTGACCATGCCATCCTCTGTGATCTCACGCGTCTTCTACCCATGCCAGAGACGGGAAGTCAGAATTCACCGTCAGCCCGACGCACCTTCAAAACAGCCTGTCAACACCTTCACTGGGGCTGATGCGTTTGTCAAAGCATCCTCTCCTCGGCTTGATTTAGTCCAGTCTACACCTACAAAACTAAGACTTCCTATTTTCCTGAACTCTCTCTTCCCGTTCAATGCGCGGGACTTCTCGACTTGCCGTGTGGATCTCTACAGGAAAGCGGAATATGAACTAGTACGGCTGGATCCAGATGCTCACCGAGCCTATCGGGACAGAGTGGCATTATCGCAACTGAATCGCTCTATTAACGAACCAGAAGTGCGACAGAAGCGGGCAGCTTATAATAGGAGAAACCATGCGCAACGCTCTGCTTCCGAGGACACTTACTGTAAGGGTCGATTGCTCAAATCATGGTTGTATCATTACAGCTGGATAAGGGACACGCTACCCAAACGGCTTGACCAAGTAGCCTCTGGACATACACCTACTACCTCCGGCACACCATCCTCCAATCATCACTGTGGTGGACCAAAGAGAGCTCAATCCACGCCAACTCGTCCGACTGTGGATGACTCCGCCAATCTGTCTCCCTCGTCTTCGAGGAAATTCTCGTCGACTGCCATCGCGCTCACCACCAAAGAACAATACGCTAAGCTGCGAAAAGACCCAGAACGACTTGAGCGTTATCTTGCGAAACGAAGGCGCTATATCAGGGAAAGATATCATGAGCTGTCCCCTGAGTTACGGCAACGCAAGGTCGAGAAAATCAAACGCTACAAGGAGCAGCGATTACAGGATGACATTGAGTATCGCAACCAAGCTACAGAAGCTCAAAAACGGTACGATGCGGCACACTCTATGAACAAAAAACTTCGGCAGTGGTGCACCAGATATGCATGGCTGCGTGAGGAATCGCTGTGGAAATCATACCGTCCTCTCGTCTATGATGAGAAGGTTCGATTGCATTGTGACGGTTGTGGCTATGTAACGCTGAAAGGCCTCAAACTGTGGTGGACCATGCTAACGGACACGAAGCCACATCATCTTTGCCCGTCTTGCTACTTTTCAAGTAGGAACTGGACTGATGTTATGCCGAAAGGTTACGAAGATGTTCAGACTGCGAAAGAACTCAAGGCGCGTAAGGAACAACTCGACCAGTCGCATACTGCAGGAACAAACTCTGCAATTCCTTCGTCACCTTTGCACTCGACCTTCTCGCGCCCAGGGACGAATAAAGCATCCAATAACTCCTCGATCTCTTCTCGAAGTTTTTCTTCCACCTCCGCGAACAACGGCATGTCCAAAGCCCAATACGCTGAGATGCGTTCGAACCCGGAGGCCTTTCGCGCTTATTGGGACAAACGAGCTGCGTATCACATGAAGTGGCATGAGGATGCCACTTGGCGCGAGCACATGAGACGATACAAACGAAACTACAACAAATCAATGGACATTGGCCCAGCCTATAGACTGAGGGCGCTCACAAGACATTTATTGATATCATATCCATGGTCTCGCGCCGGTCTTCCTTGGAAGCTCTATCGGCCTGTTGTCACATCTCAGCCAGTTGAACATCATTGCAGCGGATGTGGGATCACAAAGCGTACAGGAATGAAGTTGTGGTGGCACCGAACATTGGCGGGGTCTGACATCTTCCTTTGCCACGGCTGTTTATTCTCCAAAGGGGAATGGGCCCGCGCAATGCCAGAAGGTTACGAGGATGTCAAGACAATCAAGGGATTTGTAGCGCGCAAGAAACAACTTGCGGGGATCGACGAGGACAAGTACTTTATGCCAACCGAGTCTGATCAGAGAAAGAAGAGCTTCACGAACTGGTGCTCGGGACATGCCTGGTTTCGCCACTTGCCCTGGAAGACCCATCGACCATCCTACACTGAGAATGCAGTGGAGGATCGCTGCGCGCGTTGCAAACACAACAGGCATAGACTCCTGAAACTCTGGTGGCGTTCGGAGAGTGAGACTATATGCAATTCATGCTACACGAAGGGCGACTGGAAAGACATAATGCCTCAAGGCTATGAGAATGTGAGAACTATGAAGGAAATACGCGCTCGGAAGGCAGAACTTGAGAAGCAGGAAGCCGAGCGGTAACAACGACAATACTCATGGTTATTCAGTGCCGACACCCTGTCCATGGGACAACGGCAGAGGAGACAACACAAGTCGCGTCGTATCAGGCAGTAGCACATTGCATTCACCGGAGCTCCTTCGTTACGTCAAACTCTTTACCTCAACAGGGACTTGGATCAACTCTATGCATCTTCCTCGCTTCGCCATCTCATGTGAATGACTTTCAGGGGCTGTTCAAATGCTCCAGAGAGCTTCGTTCTCACCTACATATCCAGGCCTTCCACTTGGCTGTCGCTTTTCTCGCATCCGCAAATCGTACTCATATTATCTTGCTGATCGACTCGCGGACCCGTCACTGCCGCCGAAACAGCACACGAGTTCACGCCTGCAGAAACATCACGAGGTCTTTGCAAGGCGATGTTGATTTCTCGATGCTCTCAATTGCAACCCATTGCGCCAGTTCTGCTCTCAGCGCAATACAGACAGGTCACGGAGAACGGGATGACATGCTTTTCTTCCGAAGTCTGTGTTCAAAGATTTCTGTACTCTGCACGTCAATTGCGATTCTGTGGTACAACCATTCGATTACGACACTATACAAACAATACAATAGATCAATCCTGCAGAAGAACTTTGAGGTTTTGATGGCCGATCTTGGTCATTTCATGCTCTCAATGTCACTTTGGCCCTCCGTGCAACACAGACAGGTCACAGAAAACGGGATGACATGCTCTGCTTTCAGTCTTTGGTGAAGAGGTCTCGTGAGTTTTCTAGTGGTTGCGATCTTGACGCATGCTCATCTGGTGTCTATGCGCCAAAACACATGTTAATATTTGACTCGTGAGAGGAACAGGGAAGAATCTTGTCATGGTTTTTCTTGATATCCCCGCGCCACGAGAAGGATCGTGTGTAGAGGGGTTTGCAGCATCCAGCTGTCGAGGCTAGGTTTCTCAAGGGGTCCCTCGGCCTGGGCTGTTCAAAAAGAGTGGTTCTTCTAGACAAGCATTTGCAGATGCCATTTTTGTGACGAGGAACAAGATATATAAGCACATGTTAGAGAAAGTGTAACATTGTACTCTTGTCATTTCTCACACATCTCGATCATAATTTCTCATACAAAACCCACCTCCATCCTTAGCCTGAATCCCCATCCTATCCCATCCCACCCACCCACGCTGTCCTACAAACCCTCAATCGAACCTCCATTACAAACCCCCATCTTTCTTGTCGGCATTCTCAATATCGCCCACCTCAGCCTTATCCTGACCACCAGGAACAGTTCTCTCTTTGGCCTTCTTGGCCGCAGCAGCAGGACCGCTCTTCTCGGCAGTGTCATCTGCATCTTCGTTTGCGTCTTCGTCGTCAGGGTCGGCGGCTTCTTCTTCGTCGTCGAGTTCGGCGGGATCGACTTCTTCGTCGTCTTCTTCGCCGGGGCCTTCTTCGTCATCTTCGTCGTCCTCTTCGTCGGCGGCGGCGGCTTCGGCGTCTTTGGTCGTCTTGCGCTTTTTGGAAGCTGAGGGGGCTGGGAGGGACTTAGCTAAAGGTCACTTTTGAACGGGGGAAGGGGGGCTTGATGAGGTGAGGTGATAAGGAGGGAGGGAAGGTGAACAACACATACCAGGCTTAGCAGCAATTTCCTCCTCATCATCGTCGTCATCGCCCTCGCCCTCTGCCTCGGAAGAGTCGTATCTATTTTCAGTCTCTGGTTAGCCATCCAATCGCATCCTCAACTTTGGGCATTGCAGTCGCTACTACTCGAATCACGCGTCCGAGTGCTGTTGGTCGTGAAGCGCGACCGCAATGACGTCAAAAAGCGCAACTTACTCTTCTTCCTCTTCGCTGTCCTCAGGAAGCGATTGGAGCTCCTCCTCTTCGCTCTCCTCAGCTCTGCGTTTGCGTGTTCCGACCATTGTGTCTGGTGTTGTGTGTATGTGTCTTGTGTGTAAGGAAGAGGAAAGGAGAAACAGCAGACGTTGAGAAAGCAACAAAGCAAGGCGGCGGAGGAGCGGCTGGGCTGAGCTGTGGGCTGGGCTGGGATAATCCGGGGGAAGCTATGAAGACGTTTTGTGTGTGTTCTCGATTTGGCAAACTGCGGGAATGGCGACAACAAGCAGGGAGCTTGGGCCAGGTGTTGTGGGAGCTGGGGCGCAGAGCAATCACGGGTGCAAGGGAGGTGGTGTTATTGGTTGCTTGGATTGCCCTTTGCGCCTTCTGCTTGTCCTTGAATCGTCTTGTTTGTTTACCAGTCATGTTGTTGACGTTTGGGCATGGCATTGGATAGACAACCGCGGGCAAAATTTGAGTCTGATCGAGTGGTAGATGCCTTCTGGATGCCACACATATTAATACAGATCATGAATGCTGCATGTCAGGATATACAGGCATTGAGGAAGCGACGACTGATTTGGAGACCCATCTTTGGCATCGCTCTCGTATTGTTGCGACAATCAGAAGAAGTCAGCTCCATGATCATCAAGGAAGATGCTCCGAACTCTCTTGACTTGATCCTCTATATGTTTGTGTTCGCAGATCAATGTTGGTGAGGGGATCACCCTGTCAAGAAGCCAAACCATTTGATCCAGCTGCACGACTCCGTGATACGAGTCAAAAGGGCACGTAAATGAGTTTGCCAAAGACCTGAAAGCGCATGTACGTGACTCAATATCAACAAGGCTGAGCATGACTCTGTGGATCTTGTCTTTCCGTCGTGTAGATACGGAGGCCGCAAACACAGAGGATGGCGACAAGGCACACGGACTTTCGCTCATTGAAGCAATATCATCACATTTTGTGTCTCGGGGTATCTAACAATGTTGTCTGTACTTTTCCCTAAGCGCCCACCTTAATCAATACTTTACCAATAGCGTCTCTGACTCAAATGTCCCTTGAGCCTCTGGTAATGGTTGGCATACTAAGCCATGCGCACAGCAAGATCAGCTGAGGGTCCTGGTTCTGCTTCTTCGTCCAGCTCAAACCCTTCTGCCACTTCGGAGTGGGACGCCGTGTCAGTTCGAGCTTCCTAGGCTGTTGATGCAGCTTGACCAGCTTCTGCTGCCGGTTCAGCTTCCTCAGCTTCTTCATCTTCGTCCTCCATTTCCACGTCCTCTGCATCTTCTGCTATCGCCTCTTCGATGTCGCCTTCGCCTTCCCCTTCGCCTTCGCCCTCCTCGCCGTCGCCTTCTTCATCTTCCGCTTCTTCCTCGTCACCTTCTTCGCCGTAGTCCTCGGCTTCATCGGCGCCGCCAACGCCATCTTCGTGTTCCTCCTCAGTGTCGGTGAGCACATCGCTATCCTTGACACTCGAGAAGCGAGACTTGAGGTTCGGAAACATTGGAGGCTTGACAGAAGGACGAGGAATTGGCGTCGGACCCAATTCGACAACATTCTCATCAATGTCGCTGAGCTCGCTATCACTCTCGTCATCAGCAGAATCGTGGATACTACCTGCGACACTGCCCTCTGCTGTAGTGGTACCTTGCTGATCAGCCAGCTTCGAAGAAGGACGTCTTGTTTCTATCACGACTGAGACTTCTTGACGGGGTCGAGGAGGTTCATTGCTTGCAGATGTGGCAGTACCGGCACCAAGCTTGGCGGCGATACAAGCGTCGGCACACAGACGGACTTCTCGTCTGCCCACACCAATCTTGCGGCGGGATGCGGGTGCTTGATCGCCTGTTGGTGGTGTGGCCGTGCCGTCAGGTACTGTGTTAGCAGTCGGAAGACCAGGTACCTTGGTAGAGGCGTCGGGTGCACCATCTACATTCATGAGGTGTGACAGGTTCATCATAGGATTCCGTTCGACGGAAGGAGTAGCAGCTTGCTCCTTGGCGAGAGCCTCTTGTTTTATGGCTTCGTCCTTGGCTTCTTCCAAAGTCCACAGCCTGCGTCCCACAGTATCGTAGAGATAAGCGTAGGCGTCACCGATCAGATCATCAATCGTCGCTGCTTTCATCAGACCGCCATTGATCTTCTTCAGTTCGATAACTTCTTGCATAGTCTCCAACACAGAATGATTGGCGTTTTCGGGTTCCTGACACCATTTCTCCAGATAATCCTTGCGTCTGAGGAAGTCATCATGGTTGATACCGCTGAAGATTGCAGTTTCTTGAGCAACAGGAATTTGACCGTGACGGCGGAGTACGTTGAGGTAGGCAGTACAGAGAGACTGCCAAAGATTGCCATGCTCGAAGAATTCTCCTGTCTTCTTTCGGACTCTTCTCGCGAGAGCATCAAGCAATGAGCGATCTTCAAGGAACTCGAGAATCTTGATAAACAAGTCGGCATACCTCGTGGTGTAAACGAAGTGACGTCCAGGACGCTCGTTTTCTGGCTTCCACACGTTCATCATCATGGTCTTCGTGAACATTTGCTGCATAAGCTCATGTTTCGCTGCCAGACAGTATGACTCTTGAGTGCCATCGTGGTAAAGAATGGCCGCCGTCCTGTAAATCATGCGATGGTGCCAATGAACCTTGTCCGCTGCGCGAAGACTGCGGAGAACCTTCAGGATGTAAGACTCCCATGAGTCAAAGTCAGAGACCGGGTCTGCTTTTGCAGCGTATGGCGTAGCAGTGAGAATGCTACATCCTTCAGCGGCATCGATGAAGCGACGAGTAACCATCTTGTGCACAACGGAGACAAGCTTGTAGTGAGGCTCGAGGATCGGCTCACGTTTTGAATCCTTCTTTCGTGGTAGTAAGTTGATAGACTCGCAGAACTCGTTGATGATGGCGTCGATGCTTGGTCGGTCGGACTCTTTCGGAGCATTGCAGTACATCTTCCAGAGACATTTGCCCAGATAGAAGTGCAGCTTCCACTTACTAGGTGTGATGCGTATCGCACGACGAAAGAGCTCTCTGGCGACCTTGAACGCAGCAAAAGGCGTCAAGGCCTTGAAAGGAGGAACTTTCGTGATAGTCGCCAGACTGAGGAATCTCTCAGCGTCATCGAGCGCAAAAGCTTTCATGCCAAACGGCTCTCTGGATGAGGAGTATATTCTCATGGCAAAGTCGGCATACAGCTCAGCGAATTTTGCTTGAGTGTCTGCACTTGGTTCTGCGAAGCGCATTGCCAACGCAACTGCCATAGTGTAGCAGTGTATTGCAGCTCGCTGCCATTGTACTAGCTCAGTCATATCGCCGTTCAGCTTCTCAGCAGTCCATGAGACAGCCTCTTCGATTTTGGAGTCATACGCTTGGGCCAAACGGAACCACAGTTCCCAGTCATCCATACTGAATTCGAGGGCTTGCATGAAGAATGCCACTGCAATGTTGAGGTCCTCTGTTGCAGTAGGGCCGATACGTTTCTGTGCTCTGAACTTGCTCAGTGAGATAAATCCCATCAAGAAATACCAGCCTTTGGCCGCCAGGATAGCATGCTCAGCTGGGACCGGGGTTAGAGCAAGTTCGCCCTCTCCTCTCAAGCATTTGTACAGATCAACGGGAATGATGTGTGACTTGAGGAAACCCCTGTACACATCACGATTGCGAAGAATTGCATCGGATGGTTTCTTGCGTCCAATGATGCCATGAACTTTCTCGATCGTGTCTCTGAGAGGATGCTTGGGCAGGTCGGTCATCTTGATTCTCGACGCCAAGTTGAGCAACAAATCAACAGCTTGCATGCCTGATGTCTTGTCAACAAAAGCATCGTGAATGCAATTGTGCTCCCTAAGCGCATAACTTGGGTTGAGGAAACATTTTAGGCCAAACATGTCATACAGGATCTGAGCAAACTCAAGGTCAAAGTCGTCGTTCTGCTCTTCCGACTCGTTCCGGAAGCGAAGGACTTCCGACTTTGCAAGCTTGAGGAAAACACGTTCTGATCCTCCACATATGCTTCGAGCTCCCAAGACTTGATGAACAGCTCTCAAGAATTCAAACAGAGACTCATTGGGTTTCTCAGCTTTGTCGATGTTTTGTGCTAAGCTTTCGCGGTAGAGCTTGTATAGCAGAGTCCATGATTGCAATTGTAATTCCTGCAGAACTTTCTTGACAGCAGTGAATGACTTGAGTGGAGCGCCATTACTGGAAGAAGGTGCCTGTCTAGCGCCCACTTGAATTTCATCTTGTAACATGGTCGAGGCATGCAGTACTTTCTGCAAGTCAACCAAGCAGCCTGTCGCATTTTGAAGCCGTTCATCATCCATGCAGTCCAGAGCATCGGTATGAGAAGTAATGGACGCGCTGATCTTGCTGACAAGGTCATTGATGAGACGCATGTACTTAAGCAACACCGTTTGGCGCTCATTGACAGACTTCTCAGAATATGGACTAGACTTGAGGTCTGCTAAAAGCAGCTCGATCACGCGGAAGTAGCAACAGACTACCATGGGTTGGTAGTCGATGGACTCATATGCTTCACGAAGTCTCTGCCAAAGGGAGACTTGCATGCCGATATTGCTGTTCTTCAAGAAATTCAGAAGTTCTGAGGGGGCTGAAGTAGAGTTGGCAGGAATATCGCGCTCATCAGGTTCGGGCAGGCTGCTGATGTGCAAGTCCTGATGCAAGGTTTCTAGAAGTGGCTCGAGACCTTCAATGACCACGGTGGGATCATTTTGTGTAGGATCAAAGACCTTGGTGAAGAAGTCCTGGGTCGTCAGTCGGGAGAGCTCTCTATCAATGGCTTCGATTGACATTTGCGGCATTACAGAATTGTTGGGAAGATCGACTGTCTCGCCAACTGCCTCGAAGATTGACTTCAGCTCAGACCAACAAGCGATGACTTGTTCTTGGGAGATGTTGTCTGAAACGCTGATGTGGTGGGTGACGGTCCATAGATAGCGTAAATTGATCTGGTCTTTCAAACTTGGTTTTTGCAGTAGACTAGTACGCAAATTCATTGCATCGCGCGCAAGATTGCTCCAGCGTTCGGCGCGGTCTTCTTGAAGTTGCAGAGTCTCGGTATCGACGCCACTGTTGGGTTCTTTGACAAGCGAATATACATCCACGTGTGATTCGAAGAGAGTTTGTATGACCTCGATGAACGGCAGAGCATCGTCATGGTGGTCGATCCTTGTGTCTGAAAGCAGGACCTTGTCCCACTTCGATACAAAGTCGGACAGCGTCTCGAAGATAAACGCATCAGTCGTGACGAGAACTCTTACCAAAAGCGCCTTGAAGTCTTGCGGCCATGTGTGGCCGATGTAGCTAGATGTGCCAGCAGACAATTCAGGACGTGTGAATGATCCATGGTCAGGGCTTAGGAACTGTATGACCCACTCGTAGAGTACATCGTTGATGTGAAGGAAGTTCGTATTTATCCGGGTCGTGAAGCGATCAAGCTCGGCGCGAAGGTCCAGGTCAGGCTTGTCGACAGTCCGAGTTTGAGTGATGGGAGCCGAAGAGAAGCGACCGCTCGGCTTGACATGAGCATCAGAGGTGGTGTCAAGATCGCTGTTAGCGTTGAGCAACATCCGTGCTCGTTCGTCCGAGTATTCATTGAGGAATGAGTACATATCTACACAGGCAAGGTCCACACCTTGAGGTTTCAGGTCGCTTTCAGCCGCAGCTTCGCGCAAGTCTTTACGGACATTAGGAGACACAGCAAACTTGGGCAGGTGCACCTTCTCAAAAAGCTCGTCCAGCGATTCAAAGAGCTGGTTGTCAACATAGTCCAAGTCTGCCAAAGCATCATCTGCTTGAGCAGGATCCACCATAGTTTCGTCCTCTAGCTGGCTCTGATCAAGAATCGACTCTCTGGCGCGCAGGCGCTTGCTCTTCGACCTTGCACCTTCAGCAGAGATGCCATCAATGAGCCCAGCAGCGTCACTTGAGCGTTTTCTGGTAGGCAGGACTGTGACAGAAGCGGCCCGAGGGGTTTCCTCTGTGTTTTGGGAGTCCTCAAAGGCGGGCGGAGGGGCAGTGGGCTGGCCGCCATCCATGCCGGGAAATTGGGCGTCAACTAATGAAGACATGCCAGGCGACGGTGCCGACGATTGACGAGGGGATGGTTGATCAGGCTCGATCAGCTCGACATCTGGAGATTGGCGATCTGAATTGAAGGAGATACCGAGCCCAGGCAGAGCTGATGTAGTACCTGCCTGCTCAGCGAGATAGTGACGTAGAAGGATGTCGCCCAAATCGTGCCATGACTTGGGTTCACTGAGGACACATCGCAGTGCCTGGTGCTGCGAGACAGAGGGTACAGGGTGCTCTTTCTGGTAGTTGTGGATGACCGAGTAGTTGGCCAGCTTCTGCTTGAGCATGCTAGACAGTCGACGGCGCTTCATGGTTGACAAGGGAGCTTGCAAGACGGAAAGCTCATCTTGCAGTTTGGCGACAAGTTCTCGGAGTTGTTGGCCAGCAAGAGTTTCGGAGATACCAGGGATGGATAGCACAGAGTCTAGACCTTGGGCATCATCATCCAGCACAGCTTCGAGACAAAAGCGAGCGATGCGATGACTGCCCAGCATTTCTCCAACAGCAGCAGAGCGTCTCCACAAGTCTAGATCCGTATCATCCTTGTCTATGGCCTCGACAAAGCACTCGAGGGCAGCAGCAGAAGCTTTGAGGATGTGTTTGGTGTTTAGCTCGACGTGTTGTGTCGAATGTAACAGTTCGTATTGTAGAGACTCGAGTAGAAATTGACCATGATTCTTGTAGGCGAGATGGATGATTTGAGGCAGAGTACTAGGTGCGTTCTCACCACTCGGTACAACGTGGTCTTGGTGTTGTGAATAGTAATAGTCGTCATCTTCTGGTTGTGGGCCATAAAGTTCTAGGCGTTTGAGTTCCTGTTGCGACTCTGGATATTTGAAAATGTCTGATTCGAAGAGGGCGCGATATGCTTCGGCAGCCTGAGCGTAGGAAGGGGGGCCATCCGAGTGGAACTTCAGGGCAGTCTGGTATAGCTTGAGAGCTTCTTCGATCTGGATTTCCTTGGTGTCGTCGATTTCGATGTCTTCTTCATCGTCGGATTCGAGGTTGAGGGCTTTGAAGGTGGCCATGGCGAATTATGGCAGGCCGCAGTGGCCACTTGATGGTTGCGAATGCCTCACGGTTCGGCATGCGCTGTTGTGCGCAGAAAAGGAAGGCGCGCAAACATGAACTTGCACACAGAAATCAAGGTGCTTGTTGCGGAAGGAGCGTCGGCGTCAGGGCCAAATCGGGTCGCTCTTGCTCGCGGGGAACGCCAAGATGGACATGGTTGCGGCGCGCGTTTATTGAACAACAAGACCAACCTCCTGCTGCCTGCAACTCGAGACCAAAGACAAGGAAGGTGCAAGAAGTGGAAGGTGCCAACTCGTTCGCTGTATTCTTCGTTTCAACCCACCGGCGCATGGTGCAATCCGCATACCATCTCAAGCGACAATGATCCAAACAGCTGTCCCCGAGTTCGTCACTACCTCCTGCAAGTCCGCACTGCTTGACTGACAACAACACACAGAATCTTCGAGGATGACTCGACATCGGTGGTAGAGATCCGCACAGAGAACTTGCAGGCTCTACGAGAATTGGGCCCGCCGGATCTGGTGCACCTCGTCAAGCAGCCCGTCAAGTCGACCAGCAAGCAGGTACCGTGCAATGCGCCAAAGCCCCTCGAAGCTCGCCATGACTTACCATGTCCTTGTAATAGGTCGGAGTCTATCACCACGTTACCGGTACAGATGCCTCGTCCTCTGCCAGTCTCGCAGCCTACATCAACACCCTCGTCTACTCTCCCCATGACAAGACCAACAAGGTCACCTCCGGTCTCTACTGCTGCTACAATGCCTTTTCCCGCCTCGACATGCGCGTTCAAGTCCAGATTCCTGGCACCGTAGAAAGCTACTGCGTCAACGAGCGTGGTGACAAGCTCGAAGCTTCCGACGAACACTGGCTCGAAACGTACCTGTGCAGCGTCCTGCGCGCCTACTCGTACGCCGATGACGGCTCCGGGGACACAATCAAGAAGATTGTTGGCGTCCGTCGCTTCAACCCCATCACAAACACCGAGGCCGAGCACAAGTTCCTGGACGCTGCTGAGCGTCTGTTCTTTGCTGGTGAGCCTGCGCTATCCACAGTCCAATCAAGCACTCACTAACTCAATGCACAGGCTGGCAGCTAGGCTCCGACCCCGAGATTCAAGTCCCAAACCTCGTATCGAACCATCTCACCACTGGCCTCCTAAACTACATCCGCACCACTGGCCGCTACACCTCAGGAATCAACTTATTCGAGAAGCTGCGCACGCGCGACCCCGAGATCTGCTCCCTCCTCGCCCGTGTCTACATTATGGGAGACGAAGAAGTCAAGGCTGTACAACTGCTCCGTGAGGCCATTCATCAGATGCCCATGGACTACCCCTTGCTCGACTGCCAGGCCGAATATTGTTTGTCCAAGGGCAGAAGCGACTTGGCGCTGGAGATTGCGAAGCGAAGCGTCATCTCAGCTCCCAGCGAGTTCGCTACCTGGGCGAGACTGGCCGAAGTCTACATCAGTCTCGAGCAGTGGGACATGGCTCTGTTGACCCTCAACTCGTGCCCCATGTTCACCTACCAGGACAAGGATTCACCACGCATGCCCGAACCTGCTCGCGTCTCTCTTCCACTTGCGCCAGAAGCCATGTGCGACGAGATTGACGACTCTAACACTGTAGGAGAAGAACTCGTACACCCCAACCTGCGTAGATTGAGCGCTGCAAACTACAAGGGAACTTTCCAAAAAGCATACTCTCTGTTGACCGAGGTGACGAAGCGCATTGGCTGGGACCACCTTCTCAAGATCCGTAGTCAGGTTTTTGTCATGGAGGAAGAGTACCGCCACGAGAGACAAGCCGTTGTCCAGCAGGAAGCCCACTCACGCAGCGCTAGTACTACTGCTCTGCGAAGTCCTGCTGCTACTGACGACCGACCATCAACTGCTGGGTCAGTCTTCACAAACGGCGACACGCCTCCCGCATCTGCTTCGCTCGGCGACGATGTGTCCAAGCCACAACACACCGTCAACGCAGTGCCATCCATGGAAACCCCTGACCCTCAGCCACCAGCGGCTGATCCACAACATATACAATACACCCAATTCCAGCACAAGCGTCTTTGTGAGCGCTGGCTGGACAATCTCTTCATGGTCTTGTACGAGGACTTGCGCATCTACACCATCTGGAGAACGGAAGCTCAGCAATACAAGTCGCAACAACTCGCCTACAAGAAGTCCGCCGACGAGTGGGAGATTTTGGGTGAACTTGCAGATCGCCTGCACAGACCCGATGATGCAGCTGAAGCATGGGAAGCTTGCCTCAACATGCGCTTTTCGCCAAAGGCCATGCGCGGTATTCTGTCTGCATATGAGAGGTACGGTGACGTGCGCGGAGAATTGGGTGCTCTGATCAGACTCATCGCTTGGCAGTACAAGTGGTACTCAGAGGTAAGATCGATTTTGCGCGTTTGGAGTAGGATTTTGCTGATATTTGTGTTTAGTTCTCACCATCTTTGGTCCATGTTATCCGGAAGTTGATCGAAGAAGAAGGCGCCGTCAAGGTCAGGAGCATCATCCAGGCGACATCTCTTCCTCAGCATATTCTGGATCTGACACATCAATACGCTGGTCTGTGTGCGGCCTTCAGGAGTAGCGGAAGCGAGGCTTGATGTTTTGCAATGAGGATACCCTTTGTTTATCGACGCGTACTATAAAGCATTTTCGTTATGTCCAAATGGAAAGAATGAGCAGCGAACTATCGTGCTGGCATGAGACCAGCACGAAACAACTTCGATGCTTTTTTACACATATCCCAGTATCCGATCTATCGAATGCGGTCAGATGTTCATCTCAAAAAGGACAATTCATGTTAGTTACCATGCAGGCTGACATGTCGGCAGATGATGCTGGTGAGCAACGTGTTACGAGCCGAATTACAAATGCAAGGACGGAACACATCATTGACATGTGTCCTCGAAAATCATCCATGTTGGCCCACGTTATTATTCAGATGTTCGCAGATACATCGTTAGGTTGTCCGAGAAGCAGGTTGCCGTGATCTCGCTTGACAGGTCGCAGCTCCGATTCTCTACGCGAGCTCCTTCCACCTTCTGATTCTTCAGTTCCGCACTTTCCTCGAAAGTGGTGCTCTGACCAATGAAATCCTATATCTCATTCCGCACATGCTAATCAGACGTCAAACCTACGCTCTCTGACCTTTCTCTTGAGTTTCACGACACCAAATCTCACACGACGCGATTTCGAGCACCGACGTGCCCAGTCAGATGTCCATCAGCAGACTTCGGAGCTCTCGGGACGACTTTCGACCAAGGTTCAGATGACGACCTCACCACAAGATCGATCGGACAATCTAACCGCACGCGAACCGCCAAACACCATTTTTCTTTTCAAGACTCATGACACTCCTGACATCCGCCCTCTACGAAGGCGGCTTGAGCTATGGATGCAAAATCAAACTTACAGAAAACCGGCTCGTATGAGTATGTATAAGCGTTGAGTTTGAACTTTGGTCCACCATGAGACATGGAGATTGCTACAAACGGCTGCTACGGTAGTCTACGCCCGCCCGTTATACGTCCAAAACATCACAGGGGTTCACACAAGACATGGTTAATATAACAGAAGTTATGCGCGGCTGCCGTACTGTATCATCGCGTGTCCCGCAGCATCTGCGAGTCGTGTCTCATGCGAGATAATCAAGACCCAAGACCCTTTTCTCATACACAACATCACCCCTTGCCGCTGCAAGCGAGACACTCGACGCGATGGATTTCGGCCGGCAGATAACACGTTCAGACGCCACATGCAGCAAAACAGCAAGCAGCGCGTGCGGCGGCTCGGTCTTTTCGGATGTCTCTCCATGTGGCCATACCCTGCCCTTGTTTTCGTCCTGACTCCTGATACAGTGACAGCACTCCTGTGCGTTTGGACTCTATTTGCACTGATTTTCCCTTCTCCACACGACGCAGCAGCACCTAGCATATGCATCGTCGCAAGCTTGCCATATTAATGTTTAATATATGTTCGCTAGGGAACGTGCATCCGGCTTTGTAGCCAATGACAAGCGAGGCCTTAGCGCCATTTCAATAACAAGAAACCCTTCGCTCCCCAGCCTGCATACGATAGCGTGCCTCTGGGGTGGAAACGCCCCTCTCTTTCTTTCTGATCGCCTGCGACGCTGACACCTTGTTTCGCACGTTTTTGCCTGGACGATTCTTAGCTTGCTCGGTGTTTGAAGGTCTTGCTGCTCTGGAATCCCGATGAATTGGTGACATGGTCCCACTTTCGCTTGATACTCAGCTAGGGCATCATCGTTCCTCCCAAGACGGGACGAGGCGTGGCCCATATGAACAAACATGATAGCATTGGCAAAGGCTCGGTGGGTTGCTGAAAATCCTGGACCGAGCAGATGTTGTCAATCAACAATTCTACCCGAAGGGCAAAATGTCCCCGCTTAGCAATAATATGCATTTGCTTTTAGATGAGTGATCCCTCTCTCCCCTTACCAGCGGCTTTCGTCTTGAGTTTCACCAACTTGTCGCTGGATGCTTTCTGTCTGGCACGCGTTCTTTCTTGGTTACTCGGATCACCCCGGCTGTTGGATACCAGGTTCCCAAGCGACGACAAACTGAATCCAGACTGCACGTCGCAGGTTACAAGCTTGACACCGAGAACCGCTGCTTCGGGACCTGTCTGGTTTCTGCCTTCTGGCTCTTGCATTTTCCAACTATGGCAATCACCACTTCTGACTCCATGTCATTACCTCTTCCGTCTCTAGGTTCTGTCGCCACGATACTACTTTCTCATTACCTGGTTGTCATCTTTACTACTTTCGCTCTTGGATATGTGGTGTATCAACGCTTTTTCGCTCCCTTAGCTGGTGTGCCTGGACCTTTCTGGGCAAGCTTAGGAAAGGGATGGTTGATAGTCAGAGCGAAGAAGGGGGACCTTCATAGAGAATTGATACGGTTGCATGAGCTTCATGGACCGCTGGTGAGGGTTGCACCTAAGGAAGTGTAAGTAATGACATGATCATCTCTTTTTTGTCCTTGTCGAGGTCATCTGTAAAGAGATCAATGGTCCAGGGGAGCATGATTTCGTTGGGAGCGCAGACACCCCATCATGTCGAAGACGGATACGCTCCTAATCTTCTTCTCGAGTTTCTGTCGTGGTCCCGTTGACTCTCTTCGCCCACTCTCGATCGTCCTTGTAGCATCACATTGCACAATACCAATCACGTCCTAACATTTTCGCCTATTCAGGAGCGTAGCAGATCTCGACGGCGTCAAAATGATCTACGGCGCTGGTTCCCAATTCCATAAATCAGACTGGTACTCGGTCCTCAAAGGCCGCCGCACCTTCGACCCTTTCGCCGAACAAGACCTCCACGTCCACGCCGCGCAGAAGAAACTCGTCATCCGTCCCTATGCCATGGAAACCCTGAAAGACCTCGAAACCTACGTCGACTCTACAGTTTATCACTTCATCACCCGTATGCGCGAGAAAATGACAGACACGATTGATCTGGGCAAGTGGTTCCAACTGTTTGCTTTTGATGTCATTGGCGAAATTACGTTTTCTAAACGCTTTGGGTTCATGGATACGGAACATGATGATGGCAGTCTCAAGTCTGTGGAAAGTACTTTGGCTTCTGCGGCGTGGCTGGGTCATGTTCCTTGGGTTTTCTGGACGCACGATTACCTCAAGCCCTGGATTGGGAATTGGCTGGGTGTTACCAACCGCACTGGAAGTCTCATGCAACGCGCCTTGAAGGAAGTGGAAGAACGAAAATCAAGAGGCACTGACCGAAATGACTTTTTGGAAAAGTTTTTTAGGTTGCAGAGGGAGAAGCCTGATCAAGTTACGGATACGGCGGTGATTAGTATGGCTGCTGCTAATATTACCGCCGGCTCGGATACGACTGCGATTTCATTGAGGAGTATCATCTATCATCTGTTGCAGAACCCGCAACACCTGGCTACACTGAGACAGGAAATCGAACTAGCGGAAAAGGAACATAGACTCAGTGACCCAGTCACCATGGACGAAGCAGACCACCTCCCTTTCCTCCAAGCAACAATCCTCGAAGGCCTTCGCATCCACTCTGCCATCGGAGGCCTCCTGCCCCGCCTCGTCCCCTCCGGCGGCTGCATAATCGCCAACACCTACATACCCGCTGGCCATGTAGTCGGCGCCTGTGCGTGGGTCATCAACCGCAACAAAACCATCTTTGGCCCCGACGCAGACTCCTTTAACCTTCACCGCTGGCTCAACAAAGAAAATAGATCCGAGATGCAGAGATATTTCCTGACGTTTGGGGGCGCTAGTCGCCAGTGTTTTGGCAAAAATATTGCGTTTATGGAGATGACGAAGATGGTGCCGACGTTTTTGAGGCATTTTGATGTCGAGTTGGTGGAGCCGGAGAGGCCGTTGATTGAAAAGAATTAGTAAGTCATTGTGATGTCCTGATGAAAATACTTGAGATGGTCGAGAACGACACTGACGATTTCTGAATAGCTTCTTTGTTATCCAGGAGGGACTAATTGTTCGACTGACACCTAGAGATGGAAGAACTGGAGAAAAACAGGTGAATGGAGGTGCTGAGAAGGAAAGTAATGGATACTAGACTGGACCGGGTTGTCGTTCTGGCGGTTTCTTTTCTTTGTCTTTGCTTCTATTCTTTTTTTTTTTTTCGAGATACTCCTGCTGTGATATGCCACAGCTCGGACTGAAGGCTTACCTGTCACAAGATCCACCAAATTTGACAATCACTGTGTTTCCAACACTGCGAGTGGACCATGGATAACTACATACGAAAGATCACAAGGGAAGATTTACTTCCACCTCACAATGGAAGACTCTGAGCACGCTTTAGAGAATCAAAAGGCCTTTCTTGCGCTGCGCACCGATTACCAATCACTATATCTCTTGTGGAAAGGAGAATATCGCTTTGCAACGAGAAATTCTTCCTGCGACGTCTTGGTCCACGTGTCTTGCTCGGAAGAGGCTGCCAGCCACGATACTGTACATATACCTTGTACTTCGTTTGTCTGGCCACCTCCTCATATTCGATCGAGTCAGTGACAAGCTTTTCATCACTATAAATACTACTCAAGAGTCAAGCCGCGGATTTGCGAACATGGATCTGAGTATCCTTGACGCAGAGGCGCGATAGGAGAGCGCTAGCCAATATACAACGACCTCAGTACCGTTCTCCGAATGACTTTTTGGACCGACCTCTTCTGGTTCGGTCTTTGAAAGATTAAGTGTTGCTGCAATTGTGTGAGGCACAAGAGGGCGCCGAATTTTGGTTGGCGTTTTGATACCGAGGCACACTGTCGCTCATGCTCGTGCTGAACTCTACTCAGCCCAGAATCGAAAGTACTGTGTTAAGGTTCCTGCGCGCCGTCCCCGGCGGACCGACACCCGTTTCTTCGTATCTTCACCGCTTGTGGGCCATGGCGCAAGAACAGTTTTTCTCTTTCAGACATTCGCAACTCTTTTGCAATTTTTGCGACTGCTTCGATTTGAGTACGAAATGATTGATTCTGACCAATCTGGAACTCTCAATATGCAGACAGGGGTGATGAGGATCGCCTGATCTGCAGTGTAGCGAAGCATATGCATCTCGGGGAGACTGTGGCTTGCGCAAACCTGCAGCTCAGCCATTTGCGCTGCTGCGGTCTTGCAGCACCACGGACACTGATCAACTTTTTCTATCTTTTCCTGGAATTCTGCTGTGTTTCGCAGTGACATAAAATCTGTCAGGGGAGACGAAAGCGGTTTCAGGCCGCTCTCGTGAGTCGGGTGTGTTGAGAGTCAGAGAAAGGTCAGCAAGAGTTGGTCGTTCGGACCTTTGCGCGAATGGGCCGCCTCGAGGCTTGATTGTGCAGCACTGCAGGATTCGTTGTTCTTATATTGCCCAGACTCAGTGTTGAGTACGCGATGGATCTAGGATGGTAAGCCTTTTTCTTATCACTGAGTAAGTTGGCTGCAATGTTGCCGTTTGTATTTGCTGACAGGTACGTATTCAATACATCCGGAGTACATCTTTTCCTTGACCATTGTTCACTTCAGGGTATTACAAGCCTGATTATACCTCCGAAAAAAGGAACCACGAGGCTCTAGGCTTGGATTCTAGTGAATGGTTGTAGAAAATTTCAGCCGCGCGATACGGCAACATAGACAAGGCGGCCGGGATAGTGGTTCCAGGCTGCAGTTCCTGGGGCCGCAAGGTAGTGACAAGTGAAGCACATTGCGACACTCTCACCGTAACCAACCTTGATTAACAGATGTGACTAACTCCGATCGACCACAGAATCAGCATAAAACCGCAGCTAATCCTTCCCAAACAGATTTTGTCGCGTTTCACCAATCCCTCCGCTCACTTTTTGTGCATGAGGCAAGAACGAGGCTTGCAGCAACTTCCTTCCCAAACATTTCATTCGACATCTCTTCGCATCTTCACGAACTAGAAGGAAGGAACGCAGCAAACTAATCCTTGCAAGAGTCAGCTATGGATTCTGAACAGACACAGCCTCTTCATTCACCGCCTCAAGCTATCATCACACCTTCGCCTGCTTTATCTCAAGCATCCACAATCTTTGACTCCACACCTCGTCCCCCACGCCAACGAGCTACATTTGCACGACTGGCTTCAGTCGACGATGGACAATACACAGTAATCAAATCTCATGAAGACGACATCACAGAAGCTTCGCCCTACAACGAGGACTATAACACATCCAAGGTTTCAGGTCTAGGCATCAGTGTCGATAAGAATGTCGCAGGGGACTCGGATGATCTCAAAAAGGAGTTTGGGTTTGGGGTCAATGAACATGAGTTGCCCCTGTGGACTCCCAAGTCCGCCATCAAGGCTTCTGCGTTCGGTTCCCAGACCAGGTTTCCGCAGAGTACGGCGAGTGAGTATGACGCACATCGTCTTCGCAATCGTCGCAGCTTTGCGGATTCGTTGAAAGCAGTCTACGATGGTGAGTTTGTCCAAAGTCCTGCTTTGCATGTGGGTTGATTTGGACTTGAATGGAGACTGATTGACAAAATAGACTTTGGGCCGACGGATACTTGTGCTGCTCATCAGCACTTTCATCACAATAGAAGGAACTGGCTGTCTGTGACAATACTGGTCCTGGCTTTGTATTCCACGGTCATGTCTGCCATCTTCCTAATCTTAGCTTTGCGCGGCCCACGATACAACTGGATTCGTAAGGGTGGGAGGATGACACCCTACTTCGCAGACCTTCTGACCGCTGTACTCGCCAAAACTATTGAGTTGTCGTTTGCGACCGTGTTTGTTTCTTTCCTGGGACAAGTCCTTTCACGCCGAGCTTTCATGAAGGATCAGGGCCGCGGTATCACGCTTGCCGAAATGGACATGCGCAGTTGGGTCATGCAACCCGGAACCATGATTACGCATTTCGAGGCCCTGAAGTCCAGTATTCTGTCTATCCTTGGCGTGCTGTCGCTAGTGGCTGCTGTTGTGGCTATGCTATACACTACAGCTTCAGAATCTCTCGTGCAGCCATACCTTCGCTACGGACCCTGGGAGCGCGGATCCATGCAAGGAGTCGTCAAAACCATCTTCGCCAACCCAATATACCTTGGAGAAAATTGTGGAACACCAATCAAGGATGCAGAAGATGACAATGCAGGCCTCACCTGTCTTCAGATCCAATATGCTGCGCACAGCTACTACAATTATCAACGCTACATCTCCGATTGGTCGACTATTTCGAAAAATGGCAATGGAACGAGCGATCCTGCTCATAGACCCAAGGGCTTTGCAATGATTTTCGAGAATACCACAGTCACAGCGCCTTGGATCGATCTGGAGTACAGCGACGTTCTGAACAACTCAGATAAGCATCAGAGAATCATCAATAATGTGACGCTTGCTTTGCCGCATGCTGGCGTTCCAGGGGCAGCCTGGGACTCGGTTAATAACATTCTACAGCCTGAGGTATGTGCACCGAATACTTCCATGAAGTTTAGAGTCTGACAAGGCGACAGGATCTGGATGGCCAGGGTGTGTATCAACTTCAGGCTTCTGTTCCGTCCCCAGCAGTCAACGTCTTGTGTGTGCAAATGACAAAAGAAGAGGTCTCACCGATTGTATACACAGAATGGAACAACAACACTCTCAACACTACGGAATGGCCCACTGGAGCACAACTAGCTTTCTATCAACCTGGCACATACAACAACAAGACAGTAGTCGACGACATATTCGAATGGGGAGAGAAATACCAGACCACACCTCCAGTGTTTCCTAAATTGCCTGTGACTTACAACACTGTGATGAACCACACCGGAGCCTACGGCAGAAAAGCAATCTACCTGCTCGGAACCGATGTCACGGGCAACTACTCCCTCTGCTCCGTCAAAGTGTTCACAACGCCTTTTTGCTCAACCGTATATAATGCATCAGTGGTGGGCGCAACTCTAGAAGCGAAGTGCGACGAGTCCAAAACAGCAAACTTGACAAATCCAATGCGCTACATTGACAGCCTCAAGAACGCCACCTCGGGGAACGACACCATCAGTAAAGATTGGCCCGCCATCGGCTCAGAGTGGTCCAATTCTTTATCTCTTAATGACGGTATTATAGACGGTCAGGCAGCTAACGCACGCCTCCTCACCGAACTTATCCTCGCTACACGCTCTTTACCCCTAGATCGCCCGAGCATCGCTGAAGCTCTAGCAGTCCTAGCAAGTTCAACACTCTTGATGTCCTGGCAAGATGCGCCTTTCGTCCAATTCTGGAATTACTCCAGTACATCGCTGGAGCCCGGCCAACCGCAATTCTTCAATACTAGCCTCCGAGCGCAGGAATATGCTTCTGGCGGATCAGGCGAGCCGGGCACCCACGCGTTCTATGTTGTGCTGTTTGCCATCTTCATCATTAATGTTCTTTGCCTGATTTACTTTATCAGTCAGAATGGCTTAGTGACGGACTTTTCTGAGCCGCTGAATTTGTTTAGTTTGGCGGTTAATAGTCCGCCGAGTGACTTGATGGCTGGAGCTTGCGGAGGTGGACCCAGAGGAGAGCAGTATAAGGGCCGTTGGTTCGTCAATGCGGCGGGTGAGCACCTGTTCATGGAGAGCAAGATGGATGGCGGAGAGGTGGGTGATGAGGATTTGAGGAGGTTGCGGGGACATGGGTTGAGCGGTCTGACTCCAATGAGTCCGATGAGAAAAGCATATGAGAAGATGAGCCGACGGAAGAGCTGGTTCTGAGCAGGCTATCTTGACTCTCATAGGGCAAGGTATATGTCTTCCATCAGGATTTCGCAGCCCAAATGACGAATAGATTTGCTGAGCTAGAGTTCTAAAAAGCATGCGTCAAGAACACCAAAGGTGCAGTAAGCTCTCGGCTATATCAACCGAGAGTCCAATGTGAACAATGTCATCGGGGACAAGACAGGATACGCGTTCCAGAATCCAAATTATCTGCTCTGCGTTAGAGGTCGCGAGTCTAATTTTCTCCATCCTAGGTTGTAATGTCTACAAATACCGGCCGTTCTCAACCACGACTGTAGGAATATTCAAAATCAGCTATTCGTCAAGGATGACTCGATGCTTGCGCTAGTCGATGGCCAGAATTTTCAAGCTAATGCGACCTTTGTATCAGAACCATCAGGAACTGGAAGTTCCAGCTACTTTATTCATAATTTTCTAATTGGTGTATTGCTGAGCTCAATTCACCTTAGCAAAATGTTGGTTCTATACAGCTACATCGGACGTGTGTGACTCATCCTCGTATTAGCTGACGTCAGTCGTAACCGAGGCTATCGCTCCATCCTTCCGGACTCACATACAAGACCAACAAACAGAAAACTAACAGCTGTCAAGACAAACACCTGGTCATTAATGACGAACAAGATGGACTCCGGGCCTGTTGGTGTCGGTGCTGCCGCGCTTGCCTACTTCGGTCTTGAGAAGGATTATCGCAATTTCAACCACGGTAAAAATCCCTTTTCTTTTCTTCATAATAACGAGTTGGCTGAGAATAACCCACTGATTTGATCAATCACAGGCGCGTATGGCACTTATCCTATTGAGGTCCGGGATGTTTTGTTCAGGACTCTGCTCGACGCCGAGTCCCGTCCATGTCACTTTGTCAACCACCAGCAACCTAAAGCACTGCAACATCAGAGATCAATTATCGCGAAATATATTAATGCGCCTACGGAGTCTTGTGTCTTTGTACAGAATGCAACGATGGCATTCAACATTGTCTTGCGCAACTTGACCTTTCGACAGGGAGATTGCATTCTATATTTCCCTACGACATTTGAGGCATGCAAGAACACTATCAAACATGTCGTTGAAACCTCTGTGGCAACAGCAGTCATGGTTGAGTCTTCTCTCAGACCTGATGATATATGCAAAGCGTTGAAGCAGACTATAACGAATCTCAAAAGCTCAGGCCGCAATCCCAGGATCTGTATCGTTGACACGTTATCGTCCTTCCCCGGAATCAGGATGCCTTTCGAAAAGCTTGTCCCAATATGTAAAGATCATGGTGTACTATCTTACGTGGACGGAGCTCATGGTATCGGCCACATCCCACTGGATACGAATGAGTTAAACCCCGACTTTCTGGCTTCAAACTGTCATAAGTGGTTGTACGTACCTCGGAAATGCGCTGTGTTGTATGTTGCAGAACGCAATCATGCGCTGGTCAGATCAGGTTTACCCACTGGTTCAGTCCTCGACGCCGAGAATTGCGAAAGCCCCTCTCCTCTGGCAGCAAAATTTGGCGGCCTGAGTAATCTTGATGGCAACAGTTGTTTGTGCGTGAGCGCAGCCATCGATTTTAGGAAAAGAGTAGTCTGGCAGGACCTGCGGGGTGAAGAAGCAATCTATGCATACCTGCAACAACTAGCCGTTAAAGGTTCAAACATCATATCTGAGGCTTTGGGTGGCACAGATGTCTTCGAGGAGACTTATGGCATACCAAACCACTGCGGTTTTGCCAATGTCAGATTACCTCTAGACTACGAGCAAATCACCAAAGGAGATATGGCACGTGCCAAAGAATGCGCACAATGGATGATGAGCACACTCATCGACAAATACAACACCTCGTTGTTGATCGCAGTGTATGATGGATCATGGTGGGCACGGATAAGCGCACAGATCTATCTTGATCTGAACGACTTTATCTGGTTAGGAGGCACGTTGAAGATGTTGTGTGATGAGGTGCGAGAGAGGGACTGGCAAAGAATTTAGAAGCAACATCTGGATTTCAAGTTGTTTTAAACGTCTGGTTGTTCCAGCTGCTTTGGAGATCTGAATGGGGACGGCTCGAGAATCACTGATGAGAATAGTTGTTAGAAGCTGTTATTCCGACAGTCTGGTACACGGAGCTAATTTCGGCAAAAGTGGGTCTATGGCCTTATACAAGCCACCGCTTGCCCATATAATAATGCTTGTTGCTCCATCGCTCCATATCTCAGGCTGTCTGCTTAGCAATCTTCGCAAACACGTTGTTGCTTAAAAAGCAGATAGCGCCTGATCAGCTACAGCAACATTCGAGGGATGCGCTTGTCCCTCCAGCACACATCTGAGACGTTGACTCCCAGTGCCATGAGATGCTTAGCAATCATGTTGAGAAGTTGAGCGTTCTATCGAATTCTTTGTGAGAATGTTATAAGAATAAGAAGAATTGCAAGGTACTGGGTTCATGAGGAGAATAAACATTCCTTTCGGTCCCTATCCTACACCATACAAGAGCGAGGTTCTCACTGAGATTGCTCTTTCTCTCGCTTACACAATGTCTCCGACTGCGACTTGTCCAGAGAAGTCCATTGCCTCTGCTGCACTCACGACCGACCCGGAGAAGGCAGCTTCAGATCTCGTGCATGGGACCCCCGAGCCCTCTAGCTCGACAAGAGCCATTCACGGTATCAAGGCAAGTATATGTTCTCGGCACCATAACAAAAACTCGCAGCATTATCTGGTCCGTACTGACTTCATGTAGTGGCTTCTGGTAGTCGTGTCTGTACTGTTCTCCATGTTCATGTACTCTCTCGATGGCACCATTGTCGCCGATCTCGTGCCGTCCATCGTCAACGAATTCGATAGCGTTCCACTGCTTCCCTGGCTTTCGGTCGGCTTCATGGTGGGCAGTATCGTCACTGTTCTTCCTCTGGGCAAGCTGTTCAGCAAGTATAATGCTAAATGGCTGTACGTCATCTCGGTTGTACTGTTCCTCGCATCTTCTGCTTTGTGCGGTGCTGCTCCTACCATGAGTGCCATGATCGTTGGTCGTGTCTTCCTTGGCATGTCTGGCAATGGCATATACTTCGGCATCATGACACTGCTTTCGGTCTGTACTGATGACAAAGAACGACCGATGTACCTCAGTTTGGTTGGCTTGGTCTGGGGTATTGGTACAGTCCTTGGACCAGTCGTAGGTGGAGGCTTTGACAAAGTCAGTTGGCGCTGGGCCTTCTATCTGAACCTCATCATCGGCGGCGTCTTTGCACCTGTCTATCTCTTCATGCTTCCATCCTTCGATCCCCAGCCCAAGACTGTTTCACTCTTCGGCCGAGCAAAGAATTTTGACTTTGTGGGCGCCGCACTATCCATCGCGTCCATTCTCTGCCTGGTGATGGCTATCAACTTCGGCAACGCCTTGTACGCATGGAACAGCGGACAGATCATCTCAATGTTCGTCCTTTCGTTCGTTCTTCTGGTCGTCTTCGCAGTGCAACAGAAATTTGCCTGGTTCACTACCAGAACGGAGCGCATGTTTCCCGCTCATCTCATCAGGAACAAGGAGGCTAACCTACTCTTCATCTGTGCCGCTTGTGCCAACACGGCAGGCTTTTTGCCTATCTACTACCTTCCTGTGTACTTCCAGTTCTCGCGCGGCGATAATGCATTGGAGGCGGCTGTACGCCTGCTTCCTCTCATCACCATTCTTAGTGCCACTATCATTGCCAATGGCTATCTGATGAGCAAGCTCGGATACTACCAACCTTGGTACATCGGCGGTGCTGCTCTAGCTCTGATTGGCAATATCCTGGCATCCCGTATCAACATCCACACCAGTGTTTCCGCCATCTATGGCTATGAAGTGTTGATCGCACTTGGTAGTGGTGCATTCATCCAAGCCGGCTATGCGACAATTCAAACTGTGGTTTCTGCTGACGATACCTCCTATGGAATCGCCTACATGATGCTCGCACAGTTCACTGGCATTGTTATGGGATTGTCTATTGGTGGCGCCATCTTCATCAATGAGGCTCTGAAATCCCTGAAGGCTTTGTTGCCCATGTTGCCAGAAGCTCAATTGAGAAGTGTCATTAGCGGTACTTCGTCTGACGCGATCAGCAAAATTCCTGTTGAGTTGCCTGAGCAAACTATTTCTGCGGTGGTTGACAGTTTACGCAACATGTGAGTTCAGGTTTTTGTACTGCCTTGTGTATCTGTTCTTTAGCTGATCTGAAACCAGTTTTATCCCTTCGTACGTTGCGGCTGCTGTGGCATTAGTGACTGCTGTCTTCTTGAGGGTAAGACACACGTGTTCAAGCATCATTCATGCGTTCCTAGAGAGATTCAGAGCTAACAGTGGCGAGTTGACAGAGACATAGAGCTTTCCACTCTCAACGTGGGAGCTAAAGTATTGAGCAAAAAGATGGAACAGTATGCCAGTGGAGGAACTTCATTTTGATCCTTTACATGTCCTAGATACTCAACCAGACCTTCGTACTGCTCAATTGGATAACTTGGATGCATGAGTGCGTCTCTTTCGAGGATTCCAGCATCGCTCTTGATGCCCTTCCGCCAAGCCAAGGAACCTCATCATAGTAGCGGAAACTCAGATAGTCAAACAAAACCCGATATCACACCTAGTCCGAAAGCTGTCGAGGATTTTTCAAATAAAATCTCTAGGTTTATCTAGTGTTCAAGCACACATCCTCGCTGGAATACTTCCTGTTGTGAATACTAATTCAGGGAATGCAGTCATCAAGAAAACCACGTACAATGCTCCGACGAAGCAAGGCTTGAATTCGTTGCCAGTTGACCGCGTGATAGATGCTGATTGCCAGCCGCTTGTTTATTACCACGTCCTGCTTGCTATCAATCTCGTTGTTCACTTCAACACCATTTCACGTGCGCATGTGACGACTGAAACTCGCTTTTGTGTTCACTGCTTGGCGGTTGCCTTGTGAACATCCAAGATAACTTCCACACCATCGCACTTTCTCCGTCGCTTCTCAACTATCCCTCATCAAACTTTTCACCATGCATTCGTTAAGATCACCACCGTACATCATCGCAGTTCTCAGTGGCGCACAGACTGAACTTGACCTGTCCGGCGACCGACCGTTCAGCCTCAGCATTACTCTCACTCTTCATGCCGAGGCGCCTGTTTTCTGTTACATCGGAGACGACAATGCCTTCTTTCGCCTTCCTCACGCCCTACACGATGTAGGCATCGAATTCACAGATCAACGCACGCACAAGCAAATTGGAACCTCACAAGTCGCTTGCACTGGTTTCATGGACGAGCCAGGACCGGGCAGAATTTTGGACTCAAGTTCCGGTCTCTTCCTACAACCCAAGTCTCCTGTCGTATTTGACATTCCTTTCAATGGCACTCGATACAAACAAGGTGATAACTTCTTCGATCTCCATCTCTACATGGTTTCACACGGTTTTGAGGCCGGCGGCACTTACAAAGCTGCACTTCCGACCGACCGCAAGCTTTCCTGGTGGAGATGGGCAAAATCATGGGAGGCTGAAGATCAAGAACCGGAAAGCTCTGCTTTGACGTCCGGAGTGAGATCTAAAGTCCGCGGTCACATGGTTCACGGGTGATCAGGAAGGTAAACAACGTGTACCTGTGCTGTCCGAGAACGAGCAACTACCAATCTACATCGAAGGTGATGGTCTGATCTTCTCATGTGTTGGAAATCCGATGGAGTGGCCACTTCGTTCCGAGGAAGAAGAGAGACAATTGGCTGAGGAAAGACGACAAATTCGGGAGAGAAGACGACGTGTTCAAGCGGAAGCTTCAAACGCACCCAAGGCAGATTGAATTGCTTAAGCAGCAACTCACACACGAGAGAAGTCACAGCGAGAAAGATGGCTGCTAACTGCTAGCAGATGGACATCGGAGCTCCATCACGGATAAATAGTATAGAACACCGTATTTATGTATCGTACATCCAGTGAATTCTCCAAGCAGAAATCTCGTCGTGCATTCGAAGACAGAAGCGCGATCCAAAATGAACATGATTGTTACGTTGAAGTCCACCCGACCAACAGGGTATGATTTGCGTATCTCTCTTATCCCTAGTACTTGTCATCATACGGCGCCATTAACCCATTATGCTCCACATCATGAGGGAACTTTTCCGTCGAAGCTGTAGTATGGCACCAAGGCTTGACCGCAACCTCCTCTCTAATCTTCTTCGAAAAGCAGCCAGACCAGCCACGACGAGGATACTCCTTCACAACATCCTTGATGGTATCCGGATGGACGTATTCAGGTCGGTAGCCCATGTTGTCAAATTGGGTAGCCAGTTGTATCAACAGACCAATGGTTGTGATGGTACCCGTTTCCACAGGATCTTGATGTCGGATGATAGCTTCAGCTACAGACTCTGCTTGAGCAGCTGGAGCGTTGAACTTCTTGAGCGCATCCATGGCTAGATAGCCACCGTAGAATTCGAAAGACATGAATGTGCCGTGGGTGTGCTTATCAGCGGTACCGATATCATGGAACAAACAGGCGAGTAGCCATGTCTCTGGACTAAATTTCCAACTTGGGAACTGTTGGGTGGCTATTGCCATGCCTGATTGCTTTTGCTCAGCTTCCATTCTAGAGGCGGCAAGGAAATCGTGCTTACCATAATAGAAGACTCGCATGCTGTGGTTGAATGTGTGCTCCGGTAATTCGTTCTTGACATGCTCCAATGCGGCTTTGACCAATGGTGTATCTGGTAGAGGCACCTGATTGCATAGCTGGGCTACATGCTCACGATTGTTCTTTTTGTTGCCGCCCCATTGTTCGGGATCGCAAGGTAAAGCAGTCCAGCCGTATTCGGCGATCTGTTGGTCGCGGGAAAGACTCATGTTACTGACTATACGATCCTCTGTGCTATCGGAAAAGCGTGCTAGACCCTTTAGGCAGTGATGATAGTGAAATGAGCTGGGCTTGTTCGTCTCTTTCGAGGTCTGAAGAGTGTGGTTACATCATAATTTGTCGGCCCTGATGCCGCGAGTCACGATACGGTGAATACGAAACGTACAATACGGCAAATACGCTGACTTGAGGCATATCAAGATGAATACATGTACGGATGCTTTGCCGTAATGGTTCCGAAAGTACGCAAGTGATCGTTCGGAGGTGCTGAACGCTGGGCGGCGGCTGTGTGCACGTCGTCAATGCGGTTGCACCTTTCGCTATACGCGCAACGATACGGTGCTATACGGGATGATATCTCAATAACTGGATACCTCTCATTCAAGAATCTTCACAGACTTTTGTATTGATTTTCCCCTTCTCGTCATCTTCTGTTTCCCTTTGAAACACCAGTCGTTCTTGTTATACATTGTCTCAATCAAATGGAAACATCTCATCCGGGATCCAGATTCTCCGACGATTCTCTGGCAAGACTTTCGTATGATACAACACGCGATGCCCTGGCCGACAAGAATTGGACCGATTCGCCGCCGCCATACACCCCAGTCGCTGCTGACGGCGATACTCTTACAGGCAATGACGGGCGTATTCGTCTTGATGTTGACTCAAAACTTGCCCGCACTCTGTCAGTCTTGATCAAGAACACACCGACACAATTATCGACGGCTCATCATGAGCATGAACCCGAGACCCTAGAACAACCCCCACCGCCTCTCAACATCGTGATCCAGATCGTTGGGAGTCGTGGAGATGTACAGCCGTTCATTGCCCTTGGAAAAGAACTTCAGAAATTTGGCCACAAAGTCAGGCTAGCGACACATAGGATCTTCCACGAGTTTGTGACCAAGTCTGGGCTTGAGTTCTATCCTATTGGAGGCGACCCTAACGAACTCATGGCTTATATGGTCAAGAATCCTGGTCTGATACCCAGTATGAAGACGATGCAAGCAGGAGAGATCACGAAGAAGAGAGCAATGATGCGCGAGATGCTCGAAGGATGTTGGAGATCGTGTATCGCGCCAGGTGAATCTACAGGTGCGCCTTTTGTCGCCGATGCAATCATTGCCAATCCGCCTAGCTTCGCACACATCCATTGCGCTCAGGCCCTATGCATTCCCGTACACCTCATGTTCACAATGCCTTGGACAGCCACAAAGAGCTTCCCTCACCCTTTAGCCAACATTCAAGAGAACAGAGCAGAACCTAGTATGGTAAATCGACTGTCTTATGCAATGGTTGAATGGATGACATGGCAGGGTCTTGCGGATGTAGTGAATGATTGGCGCGAGACTATCGATTTGGAGCCAGTCCCAACGACCGAGGGGCCATTCCTTGCATACACTCAGAACATTCCTACAACATATTGCTGGTCGGCTGCTCTTGTTCCCAGACCTCAGGACTGGAGTCAACACATTGACGTATGCGGATTCTTCTTCCGAGACATGCCTGACTATAAACCGCCGCAGGAATTGCAAGACTTCCTGACCGCTGGTTCAACACCGATATATATCGGCTTTGGCAGCATAGTCCTTGAGGATCCGGACATGATGTCCATGATCATCTCCAAGGCTGTTGAGAACACTGGCGTGCGCTGCATTCTTTCGCGAGGATGGGCTGGCTTGAGCAACATTTACAAGTCTCCGAACATCTTTGAGCTGGGCGACTGTCCACATGGTAATTGAGCTCGCTAATCTTGTATCAAAGTCTCCATCGGCTAATGACGGAATTAGAATGGCTCTTTCAACACGTTTCAGCTGTCGTTCATCATGGAGGAGCCGGTACAGCTGCCTGTGGACTCAAGAACGGTCAGCCAACCTTGGTTTGTCCCTTTTTCGGCGAGTAAGTGCTTATCCAGCCATTCGACGCCTCTTGTGCTGATGAAGGACCAGTCAGCCATTTTGGGGCGAGATGGTTCACGCTGCAGGTGCAGGACCTAGACCGATACACCACAAAAGCCTTACTGCTGAGAACCTTAGCGAAGCCATCAAATTCCTCATAACACCTGACGCAAGACATTCGGCTAGTCAAATTGCGCAAAGCATGTTAGCAGAAGATGGCGTCAAGGCTGCGGTCAAATCTTTCCACCGACACCTGCCTCGCGAGACTGTTCATTGCGATGTCCTACCTCACCTTCCGGCCGTTTGGACATATAAAGTATCCTCCAAACAAACAATCAAGCTTTCCAAGTTAGCGGCCGAGGTTCTGGTTGACCGCCTCAAGATTGATCCGAAGAAATTGGGCATAAACGAGATCAAAACCTACCACATCACCAATCGACGCTGGGAGCCTATCACGGGTGCTGCTAGCGCGGCTATAGGTACATTTTACAGATCCGGACTGGCAATCGGTAGCGGTTTCAAGGAGAAGCGAGCCTTTTATCACAATGATCACCTACCTGTCCCCGGGCCATCGACATCAAGACCCCGGACCCGCAGCAAATCACCTCGTCCAACCGAGGATGCCAACGACGACTGCGTCTCCGTCATGTCATTTTCCAAAGGCGATGCAGACAACAAAATCATCGAGACAAAAAGTAGTGAAGAGCCTGAGTCCTGGAAGCCAAGATCAGACGGCAATCGTATAGCCAGAGGCTTCGGCAAAGCAGGCAATACTATACTCAAAGGTGGATTAATCGATATTCCTTTTGCCCTCGCTGAAGGTCTGCGGAACGCGCCCGCCATGTACGGCGACAATCCGCGCGATTTGGGTCCTGTCACCGACTGGAAGACTGGAGGTGTCGCTGCGGGCAAAGGCCTCTTCTTTGGCATCTATGACGGCATCACTGGTCTCGTGACTGAGCCTGTCAAAGGTGCAAAGCAGGAAGGAGCGTTAGGCGCATTGAAAGGCTTTGGCAAAGGTCTGGGAGGCATTTATTGGAAACCTAATGCTGGAGTAGCTGGTCTGCTGGGTTATACTATGCAGGGAATTTACAAGAGTGTTTATAGTGCGATACATACTCGAACCAGGAAGGCAATCGCAGCGGCGCGAAGAGAAGAGGGCGTCTGGCTGCTTTCAAGGTCGAGAGAGGATAGAGTGCTCGATCTGAGAGACATCGTCACGACTTTCGAGGAGCTGCGAAAAACAGCTCAATAAGATCAGCTGTAGTGTTGTCCAGCTAGATTGTTGTGGAAATTGGCAGGTTCCTCCTTCTGTTTTTACCGCAGCATCGATCCACTCGCTTCCTCACAATCGCTTGACCATGATAAAATCAGTCTGAACCACTTGTCCGGTCCGGAAATCATGACTACCCACCCGTGTAAACCCAAGCTTTTCATAGATCTTGATAGCTTTGACATTCTCCTCCCAAACACCAAGCCACAGATGCTCGAACCCTTGCTTCCGAGCCATGTCCTCCAAACAATTTGCTAGCAGTTTTCCCACTCCACCACCATGAGCTTTGGGATGTACGTAAAGCCGTTGCAGCTCTATGATCTTGTGCGAGCCTTCCAGACAAGGGTCGGTCGTGCCCCGCGTCAGCAATGCAAAACCGATGATTTGGTTTTGATCATCAGTCGCGACTATCAAGTCTTTGTCTGGGTTGCTGATCTCAATCGCTGTGGCTTCGCGACTGTAGGCTTCGTCTAGGTAGGCGGAGAGATCCTCGGCTGGCACGGAGTGGCCGAAGGTCAGGGAGTAAACATAGGATCCAAGATCTGCTATCGCGGTTGCATCTTCAAGTGTCGCTTTTCGTAGACTGCATGGCAATGTTGTTGAGTTCGCCATAATGTTTGTTTGTTGTGGGATGAAGCCGAAAGTGGGGTGAAGCCAACAGTGGAGTTGTGAACCAGAAGTTTCTTTATCAGAGCCTGCAAAATCGAAATGTTCGTTGCTATCTCAAGGAATTGCCAGATTTTGCGATTCAGGTTCTCAGATTTTCTTTGACGGTCTCCGATTGTGGAATTAACACAGCGACAAGTAGACCTGCCGGATCTGGATGAGGCTAATGAGCGTGAGTCACAACGCCACGATGCTGGAGCCGCATCGCTTTTCACTTCTTGAAAAAATGCACATATCTCGCCATGAAATGGTACAAATAAATCAGCGACAGGGGAGCTGTCGCGATATTGCATTATTGTCAGTCACTACTCTTCATACATAAAGAGTGGGCGGCACATCAACAACGAACGCTGCAATGCATAGCTTCGTTGCCAGGAGGGCTTCCTTGTCGTGTCGAAAACATTCTTACACGAGCCTTGTTATTTTCTAGCAGAACGTAGTATCGATAGTGGGATGACGTTCGTGGGATGACGTTCAATGACTGGACTCTGCTTGTTGTGTTGCAAATTGTAAAGAGAAGAGGCCGGCAATTATTCTCACTTGGCTTGGTGATTGACTCTGCAACCTTTTGACCATGACTGGTGATGACCTTAAAAGTTCTGATCAAGGACCGAAGAAGTATGTTTTTGGCATTAGACTTTGTCGAATATTCCAAGCTGACCGATGATCGAGTAAGCATCCGTACGTTCCGGTGTGCTTGACGATTTTGAGCGTCGAAAAAGGGACTTGTGGTGTTAGGCTGCTTGAATGCTGTTCACAGAACTATCACTTCGCTTGATAGCTGTAGGGATTCTGGCATATGCGCCCTTCCAGAAATTCTCTCGATCTGCCGGGATTGAAAGTCAAAGGTGAGCCGCAAATCAAGCATAAAAATGAGGCTGATTGTTAATCCTGGGGTCGACAAAGCTTCCGAAGAAGCGGCGATGATGCGTCAAAACGTGCTCTTCGCATTTAGCGTCAGGAACGAAGCACTATGATGGGCACGTTTACATCATCTATCTGGAATTTTTTGGGAAAGAGTCAGGCCCCTTTATGGCCTCTGGTTGGGCAGCATCCGCGACTTCCATCCGCGAATTCCATCCGCTGTATCCGTAAGTCATCATATATTTCTCAAGAGGCCCCTCCCTACAACTGTCGACCATTCCGACACTTGAGACTGTTCTTTTCTCCCTCCACAACCAACAGGCACTATACACTATGAAATTCTCTGTCGCAACATCACTGCTATCAGTGCTGGTCCTCTGCCAGAACACCAAGGCAGCAGCTACCTGCAGTAACTTCACCATCGTAGGCGCCAACAACTACACAAAGCCGTCTCCTATGACTTTCGCTGTCAGCCAAGGTGTCGTCTGCAACGGGACTTCTGACTGCCCAGTATTAGTCGGCGGAGATGTGACGAGCCAACGCTACACCAATCTAACGGAGTCTACTCCTGACTGGGTTTACCAACTGATCAGCAATGTAACTGGATACTCTTTCGACGCGACATTGATCGGTGCAGTAGAGAACACAACATACACCATGAAACAGGGCTCATCTGGATACGTCGGCTTCACTCCCACATGGAGATGTACGCAAGGCATCCTCTCAGACTGCAATATCAAGAATCTCAATGGCACAGCTGTGGAAGCGTGTACACCATTCGGCTGGGAACAAGGCATGATCAACGGTACCCTTGCTGTAGTTGCAACATCACCACAAACCGCGTCGGCGCTGGTATGCAACCCTGCGAATACAAGTCTGGCATCAGATGGCAACTCGACAAATTTCTGTAACGACCCGACCAACTCATCTTCTGGGACCCCGACGCCGACAGATCTGCATGCTGGTGCAGGTCTTTCAAGCAGCGTAAGCACGATTCTGTTCTCGGTCGCACTGCTTGCCGCGATAATCGGGTTTTAGATTGTCTGGTCTCCTGTCCAATATACTTGACACGTGGACTCAAAGAACCTTTTGCAAGACTGATCGGTTGTTGGTGATCAAATGCGCTGGTCAGCATGCGGGAAATGCTCACGATCAACCGCAATTCCTACAGCAATAGAGCCTTGCCTAATTGCCAACTGGGACTTGAGCTTTTATAAGCCACTGCAGCCTGGCATACCGACACCTTGGGCTCGGTGAACCATGTAAGCGGTTCGTCCAAAAGAAGTCAACTATACATGTTGAATCATTACGTCTGTGATTTTGCCGTCGCAATGGGTTGAGGACGATGCTCGGCTGGATGCGAGAGAGGAAAACTGGCTGGCTGGTTCAGCACTCTCCTCAGCGCAATCTGAAAGGGTTCCATAAATAGCATCAGGCCGAATCTCAATCTGAAGCAAATTCCAAGTTCCCAATCGTATGCTTTAAATATTGGCGAGAAACGATTGCCGAACAGACACAGATGTCGCCAAATCACTCGAGTGACGATGTATTCGTAAGCTCTGCATTATGGCGTTCGACGAGAAGACAGGAGTTGAAAATGAAAGACAGTAGCTCATCACTTGGCCACAACATGTTTCCCGAGAGGTCAAAAGTCGTGTCTTGTTTTCTAGCTCGATGTCTATATCACCCTGGCTATCTTTCTCAGCTCACCAAAAGATTGGATCACGGTTGAATGTAGGATGGATGCTGACTCAAATTGAGACGTTATCATCGCATCTATCGCTTGAAAAGGTGATAATCATCGGGACATGATGTGGAGAGTCACTAACTTGAACAGCTTTGCTCACATCTGGGACGGGATCGAAAACTCATCACACACATTGCAAAGACTGCGGAATCCTCGAGGAATGCACCGACAATGTATCGGCGTGAAGACCTCAGGGATAACGGGGTAACGCTGCATGCATCCACTTGAAACACTATCCGAGCATGCAGACGTCTGACCATGGCGCAAGCATGTAATAGCCACTTGTATGCATGCCCCTCAATGCAGGGTGCGTGGAAGCGTCAGATAGGCCGACTAAAGCCGTGGCAAACATATCTTGTGCTGAGTCAACAAGACACGGAGGGATTCGGCGACAGTATTTTGTCCTTGATAGTGATCACATCATGAAGGTGGTCGACAGCATCATTCGTCGCATGAACGGATAATCTTCTGACAGCTTCGGCCGAAGTGTGCGCCTTTATCTCCGAAGATCTCTCAATCTAGTTTCATCTCTTTCGCGTGGCTTTTGTGTGTGGAACACGGCAGATCTTGTGCGCATCATCAACACCAACGAGCTTCGCCAATTAACAACTACAAAAACACTTGGTTGCGCCGTCTCCTATCCCCTTTGCTCGGTGTCTACATCCGACTACCGTTCCTGATCCTTCCTGGTTTGAAATCATCATTTGATCCTACTCGTTAATTGTTGTAGGCAGCCAATCGTGCGTTTCGGTCTTTGGGAACAAGTCGGAGACCGAAACTCCAGTCCGAGACTAGCCCCCTCTCGGTACATAACTTGGTCGCACCTGCCTACCATCAGCACCAGTTTTCTCTCACACGGCTCATTCCTTCTCTCTTTTCTTCGTTTCTGTCCTACACATCCTCAAAGATGGCGCGTTCGAAATCCTCCAGTGAGAGTCTACCATCGGCATCCTCACCTACCGAAAAGGCTCCGGTCGTTCCAAACGAGCAAGCTGCGCCAAATCCGGAGGTCGTCGCCAACGGCAACGAGAAAGACGTCGAGGCCGCACCACCAGCACCACCGCCAAACTTTCTTGGGAATATTCCCGATGGTGGCCTTCAAGCATGGCTCCAAGTAGCAGCCGGATGGAGCCTGTTCTTCAACACATGGGGTGAGAATCATGTTGTCGGCGCTTCCGTAAACAAGCTAATTAATTCCGGCATCCAGGAATTCTCAACACTGCTAGTCTACCCGCTCTTGGCAAATCATTAAGCTTAACTAACCAAGCTTCTTTTAGTTCGGAGTCTTTCAAACGTACTACGAATCTGGTGTTCTGATACATGCTTCTTCGTCAAACATCTCATGGGTCGGTGCTATCCAGTCGTACTGTGTGTTGCTTCTAGGCTTCCTGTCAGGTCCCATCTTCGATCGTGGATACCTTCGACCACTGCTCGTCGTTGGGTCATTCCTTGTGGTCTTCGGCTTCATGATGCTTAGTCTGTGTCACACCTTCTGGCAAGTTCTCCTGGCTCAAGGCTTCTGTATCGGCATCGGTTCGGGACTTTTGTTCGTGCCTGCCGTCGCCATCCTTCCAACCTACTTCAGAGCCAAGCTCGGTCTTGCAGTCGGTCTTGCTGCTTGTGGCAGTTCAATGGGTGGTATCATCTACCCTATTGTATTCTACAGACTGCTCGACCAGATCGGCTTTGGTTGGTCTGTTCGTGTATTGGGCTTCCTTGCTTTGGCTACCTTGCTCGTTCCCATCTTCGTCATGAAGCAACGCGTCAAGCCACCAAAGGCTCGCGCATTGATTGACACATCTGTCTTCAAGGACATCCCTTTCATGGTCTTCGTTGTCGGTGCCATGGTAGGATTCATCGGGTTGTACACCGTTTTGTTCTACATCTCTTTCTTTGGAGAATCGAAAGGCTACACCGATGCCAGCATGTCTTTCTACATCGTTCCCATCCTGAACGCAGCGTCTGTGTTCGGTCGTACATTGCCCAACGCTCTTTCCGACAAGACTGGCTCTTTCAACATTATTCTTCCTGGCGCAGCCGTTTGCTCGATTCTCATCTTCTGCATGATCGCTGTTGATGGTCTGGCCAGCATCATCGTACTTGCTGTTCTCTTCGGATTCTTCTCTGGTGTCTTCATTGCCTTGCCTCCCGTTTGTCTGGTGGCTCTGACTGCGGACAAATCCAGAATTGGCAGCAGAATTGGCATGGCCTTTGCCTTCATGGGCTTTGTATGTACTGTCCATGATACCAGTGTCATGAGTTATATGCGCGTTGCAGACTCGTGGCGCTGACTTTGCTTTTGTTCGATCTATTGCTAACTGAATATGTTCTTAGGGAACTCTGGCTGGTGTAAGTTCAATCCAAGATGCCAATGTCACCGAGCTGTGTACAATGCGGCGCAGACTCGTGGTTTGATCTTATCCCCCTTCCGAACTATTGCTAACTTGACATGTGTTCAGGGCCCCGGTGGTGGTGCCATCTTGCAGAACTATGGACCGAAACTGCAATGGACAGGCCTGTGGATTTACGGTGGTGTTGCCTGCGCCGTTGCTGCAGCAATGTTCACCGTAGTCAGAATGATGAAGGCTGGAGGTAAACTCATGGTCAAGGTCTAAGACCCGAAGACGAGACAGTGAAGCTACGCGATCAAGAATCTCAGAACTCCCAAAAACTAGCAATTGTAATATCAGATCGATTGCCAAACACAGATTCGAAAAGATGTTTCCGACGAACCGTCGTTTCGATGTCCAAGTCCACGCGCCAAAAGTCTCGATCACACTCTCTGCTTGATCCGAACCCAACATTCCACTGGTTTCTTCGAGAACCCTTCAGTGCACTCCAATACCTTCTGCTCCAACACAAGATCATAACGTCTGAAGAGCGTCCCCACGATCAATGCTAACTCCATCAGTGCCACATTCTGTCCTACGCAAGCCCTAGGCCCATAACTGAAAGGATTGAATGCCATCTTCTGCCTGCTGGTGAGACGCTCGGGAACAAATCGGTCTGGGTTGAACGATGCAACATCAGGACCCCAGATGGTCGCATCGTGGTGAACGGTATAGCTGGGCACACTCAACACCGTTCCGACGGGGAAACGCTTATCGTCAAACCACACACCAGATGCTGATGTCACAATTCTCGGAAGGCCCAATGCAGAAGTCGAGTGCAAGCGCATCCCCTCATCAATACAGCGGCGCAGGTATGGCAGGTTCTTGACTTGGGCATGAGTTGCTATAGCATCTGTGTCGGGAATCGCAGCATCCAATTCTTGCTGTAGGCGAGGCAGAATCGTACCTGGCGCGTCTCGCTCGCCGGCTAGGATCCAGTATATTATTGCGCATGAGGTGTTGGACACGGTGTCGCTGCCTGCGATCAGCTGCGTAAGGGCTTCTGAAATCAGCTCGTCGCGCTGCATGGGCATTCCATCAGAGCCCTTGCTTTTAAGCAGCATAGCGAGGATGTCGTGGCGCTGGCCCTCTTGCTTTCCGGTGGCATCGAGACGCTTTGATACTGCCATGCACGCGATTCCATGCAAGTTCTTGACCGACTGCATGCCTTTGGTGAAGAAAGGATCTGGAAGATATTTTGCGAAGGGCCGCAGCGAGGGTAGCCATCCCAACGTCGACGAGACTTCGCCTCTCCGATTCAAAGTCTCTGCGCCGCGAGTGAGGATGACAGTACCTCCTGGCTCCTGCGATTCACATTCATCACGACCTTTCTCGACCATTCCAAACGGAGCTCCGAAGGCCAAGTCTCCGATGATGTCGAACGCGATGTATGTGCACCAGGGCATCATGTTGACCCGTGCCAAACTGTTCTCAACTCCTGTGGCGGCAATCTCATCCAATTGCTTCACCCAGCGCTCGAGGTTCTTAGCCATATGCGACTCAAACGCAACAACAGCACCCGGCGAGAACGCATGCGCAACGATTTTGCGCTTACGGGTATGCTGTACGCGATCTCTGGTGTTGAAAACTCCAGGTACACCACTCACGAAAGCTTCGTAGAAATGGTCTTTGAGGAAACCATTGCCGTGGGCATATACCACTTGAAGGCCGCGTTCGTTGGCGATGGAGACGTGATTGTAGCCTACTCTAACGAGCGTGCCATATTTCTGATGTGCCTCATGGATGGCAACGTATTTTTGACCTTTGCGGGAGTGGAGAGCTAACCATACGTTGCTAAATTTCGCTATGAAAGGACCGGGAATATGGCGGAGGTGGTTGTATGTCGTGAAATAAGGAACAAGATAAAACAGCACGATCCACAGAGGGACAAATACTAAGCACAAGAAGAGGTAGTGTGAAAGGTCCATATTGGTACTGCTGGCAAGCTCAAGGACCTCAAGTGTCCATGCAGCGAAGACGACTTACATATCTTTTGGAGCTATCTGTACACAGATGTCAGCTGATTGACTGTATCATGTCAGATCAAAGGTTTTTGAAGAAGCTCCCCCACTCTTTGTGCAACAGGTATCGCTTCCGTTCCGACTGGTATCGCTTCCGACCAGTCGGCCGTATCAAGTGGGGTAGAGGAGGGGAAGGTTTGCGATCAGCAAGAATCTTGAATGGGGAAACACCAAACGGAAGTCGGTATCTTTCCTGTTATACGAGCTTTTGAATCACTAAATCGCTCAGGACTGCTGATGCAAAAGAAAAATGCTGGAGTTTTGATGCAGCCAGAGTAACCTCTTGAAGGAGTCGATAGTGCTACGATTTTCGAGACTATCCGCTCCAGGTATACTGCCTCAAAGGATGCCAGTTTCTAGCTCTTGGACCTTCACCATCTTGCAAATAATTCTCGCGCATTGTGCTTCCAGCATAGTTTTCCTGCAGGACCCCTCGTTTGCTCAACTCAGGCCACAAGAACGTAACCAGATCTTCAAAAGTGTCTGGTGTGACCGCGTAATTTATGTTAAATCCATCTACTCCTGCCTCCTCGACCCATCGTTCGAGAATGTCGGCTACAGTGGTCGGACTGCCGATAGCTCGTGGATGAGCGCCTGAGATGGCAAGATGCTCGAGGACGTGCTTCTTCGTCCACTTGAGGTCTTTAGTACCAGGGACAGTTTCCGTCCAAGACGCGATCATCGACTGAATAGCAGGTGCCTTTGTGCTAAAAGCAAAATCTTCATCATCCGTGAATGTTGACAGATCTGTACCTGTCCAACCACCAAACAACGCAGCAGTACCCTCAGTGTCAGCATATCTTAGATAGTCATCGAACTTCGCTTGTGCCTTTTCGTCGGTTTCGTCGACGCAGATGAAGATGCCTGCGATAAACTTTATGCTGTCTTCAGGTCTGCCGATTGAGCGAAGCAAGGCTTTGGTCTCAGCAACCACTTTGGCGGTTTTTGCGGGCACGAGACCTGGAAGGAACATTGCTTCTGCATGCTTTGCGGCAAAGTCTTTGCCTGCTTTGGATGCACCTGCTTGCAGCAGAAAAGGTGTGCGCTGAGGTGAAGGATCCACAAGATTTGGACCTGCTGACTTGAAGTACTTGCTGCATTCGGTCAGTTTTGGTTCAACGATGTGCTCAACGTGACTGCACCTACCCTTCATGGTTGATCTTTTTGACTTTGTCTGGGTTCGTCCAGACACCAGTCTTTTTATCCGATTCCACAGCAGAATCTTGCCAACTGCCCTCCAGTAACTTGTAAAACACATCCATGAACTCGTCAGCAATCCTATAGCGCTCGTCATGCTCGATATTGCCCTCCAAGCCATAAGACTTTGCTGCGCTTTCCAGGTAACTAGTAACAATATTCCAACCAACGCGACCATTAGTCACTTGATCCAGGGTCGAAAATTTCCTCGCCAAAGCATAAGGATGCTCATAAGTCGTTGACGCCGTAATACCAAAAGATAGATTCTTGGTCGCATACGCTAGAGCCGAGACCAGTAAGTCAATCTGGAGGATGGGAATCTGAGCACCGCTGCTTAGAGCAGCATCATTGCTGCTTTGGTATACGTCGTAGATGCCGAGCACGTCGGCGAAAAAGATGCCGTGGAAGTGGTTCTCATCCAGGAACTTCGCGAGCTTGACCCAATGGTCTAGTGTTTGTTTCTGCTGTGAAGGGTGTCTCCAGAGACCTTATGTATGAATTAGGAACAGCGTTTAGGTCTTCGAGTGCTAGCGCATACCTGGTGCGAGGTGTCCCGGTGCAGTCATGGCGAAGGCGTTCATGATCCACGGCTTCTTGGTCGTCCCGACATTTTCCTGAGAGGCCATATTATGTTCGATACTCCTCTTTGTGCTTTTCTCTGTAACAGTTCGCAAGAGATAATTGTTGTTAGGTTGTAGTGCGCAAAAGACAGTTATATGTTCGAGTCTCGGAAATGATGGAGATAAGAAATATGGCGTGCTCGCACATCACAAGCACGTATCCTCGCAGCCCCTCCCTTGAAACAGTATATCTCTTGTGTTAGTCTCTCAACACTTTCAATATTGTTCATGTCTGTTCGTTTGGTCTGGGTGTGTGAGCGGATTCGGACACTGGTGAACATAGTAAGGACTGCATTTAGGCTGAAAAATTGCCGATAGCTTGTCTAAAGAGAGACCTTCTGATCGCGATAAGCAACATCTCTTGTCACTGTCTTTTCCTTCTTCGTCTTGTGTACCCAGATGTAGACAAAAGGATATATCGTCTCTGGAACCATGGTCAAAGCGATAACCGCAACACTTACCCCTGAACCAACGTACGACCAATTCTGCGGCACGTTCAGATAGCGCCATGCAAACACACCGTACGCTGTCCAGCAACCAAGATATCTTGTGATCCTGCACCAACATAAGTTTCTAGCTCTCAATTGCATCCCCCGCAAACATCAACTTACCAGATTTCCAACGAATGGCCTTTGGTGTCCCAATTCTTGATCAACAAGTACAGACTTCCCCATCCGATGGGAAATTGCAAAGCCAGCCCAGTCCAGTAGGCAGTAATCTGTTCTCGTTCATCTGGCCATATTTGCGCGAGTTTCCAGAAGAACGCTAAACAGGCAATGACACCAAAAATCATCCTTGCGACCACTGGAGAGCGAGTACCAGGCGCCCGGGTGCTAAGAATCGTAACTGCTGCAAATGTAAAGTCCAGCAAAAACCACATGGAAAAGCTGATGCGTTCAAATGTTGTAGTCGTTGTAGCGTAGGCATAGAATATCTCGTAGGCCATCGTTCCACAGCTGATTGCAACCAGTCAGTATACCCGTGCCTCGCGAATCACAAGTATGCCTTACGTGAACTCGATGAAACCGGCGCATGTCTTGTCGCGATATGTACGTATCATGTAGAATACATAGCAAAGCGCATAGATGACGCCGCAAGAGATGATGAGCCCATCCTGAATATACAGATAGCTTTCCGGCGGGTTTAGTGCTAAGTCGGATGGTTGCACCACCAAATGTGCGCCACGATAGTTGTTTGCGAGTTCGAAGGCCATGGTCAGGATCGCAAGGAATGGATTGATTTTTGCGGCAGAACCTCGAGCGATCGCAGTCAAGGTGGCAGGATGTCGAAACAGAGCGCAGAGGCACTCGAGCGGGATTCTCGGAACATGATATATATACTCTGCATGACATCCGCCATGCTTTGAAATATCCTCTCCGTAGGGTTCCGCTCAAGAAGTCATCAGCAGTCTTGAAGCCGCGGAGTGGCTGGTCGCCAAGACATGGATGGCCGTTGTTGCGAACACTTTCTAGTGCTGGCACCGATACTGTTGACATCAATCATCATACGAATGACAAGCTCATCATCTCTACCTTGATGGCTTTCATTGAGAACGGAGATATCATGCTATAAACAAGTCGGTCGATACTAAAGCTACCAGCAGTCCGTTCCTGCTCAACAACAGAGGTTATCAAGTCACTTGAATGCTACAGAGATAGAATCTGTGCCGCAACGCTTTAAGCCTTGCACACAGTATGAACTGGTAAGTCCCACGTCGCTCAATCACGGCTACTTTTCCCAATGACGATCTCATAGCTCACTCGCAACCGCTATGTAGTAGCTGAGCGACGCGAGCGACGCCGACTGACGCCGCTCGTGTCTCTTCCTCTGTTCACGCTTGCCAGAACATGACAGACGCTTGATACATAAATCCAGACGACTTCCATCAGGGCCTAGCCTCCGAACATCTCGAAGTCGTTATTTGCTTGCAAAACCCCTTCTGAGCAGTCTTTCCAGTCATTGTTCAGAACAAATGCTCCTGACTGAAGACCCCCCAGCGAAAGTCAGCACCATCATGTTCAGATACGATAAGCTCAAAGACGGTCCTCACCCAGTCACTATCAGATACTACGCCAAGGACCTTGAACGTACTGTCAATTTCACTGCCAAAGCGCCAAGCACAATCGAGGAACTCAAGCAAGAGTTTCGCACTTCGATCAAGTCCGGAAGCAGATATGATTACCAAAGCGATCGTCTCTCTGTCGCTGTTACTGATGGCCACCAAAGCTTAGGACTTTGATATTTACGACTCGACCGGATGTCTGCAAGGCTTTCTGCAGGATCACCCGGGCGCTGAATATCAAGCATGCACACCCACAGGCGTAGTGGAGTGCGCATCCCAATGAACTGTCCTAGCTATGTCATGCTTTTCTTCAAGCATGGACCAGAAGAAGCAGGACTTGAGAGCGTTTGCCATCGACACTTTCAGAGGTCGATTTGACAATGAGGCAATATAAAGGACGACTCTTCTTCGGTTGGTCCTTCGAAGATGAATTGAGCGGTGTCACCTGCATCGAGTATCGGTATCGCATTCATGCCCAGTGGGCCAGTTGCATCTTCCAAATCACCCCAAATCCATCTCTGGGCCGTCTGACCTAGTTTAAGAAAAATGTTGTAACGCTTGTCCTTGACTAAAAAGCTTTGGTAGCGTCCAAGAAGGCGACTTTTCTTGAAGATGATCGTACGAACGGTTTTCTCACCCGGCCGAAGCGTAAGTATTTGATGTTGAACAGGCGAGGTAGCAGAGAAAGGGAAAGATAGCCCTTGTAGTTGTTCCACACTCAGAACATGTGGTGCATTCCACGGATACGATGGCGATGGAGGCAGAATGATCTCTTCGTTAGTTTCAGCATCCATAATAACCAAGAATTGGTCCCAAAGAAGGTCGTTCGAGGTCAAGATGGTATTGTGCGTATTGACGGTGATGCTGCTTGTCACTGCAGCGTCGAGAGCGAGTGTCAAACTGAGATGCATCTCTTCCGGTGCACGGCACTCTCCAGGACCCGGATGCGTGGTTGCCAAAGAGGCAGATGCTGTGATTGCTGGTGGTTGATCTACACTCAGCGAGCCCATGATTCTAAAATATAGTCAGCCATGTTTCTCCTGCATAGGGTTTTGATGCGGTATACCTTGGTGTCTCAGCACAAATGACGAGCCAGGTAAAGAGCATCTGGGCTGCATCGTCCCAGCCACCTGCATGCATGACTTCAAGTTCAGCTCTTGTCGTGGACACATCTCGCGTGACAATTTTTGGACCTGCTTCCCAAGCCATGTGCTCGTCAACATATAAGCATACATGCGATTGAGGTCGATCCGGCGGTCCAGCATAGTTTATTGGCAGTCTACCAGACGTAGGTCGGCTCGCCATCTCGTCGTCGTTATGCGAAAGTGCTGATGCTAAGTCGGGCACAAAGTAAACGTGTAACGTCCAAGGGATGCTTCCCAGAAGCTTGCAATTCAGAGAAGCAAAATATGTCTGAGGCGACTCCGCTCGTTTACCAATGACATAGAGAGTATACGAGAATTTCGTTTCGCAAGGGGCATGCGCGACATGGCTGCAGTCGACGCATGTTCTTCCCACGCTGTCAATAAGTTCGCGTGCTTCGACATTGTCCAACTCGACCATTTGCATAGGTGCGCATATATCTGACCGCAAGGCTGATGGTTTCGTGGAATGTGCAATGCATTTGGGCATTTTAGTGTCGGGATCGCATCGCTCGCCATAGGTGATGATGTCTTCCCATTCGAGATAACTAGTGAACTGATCACCCTCATCATCATCATCGTATTCGCATTCATCATCAAGCCGTGGTCTCTTCTCAGTTCGTGAATAACTGCGAGTAATCTGTTTGGCGACTGGCTTGTCTGGCAAAATGTTGTATTCCAAGAGGCGAGGATCTTCAGGCCAACCGAGAGCGATATTGCGATCCGTCAACGAGCTAAGTGCCCACTCGTGGCCTTCATCATACCAGATAGGTTGCAGGAAATGTTCGGCAAGCTGATTGACATGTGTATGGCGCTGTACCACCAGGTCTTGCCTTAGACCAGGAAGTGCGAGTTCTTCTTCGTCCTGATAGCCCTTATAATCATTAACGTGGTTTTCAAATTCACGCTCACTGCCGTCGCGGCTAAGCAGCTGAGCAGTATACTCCACCGAAAGAAGTCCTTTCGTCTCCCAGTCCACATCATCGACCACAAGCAGTTCTTTGCGGTTCAGCAAGATCGGACCTTTGCCTAGCGAATTTCGGTGCCGCTTTTCTTGCTCATGGTGGTTGATACAATCCACTATAGAGGACTGGGGAACACTGAAGATTTCTAGCCGCCAGTCACAATTCTCGTTGAATCTGATAGCGGCATCATTGAAGAAAATGTAGTCCTTCAACATTTCAGGGAAGTCGCTGTCGGTGGAGAGGCTCCCAGCACTTGCGAGTATGTATACCTGGAATGGGAAGAAGCCAACTTCCCGGAACGAGGATCTACTCGGAACGGCGATTTTATTTCCAGTGTGGTCGATGATCGTCAAGGGCTTGAATGTGCTGCTTGAGAGCTGTTTCCTGGGCGGTCTCGCTTCGGCTGACTTGCGAGCTGTTTGTTTGGTCCTCGCCATAATGATCTGCAAAGTTGTTGCGAAAGTGTTTGAAAGGTGGGAATATTGTTCAGATAAACCACGAAGTTAAACGGATGATGTTGCCTGGTTGTTTCATCGCGACGCGGAGACGCGACAACGACACAGGCAACCATTCCTTCCAGGTCGACATCATGAGGTGATGTTCTTGATGACAAGACCACATCGAAAGGAGAATTCTCAAACCCACCGTGTCTTACGGAACTTCACCTCCTTCAATACATATTCCTGACCGGCGTGCCCACAAGGCTGCGCAGGTATTCATCGCGAAGACGATGTTCGAAGCATTATGGTTCCGTAACACCCTCAGTGAGCGCATGGTGCAGATAAATGTTGATGCTCTTGTCTTCAAGTTACGCTAGGGACCGCTGATGGCCGGTATAATATTATACCGAGAAGGTTTCATCGAAAGTCAATATGGGGGCTGGCTCTGTGTTCGACGAATTGAATGTGCTTTTCCCGCCAAGCCTTTGCCCATCGACGTCAACCCCACCTTCTGCTTTTCGCAGGTCATGATCCTCTGCGTGTCCTTGCAATCGATCGTCTTGGTCAACATACTCGGAGTATCCTTACGTGGGCTTTGTGAGAGGGCTCAGGGTTGCATTGTGAATGTGATCGCCATTGCCCCGCCGGACACTTTCACAATGTTCCTCTTTAGCCTGAACATCTGAAGTGGACATTAACGTCACTGCACAAGGTAAATGTACGATGTGATGAGCAGATATAAACCTAAGATGTGAATCCCATGTCCAACTCAAGATTCAACTTTGCTACCATTGCCACATTATGGGGCTTTCATTGCGGCTCGATACGCTTGCTCTTCTTCTCTTCTCGCTAAGCAGTCTAGTCGTTGGCTACAATGTAAGCACTGGCTACATAACACCAAACTCTACGGGTGTCCGCATTCAGCACGGCTTCGAGACTGTGCTTGTCCAGCCTTATGGATATGATGGTTTCCGTGTCAGAGCATGGGCATTTCGACCGCCCAGCGGTAACGAGATTAGCTTCCTCTACGATCCCCCTGTCGAAGGTCCCGAAAATGGCAAAGCTCGAGGTATGAGCTACGACATCAGGTCCAATGGAAACATGTCAGTCTCCATCCGTAACGGCAATGCCGTGTTCAGGACATTTGGGCTCGATGATGGCCATTATCGTCTGGCGTTCTATCGTGTCGAAGCTAACGGCTCAGAGACACTACTCACGAATGAATACAATCCTGTCAAGTCACTAAATCCACGATATTATTCTTGGAGAGGACCTGGAAGCGAGTTCTCGGCAGTATTCTCGTTTAGCACAGATCCTGACGAGCAAATATACGGCACGGGTACTCAGCAAGATCACATGGTCAACAAGAAAGGGGCTGTGATTGACCTCATAAATTTCAATACACATATTCCTACACCCATGTTCATGAGTAGTCGAGGCTATGGCTTTGTCTGGAACTCGGCTGCCGAGGGTCGTATGGAGTTCGGTCCGCTACGAAACCGTTTTACATCAGAGTCTACGACTGTCGTAGATTATGCTATTGTCAGCGCCCCTCAAGGAGACTATGATGGCCTCCAACGAAAACTGTCTGCAATCACCGGTCGTGCACCAACACCTCCAGACTTCTCGCTCGGCTACCTGCACTCCAAACTCCGATACGAGAATCAGACAGAAGTCTTGCTACTAGCTCAGAACTTCCATAATCGCAGTATACCCGTGTCAATGATTGTGATCGACTATCAGTCGTGGGCGCATCAGGGCGATTGGGGATTGGATCCTGCTCTGTGGCCCAATGTGTCATACATGGCTGCGCAAGTGAAGCAGCTTACGGGTGCAGAGATGATGGCTTCACTCTGGCCTAGCGTTGAAGACGCCAGTGTCAACTACATCGAGATGCAAGCAGATGGTTATCTCTCAGCCACTCGCTCTGGTCCTGGCACAACAGATTCGTGGAATGGATCATACATTCGCAACTACGACTCCACAAATCCTGGGGCACGAAAGTTCCTGTGGGATACACTGCGCCGCAATTACTATGAAAAAGGAATCAAGAACTTCTGGATCGATCAAGCGGATGGAGGTGCACTCGGAGAAGCTTGGGAGAATAATGGACAACAGTCGTATATTCAAAGTATTCCTTATCCTCTTCCTGATGTTTTGTACCACGCGGGCACGCAACTCAGTGTCGGCAAACTCTACCCTTGGGCTCACCAACAAGCTATTGAAGAAGGCCAACGCAATGCCTCAAACACACAGCAAGGTTCTGCCTGTGACTCGCTCTCGCTGTCTCGTTCTGGCTACATTGGTTCCCAGCGCTTCTGCAGCATGATCTGGTCGGGTGACACGGTAGCCAACTGGGAGACCCTCAGTGGCCAAGTGTCGAACGCATTATCTGCTGCGGCAACAGGTTGGGGCTGGTTTACAGTCGACGCAGGAGGTTTCCAAGCCGATCCAACCATCGAATGGAGCAACAACATCGATAGACCCCAGTACCGCGAACTATACGTGCGATGGCTACAATGGACGACCTTCCTGCCCTTTATGCGAAACCATGGTAGCCGCAACTGCGACACCAAGAGTGCATTCACTTGCGACAACGAGCCATGGACATATGGAGCACAAAACACACCCACCATAGTCTCATACATCAACCTGCGCTACCAGCTCTCCGCCTACCTACGCGCAACCTTTGCACAATTCTCCGCCACCGGACGAATGATCATGCGGCCACTGTACATGGATTTCTCACTCAGTGATTCCAACATTACCGCATGGACGAAAGTAAACAACAACTTTACTACCCAGCAATACATGTTTGGACCCAGACTTCTGGTTACTCCCGTCACGCTACCCAACATGACGACTTGGGAGGTTTATCTTCCGCAGACCGACGGTGATCAAGAGAAACCGTGGACTTATTGGTGGACGAATGCGACGTATGCGGGCGGACAAGTGGTTAACGTTTCTGCGCCTTTGGAACATATCCCCTTGTTCCACCTCGGCAGCCGCGAGGATATTATGAGTGGAAATGTTTTCTAGTCTCCTTCCATAGCCAACAAAAAATGCAGTCGCTTTCTAAATGTAGACGCGTTTCGAACGGAAGCTAATCGAATCAAGTGTCTTCGTAAGCCACGAACTGCTTGTGGCACTCTTTTCCACTGGAACTTACCTTTCAGCATGGAAACAGCATGCCTCGTCGTCTTTCGCAAAAACTTAGGACCTTTTGTTGCTGTAGACAAAGATGTGGAGTCTCGACAAATGATGCAAAATGAAAGGTCCTACCCGGGATCGAACTGGGATTACCGGAATCAGAATCCGATGTGCTAACCATTACACTATAGAACCAATTGTTGAGACATATTTGAAAACAACCAAATATATCTCAATGTTTCATTGGCTTTCGGTTCGTCCTTGCGATCAAATCTCCCAAGGGCAAAATACATGCGTTGTGTTGAGACCGATAGCAGACATGTTGTCACGATTGCAAAAAGTGGAGAGACTGGACAAGTTTTGAAAGAGAAGAAGCTCTTGGCTTTTATTCATTACAGAATCCTCGCATAATATCATACGTGGTTCATCATCGTCTAGAAGCTAAAAAAACATAATATGTGGTATCGTCGAACAGTGTAAGAAAAGAAACTTTTTTTCTTCAGTATGCGAGAGGAACCTTCTCGCCCTTCTTCTCGTACTCGAGAACCTCGGCAGGGTCGGTGCCAATGACGGGGTTGTGAGGGTTGTGGCCATCCATGGTGGGGTCACGGCCCTGCTGGGTGACGTGGTGGTCATCGCGCTGGGAAAGAGTGTACTCCTCGTCATCGATGTGCTTGAACAGGAACCAGAAGACGACGGTAAGGATACCGCCGGCAATGGCGCAGCCACCGAAGTCCCAGGTGAGGTAGGGGTCTCTGATGACGGACGAGCAGGCAAGACCAATGAGGTAGGCAATGGCGGTGGAGAAGAGGTTGATGGCGGAGACGAGACCACGCATGTTGGGAGGAGCACGCGAGTAAGCAATACCGTAGGCGGGGACGTTGATGAAGAGTTCGGAAATACCACCGATGGCGTAGGGGATGGCGACCCACCAAATGGTGATGGGAGCGACGAGGGAAACACCGTTGGCGTCAACGCAAGTCTCGCTGGAACCGTACTTGCCGCAAGGACCGAGCTTGTAGGCGTAGGAGTTGAGGACAGTGTAGCCAACGCCACCAAGAGTGGAGAGAGCAAGACCGGTGGTCATACGGGCAACGGGGCCGTAACGAATGTGCCATCTGCGGAGAAGAGGGTAAAGACCGTAGTTCAAAACGGGAGCCATCAGGATAATGGACAAGGAGTTGAAGTTGCTGATAACGTCGTTGGGGACACCGTTGGTGGTGAGCATGGTGGTCAGGTAGGAGGCAGCGGAACCGATACCGTTGTCGTTGAGGTACTGGATGGGGAAGAAACAGAAGATACCAGTAGCCTGGAAAGTACGGCGAACGTCCTCAACGAACTGGTCATCCCAAGAGGTGTGGTAGCTAAGGCCTCTGGCGGCGATCACGGAAGGCTTGGCAGGCTCCCAGAAACCGTGGCGACCAATTCTCTTCAGGCCTCCAGCGCGGAAACAGATAGTAAGAACCTTGAAGACGTTGGGAAGGTCGGAACCGCCTGGTGGGTGGAGAACGAGACGCTTGCGAAGGTACCAGAGAAGGAGGGGAAGAGGGATATAGAGGATGAGAGGAATGAGGAAGGCCAACCACCAGCCAACATACTTCTCGCAGTAGGCAGTCTAGAAGAAAGAATTAGCATGTTTCTGACGTAACAAAGGTATCAGAAGAACAAACCGCCACCCCCATAAAGCCTCCGATGTTGATCAGGAGGTAGAACCAGAGCATAGCACGCTCGGTAGAAGCCTCAGGGTCGACAATGACTCTCTCACCCTTCTTGGTGGAGACCACGACGGGCACAGTTTCGGGCATTTGGTCGAGAAGGAGAGGAGAGACGTTGGGCTTGAAGATACCTGCAAACCACGTTAATAAGATGCCCATTTCTCAGAGAACTGATGGGATGCACATACCGGAACCAACAGCAAGGAGGTAGACGGAGATGAAGAAGGGAGTCTTGGCAGAGCCATTGGCGAGAAGGCTAGGAGCAGAAGCGCCAACCAGGAGAACGTGGGCAATACCGAAGAGCAAGACACCCCAGCAGATGAGCTTGAAACGGCCAGTCTTTGCATCGGCAAGGTAACCGAAGACCAGGGGGAGGGCGTAACAGAGCAGGGAGAATGACTGAGAAACAGCGTTGGCCTTGACAGTACCCATGCCAAGAGCACCAGCGGTCTGCTGGGTACCCTCTGCAGGTGCACCATATCCATTACCACCAACAGGCATAGGACGGTTGACGAAGTTGCTGAACAGGGGCTGACATCCATAGTAAGAGGCACGCTCACAGAATTCGACAACGCAAATCAGGTAAGCGACTGTGGGAAGAGAGCCAGGAATACGGCGAAGAGTCTTGCGCTCTTCTTCGGTGGGCTTGCCATCGTAGTCCTCAGTGGTCAAGCCAGGAGCATGGGCAGGCTCAGCACCCATGGTGTAGTTGTGCTTCTCATCAAGAGAACGTTCCGGTGTGATTTGGTCGGCCATGATGGATATGTTGGTCGATATGGGAACGGCTGATCAAAAGACGATCGCAAAGACGAGGGACAGGTGCATCTCATATATGCCTACCTTTCAGTGCAACACCCCGGGGCACCTCACGTTGTGCACTGACCGTGCAGGCGAAGCCCGTGTGTTACAGCAAAGCATGGGCGACAGATAATGCTATGATCGTCAGAGGATCCGAGGTCTCGATACAAGAGGCAATTTCTGGTCCAACCTCCATGAGGCAGGTCAACAGGATCAGCGCCGTTCGAGGCTCGATGCCCTGTAGTGTTGCAAAATAGGCATGCGTCTCGGTCGAGAGCGGAGCCCTACCGTTGGTCGCTCACCTGCCGTAAAAAGCTAGCACACGTTGAGTCAAGTCCAGACCTGGACATCTCTCACCAAGTTCCGCCAAACGACTGTGATAAGCAAGGGCTTGGCGAGGAGGATATCGCTAAACCAAGCCATTTCTTGAACTTACGCTTGCATGGTCTTGGTTGAGCTTATCACGCAATATGAGCCATGATAGTTGATCGATTTGTTTTTTGTTTCGCAGGCCAGACACCAACAACAAGCAAAGAGGCGCCAAACAAGCGTGCAAAGCAATTCACCGCTCGCCTGGGCATTACAAACGCATTGCAAAGCAATTTTTTTCTCTGTCTCTTGGCCTCGAGCACGCCATTCCTGAACCGACTTTTAGCAGCACCCGGCAAATGTCCTTGTCGCGAAAACCAAGTCAGGTTAGGTTTGGAACACAGCTGCAAGGTCCACCAAGCACACCCTCAGCGGACGGGTTATTGTGGAAATCTCGCGTGTGTCCGCCCCCAAGATAAACGAAGCACGCGATCACAAGGCCAGCCAGTCGAAGTCGAGCAAAAGGGAAACTGCTTGTCAAGGAAACTCTTTGGCTTTGGGTGTCTGCGGAGCGCAGTGCGGAGAGCCAATCGGTGTATAACCGTCTATCTGGTAGCGCCGAAGCTTGGGTAATTTGTGCTTCTTTGACTGGTTGAAATTAGCACACGTTATTGATCCTCGTGCGCCTCCGAACATGGTCCTGCATGTTGTGCTGCTTCGCTGTTCCTTCAGGCTTCGAGATGCTTTCTAGATGTGCATACAGGCGGGAAGTCAGCTGCGAACAAACATCAGCCACTCGCCAACTTTCAATTCGATGTAAGATTAGCTCACATTGCTTGAGCACCCTTGCAAGTGTAGTTCCAATGCTAGGGATCCTGTAGAACGAAACCACAGGGCCAGTGTTCAATGCTTGATTGCAACTCTTGACGGCTTGGATTCGCTTATTCCCAGGCTTATCATCGCCACATCAATCCTTCAACAAGTCTATTGGGAAGATCTTCGTTATCTCATTGTACATGGTACGAAAAGCAAATGCATGAAAAGAGGTGGCAAGTGAGTTCCGCTCAATTTCTTGGCATACGGTACGGGGAGACCGAGTCCACCAGTCCGCGTGAGTCCCGCTGTCATCAATCAGAGATAGCGAGGTCGTATAACGGGCTAGTTGGTCTTTCGATGCAACCTCCCTATCACTACTCGTCCAGAATTGGTTTTCCGATTGAGATCACGACCCGCTGAGGATTTGAGGTTCGATAGCTGAGTCTACAATAGCATCATCATTCGTTCTTTGGAATCCATCACAGTTGTAGGTCCGCACGTGTCAGCCAGCCTTATCGACTCATGCGAACCATATGTCGTTGCAGGATCCTATAATCCATGCCTCACGAGTCACAATCCTAGCTTTGACGGATAACGATTCCATGCTTCTTTGCTCATGATGCTACATGCCTATTCAGTTGCAGCGTCAAGCTGCATGAACACGAGTCAACAGACATGAATCACGCGGTTGCTCGCGGAACTGATGCCATCTCTCGATTGAACACATGATATCTCATCTGCAAGGTGTCGTCTCTGCGCGATCATTCCTTGGATCCTTCACGAGTCCTGCAGGTAGCAACTCAAAAGATGTGCTGAAGCTTATCACCAACACCGCCTTCCGGAAGTCATGCATTCCGTCGAGAAAGGCTTGGCATAAGCATTCGACGGCAACATGGCCCGTTGTCGAAGGGCCTTCTGCAAGCAACTGTCACAAGTATTCGTCTATACCTGCCCTTCACTTACCCTACAAACACTTGGCAGACGGCACTGCGCAACTTGACCTCCTTCCTCTTCTGGCGGCATGATTTCGCGGCTGAAGGTTATGTCGACTACCAAATCATTTCGACAGCCTTGGTCGTGCAGTTTGAGAACAGACAGTTGGGGGGTCTGCTGTTGCTCAATGCTGCCCCCGGAGGTGGACAATGTCTAAAGGCGGAGATCATGGCCCGAGTGGTCATATCTCTTGGCCAGAATATGTCCCGGTCGATGGTATCACCCTGATCTTGCAATGATCTTACAAGCACACTGTGGTTAGCAAGAATCAAGGATTAGGCAGTAATATCGCTGTCCAGCTTCGTCGAGTAGACAGTGCTTGGTCAAGTGTGATGGTTATGTTTCTTGTGTTTCCTGCTCGACCCCACTTGCTATTTCTGTTGTACCGTGAATATTGTTGACGACGTACGAACATTCACTTTTTCTTCATTCTTCGACAATCACTGCTGGATCATCCAATCTTCTAATCGTGCCAGACACTCGAATGACCGGATGTTTTTATTTCATCTTCCAGATTTCTTATTTATCCGTCTCAGGAAACCACACCCTTGGTCTTAAACTCCTCAACCTCTGCCTCAGAATATCCCAACTGCAACAACACCTCACTAGTATGCTGTCCCAACGTCGGCGGCGGCGTTCTGATCCCCGGTGTACTTTCCGAGAACTTGACGGGTGTGTTGACGAGTTTGATGGGGCCGCAGGCGGGATGGTCTACTTCTTTGACCATGTCTCTTGCTAGGACTGGGGGGTTGCGTTAGTAATGACCTAGCAAGAGAAGGAGAGGGAGCAGAGGGAAGATGGCAAACTTACCATGTTCATGCCTCATCGTCCCCGCGATATCGTTGACAGCAGCATAAGGCATGCCACTGCCCTCGAAAACCTCTAGCCACTGTTGCGTCGTCTTGGTCTTTGTAATCGTGGTAATCAACTCTTCAAGCAAGTCTCTATTCGCCACTCTCTGTGCATTAGTGACAAACTTTGGATCTTGCTTCCACTCGCTCTTGCCCAGTTTGTCACACATGACACCAAATAGACGATCATTGCCTCCGCCAATCATAACACTGCCATCAGAGGTTTCAAAACCTTTGTAGGGTACGATGGAAGGGTGTGCAGTGCCCCAACGGCCCGAATCTGGTTTTCCAGAAATCAAGTGGGATGAGGCGAGGTTAGAGAGTGTTGCGACTTGGCAGTCTGACAACGAAACATCTATCCATTGGCCTTGACCGGTGATGGAGCGTTGAAGCAGAGATGCAAGGATGGAGTTAGAGGTGTAGAGGCCGGTGGTCAAGTCAGTGACTGCAACGCCTACTTTTGCGGGTGGGCCGTCGCGGTGGCCTGTAATGTGCATAAGTCCCATTTCACTGTTCTGCATCAGCATCACCCCTCTCCAACCACTTGAGGTACCACAAAACTCACGCTTCAACCATGACATCGTAGCCCGCGCGATCACTATAGGGACCCGTCTGCCCATACCCCGTAATACTCGCATAAATCAATTTAGGGTTAACCTTCTTCAGCGTCTCATAATCCATTTTGTATTTCTTGAGTGCGCCAGGAAGGTAGTTCTCAACCAAAACATCGCATTCGGAAGCAAGTTTGTGCAGAATTTCCACACCAGAAGGTGATTGGAAGGATAGAGCGAGAGACTTTTTGTTGCGGTTGACGGAGAGGAAGTAAGCAGATTCGCCAGGAGTTGGTGAGTTGGAAGGACTTCCGTTGGTGTGAGGGGCATATGGTGGACCCCAAGCTCTTGTATCGTCGCCTCGGGTGGGATGTTCGATTTTGATGACTTCTGCACCTAGATCACCTAGGATTTGTGTACAGTATGGCTGTTTTCCGCAATGTCAGTAGGGACACTCCAGTTTTAGTCTTGTTGTGTGGGATAAGTAGGTGTTCTCCGATCCCAAGGTTGAGAGCCATCTCTTTTGCCATTGATTCTTGACCGATGCCTTCCTGCATACCATCTCTTTCTCTTTAGCTCCCTCATCCCCATCTCTTTCTCTCAACCTCTTCCCCATCCCAATGCCTGATCTCCCAAATCCTCCTCTTTCCCACCTCTTCTTCATATTACACCCATCCATCCCATCCTCTCAAGCCCTTGACCTCCTCACCTCGGCCCCAACTTTCCCAATTTATCCTCTCATCACTTCCTCCTCTCCCACTTGAATAGACAAAAAGGAAACAAATAAAAGATAGGTACTCACACCAGCAAGAACACGAGTCATATCCAACACTTTGACTCCCTTAAGCGGCAGTATCTCTTTCCCTTTCGTTGCCGTCGCCATAGTCCTTGCCAACAGTGGTCGTGTGAGCATTACTGCTGCCACCCCTGCTCCCCGTTGTTGAAGCAGTCGAAAGCTAGACATTGTTGCTGCTGCTTGTTGCTAAAGTCCAGAACACAAACGATAAAAGAAGATTCAAAAGAGACTCAAAAGTCAAGGGAAGTTCGAGAGAAATCAGAAAGAAATATCGTAGTCGGTTGTTCAGATGCAATGGCACAGCGGTTACGGACGGAGCCTCATCATGTGGGGATGTTCGGGGCCGAGTTTCCGATTCAAAATCGCAAATGGGACGACGGGACCGAGGCCCGGTGAGCAGGACAAGACCGAATGCAGCAAAACCAGTCTTCTGCCATATGCACCAATTGAACCTTTGCGAATGAGTCTCATGAGTTGCAGTCTTTGCAGAGAATAAAGTCATTTCATCGACGTCTTTATGTAGATTCTCAACACCCCTCCTATAAAGCCTTTGCCCGGAACACCGATTTCCCAATGCAACAATAATTGAAATATAAACGAGAACAATTCCCTCATGCTCGAGACTTTTGTATGACCTCTCTCAACCGAGCATCCAGCGATGTAAAACAACAACAATCGAGTCAAGCAACACATGGCATCATTGCGATTAGCACATGACGTAGGTGCACTTGCCCTTGGCCTCACGACCCTGCTCGTTGGCCTCGAGGTTGTACTCAATCTCGACGTCCAAATCTCTTCTGTTTCTCTCGTTGGGCTTGCAGAGAAGGGTGCCGTTGAGCTTCTCGCCAGCCTCAACAGTAAGGTTGTCGTCAAGGTAGAAGACGGTCTGTTTCCAGTGGGTGTACTTTGTGTGAGGGCCGGTCGAGAACTTGACGGGCTTGTGGCAGGCCGAGAATTCAATGTCGAACCAGGCGATCAGAGCGTGCACATAGTCGGTGCGGCGGATAGGGAGCGAGTATGGGAGGTGGAAAGCGAGATCGGCGACTTTGCAGGTGTAAAGGTCAAGAGTGATGAGAGGTGCGGGATCGGTGACAACAGCCTTGAGGTCAACAGTGTCGACAAGAGGCTCGGTGAGGGCGGTGCGCTTGAGGGGAGTGTAGTCGAAGCCCCAGACGTTATCCCAGACTGCGTATTGAGGTCAGTAACAATCAGAGTATTTGAGAAGAAAGCGCGACTCACAGTTGATCTTCTCCTCCTTGTAGTCACCATCCTCGATACCGGCGACAAAGATGGTGGCCTTGTCGGGGAAGATGAGACCACCCTTCTTGAGGTAGCGGTCACGAGCCCACAGGACAGTGTCCAACATGGATTCGTAGAGCAAGAAGTAGCCCATCCACTCGGAGATGATGATGTCGACCTCGGGGAAAGGAAGAGTGACTTCCTCCATCTTGCCTTGGAGAAGAGTGATCTTGTCGCTCAAGCCGTTGACCTCGACAATCTCCTTTGCCTTGTCAATGATGGTCGACATGTCGACACCAATAACGTGCTTGGCGCCAGCCTTTGCTGCGAACCTGCGGATTGAGTCTCAGTGTGCTGTTGTGTAAAGAGAGGAAGAAGTGGATGCGCACATGGACAGAATGCTGGTTCCGCAACCAACATCGAGGACGACCTTGTCCTTGAACAGGTGACGGTTCTGGTAGATGGCGTCGCGGTAGCTACGGGTGCGCACGTCGTCCTTGAGCATCTCCTCGTGGATCCCATGGTGGTTGTAGCTGTCGAGTGTGTCAGTCTTGCAGTTCGTTCACTAATGGCGCAGAATTGGGTCATTACCTGTTGAAGTAGTGCTGCTCGGAGTGAGCAAGACCGGCGAGACGGTCTGCTGGTGACGCTGCGGATGCGTTGTTTGCCATGTTTACTTTATCAAAACGGACGTGAATTGAGCGACTGTGACAAGAATTGTAAAAATGAATGCGACCAAAGATACAAAAGTGGAAGGAGGATTTTTCTTGAGCAGGAGATGATGCTTTTTCATCCAAAGCAGAAGCTTCGACAGAGACGATTAAACGTCCGAGCGTTGGTCGGATTTTGTCTGAGAAACGCCGCCGCTTCTTCTCAAGCAAATGGACCCTGTCAAAATCTCGTCTCAAGTCTGGACGCCTTGGCAGTAGAAAATAAATATTCGGATAATAAATATTTACAATGATGAATAGTATATTCTCGGAATCAGCATCAGCCAACAATCTCATCAGCACCAGCCATGGTTGCATCATCCACGCCGCTGGGCCTCCCGGCTGGTATGAAATGGCTGTAGACTTCTTTGTTATCATCAACCAGCCATTCCAGATCATTCTCCTCGGGAGGAAGTAATGCTGCCAGCCCTTGACCAGGTTTTGGATAATTGGCTGTGGGATCATCGAGCTCGTTATACCCTTCGTCCACGTCATCATCTGGCCGTACTGGTAGAGGATAGTAGGCGTGTTCAGAATCGTCAGATGGAGGCTCAGGTGGGTTTGGTGGTAGAGGCTCGACTTGTGCTTTAGGGGGATCAAGTAGATCTGTGAGTGTGGTAGGTATAGGCGTTTGGAAAGCTCCTGGTGGGAAAAGTGCCAATTCTGGGTGCGATTGATCTGCCCGTAGTAGCAACTCGACCAGCGTATTTGTTGGTAGTAACATCAAAACTTCTCGTTTCTGCACAAATGTCAGTTTATGGTCATTCTCACAACGCCGGCACGATACATACCTGATGATCCATCAAGTCTCCTCCCGACATGAACGTATCGATATCAACTTCTGGCGGTGGTCGAACAGTACAGTCCGAGCAGAACCATTCCATGTCGGGAACATCTACAACCTCCTGACTGATGGGAGGATAATGACAATAGCGGTGGTAAGGAGAGTTGCAGCCATCACAAAATACTATCATGTTGGTGGCTGGACTATGAGGTCGGAGACATTGCTTGCACACTGCCAGTTCCGGGTTCCTACGTCCCCAATTGCGCTTACGTTTTGTGCCTGAGGTAGGTGATGGTATGACTGGTACAAAGGTTGTAGGTTTTGTGATTGCGCGGCCAGAGCGCGAAGTTGTGGCTAAAGGAGTGCCTTCGGTATCATCGAACAGATCATCGTCGCTGTCGGAGCTGACTTCATGGATCTTGATGCCTTCAGCGAGAGGCTTGCGGCCACCTCTGCCGCCTCTCCCTCTTGGACGACCTCCTCTTCCTCGACCGCGACCTCTCCCTGTGGATGGTGGTGTTTCAGCACCTGCTGACAATGGCGACATGGCGGGTCCAGCTAGAGCGCCTCGTCCTCTGCCTCTTCCTCGACTGCCTCTGGGACGGCCTCCACGGTTCCTCCCTCGCCCTCCCCGCACGACTGGGGTGGTCGCATCGACTGAAGTGTCCATGTCTTCCTCTTTTACTCTTGCGTCATTTCCCAGCGAGGTCGAAGTAGTCATGTTCTTAAGAACAGCATTCCTGGCAGCTTCCCACTCTTGTGTGCTATAACCTGCAGACAGGTTTGTCGAGGGCAGACGTTCTGTGATGTGTTCGGCAGCGGCAGGGAAAGAGTCAATCGCAGGTCGGTCGGAAGTATTGTCTACTGATGCAGAGACGGCAGCTGCTGGCGCATTTGTAGTTGAAGCATTTAATGACGACGGTTGGGTCGACTGTACCGCAAGAGGCGCATCGGACTGGGCAGTGTCAAGGGAAGGAGCGCTGGTCACCGATGGATTGTCATTCTGGGCCGTCGACATGTCGACGTGTGATTGAGGCAATTGCGACAAACAATCGCGCCTGCCTGTCGCATGACACCATGGAAGCTACGCCGGGAATGCACCGCCACATTTCCGGAGGGAGCAATCCTTCAGCCACAGATGGACATACGGCACGCGCCACAGAACGCAAGGTCGACGTCAGTGGGCTGAGCCGCAACCGTGAATATCAACAAATCTTGGGGTGGGCGGGCGTCTCTCGTTTCGTTGCACGACAACATCCATAATGTCGGTACCAGAACGACCGTCAATCGCCGTTACGGCTGCTCACCAGACTGAGCGTCACGACTTTGCAGAAGCGACTCCTCAGCCGTCTCTTGCTCCCTCGCCAACGCCGAGTCCCCCTCCTCCCCAACATCGGCCCATCTCTCCTATACACTCGACATCGTCGTCCAAGAAGACCCAAGCGCCCACCCGTCCAAGATGGATTCTTCACTTGCAGGCTCAGATGTGGCGCTTCCTCATGGGCATCGGAATGCTGCTTCACCGCATGGCTCCTCCTCACCCACCCAAACCCTCGTTCAAACGCTCCATCAAGGCCACCGTCAGTTCCAAGCCCGGCGCTTTTGATCTGCACTTCTACGTGCCCAAGGACTACGAACAACACCGTCGAACAAACTTCGCCAAGAAGAGATACCCCTGTGTCATCAACTTCCACGGTGGAGGCTTCACCTTGGGCAGCCCTAGTGACGATGCCCGTTGGTGTGGAACCGTCGTCGACGAATGTGGTGCTGTTGTTGTCTCGGTCGACTACCGCTTGGCTCCCGAGAACCCTTTTCCTACTGCCGTCGAGGATGGAGTAGACGCTGTCCTCTACATGGCAGATAACGCCGACGAGTTTGGCATCGATGAGAATAAGATTGCCCTTTCTGGTTTCAGCTCCGGCGCTAACATGGCCTTTACCGTTCCTCTCCGCCTTTACGATCACCAGAGCGAGTTTGGCAGAATCGCCACCCACCATGGAGCATCTTCTTCCATGCTCAGTCTGCCCAGGAGTCAGGATGCTGCTTCATCCAGTCTTAGTGTCGACCGCATTGTCCGCAGTCGCAGTCACACCGTCGCTCCTACCCTGGCTTCGCTGCAGAAGCAGCAAATGACTGTCAAGCAAGTCGAGACAGTTCAAACTGTATCCATTTGCGCAATCGTCCCATGGTACCCATCCTGCGATTACACCCAAACCCGTGAAGAGCGCAGAAACACTTCTGTCCGTACTGATCAGGACCTTCCCGCCATCTTCACAAACCTCTTCGACGAGTCATATCTCCACCCTCCAGACACCATCCCCCTGGACTCGCCTTATCTCTCCCCTGGCATTGCACCCACCGACCTTCTGGCCGAAGCCCTGCCCCAAGAAATCATCATGCACACTTGTCAATGGGACATGCTTCTGGCCGAAGGCGAAAAGTTCCGCGATCGTCTATTGGGCAAAGGCATCAACAAAAGCGTCCACTACAAAATGATTGAAGGCGTGCCTCATGGCTGGGACAAGGCACCCAATCCTCTCAAACCTACTCCTGGTGTCAAGGAGCATTATCTCAATGCTACTGACCACTTACGACGAATCTTTGCAAAGCAAGGCGGCAGTGCCCCTGAAGATGCAACTGTTGGTGGTGTTGCTGGTGAAGGGAGAAGAATGAGTACATTGGTCAATTAAATATATTGTGGGGGGCTTTCTGTTGGCGTTTATAGCATGCACAATCTAGCCTGTTTTCATTGCTGCTCATTATCGTTTCGTGCACAATCCATTCTACTCCAGATATTGTATTTCGATGCGATAATTCTTTCTGGCTCAGACGAAACTAGCGACCCATACATCCATTGCTCGTACACCCTTCTTACCACCTTGCACACCTTCCAGACTTGCCTCACACGCATCTCTCAGCGCAAACACTACGCCCCGTTCCCTCTCATCACTGACATTTTCCTCGACCTCCTTTTCGAAAGAGGCAGAAAGACAAGTAGAAACCTCCCACTCTCCATCCAGCAATCCCTCTGTCGGTTGCACAAGCCTCTCGATCTCCAGCTTCCAACCTGCAGATATAGCGAGCTGTGCAAGTCGTTTTGGACTCAATACAGTGCGGACGTTGGAGGTGCTGGTGGTTTTACGGCATTCTAGTGCTGCTTGGGTGAGGGAAGCGAGGACATGAGGTTGAGCAGAGGGATGGGTTGCGACTAATGACCACTCAGCTAGTAAGAGGCGTTTGGTGTGTTGTTTGAGTGCACGGAACGTCTCCACAATCAGTGAAGGCGAGGGAAAGTACCACAAACAATGAGCCAGAACCGCTGCATCGAAGGTTTTGCCGTCGGGAAGAGAAGAGAGATACTGCAATGGCGAGTTTTGTACCCAGGTTATTCGCTTGCCTAAAGGTCCTTGCGAAATGTGGGATTGGGCTTGAGCTAGGGTGTATGGAGCACCATAGTTCAGGTCTGCTGGGTCAACTGCTACGACTTCACCCTGCTCGCCCACAGCAGAGGCAAGAACAGTGGTACAATCGCCTTGTCCGCAGCCTAGTTCTAGCACTTTCGAGCTGGTGGGGATGTTCCAGTGGTGCAGGAGTGCTAGACGATGAGCAGTCTGGGAGTGCTGGATGCTGAAGTGATTAGGGTCGTGCAGGGAGAGACGCGCGATGGCTTCAGCGTCGATTTGGATGGACATAATGTGCTAGGCAGGTGTTGAGGTATCTAGTGTGAGTCTGAGGGAGAGTGTCCTATCGATGATGTTGAGAATATCTGAAATGAAGAATGCGATGGTTATGTAACTTGTTCGCGATAAAGAGAACGACGCATCAGCAGGCACAGGAATGCGGCGTCGCGATACTCATGGGCAAGATTTTGTGACGATGGCGCTCACGCTGACTCCTCGCGAATATCATAGCTACGATGTAGCTCTATCAACACAGTCAATCGCAGCATGCCAGGCAATCACTGACCGGTGAACGAGATAGGAAGGTCGAATGAAGGGACGTCGAAGGATGATGAGTGGTCCAAGCGCGCATGAACCTCAGTCTCTTTCTTCTTCTCGCCTTGATTGTTCTCCTTACTCACAACCTTGCATGCCTTCTCATGGACGTTTCCCCTGCAGGCTAGCTCTACAAGTGCCAGTCGAGCATGTGCTGCCAGCTGGTCTTCCTATGGTCATGTGTAGTAGGCACATGAGATAGGACCGGGCGATGGCCGCTGCTCGGTCTGCACATTACAAATCCAACTCATCGTTCACAACAACCTACTGTCAAGTCAACAACAGCCAAATACTGGAGCAAAACAGTACGAGTCTTCAAAAGAAAAGGTGCAGAACAACATTTAGAGCGTCAACATGTTACCATCGCGTTCCAAACACAGTAGGTTTCGGCATGTGTGAAGCCAAGGCTTTGTTTGACTCATGTAACGATCTCCAAAGATCATCATCGTCATTGTGGGTAGATCTACGTAAACTCTCACTGCGTTTGCCTATACAGTACTATGCATCTTCCTCTACTCCGAAGTAAGAGCTTTCGCATAAAAGCGATCGTCTGCGGTCATCGAAAAGCTTAACGCATACAAATACTCTGTTTGTCCAAACCCTTCTTCCTTCCCAATCACATCGCCATAGCTAATGATGCTATCAGTACTTTCTCTCTGTGCGCTTGCCGCAACAGTTCAGGCTGTTTCTTCGCCATTTGGTAGTGCAGCATACTCAAAACACTTTGGCCGTGCAGGCTCAGATGGAAGTTATGACTGTAAGTCTAGCTGAAGCCTTCTCCACTACACAGCTAAGCGAATCCAGATGTCGTTGTTGGCGGCGGTACCGCTGGTCTTGCGATAGCAACGCGTCTCGCTGAGAACGGAACATATACCGTAGCCGTGGTTGAGGCCGGCGGCTTCTATGAGCTCGAGAATGGCAACCTCACAATCGTGCCTGGGTATTACAACCAGAACTTGGGCCATCCCTCTGTAGATTGGAATTTCATGACTGTTCCGCAGCAAGCTCTGCACAATCAGACTTTCGACTATGCTCGTGGCAAGACTCTAGGAGGAAGGTATGTGGATACAAACGACTGACTCGCCTAAATATGATGCTTACGACTCGTAACAGTTCTGCTCTCAATGTCATGGCTTACCACCGCGGCACAAGAGACTCATACGGTGCTTGGGCAGATGCAGTCGATGACCAATCTTACACGTTTGACTCGTTCCTCCCCTTCTTCGAGAAGAGCATCAACTACACAGCACCGAACCAAAACTTGCGCGCTGCAAATGCCAGCGTTCCCCCAGCCAATGCTACCGCTTTCTCTGGTGCTGATGGTCCTCTACACGTATCCTTCCCTAACTGGGCCACTCCTTTCGCATCATGGGGTCAGCTTGCATTGCGAGAGATTGGAGTGCCTGATATCTCAGACTTCAGCAGTGGAGAATTGATTGGATCCCAGTATTGCCCAGCGACCATCCGCCCAGACGATGAAACACGCAGCACTAGCGAGGCATCGTATCTTCAGCAGTCGCTTTCTCAGGACGAAACGCGACTGGAAGTATTCATTCACACCATGGCCAAGAAAATCATCTTTGACTCCAACAAGACTGCAAAGGGAGTTGTCGTTGAAACCGCTGGTACACCCTACACTTTGAACGCCACTCGGGAAGTCATTCTGTCTGCTGGCGCTTTCCAGTCACCTCAACTGCTCATGGTCTCTGGCGTGGGTCCCAGAAAAGAATTGCAGCAACACAACATCTCCGTAATTGCGGACCGACCTGGTGTTGGATCTAACATGTGGGATCACGTCCTCTTTCCCGTCATGTACCAAGTAGATGTCGAAACCCAGCAAATCTTAAACAACGCCACCATCGCCCAAGCTGCCGCAGTCCAATACAACCAGAACCACACAGGCATCCTCACAAACGCAGGCGCCGACTACTTGGGCTGGGAGAAACTACCAGAAAAGAACTTCGCCCAACTCAGCAACAAGACTCAACAAGCACTATCTGCCTTCCCTGCCGACTGGCCAAACCTCGAGTTCTTGTTGAGTAGTCTTCCACCTATGAACAATGGCCCGGGTATCTCCAAGTCTTTGCAGTATGCGGCTATGTATATTGCTATTATCACACCAATGTCTCGCGGAACGGTGTCGATTTCTTCCAACGATACGAACGATGCCCCTCTTATCAACCCAGGCTGGCTGAGCAACTCCAGCGATGTCGAGCTCGCTATTCAAGCCATCAAGCGTGGTAGAGATTTCTTCAACGCAAGCGCAATTCAACCCGTCCTCGTCGGCAACGAACTCCTACCCGGTGCCAACGTCACCACCGATGCAGAGATTAGTGCGTTTGTGCACGAGTATGTTGAGACTGTGTGGCATGCTTCTTGCACTTGCGCGATGGGCAAGCTCGATGATCCTATGGCTGTGCTGGACTCCAAGGCTCGTGTTATTGGAGTTAATTCGTTGCGTGTGGTTGATGCTTCGTCGTTCCCATTCTTGCCACCTGGACATCCGCAAGCCACGGTCTATGCGCTTGCTGAGAAGATTGCGGTAGATGTTATTGGTGACGCTCTTCGTAACATGACTAAAAGTTGAACAGCCTTAGCCTCTGGTCAGCAAGAATCGAGGTAGCCAAAACATAGTATAAATCCATTGGGAGAAATAAAAACTTCGATTAACCACTTTACAAGAGCAGTTTGATTCAAATCGTTACACAACGCTTGAGTAGACGAAGGAAACCAAAGAGTCCGTCACAAATCTAATTAGTTCTGTCATCCCTTTTGTTCTCTCCAAGAAGCTCACAATTTGTGTTCGAATGCACTAAGTTCTGCGCATCCGAGCAAACATGCAATGTCTTTGGCATCTTGTACCTCTAGCATCTGATTGGACGGGGTTGGGCTGCAAAAACACGTCGACTCGCTACTGATGCTGTATATCAGCCACAAAAGAAAATGGAGGGGGCAAAAAAAAACTAAGGAATTGGAAGAAACATGTGATTCTACCGCGCAGACACCCTACCCAAAGTAATGCAGTGCTAAAGTGAGTAGAGCAAGGTGACATGTTAGTGACTACTCATTGTTGCAGGGGTTTGAGATCAAATTTGCACAACAGATTAGATGACAACAACAAGGTCAACATAACATGGTTCAGCTCAATTGGAGATGTCTAGGATTATTCTTCGAATCTTCAAAATGAGTATAATTACAAGTGCGAGAACAGTTTCCTGGCAGTACTAGTTCAAGCTGCCTACAAGAGAGGTCCTGCCTCGGTTTTGTTAGCCTCAAGAAGGTGCTTCGTTTCGCCAGAGACGTTTACACGTTTACAGAGGCGAGCCGCAAAGAAGAGCTTGGCCAAGCTGAGAGAGATGTCAGTCGTGGTTATCGTTGAACCCAACGAGCTCATGCAACTTACGACAGGCAATGCGCAGCAACGAGCCTGCTGGCCCTCAGCAGAGCAGATGTTGATGAAGTCGGTTTGGTTGACAGGGACGGTTGGGGCTAATATAGACTATCAGTATACATAGCAAGTAGGCATGTGATGTGATATGACACACGGTTTGCGCAGTTCAAGTCGGCAAGACCGAGGACATCGGTAGCGCAGCATTGGGCATTGTTGTATGTGCCAGAGCAGATAGTGACTTGACGGGCTGATACATCAGCAGGGGCAGGGGCAGCAGCGACGAGGGAGCTGCCGATGAGGGCGGTGATGATGATCGAGGCAAGCATTTTGAAAGATAGGTAATGTGGTTGAGGGTTGTGAGAGACGTGAGCGAAAGATTGAATGAATGAGGTTTGTATGATTTCTCTGGACGAAAGGTCTGCTCATTTATACCCGGTTCTCCTTTGCTCAACTTGATCTGATCGCAAGACTGTCTTGGTTGGACCAGCGTCATTGCTTCTGTCAATGTCAATCATGATCATAACCGTCAACCACAAGGACTTGAGAACGGCTCGTCACTCCCTGTCCTCCAAGACATTTGGTAGCGACTCAAAGCCTGTTACAGTGTTATATCCGCGATCCTTGTAGGGGCGATTGGATATTCAGTGGTACCAAAAGGGCCACTGACGATGATTGGACTTCGCATTGCCAATTAGCAATGTCAGCCGACATCCATCTGGTCCCTTAATATATTTCACAACCTGAAAAGTTGGAGACGGTCTTTGTTCAGTGAGATCATCTCATGACGAGTGTGGTACTGACGCGAAAGCACCAGCACAGCCTTGCGCGGTGTCCAAAAAGCTGGCCCGAGATTAGCAAGTTTGATCTTTATGAAGGTGAAGCTGATCGTCAGTGTTCAAAGACCAATTGTTGCTTGGTCATGTTGAAAATAGAAACTTCGAAGGACGGACGGCGCGGGACGTCGTCAAAAGGGACGGCAGGAAAGAGTGGGGAAAACAAGAAACTCGGCCGGGCGCATGTCCCGATTGAACCTTCCGTCTTTGACCTTGTTTAACCACCGGGAAGGTTCTGTCAAGCAGGTCGAGAACCAAACAAAGTGTGGACGTCATCAGATCTTCCATCTCACGTGTCTGTTCGGCTGCAAAATCGTGGCAGTATGCGGCTCTCGATGCGAAATGCGCTCAACACAAGTCATCGCCGGGCCGGTAAGAAGGCCGATTGCAATCTATGCTATGCAAAGGCATTGTACAAAAACGACCACTCTATATAACCTGAATCCTGATCTTGATCGAGTTCAGACTGGTCAGATCCCAAGTCAACTGACTGCCGTGTACAAGAACTACTGCTTGGAGGCTCTGTTGCTTTTCCGCTGAGTCAACTTCTACTCTAGAGCTTTGGATTGTGCTCGTCTTGAGCTGGTGGACAGACGACCGGATGATGCTTGTCACGATTGTGGGTGTGCCATATCCTTCAGGACGTATCATGAGATCCACTCCACACCATGGCATTCTTCCCCTTCCTCGTAGAACTTCTGCGCTCGCTCAAGCATCCATCCCGAGGACACATTACTTGCGGCTTGTCCTACGTTGGGCCGAGAAGTTGTTAGGCATCTGCTCTCAGCGTTGAGCAAATATTGGATGCAGTGATCATCAGCCTCGCAAAGTACACGACAACTTTCTAACGAGTCGGCGGGTCCTTGGTCATCGTTGCTGTGGTTGTCCCAGTCCAAGCGTGGAGAGGTCATGCGTGGAAGAGCGTAGAGCCTGTATACGTCTCTGTGACGCAGATAAGTGGCACTTGTCTGTTGACATGCATCAGTGAAAGCTCGGACTCTCAGCATATTGATGATCCTACATTTGCTGTATGTGTCATCCATGCTTTCTCGAACTCGAACATGTCTTGTATGACTGACGATGAGATGTGATGATACGAAACCGTGGGCTGGCACCATTGCGTTCGATGATTATAGTTCATGTTTCCGATGTCATCACCCTGAATTATGGGCCAGGCTCGTGTCAAAGGTGTACCGGAGTCTTTGAAAGCCTTTCCAAGGACACAATCACCAGCCCAATGACCCACCGTGAAGTCCTCATACTCATTCTGATGAGTCTGATAGTGTGTAACCACGTTCTGAAGAGCAGGACGAGAGACTATGAATCCGTTGCCGCCTTGACCGAATTCTATGCTGCCGATATTGATTTGTCCTCCAAGGTAGTATGGCTTGGTCCAGTCGAGGTTGGATAGGTATACCAACAAGTTTTGCCAGAATATGAACGTGTCGGGTTCGACGAAAATGTACCACTTCTTATCGGGATATTCATGCAGAGTGCGGTTGACCATGGGTAAAAACTTGAACTTGTCCAATTTCCTGAACATGATTCGTTAGTTTCTGGCACATGAAATGGATAGGAACATCATACCAGCCGGGATTTTCAGCTTTTCCGGTGCCATGATCGACCCATATCGACTTCCCGCTGAGTTCGTCTGCCCGCAGTATCGTTCTGCCGTACTGTTTTAATCGTCGCCAGAGGTCAAAATCCGGACTCGTCTCTTTTAGAAGTGAATTCACACTTTCCAGAGCATCAAATATATGGTGATTTTCGAAGTCCTCTTCAAAATCGGAGAATATTATGCTATCGGGATAGCGAAGTAAAGTTGTCGCCAAGTGAATAGGTAACTTGTCTTGCAGCTCTGTTGAGCCAGTTCTCATGACGACCAATGTCTCATTTGCTCCAGGAAGACTCTTGTAATCAGGACCCTGTAGTAACGTCGTTTGTTCATTTCTGATGATTTGCTGCTCCAGATGGGCGAGCAAAGGCAAATTGAACCAGAATACAAGAAGGGAGAGACACACGAGAATCGCACGAAGATATGCCTGTGACTTTCGCCGCGAAAGCACAAGAAACGGATCGCCAAATTTCATTGGATGCCCCATGAAAAGCAGTTGATCAAAATGTCAATAGTGGAAGGAGGATGACCGTGTTGCAAGGTTGATAGGTAGGCGTTGTTGCTTGCACTTTCGTTTCAAGACTGGGCAGCGAATCCTGAAGGCCCAATTTGGGACGGTGAGCAAAGGATTGGACATGGTCTCAGGATATACGGCTCAGATAAGCATCGAGCGGCGCAGAAACTCTTTGGAGGCCTGCAATAGATGCCACACGCCAAGACATAGTCGCCCACCGTCACACAGACGGCGGCTACGATACGGATGCATGCATATAGCCTTGTCCAATCATATAGCGTTTGAAGCCGCTGCAACAATTCGCGCTCTCTAGCGAGGATCATATAAATTGAAAGAATTTACCGGGGAACGAGCGTTCGGGTCTACACGAGTCGTCAACGAAGACAAATCGGCTTAGTAAGCGCTGAGCCAACCGCGGCTGTGAACACGACAACTTCAAGCTTTTGGCAAGACAACACAGAGGTCATTCTTGATGGTTTGACATCGGAACAACATATACAGGTTGTGTACTTTCGAGATCGGAGCTCTGAAAAGGGCCGAGCATGTCACGCTGCAGAGCAAAGACTTCAGACTCGACGAACGCAGACGCGTAGCGTCTGCAGAGCTCGTTTGAAGATGAGCAGACATGCATTTAAGCGCGCCAACCAGCCATACAGACCTTCTCTCGAGCCGCTCATGTATAATCTCTCGGTAGATTGAGTCCAGATCATCATGTCTAGGTATGCACCAGGATTCAAGAACAGGCAACAGGTAGAAAACGAGCGAGTCGAACAAGAGGCAAGGCCGACGACCTCGTTCCTGCCCTTGCTCTCCTACTTAATCTCTCATATCGACCCACAGATTTTCATTCATGGTCCGCGTGGTTTCCACAATGCATTATCTCTATTCCCACGGCAGTGTGATGTACACACTCTTGTTTCTTTTTACTACCCTCGCCCGAGGTCAAACCACTACAAGACTACCGCCAGCACCCTCATACAGCGATGGTGTGTTTTCAAGTCCAAATACCTACAATACCCAGATACTCGACCAGGGAACTGTGTTGAACATCACATGGACTACAAGATATGAGAGCGTAAATTTGTATCTCATAGTCGGAACCGATTATGCTCATTCACAGCCACTCACAGGTATCATTGCTAAGACTTTTTCTAATTCTTTATCTAACCTCTGGCAGTCGGTACCACAAACACGTTCTTCACTTGGACAGTTGATGACTCCGGAAACAACTCTCTACCTTTCTCATTCAGAGCTGTCAATGCTCTGGGAACAATACAGCAGCAAGCGGGCGGTGGCTTTTATACAGGCCAATTCTGGATTCGTGATGACCCCAATACCACTCTAGTGACTACCGAAACCACAACACATACAAGCCCCCAGTCGAGTGCTATCCCTACTACAACGACGACTTCAGAGTCATCCAGTTCGGCATCTAGCGGATCCTCCGGAAGCACTCTACCTACGACTACTAGCACGTCATCTGCCGGGACTGCATCGCCCGAATCTGGAAAGTCTTCCACGAGCTCCTCTTCACAGTCACCGTCAGCCACATCTACGATGTCTGGCCCTACTTCATCTTCTTCAGAAATATCTGCATCGGGGACAATCACCAAGATGACTTCTCCCGCACAGATGCAAAGTTCAAGCCCAGGTCCCTCTACTGGTGCAATAGCTGGTATAGTAATTGGTGCAGTCGCTGTACTTGCCATTGTTATTGGTGTATCACTATTCTTCCGAAGACAGCGAAGGCCTACAACAGACTCGAGACATTTCGATTCAATGGACATGCAGATGGCTCAGCAGGGCCACTCGGATCTTGGCAAGCGAAAATACACGCTCCGAGACTCTTCGTGGGATTCGAATCGGAAAGGACTTGCAGAGTTGCAAGAGGATGAGCTTGTGGAATTGCCCAACTACCCCTCGTCTCGCCAGCATGAGCTTCCGTAAAAGTTTCTATCCAACATTGTGGCCTGTATCTCAATTTTCTGCATCAACCGTATGCTTTTCTTTTCATGATATAGATCGATTCCATTCTACCAAGCTCAATTTCGTCGACATTGGTCACGCGGTAGCGTCTGTGTCTGCAGCTCAAGCTCTTGAAGCATTGTATTCGGCTAGAGCCACCATCTTAATTGGTTCCAGTTCTCAACCCGTACTTGATTAAAATAGCAAGAGAGCAACTCTCATCCAAGAGGATTGCAGAACGTGCGGCAGTAGAGTTCTCACTACAGCATAGCGAGTCATCGGCAGCTATGTTCAGCGGCTATTCAATCAAAACGAATGACGGTCTCGTATCATTGATGGTGATCATTGGATTGATCGCTCGCTTAATTCCGGAGCGACCTAAATTAACAAGGTGGGCGCATTGCGTGCCGCTGAAGGTGTCTGATCATGCGGTTTAGCGAAATCGAAGTGGAAGGTCTTTCATCGACATTAAGGCAGGACAATATCGAAGGTCAACCTCATACCAGACTCGACGCTCTTCACATCGGTGTCTAACACTTTTAGTAACCCGCTGAAGACCATGGCGAGACTTGGGAAAATCGGCCTAAGACGTTCGGCGTTCAAAGCTACAGTGGTCTTTTGTACAATCATGACTTTCGTATTCTGGGGCCCAATTCAATTTGTCTCCTTGCGAGCATTTACCATTGGTAAAGACCTGTAACAGCACATACTGACCAGAGCGAACGAGGCTGAAGCAAACAGAACGAGAATCAAATCGTCTATCGCCAGTTCAATCAACCAGGATCAAAGCGGTGAAAGCTGCATTCCAGCACGCCTGGAACGGATATTCCGAATATTGCTTCGGTCACGACACGCTACATCCTGTGACGAATACGTGCGAGGATGACTTTGGTGGTTACGGCGCTACAGCCATCGACTCATTACCTACTGCGATCATGTTCGAGAACAAGAATGTGACCAGCCAAATCCTGGATTTCATCGCCGCTCTTGATTTCAAGTCAGTCAAAGGTGGTAGTCGGATCCAGGTATTTGAAGTCACTATTCGACATTTCGCTGCAATGATATCAGCGTGGGACTTGCTTAATGGTCCTTTCTCACATATGACCAATGATCCAGATCTCATTGAAGCTTTGTACGCTCAAATGATAACACTGGGAGATGTCCTTAGCTGCGCCTTCGACAGCCCCAGTGGCGTTCCCCGTGAATGGGTCGATCCTGTATTATGTCAGTCAGACAAAGGAACTCAAAATACCATAGCTGGTGCTGGGACAATGATACTCGAATTCGCAAGGTTGTCAAATATCACTGGTAACCCGAAATATGCCAATCTAGCGCAGAAAGCCGAAGATTACTTGTTGAAGCCACAGCCAGCATCTGGGGAGCCGTACCCGGGGCTTCTCGGATCTTTCATCAATGTCAACAACGGGGAGATTCTAGGATCGCAAGGCAGCTGGGGTGCTCTTGCAGATTGTGAGATCTGTTTCTGGCACATTCTGAGTTGATCAAGAACTAATCATTCACAGCTTTCTATGAATATCTATTGAAAGCATATCTATACAACAGCAATATGTACGGGCTTTACCTGGAGCGATGGCTCATTGCAGCAGACTCGACAATTCGTTTCGTTGGATCACACCCTCACGGGCATCCGGAGTGGACACTCTTGCCATACTGGAACGGACAAATATTGCAGAATCAGATGGAGTCACTATCCTGGTTCGCTGGCGGAAACTTCATTCTTGGAGGAATGGTCACGAACAACCAGACTCTGGTAGACTATGGCCTCTCGATAGCCGACGCAGCAGGTGCTGTATATAATGCAACTCAAACTGGGCTTGGAGGAGAGTTTGTCACCTGGGACACCAGTTGCGAGGCCAGTGAAACTGATTCTTGCGGTTCCAAAAACTCCATTCGCATCTCTGACGGCAGATTTCGCTTGAGACCTGAGGTCTTGGAGACTTGGTACTATGCTTATCGAGCCACGAAAGACGAGAAGTATAGAGATTGGTCGTGGACTGCTTTCGAAGCCATAAATCGCTATTGCCGCACAGAAACAGGATTCAGTTCCCTTACTGACGTTGATGCTGCGGAAGGAGGCAGCAAGGGTAACGTCCAGGAGAGCTTCGTCTTCGCTGAGGTGATGAAGTATGTGTATCTATCGCACTGGGAGGTAAGTTTTTGCAAAGTGAGAACTGCTAGTTGCATATTGGTTGCTGACATTGTAAGGATGCACCGTACCATGTGCAGGATAGCCGGACTGGGGTCAAGAACACATGAGTATTCAATACGGAAGCACATCCCTTGCTTGTTGCTGGCCCGCCGCGATAGACTGAGAGATATCGGATATTCACTCAAGAGCAAGCCCTTGACGGGCGTGACGCGAGGAACGAAATGACCCAAATAACATGGCCACGCCTTCCAGAAAATTCTGACCCTGATCAACTCTCTACCATACACCACTCCTTACTTCTGATCAAGACGAGCAGAACAAGAATGCGAAACGTACAGCAGCAGGGATTCCCACGTGGTCACCCACCGTAGTACAAATCTGCCGTTCAACTGCTTGTGTATTGCAGAGCGGACGGGATGCCCAGTTTTCAGCTGACTGTGGCCGTACGTGCACGAGATGCGGTCACATAATTACATATTATACCAGACTCATGCCTACACTATGCTCCGATCAAGCTGCGAATGCGCGCTTTGCTTCCATATGCGTAGAGGTCCGCACGCTCACACTCCAACTTTGAGTGACTACGGAGCTTCCGCCTGTGTGGTCATCCCTAACGCTGCAGTGTATGTTTGACGGATCTGTGGCTCGAGATCAACGACCTTGATTGGTATGCGGAAACCAGATACATGAGACTGTCCAACTCTTCAGCTGAGAACACGATTCGAATGACGACACCTGATCCGGTACCAAGTCCTCTCTACATAGCTCCGAACGACTCACTTCCATCCTTGCTCTCTCCTCTGAATGTGCTTCTGGTATTCCGGATCCATCAAAATCAGCTCCAACTGACCCTTCCCTTGAGGTCGTTCAAACAATTCGAAAATCTCCCCAGCGATATTTCTTGGGTTCGTGACAGACATCTTCTCATCCACGGTTCCACCGACGACAACCAAAGCGCAATGCACACCTTTGGATTCGTATTCCTTGTGCAGTGAGTGAACCAGGTTATACTGCCCGGCTTTGCAGGCCGCAAGAGAGAACATGGCAGGGAACGGGTCTTTTGCCAACATACCACTGGTCACGATGAACGATGGCGTCTTTGCGTCAGACGATCCCGCCGTCTCAAGCAGCTTGGGCATCGCCCACTTCGCGACAGCGTAGAGGCTGGTGACACTGACCTGTGTTGTGTGTCAGGAATTACAATGTCACAAGGCGGGAAAACCTCATCAACGAAACGATACCCGGAGATCAATGTCCAGCTCCTCGACAGTGAAGTCAAAGAATTTGCTCGGTCCCAGTCTCGCGTGATTGAACAGCACACACTCAAGTGGCACGTCACCCATAATCTTTTCCACTTCTTTAAAACCCGCACGAACACTTTCCATGTTAGCACCGTCGTACTCGATAACTTCCACGCTCGCTCCAGCGCTCGCAGCACGAACAAAGTCGGCGTCTTGCGATAGACGAGTTTTGTTTCTAGACAAGAGAATAATCTTTTGGAAGCCGCGTTCTGCGAACACAGCAGCGACATTGCGACCGATGCCAGGACCAGAGCCGAAGACTACGAGGGCGCCGCGAGAGCCTGCCATTGTTGTCCCGGCTCCAGTGTGATCGCGCGAGTTGGTATAGTGCGAATGCTGGGTTGGATGCGACTGAGCAGTGTGTAAAGCAATAAAGGGTTTGGAGGGGTTATGGTCTGTAGTTCGCGGTCACTGCGACCGGAAGACCGGAACGGAAGGATAACGTCCCCGCCTAGCAAAGCTCGAGAGTTGCCAACAAAAGATGCTACTAGGCGTAAAACAGTGCTTGTTTCGCTCAACATGAGAGACAGCTCATACCATTTACAAGATAGATAGCTTGTTGATGTGATTACACATCTCTGTACAAAGCCTGAACATGATCGCTGGTCGCAGACGCTTGCCTACCTCATGATCATGGAAGATTTTGTACGCTACGCGCTTCACCATGGCGTCCATGTCGTCTGCAGGCATTCGAGTGAAATCCTGAGCAGCTGTGACGGCGAAAGCTCTGCGTTCACAAGACTCGGCCAGCTCATACAGCTGCGAAGCCAATGGCAGAGTGGCGTCAACCACTTGAATAGTTTCATCTCCTGATAGCCCAAACAGACCGCTGTCGGCAGCTTGTCTAAAGTCAAGGTGTATAACGACCACTCTTACAACTACCATCCAGTCTGGCAGTAGTTTAAGCGCTACTAGATCTTCCTGCTTGCCTTTCCGTAAGGGTATATTTTCAAACCACTCAGATATAGGTTCGTCATAGGGCTCCGCCTCCCCTATCTCAACAGTCAAAGCATCCAGCATGAAAGATGCTGATCCATGTAGACGCTTCGCTTCCTGGGCCAAAGAAGTCAATGGGTGACCATCCATCATAGGGCCAAAGTCTATGTCATAGAATTCAGTCCAATTTAGGTGTATAGTTTCGCGGGAAGTATTCTGCCAGAAACCGCGGTCTATAACTTTGCCGGTATTCCAATCAGCTTCCCGTGGCTTGTCAGTAACCCACGCGCCGTCACGCCAACAAGGGCTTCGCCAATCTAGCCTTAAGATCCATTTTCCTGTGGCAAAGGCGACTCTGCGCGACTCACGACAAACTCGCGTAAGTAAGGGCGGGCGAACATTGCGCTTACTGGTTGACCAGAGCCAACAGGGGATGTTGTCTTTTTCCGGTTCGGGGACATCGTAGACAAATCTTTCGTTAGGATAGTCCATTTCGTATACCCGATGATGCGGCAGACAGAGGTGCCATATCTCTTCCCGAAGCTCAAGCGGTAGGCGTGGGAAGGGGTGGAAATTATCGTTGACCATGCTCGTGATGACAGTAGCGTTGAAGTTGAGAGTAGCGTTGACCGCCCACAAGTTCACAGATTGAAAAGCAGAAACGCATTCGTATACGACGTGAATTCTGGGAAGATATGCGCAGGTAACTCAAGAGTGTGTATGAGTGTGAAAGAAAGTCGCTAGCTGAACGGGACGAGTGGGATATATAGTCTCGCGGGATATTATGTCTTGGCACTTCCGAAATGAAGTCCGCGGTTCTGATACTGGATCTGTAAGACAAAATCACGCGGTGGTCTTGAAGATGCACAGTTCTCACGGTGAGACGGGAGCATCCTGAGAAAGTAGTCTTGTTGATATGAGCTCCGAATCCTTCGGTGTCCTCATTGGGAAGGCGATCTGTACCCGCAGCGTCTACAAATCCATTGTGCCTCGCTTTACCTACTCGTATAAAGCATCCTCAACTCGTCTATCGGAGAAACAGAGCAGAAACGATCACCAACAATATGTTAATATTAATCGCAGGCATCACTGGTAACATTGGCCAGCACGCTGCCCGCCATGCATTGACCCTTGGTCATCAAGTTCGCGGCCTCTCCAGAACTCCAGACAAACTAGATCCGTCCATTATGGCCCGCTGCGAGGATTTCGTTTGCAGCACAACATACTACGACATAGCAGCACTAGACCAGGCGTGTGCCGGTGCTGATGCAGTCATCTGCGCGTACGCGGGCATCCCAGAGCTGCACCTGGACGGACAATTACTGCTTCTACGAGCAGCTGAACGCGCAGGCGTAAGGAGATTTCTCGCTGCGAGCCATAACAACGATTGGCGCAAGATTGCGATGGGGGAAGTGCCCATCTACGATCCAGCGCGGATGTTCCATGTACAGGCCGCGTTGACCAGCACGATCAAGCCTCTGCATATTCTCAGTGGTACATTTGTCGATGTCCTATTCGGTGGCGAAGGGCAAGGCAACTTCACCCCTGAGGTTGGCGGTGTGTGGGACTCGAGGATAGATCCACCGCAGTTGCATATCTGGGGCTCAGGTCATGAGAAATGGTGTCTCACCACGGAGGAAGATGGCGGCAAATGGGCTGCCGAACTCGTGACGTCTGACAATGCTGAAAATGGTGGTTTTGTATTGCTATGCTCCATGGAGCTAAGTCTGATGGAACTCAAAGACACGTACGAGCGCTTCAGAGGCAAAGAAGTGCGGATCATCCGTAGAGGCACCACCAGGGATCTCGAGAAGACGGTCGAAGAAAAGAAGGGTGCTGGCTCGCATTGGGCTGATTGGCTACGGTATGCTTTCGTGTTACACTGCACCAAGGGTACCTGGGCCCTCAGTAAGGACTCTTTTGAAGGCTTCCACCCTAGTGTTCCAACATCTTTGGAAGCATGGCTAGAAAAGAATCCTAAAGTCTAACTGGAAAGACCCTGGGTTAGTGTCTGGGGCTCAAGTCAGTTCAAAGTACTTCAGCTGAACTTCGCCTGCATAGAGAAGCTGCTCCAGGTCACTGCAAATACGTACATCCTAGATTCCAATATTACGCAAAATATCTATCCAATCCAGTCTCCTACAAGCTACTGCTGCATTCACGTACGGAAGTTTTCCACACTTGTCAAGTCGCTTACACAGTTTAGAGAATCAGCATTTTGAAATAGTGCTGCCAACAACAATACAGCAAACCTACGAGGCGCAGGCAGGATTGACTAGTCTTCAAAATGTATGGAGGCTGCGAACACGACGCAGATGCAACATTTGGGGCCGAAACCTAAGCCATGGTTGATCAGATAGGTCAACCATGGTTTTTGTCGACAACACTCCTCTTGTGAGTTTCAGTGGAGTCACAGAACCAGCAAGCATATGGTTGCATTATCTATACGCCTAACTGTGACGAATGTAGCAACTCTTTCCTTGTCATCTATGCGCCTTTTCGCGGGCGAATCATTTGTGTATTAGCTGTCATACCAAATTTCTATGAACATAGGTGTTAGCATATCTAGCATGTACAGCACGACCATAGTCAGCCCAAGAATAGGCATCTTCACAGATCGATCACTCCATCGACTTCCAAATTCAAATCGATCGACCTTATTCTGGGCCCCTAGATCTGGGCCAACGCCAATATAAACTGTTTGTCTACAAGAGGAAGAGACATATCATGACAACCAACGTCAATGCCTCAAAACGCATTACTTGCAGATGTCCGACATCATTTGAGGCTTCGATAGAAGAGGTAGGCACACTTGTCGGAAGTACAGTGGTTCCGTTGCCAATCCTGGAAGATGGTATGACGGCTGCAGTATTGGTGACTGAAGCAGCGGACGAGGAGGATCCTGTAGACTGTTCGGTAGCCGAAGGGCCATTCTGTACAGATGCTACACTGGTAGAGACAACGTCGGAAGAGCCAGAGGGCTGCTCGGAAGATGGAGCTGATGAGCCTTGGCTGAGGAGACTGAACGTCATGAGCTTGGATGTTGCATCTGCGTTTGATGCCGTGCTGCCTGCGATAACGACCGTAGAAGTCCCCTCAGGGCTATCCGTTATGATTGTCTCTAGAGCGATGGCATGGTTCGTGGATGTTTCGTCTGTCGAGGACACGTCATCAGAGGATGTAGGTTCTGCACTACTGCTGACAGCCACATTTGCAAGCGAGGAACCGGGCGATCCCTGTACCCCTGCATTACTCGTTGTGACCAGCAAAGAGTTGACGCTGGATTCAGGAGAGGATACTTGTCCTGGGTTTGAGAGCAGCGGATTGACAGTGAGTGTAGATTGGATCACAAGAGACTCTCTAGTCGTCGAAGTCAGAGTTGTCGTTGATGAGGCTGCAGTTGAAAGTCCTGTGTTTACATTGACTGATGTTTCGATGGTATCTTGACCATCGGTATTGCCGACAGATGCAATAGGGACTGTTGTGGCTCCTTGGAGAGTTCCAGATGCATGTGGCTCTGGAGATGCCACAGACGAGAGCGGCGCAACACCAACTCGTGAGTTTGAAGTAGGAAGAGGCTTGGTCTCTGCTGAGATAGTTGCACTGCCTTCGATACCTGCAGTCGTATCTGATGATTGCTTAGTGGATGCAAAGACGGACGAGCTCAACTCCTCGCTGACAGCTGAAGCTTTCGAGGTAGGTATAATAACGGAGAGTCCTTGGGGGCTAGTTCCGACATCGATGGATCTAGTTCCGACATCGATGGATACAGGTACGTCTGATTGGCTCGCGACTTCTTCTGTGGATGGTAGTTCTGTACTTATAGGGGTGGTTTTCTGGACCTGACTAGTACCCAGCAAAGTGACAGACGTGGTGACTGTGCTCTGGGGCGAATTGATGCTGATCTCTGCTGCGGGAGAAAGTAACTATTAGTCTCGGCAAGATCTTACATTCTGATTGTTAACGGAAACTCACCAGTAGATACGGAAGCTGCAACAGATGACGTTGTCTTTCCGGTGTTCATAATGTGAGTGAAAGCAGTAAAAGGTGCTCCCACAAAACTAGTAACGGTATCGTAAAGGTAAGGGACCTCTGAAACTGCTTCAGCAGGGCTCACTGACGAGCACTTCGGTGTCACATTGCACGGAGCAAAACTACAGCCTGTGTATGGCAGCTCAATGGATCGATTGCCCCACAGTGAGTATATCTGATTGGGATTTACCTTGACATCCTCGACCGGGAACAATGAATAGAGCCATCCAGTTGGATCGAGCTTGTTTGTTTTGTCCACAGGCATTGGAAAAGGTGAGTGGATAGGTGTAGGCGAGAAAGTTTGCTGCCCAAGACAACAGGTCTGGTTGAGCCCCTTAATGGTAGTGGGAAGAGCAGCATTCCAAGTCATCTGAGTATCGAGGGCTAGAACTTGGGTAGGGTAAGCACTATCCGGATCAAACAGTTAGCCAAGAAACTAGCATCAATTTCATCTTGGAGAGGTCTTACACTGTGATGTTGGACCCGTCAAGTGCCGATACTACTGCTGTGACAGTACGATCCGCGTTTGTATCGGTGCGCGTCAACGTCTGCAGGGTCGAATTCGAAGCATATTCCGTATGCATTTCAGTAGAGGTCCATGTGCTATTGCTCGCTGTATTGATCATCACATGCATGGTTCCGATCGTCGTTGGTGTGACGACTTGAGACCATGTAAAACTCAAGGCAGTCATGGAAGGCCCTTCCAGCGCGTATGTAGAGGCGGGACTGGAGCTTGAGGAGGGTGTTAACAATACATCAGATGATAGCGGCAGCTATAGCACCTACATATTGCTGGTGTTCCTGTGTCGTAGTTACAGGTAGACCATGCAAAGGTGCTCGATATAATCCAAGCTAGGCAAAAATGCTGAAGAATTGGATTCATGTTTGCGATATACTTGTGTCTTGTGTCCAGGTGAAGATGAATCAGATGTCACAATCCACCCACTTGAGGACACTTGAGTGGAATATATGCTAAGTGAGCATCCTTGGGCTTTTCAGTATCTTCTCAGCCTTCTTGAGCGCATGTCAGCCTGCTTTTAGTGGCTTAAGCTGAATGTCCGTAAGTATCTGATGAGCCTTGCGCCTTTGAGATAACCAGGACAGCCATGTTCATATTCCGCCGTTAATATTGACCAGCTGAAAGATGTGTTTCGTCACTTGATCTATCTTGGGCGCCGGTCCAAGCCTTGAAAGGAAGGCCAACCGTAGGAAAAGGTTCATGGGATCTGTATGTAGCACGCAGCCTTGACACCCAAAAGAATTGATATCAGCCTTCTCATCTTTTGTGGCGCTTCCCACGCAATAGAGTGAGAATGATGTGCCGCTCTGCAGGTCTCCGTGACCATGATGAGGCTACAATTGATAAGGTCGCATCCTAGCGGTTCCCCGCATCTGAAGAGGTTCGAGGATTTGACCATGCATAGTCCTGCTGGTTCTGAAGCCTGGATTTCTCGTCTTTCCTACGAAGATGTTGGAGCTGCTCGTTATCGCAATCTGCGTTGTGTCGGTTGTGGCGAAACCTGGTAACGCGTCGATTCGACCACTGAGTGTACCTCCAAGCGAATACTGGTAGTGTTGATCGGACGAGAACGTCTCCTGGAGAAATGTTCTGACTGTTGCTTTAGGGATGGCGCAGATAACAAGTGGTCGACTTTCTTCGTCAACATCGGCACGCCTGCTCAGACTGTCCGTCTTCTGCCGGGAACATCGGCCAATGCGGGGTGAGAACTCTAGACGTCATGTTGCATGTCTCATGCACAATTGCTGACATGCATCCAGAAGTGCAATCTGGGCTGTGTTGGAGGAGGGCTGTACCATTGTCAACCCAAATCTGGATTTGTCCAGCTGCAAACAGTCCCGTGGAGATCTTTTCCAACACAACGAGTCAACCTCTTGGTCGATACAAGGTCTCGAGAACGATGGGATATTCAGCTTACCAACTTACGAGGAAAGTCTGCTTGATCTCGGTGACAATGCTTCCTACGGGTTCGACTCGATTTCGCTCGGTCTAAACTCTGGTCTGGGTTCCATACAGCATACGCTCATCGCTGGCCTGGTGAATAACAAGTACTGGGTAGGCAGCTTGGGACTCTCACCCTTCGGAGTCAACTTTACCAACTTTGTAGATCCTCAGCCAAGCCTCTTAAGTACGTTGTTCAATCGCAGTGTGATTCCCAGCTTAAGTTGGGCGTACACTGCAGGAGCATACTACCGAGGCCAGGACTCGTTTGGCAGTCTTACGCTCGGGGGATATGACACTACTCGGTTCGTGGATAATGGGGTGAGTTTTCCTTTTGGGGCGGACCAGTCGAGGGATTTGCTTGTCTCTTTGACTTCGATCACATATGACTCCTTGGGAAGCTCGCCACTCCTGACTCAAGCCATCAATATATTTATCGACTCTATGGTTTCTCACCTCTGGTTGCCTCTGGAGACCTGTCATGCTTTCGAGCAAGCTTTCAATCTTACTTGGGACTCGACCTACGAGCTCTACCTGCTCGACAACGACACCCACAACAGTCTCCTTGCACAGAATGCAAGCTTCAAATTCAATCTCACGAATGGCAGCTCTCCAATTAGCACTAGCAACAGCGTGCAGATAGTTCTTCCATACGCTGCCTTCGACTTAACCATTGAACCACCATACGTGGAGTCTGAACAGAAATACTTCCCGCTCAAACGGGCTCAGGACCCCAGTCAGTATACTCTTGGACGTGTCTTCCTCCAAGAAGCTTACGTCGTGGCTGACTATGACCGACATAACTTTTCCGTATCACAAACTGTCTTCCCAGGCAGAGGTGTCTCCCAGGACTTGGTCCCAATCTATCCTCCCGAATCAGAGTCACACAAAAAAGGGAACCGAAAACTTAGTACCGGAGCCATCGCAGGAATAGCCATCGCAGGAGTAGCTCTTCTAGCGACAATTCTTGGTTTCTTAGCGTGGAGATTGATCCGTAGACGTCGTCAACACTCAGAGCCAGTTATAGTATCTAGTTCCACAACAACAAACTATCCAACCAACAAAAAGGACGCCCATACAGAGGAGAACCCGTCTTGGATTAATGACTCAAAGACACGACATGAAATCCAAGGCGTCGATCCTCACGAACTGTTTGCAAGAGGTCCTAGTGTTGGAATGCCCGAACTCGAAGTACCAAACAAGGTGCACGAGATTGATGGTCGCGCTGGTCCTGTCGTTGAGCTTGAGGCCTAGATTGATTGATTTCTCTCTAGCTGTCACAGATAATTTGTAGATGTAGATAAGTGGAGGTGCCGAGGGCATGAATCTGGATTCGCTCTTTTCTCGTGTATTGGATGGTCTGTAGATAGTGACTTCGTTCATAGTTCGTACGATTATTATGTCTCCAACTCGTAGAACTATGATGCATCTCGCCTCGTGCCAAATGCAGGAGGAGCTACAGCACAAAACGTACAGCAGCAGCGATTTGAAACCCCTAGACTTGAATATGTGGCATGATTTCGAAGTAGATTTAGCAGAACACTATGTAGGGTCTCCAAAAGAAAAAGAATATCATGATACAATTGTTTACTTTTGGGTTTTCGAGGAAGGTTTCTATTTTTGGGCGTATTTTAAATGGTGCACAACAATCCTACACACTAAAGCAGACTCTGTCTACCAAAGAGGGTTTTCATGATATGGTTTTAGAAGTCGGTCTTAGATTGATGAGACTGAAGCCCAGTCTGCCATGAAGGAAACTTCTGAGCTCTACTTTGGTTCCCGCAGGCTGTCCAAGTTCGGCATCGTCAATTTTCACGGATCAGTACTGATCTCCGGCGGCGTAAGCATATGAGAGACCCAACTCTCCCATCCCTAACCAGAATGTGCCTTCTATCAGTCATGCTTGCGAGTGCGTCTTAGCCAGCTCTACTACTAGCACTACTAGTTTTTCTTGTCAGACTTCCTTGACTGTATCTTCTGTTCCCTTTGGCTTTTTCTTGTCTCGATCTTACGCATGACTGTTCATCACCAACTCCCGCGACCAATGGATTTCAATCCAGCGTGGCAGCGCCTAATGTTGTGAAATAGCTTGATCGATAAGTCAATATCGAGACAATTTTTATTCCGTCTTGTGGAACACAAAAACTGCTTTTAATGGCCTCGTAAGTATTTTTCGAGAGATTTGAGAACTTCTTGCTTTGGCAAGCAAAGATACCTATCGACCAGACGACGATGCCCAAAATGGCAGTCGCATTTCTGGGGAAGGTTTTGCGGAGGTGGCATCACACTTCAACCAAGCTCTGTGAGACGCGACGACTTTCCGCCGACACATTGCTCACTTAGTGGTGTCAATCGATTCAATTCAGGCAGTTTCAGTCACGGTAGAACAAGATGCACTCAACATGTGATAAATGTCGTTGTTCGATGGAATCGGATGGATAGGCCATGACCCCTCAAGCACACCATCGAGCCGAAGGTTGGCGACATCCTTGATCGACAAACGTCACATGCCAAGCCGCATAAACAGCTACCAATCAATTGAGCTCAAGCTCCGTCGAGCAGGTCAAATGTCTTGTTACTGGAGCAGAGCCTCTGAACGTCCTTCTGGAAAAGGGAGGAGCGCCCGTGTACCACTGCAGGCGGTCAGGCTATTATCCTCCTCGCGGCTGCCGCATCATGTTTCTGATCCCATGCCCATGATTGTTTTCCACGTCGCTTACGATCCTTCTAGATCGTGTTTGCATGCCATAGCTTTATAAGATGGACGATGATTCCGGTCCCGTGGGTCCTGAGGTCGCTTTGTTGTCTCGCTCGTCTTCAGACATTACAGAGCAGATTGTTCGTCGCGAGTCCAACATGACGCGAGCGGGTACCTTTAGAGCTTACTGGCTCGGCTGTGTGGTCTGTATGGGCGGCTTTCTATTCGGATATGACTCCGGCATCATTGGTATGAGCCTCATGGTAATATGTTTCTCTGACACTTGCTGAACGCGTTGTCGTCCAGGTGGAGTTTTGACCCTTGCATCCTTCGAACATGATTTCGGCTACACTAAAAAGCAAGCGACTCGCAACAGCTCTTTGTCAGTCGGCCTCCAACAATTGGGCGCCTTCCTCGCATGTTTCGCCATTTGGCCAGTCACACATCGATTTGGTCGCAAATGGGCTTTAGTCTTGTGTTCGACCATCTTCGTCATTGGCGCCATAATTCAGACTATCAATACACATTCCTTCGGCGCTTTCCTGGCTGCTCGGTTGATTGCTGGTATTGGTCTGGGAGGAAGCAGTGTAGTCGTGCCGATGTTCTCGAGTGAGATGGCTCCAAAACAGCTGCGTGGTCAGATTGGCAGCTTCTATCAGCTCTTCTATACTCTTGGTAAGTATGTAATTAGCTGTTGTGACGCACAGCCATGTCTAACTCGATCAGGTATCTTCACCTCATACTGGATCGACTACGGCGTCGGCAAGGACATCTCAACCAGCGAGGCCAGGCAATGGCAGATCCCTATCGGCATCCAGATCTTACCTGCCGCTCTTCTCGGCCTCGGAATGTTCACACTCAAGGAGTCAGTTCGCTGGCTGACTCTCAAAGGTCGTCACCAAGAAGCTTGGGAGTCTCTACAATGGATCAGAGCCGACAGCGGACCTGACGCTCAACTGGAAATGGACGAGATCCGCCTCGGCGTTGAAACAGAGCTACGCGAGAAAGAAGGCTTCCAGTTCAGAGAACTCTACACCAAACCCGACAACTTGAAGCGTACGGTCACTGCCGCTGTTGTTTTTGTTGCTCAACAATCTACCGGAGCGACTGCCTTTGCAACATACGGGCCACAGTACTTCAAACTCCTGGTAGGAAGCAAAGGCAACGATGATCTGCTTCTCACTGCTATCTTCGGCGCCATCAAGGTAGCAGCCTGCCTGACTTTCGTCCTCTTCGTCGCTGAGCGAGTGAACCGCAAAATCGTCCTCACATTGGGAGCACTTGGCATGGCTGCTTGCCAGATCTGCACCGCTGCTGTTGTCAGATCCAAACCACCACCCGGCGATGCTACAGTAACATCTTCTGGTATCGCCACTGTTGCCCTGATATACCTTTTCGTTTCCATATATAATTGGTCATGGGGACCCTTGCCTTGGCCTACTGTGTCTGAAATCTTCCCTACTCGCATCAGAGAACCCGGCATCGGTATAGCCGTATCCTCGCAATGGCTCTTCAACTTTGTCTACTCGATCAGCACACCCTACATGATCAAGAACATGGGCTGGGGCACATTTTTGTTCTGGGGCGTTGCAGATTTGATCATTGCGGGAGGGGCTTGGTTGTTCTTGGATGAAACTCGAGGAAGGAGTTTGGAGGATATCACACATACGACGGAGAGGGCAAAGAGTTTTGGTGAGGATTTGAGGTATGAGGGTGATGGGGCTGTGAGCAAGGGGCCTGGTGTTGAGGTGAGATAGGAGTCGATGGGTACGAGGTATTGATACGGCATATTTTATTTTCACTTGAGCTTATTGCGCTAGGGTTGAGTTGAGGGAGTTGTTTTGATACAAGTGCACGGAAGCCGCTATGCAAAGAGGGCTGAGCTTGCAATGTCATAAGGATTCTCCCCTTCTCGAGTCTTGGGAACATATTTCCAATCTTGCACTATCCGCATCAGCACTCTGCATCTAAGTGTTTAAGGGAACGGATCTTCGCGCTGAAGACTCGAACAGGACAACAGGGGCATGTAAAATACTCTTTGACTTCACACACATCACCAGCCAGCCACTCAAACCCCACAGAGAGCAGAAACAATCAATAAAGTCTCGAGAAGTGACATCCACATCAACCTCTCTCAAAAATGCCATTGTACATTTTCTATCGCCTTGAAGAGCGATGATAATCTCTATCCCTACTCCTATCTCTTCTCGACGAAGATTTCTCATACTCTCTATCCCGTCGACTCGAAGATTTTTCGTAATCTCTATCTCTTCTGTCATATTCGCGATCACGAGACCTGTCTCGTCGAGATGAGGATTTCTTGTCGTAGTAGTCGCGAGAACGGTTTCTTTTGCTGTCGCGATTGCTCTCGCGATTGCTGTCGCGGTCGCGAGAACGATCTCTTCTGTCTCTGCGATCGTAGTCTCGGGATTTGTAGTCGTGGCGGTCGTAGTCTTTTCTGCGTCGGCGTCTTTCTTCTTCGTCGTCTGAATAATCATCTCTTCTCTTTCTGCCTTCATCATCCCTTCTTTCCCGTTTCTTGTCCCTGATCTCCAAATCATTGACCACAAATCGTTGGTTTTCTGCTTCTTCCTTGTCTCTGCGGATCTTCTCTCGCAACTCTTCTTCCGTAAGCGTTTCTCCTGTTTTCTTATTTTTCATGGATACGGGAATAAACATTGTTGGTTCTTTTCGTCCACGGGAGGAGGATTTCCCCCATGCGCCTAGTTCTTCTGCTTGGGCTGCTGCGTTGGGGTCCGCGCCGATGCCGAGCAGAGCAGGTCTTTTGGCAGGGGGAAGTGCTTTCTTGCCGTTGGTGGGCTTTGAGGGGACGGCAGAGGGACCTTTCCAACCCATACCGCGAAGCATTGCTGCGCCGTATTCTTCGACTGGAACGGCTGCGTAGTCGGAGAGAGAGGGTGCCGGAGGAGCGGAGTGGTAGGAATCGTTGAAGGCGTCCTCTTCTGTGATTGCTGTTGTGGGGATTGTGAGGGTGGATGTAGGTGCTGCACCCATAAGGGCGTCGATGGCAAGTTGATCTGCTGATTTTTGCTGCTCGGGCTTGTCCTCTGGCAATTGTTCTGGTTCCTGATCTTGTTGTGTATATTCTGCATCTGCAGTTGCCGATGGCGCAAATACATTTAATCCATACTTGACAGCTTCCGTCTCTTTAACCACTTTATCCGCTCCTTCTGCATTTTGTGCGCCTTGGGTCTTTGCATCCAATTGCTCACTCGTAATTCCATATTTCTGGGCTCGTTGGCGTTTGGACGCTTCCCTCCAATCTCTATTCGCTAATGCTGTAATAACCAAAGGTTTCTTTTCTTCTTTTTTGGGTGCATGGGTGTTTACAGCACCTCCAGCTGTACTGTCAAAGTGCGTGATTGTTTGGCGTTTGGAGTTGGTTTCTTCGTCATCGTCACTGGCATCGTCGAGTAAAGCGGCGTGAGCGCGTTTCGTGCCATTTGTTGTTTTTGACGGTGGTGGTGGAGATGATTTTCGCTGAGAGGGTTTTGAAGAGTTGCCTAGAGAGAAGGAGAGAGAGGCCATATTGTTTGCGCAACCTTTGGGTTGAGAGGAGAAGGTGGATGGACGGGCGCAACTTGGAAGTTTTGTCGAATGCGAAGGCCCTTTGACGTAGTTGCCTGAGTCCGAAGGTTGGTCTTGGCTTGCCGAGGCACCCTGGCTCTGCGGCTTTACACTTTCACTCCTTCACCTCGTGCTATTTTTGACAAACAAAAAATTTTCATGTTTTGGAGGATTTTTAGGGAGTTCGTGCCCCCTCATAAGCTCTCATATTCTTCGTGATCTACTGTGCATGTTACCAACTATTCTACTGCTTGAGCTGTCTATCTACGTGGAGGTCAGGCTCGAAGATCGTGGAAAGACAGTATTCAATTTCCACTGCTGCATAAAAGTAAACCCAAAGAATCTCCTCCAGAGAATGAGATCGCAAGATAGATACTCAAAAGGTGAATGTCAGAAAGAGTGTCCTGTGTCTGCATGTTCAAGCCCTCTGTCTCAAAACCTGTTTCCTCCCCAAAGACATCTCATCGCATCGCAAGAAATCAAGTCCCAGTGCTGCATCCTCGGTCCATATCAGATTATCGTCCTTCCATACACTAAGTATCCTCGGCACTTCAGGTGTCAGCAGTCTTGCGCAGAACGTAGGTGACATTCTTGTACTTGATCACGCAAGGAGTCTCGCTGATGCGCTTCATGTTGATAGTGTGAACAGCCATGGCGAAAGTTATTTGTCCCTGGTTGATGACACGTTCAAGACCCATGATGTTAGCCATACTGAGGGCCAGAGCATCCCTCTTGATACCAGTGAATCTCGAAAAGACATTCTTCTCGAGGTCAGCAAGGGAAAGATCATGCTCAATGCCAACAGAGATGCTGCGTTCTTCATTCTTGTTAACGATACGGTGAAGTTGGTCGTGGGTGGGCAGGCTGTCCAAGATGGCATGAGGGAAGAGTGGGTATTGTTCGCCGAGCTTGGAGCAGTAGCGGCAGCTGGCTTCGTGTCTGACAGTGAAGGTGCCGATCTTGCTGCCAGCCTTGCGCGAACACTGGAGAACCACCTCGGTGTTGTTCTGCACGCCAAAGTGGATGACCAGACTCTTGAAGAGAGGAGTCTTGTAGCCCAGAGGTGTCAACCACTCCATGACCGAGTTGTGGATCTTGAACTTGGCTTCCTTTGCCTGAGCGTCTTTGGCGATGGGGGCTTCCTCGGTGAAGACACGGAAAGTGTTGGTGCCGAGGAAGATGGGAAGCACAGTTGCGCGTAGGTATCTGTTGACACGAGCGAGTGCAGGAGTCTGGGCGTTCTCAAGCATGATGACTTCCTCTTGATCTTCAACTACGTATTGGTAGACCATGATCTGCACCTCGGTAGGCAGGCGAAGTAGAGGAAAAATTCCAGTGGGAACATATTCTGCGGGTGGATCCTGAGTAGACTTGTTGGCCATGGCGGTAGTCGAGTCGTCAGGATCGTTGTTCTCGGTGTCTTCGTCCTCTCTCTTCTTGTTCTTGCTCTTGATGTTCTCGATGACCTGTTTGCGAACCTCGGCGCGCTTCTTGGTCTGAAGGCGCGTCTCACGCATGGTTAGTTCTGATGCAAAGATCTATCAGTATTGATTGTAGTTGAAGCGGGAGATCTTGAAAGACATACAAAGCAAAAGTATTATCGAGGTGAGTTACTGGAGCTGAGGTGATATTGGATGAAGTAATCCAAGAGTATGTTGTGGAAGGAAGATGATCCTGGATAGGAAGCAACCAATGAAGGAATGGTAGGTGAGGAGAGTAAAGGTGAGGTGGAAGGAGGTTGTGTGGATATACTTGCCAGTCTGGTATGATCGACTCACTGAAGGTGACGGTGACTGCTCAGTCGATACTGCTATAGTATAGAAGGTCGTTGTCAAGGTTGGCTGCTGTGTGTGAAGTTGGTTTCGTCAGTTTGCAACCGCACCTCTCGGCAGCTCTCACCTCTGGAGATGTCGACTTTCTGTATGATATACAGATCAATGATTAATGGGCGGCGAGGCTCAAGGACGTTGAAGCTGTGGCTGTTGGTTCAGATTGAGCAATGCTCAACAAAAGGTTGTGAGTTAACGAGAGTGGACAACTCGACAGTGAGTGATGCCTGACCAAAGTGTGGAGTGGGCGTGAGAAGGAAAGGAAAAGAAGTTGGTAGATGGTGGTCAGGCAGAGAAGCCACAACAAAGAAGGGGAATTGGAGAGAAAGTGAAAGCAAAAAACACCCACGAAGTCAGCGACTAAGCAGGCCGTGTTGTCGGGCACAACGGACGTGATGATTGGACTATAAATCACAACAAGAGTTCGAAGTTTTCTTCCTCTTCTTCCATCACACACAAAAACCCATCTGCAATTCAATCATCCTCAAGACACACCCATCATGTCTGACAACGAATCCACCGGCGAATCTCCTGTCAAGGCCGACAAGAAGGCCGTGGTCTTTACTGAAAAGGAGGAGATGGTCCTCAAGGCTGCCTGGCGCTGCCTCAAGTCTGGTCCACCTGAGGTAAGAGATTGTCTGTCACGATCCAATCGCACTCAGCTAACAAGACCAGATTGACATGGAAAAGCTCATGAAGGCTGCTGGCTTCAACACCATGAAGACTACATCCAACACTTGGGGTAAGCTATGCGATGCCCGCAGAGAATTATCGCGCGGTTCATGCTGACTGTTGTTCCTCTTCAGGTGTTATCAAGAAGAAGCTCTTCACTGACGTTGATGGCGATCCTCTCCCCACCGCACCCAGTGAGTCAGATCTTCGACGCGATATGTTTACGCATCTAATCACAACAATAGACACCCCGGCTAAGCCCAAGCCCGCCGCCAAGGGCAAGAAGGCTGCTGCTACTCCCACGCCCTCGAAGAAGCGCACCAAGAAGGATGCTGAGAACGAGGACGGCGATGAAGACGATGAGGGAAGAGCTCTCGTCAACAAGAGAAACAAGTCTTCTGCTGTCAAGAAGATCGTCAAGGCCGAGGACTCTGATGATGATTGAAATGTCGATGCAAGCTTGAGCGTTGTCTGGTAACGCAACGCAGACAAGGCTACCAGTCGATAGGTGATGAGGAGCGACACAGGTAGTTTGGCATGACCTTCTCGTACCAGAAGAACGAGATTTAGTCTCTCCAATTGATCAAGGGTTCATCCGTCCTAAACCTCTGCGTGCAACTGCTGTCCATGATGTCGGTCGTCTGACCCATACGGTAGGCAAGCAGACCAGCGTGGGCAATCATGATACCATTGTCAATGCAGAAGCGCTCGTCGGTTGCATAGACGCTTCCTCCTCGCTCACTTGCCATCATACCCATCATATCTTGCAGTCTGACGTTGCAGCCGACACCGCCAACAATCAAGACCTGACTTGCACCGACATGGGCCATGGCGCGCTCGGTAATCTCAACCAGCATAGCAAAGACAGTCTCCTGTAAGCTGAAGCACAAATCTTCACGAGTAATGTCTTCTCCCGTCTCTTCATCTTTCCATACTTCAGTCTTGCCGTTCTGACCAGCCTCTAGCTTCTTTGCCAACTCCTCGATACGCGCGAGGATGCCAGAGAAACTGACATCCATACCCTTGACAGCGTAAGGCAGCTCGACCAGGACCTTACCCTTCTTTGCCATTTGTTCAATGTTGTAACCAGGAGCAGGGTCGTTGCTAATAGCTAGAACTCTGGCGAATCTGTCCAGGCAATTACCAACGGCGATGTCAAGGGCTTCACCAAAGATACGGTATCGTTGAGCACTGTATGCGATGATCTGGGTGTTTCCACCGGAGACATAGAGGACGACAGGGTTCTGGGCACCAGTGATGGCACGACCCATCTCGATATGGCCGACACAGTGGTTGACACCAACAAGTGGCTTGTTCCAGAGAAGGGATAGCATACGAGCAGCGATAGCGACAGCACCGAGAGGAGCACCCATACCAGGGCCTTTGGTAAAGCAGATGCAGTCAATGTCGTCGACCGAGACTCGTGCTTGCTTCATGGCCTGCTTGACTAGACGTACGACCCAGCGGCGATGGTGGGCAGCGGTATCCTTGGGCAGGAAACCAGAGCCTGGAGGCGAGACATAGGTATGACGCAGGTTGGACAAAATTTGGACCGGAGGACTGTCATGTTTCGAAGGTGCTTGTCGTGTCTGAGGGCTGTCGGCTTGGGAAGAGGGATGGAGAATGACGCCGACACCGAGCTTGTTGGCAGAGCCTTCGAGACCTATTGCGATGGCCATTTTGGTGGATATGTGAGATTGGTAGAGCAGGTACGACGGACGGTGTTAAGCGACGGACTTGGATGCAGAAGGGACTTTGACGCCAACCAGATTGGGAAAAGTGGCAGCGCTTGATGGCCGGCCCTGGCCTTGGCCTCGTCTGTGATATTCATATTACCTTCTTTACCAACAACCTCTGCAAAGAGCACACCACCACTTTTCTGCACTGAGCACCTCGTCGTCGTCCGGCCTGTTTCTCATGGCTTCTCTCTGTTCTTTTTCTCTCTTTTCCATCTTCTCTTGATCATTGTCATCTCACTCACCAACTCAAACCACTTTCCTCTGTACACAGCACCGCCTCAATCATGGTCTTGTTCTTCGCCAATCTTCCTCGCCCCTTGAAGTCAGCAGATGAGAACATACTTTCCTGGCCAGCCTTGAGTGTACCCACCCGCATCACTCTGGCACCAGCGCCTGTACTCGTCTCCTCTTCTTGTACCACCGCCGCCCCGCTTACCGCCTGAGATGCACATCGCCTGGTAGAAGCAACGACACTCACCACAAGGACTTCGACAGTTGCAATGCTTCCGCCTTGCATCGTATACCGAAAGTTAGCAGTGTCTGCTTTGTCTTGCCCTACGGACACCTCAAAATCAGGACTCGGCCCTACCTAAGCGAATCATCACAACCAGAGAAATTATCTTTCGGACTTCGGACTCGATCCAAGATTGAGAGGAAAAATGGTCTCTGAGACCGAGCAATGCTTGACGTTTCTCATCTACTATACAAAAGTCGTCAAGGGAAGGAAAAAAAAGTGGTATCACAAAAAGTTTTCGTCAGAAAAATGCTCAAATCAACTTCCACTCTCGCCCTGGCCATGACTGGTTCCATGGCCCGCCGTCGACGCACCACCCGTCATGGCCACATCGCCGCTGGTTGCTGCTCGCCTCAGCTGCGCTACATGGTCTGCTGTCGGGTCGACTGGCCTCCGCGGTGCCAGGATGCTAGCCCGATAGCTGATGCCCAGAGTGTCGTAGCAATCCATAGGATATACGACCGTCTCGCCATCACTTTCATCATCGGAGTCGCCTATCACGCCTTTGCTCTGAACAAACATGCGCGGCTTGCGTTGTTCAATATACAGTCGACCATTACGACCAAATCGTCGCCTGTACGCAGGTCTTTCGTATCCTGCCTCGGGTGGCGGCGAGTTGAAGCGGAACATGGTACGAGGTGGTTGTTCTTGCGCAGCGCTGACTGGTGTAGGTAAGTCTGCGTCTTTCATCTCAACATCCTTGACATGATCTTGTGATGTTTCTGAATGCAAAGATGCTGGCGGCGTTGGCAGTTGAACCTCTTCAATGCGTGGCAGATATCCAGACGCTGAAGAAGGCTCGGCTGGCGGTGTGATTGGTCCCCAAGTATTGTCGACCCAATCTTTGTTCCACTTGCGATGCTGGCCAATCTTTTCTTCGACTGATCGCTGGATCGCCGCGGCTGCCTCTTCCTGGATGTCTGACAGTTGCACAAGATCGTTCTCCGGCGCTGCTCGGACTGCCTCTGCCCTCGTGCCAGGGAGACGCAGTGTTGTGGGCCTTTGTCCATCGGCCTTCGTTGGTCTGGGCTTTGGTGTGGGCTGTTCAACATCAGCATGCGAACCACAATGGCGGTAACAAGACCATGACTTACTCTTTGGTTGACAAGGAGTTCCTCGTCTTCTCCCTTTTCACCCTTGATTCCTTGCGCCACCTTGACCTTCTTCAACTCACTGCGTTGTTCGAACACTTTGCGTTCTGTCTCTATCCTCTGCTTGATCAAACGCTCGCGCTGATTGACAGATATGAGAAGCTGTCTTGCATCCTCAAGCTCTCTCCTCAGCTTCTTGAGCTTCTCAGTCACCTGAGCATCTCTACCTCTGGTCTTGCGAGCCTGTCGTACTTCGCGACGTCTGAAACAAACGTAGGCGTCGTTGTCGTCAGTATCGGCTCCAGTCTCGAACTTGAGGCTTGACAAAAGCGAGCGATTGCCATTTTGCGCTCTTCTCGAACGCCAGTGTTCGTACACATCCTTGGCCCACTTTCGAGCTTCTACAGAAAGGTTTGTCTCATCTTCTGGGTCGTCATAGTAGCTTTCGGCTTCTTCGAGTGTCAGAATCGGAGCGTTGGAAATATTGGCGAAAGGATGATTCTTGTCAGACTTGAGCTCAAAGAAGCTCATCAGCTCTTCGAAGAGATCTTCCGAGAGCTTCTCATCGTCTTTTTTTGATGAGTTGAAGTTCAGCAAGAAGACATCATCCTCGTCGTCGATATTGTACTGATGTCCGATGCAGTCCTCAACCGTTGAACTGAATCGAATGTAGGTCGCAGGTTCAGCAAAATGTCGTGGATACAACTGATCATATGGAATACCACTCGATTTTGTCTCTGGAGTTGGAATATAGACTTGGTTGACTTTGGCACCTAGTGACGCGGCGGCAGAGGCAGAAATAACAGCCTGGAGATGGTGTTCTGTCTCCTCTGCCTTTTCTACACCAGTCTCAACATGAGGTATGTGGCGTTGAGGGTCCTCATCGATGGCAAAGGTCTCTATTTCATTCTCCTTGACGACCTGTAGCGGATGCTTGGTCGAGAGTTTCCTCTGCCTGAAGCGTGCACCGGAGGCACGAGTGCTCTGCATACTCTCATGCAAAGTTGTGGTGATGAATGAAAATTTATGCAGTCAGAAAGGCTTGGCGTTGGATTAATGAAAAGCTGTCCTCGGGGGAAAAATTTGCGTGTCGCGAAAGTGGGATGGAGGAACAGGGAGAGAGCAAAGGAAAAACCGCGCGCAACCGCCTTCGCAACGCAAATAATTAATAAAAAGCCTCCAGTATTAAAACTGAGGTTCGATTTTGATGGTCGTGTCGATATTGTGATTTTCGGAGATGGCGGTGGATGGTGGTGGTGCTTTGTTGTCGATTTGTGGTGGTGCAGCGCGTGTCGCTTTGGCGTGGGTTGCGAGTGCTTCGAGAGGGCGAGTTTCTGTCGTCGGGCGTTGTGGCATTTGTTTCCGCCCCTTGGTCGTGCCCAGTCCAAAGCTCACTATTCACGTCGGAAGGCGTTTTCGCCGAGACAAAACAGGCAGGGGCTACCTCACAACTTCCACTTTGAGCGGTGACATTCACTTCTTGTGGGTGAAACACAGGTAAAAAAGCAACATTGCGGCTACGATCGCGATCTGTGAGTGACAGGTACCGTCGCCCTCTTCGTCTCGCCCTTTGATCGATTATAGAATATTTGAGAGATGCGATTTTGTGCAGTGTCTGCCTTGTCGCAAGAACCACTACGGCGGCTACATTTTATGCTCACAATGAATAGATCAACAATGTTCTCTCATGACCGATTACTAGATCCAGCACTAGCTTCGGACAATTGACAGGTACAGGGGGCTTCCACACCTGGTCATGCTGTATGCGCGCGCATCATCGCGCTTGCTGCACAGCAGCCGGTCCAAGTCGGTCCTCGAACATTTCTGGAAACACTCGACGACTCTTCACAATGACAGTCCAAGACTCAATCGAACTCTCCCATATTGCTCCAAGTGGCTCGACTTATGAACCGCTGCTGCTTTTCTTCATTACTGGGAACCCTGGCCTCATTGAATACTACCGCACATTCCTGACATTGTGCTTTGATAGCCTTCGCACCAAGTACTCGAATCGTCACATCAAAGTTGCAGGAACAAGTCTTCGAGGTTTCGGAGTGCAAGACGACAAACATCAAAATGCTGTCAATGACAATGCTCAAGGACCGTATGATCTGGAACAGCAAATGGAACACATAGGCCAGATGCTCGAGAGAGCGATCGAGGGTCATGCAACACAAGACCATCCTACGAAGGTAATATTGATGGGTCATTCAGTGGGCTCGTATATCTTGCTCGAGGTCTTGAGGCGACGCAAACAAAGCCCAACGACTCAGCAATTAAGCAATGATGCCAGAGTCATTGGCGGAATCTGTCTGTTTCCTACGGTCACTCACATCGCAAAAAGTCCAAGCGGCAAGAAGTTCAGTGTATGTTTTTCCCATATCTTCCATACTCATCATGAATGTGCTATCTACCGTCAACCCTTGCTTCACCTGCTTGACATCGTCCATTGATTGTGTTTTTCTAGTTCTTTTTCGCTATTCCGTACTTTGCTGTTGTTGCAGGCTTTGTTGTACGTCTACTTTTCTCCTGGGTTCCTTTTACTGCGGTGCAAAGTCTTGTCAGTCTCGTCACTGGATTTCCTGCTCCCGCCGCAGAGACCACAACTGCATTCATCAAGAGCAGAGGCGGTGTCAGGCAAGCATTGTAAGTCTCGGGGTTTTCTGCCAAACCCACGACTCTCGCTAATACAGATCAGATTCCTCGCTGGTCATGAGATGAAGACTATCACCACCGATGCTTGGGACGATGAGCTCTGGGGCATTTCAAAGGCACAAGACGCGAACAGCAACAAAACGAAACTGTACTTCTACTTTGGCACTGATGACCACTGGGTTGCCAACGAGACTCGAGACGAGCTCATTGCTGCCAGAGCTGCAACAGGTAAAGTGGGTGAAGAGGATAAGCCTACTATGCAGATTGATACTCATGGCACCCCTCATGGGTTCTGTATCAGTAAGTTATCTTCTCGTGTGCAGTTGCAAAGCGTTCTGACAGAAGACAGAGCATAACGATCTAGTTGCGAAGAAAGTTGAGCAGTATATCGAAGAACTAATGCAGAGTGCTGCATAATCTAATGCTGAGACATTATATGCCTCCCAGCAGTTGAACTTCTGGGGAACACTGGTCAGGAGAGAGTGTTCTGCATATCGCGCTGGCCACAGGATTGCGTTGCGGTCGATCATGTCGATTTTGTCAACCAGAAATTCGCGAAGGCCTACAGCTTCACTCTCGACATGACTCTACTCGATAAGGTCTCGCTCAAGCTATGTCTGTACACACTTGACACCGCACTCTATCACAGCACGGCTATGACATCACAATGCATCGGACCAACCCAATCATCCTTATGCCAAATGTTACACTGCCTTGCCATGCAGTCAGGCATCACCCGGGCGCGTAGCTTGTCAATCCCTCACCGATAATACTCAACGCTCTAATCTCACTCGATATTTCTCAAAGAGATCGCTTCTTCAATTCTACGCCCAGTCATTCGTAAAACCAATAGGAACCTCTCTTTCTCACACTCTCAGATCAGACCAAACAACGCAGTATGTCAGACAAAACATACAAGTTGCCAACACCTCCACCCCTGCAGCACATGCAGCAGCAATCGCAGCAGCAAATCCGTCAAGCAACAAGTCAGCAACAAACACTACTCCCTCCGAACGCAAACAGCGATCGCGCTTTTCTGACCAATTCTACAATACATACCACAACTAGGCATATCGCTTTCTTTTCCCTCCGATGACATGCAACCGCCTTCCACAAACATACCTCGTCCATCAAACCCAGCATTATAATCAAAACCTTTCAACAAAACAACCCCACCACAACACCACCCCATGCCTATCAAAACCATCCTCTTCGACTTTATGGGAACATGTCTAGACTGGCACTCCCACATCGTTTCAACCCTCCCTTCTTCCCTCCCAGAGCCCCTTCGCTCCTCTTTCGCCCTCTTATGGCGACAAGCCTACTTCGACTCTACCGCCTTGCACCAATCCCAAAACCTGCCACCCGAAGATATAGATCACCCACGCACACACTTACGACGAGACTCTTTCCCTAGACGAGTTTTCCGTTGCCAGAGATGTGTTTTGTGCTCCTGGCGTCAAGGAGAGATTTATCAAGGCTTGGCATCATTTACCTGCGTGGGAAGATGTTAACCCAATCCTAGAGCAATTAAAAACCAAAGGTTTTGAGATTGTGGTTTTTGCGAATGGAACCACGCGTCTCCAACTCGACCTTTGTAAATCTTCTGGCTTGGGGTTTGATATGCTTTGTTCGTCACAAATGCTTGGAGTTTATAAACCTGCCATTGAGAGCTACGCAAAAGTCATAGAGCTTTTGGGACGAGAAGCAAAGGAGTGCGTTATGGTAGCTGCTCATGCGTATGATTTGAGGGGTGCGAAAAAAGCGGGGATGAAGGGGGTTTATGTGTATAGGTGGACTGATGATGTAAAAGAGGATCAAGAGGTGGTGAAGATGGAGAATGAGGTTTGGATGGAGGGGATGACGGGGCTTGGGGATGTGATTGCGGGATTGGGATGATAAGCATATTATCTGATCTATCCCGATATACTAAACACTACCACAATATATCTGTAAAGATGCACAATACTTTTCCCAAACCCAGTCCTTTCCACAGAGATACATCAAAGCAACTACATCTCTATGGAACCTTCCCAGTCCAGACAACTACACTGCATTTCCACAACTCCACTCCAACCCCCTTGACTCGTCAGGAATTCCATCCAATCGCTTGTATATGTATGCCTCCTTTTCTTCCTTGGAGACCTCTTCAGCAACCCTATCCTCCCGTTCCAGATCTCGGATCAACCTGCTTCTGTGATGTTCTTCGATGAGTTCTGGAGTTTCCCACAGCTTGAGCAATTGGTCAATTTGCTCAGGGGTAAGTTGAGAATCCCTGACTTGTGATGTTACAGACCTGGTGTTGAATTCAGGCTCTGTGACAGCATCGGAGAATTTGTCCTGCATATACTTCTCTCTGAGGGGGTTGTCATCCTCGAAAGGGTCGTAGCCGGATAAGGGGGTATCGTGGTGTTTCGTATCAACACCATCGTGGTTGTTACAACTCTGCTCGACATCACCAGCCGACGGCTCCAACCCTTCAGGCTGGGGAAGCGACTCACTAACCACCTGCTCAGTAACCTCACCCTCGTCTCTTGTTTGGCCCCTCCGTACCGCCGCTCCTACATCGTCGAGGCCCTGCTCAGGGTTCAGGATGAAATCAAAGTATCGAATGGTGTAGGAGTAGGATTTGGAGGGTGAGTTGGAGTTGGAGCACGAGTGGGGTTTGGAGTAGGAGGCCATATTTTACATGTGTGGTTTGTTTGTAGGTTTAGTGAGGAAGGCGGTTCTGGTAATGGAGGAAGGAACTTTCTGAGTCGTCACTTTGTTGAAGTGAAGGGGTTGGAGAGTTTGATACATGTTGGTGGTGGGAGCGTTGTCAAGATACAAGTACCTCTTTGATTCAAGATGACTTGCCGTTGGGTTTGTTGTTCAGAAATGATGTTTCTGAAAGATACACGGTCTGTTACTGCTGAGATCCGAAGATAGGCAAGAGGAAAGGTCGATTCGTGGATGTACGGACGATTGAACTTCGAAGGTGGATAGGAATCCAAGATTTGTTTGTATCAGACAAGAAAAGTTGTTATTCACGCGACATTGTTGGACTCGAAGGCCTTGGTTGCGAAGAAGGCCTGTGTGAACATTAACAAGTAACGATAGTATGAATCGATGAGATCAAAGTGAAGTCGAAAGAATGATTCAATAGCAACGCCGGGTTCTCCTGACCAATGTATGCTGGGTATAATCCTGACCGTAGCGCCCCCAGAAATGATAGACATATATGTTAAGAAAAGATGGTAGAGACAGATTTCAGTACTGAGGGGGCACAAAGGAACTCTTGCTTGTTCGCTCATCATAGACATGGAAGCCGAACTCGGCAGCGTTCGGGGGTGTATACACTGCTTGAGGGTTAGCAGGAGATGGGCAGATATGGGGACGGCCAAAAGTCACTCACAATGTAGCGACATGGCAGGTTCAACAGGGTCGGGGTTGAAGACGCGATGAAGGCCAATCTGGTCGGAGATGTAGGTGACCTCGTCAGGGTGGTATACAGTCTCTTTCTTGACTTCCAGAGGATGGACAGAGTTGTCGCCGCTTTCTGGCTTGTGATAAATGGTCTCTGTCAGGTTGCCCTTGAGGATCTTCATGATACAGTGAGCATCGGCATGGTCGTGGATCAAGCTTCCTTTGCCAGGGTTCCAGACAATGAGGATCAGATTCGCTTTGCCGTTAACGTTATCGACGATGTTCCTCGTATAACCCCTGCTCTTGTCTGCACGAGCGTAACGCTCCCAGTGCCTTGGATCGGAAGTGTACTTCGCCATGATGGCTTTGATTTGATCGGGGTCGACATGAGCCGAGTCGATACCAGAAGAGGGACCCAAGTACTGGCGGATGTCGCGGACGAGATGGCCGAAAGGATCGTCAGAGACGGCAGATTTACAAGTGGCGCAACAGTGTAGGTGAGGTTGGTTTGGCGTCTTGACCATGGATGAGAGTGGTGCTGCAACAGACATGGTTGATTCGAAAGACAGACGGTGCGGCTATGGGTTGTAGGTGATGTTGCAATTGATTGTTGGGGACGAGTATGTCAATACGGAGGAAGCAAAAATAGGAGAAGGTGGTTAGGCCATGGATGGTTGTGGTATTTGTATTGATGTTTGTTCAAAGAGAAGTCGGCGATATTTTGACGCAATCATCAAATGTCAGGGCCTCATGATGCAAAATGTCGCCGGGCTTTACCTGCTTGACTCGGCCATCCAGATGAGCCATATCTTATGAGAAATTCACGCAACAAGTCAGTCGACGAAAAAGATGATAGAGAGAAACATCTGAAGTGTCGCATTCGAGAGAAAGTATATGCGATAAGAATGGTCTTGTACCTGTCCTGGCCCTTGCAGAAAGAAGGCGGCGATGCGGGAAAGGAAAGAACAACCCCGCAGTCGTCATTCCCAATTGCAGCAGCCAAATTTGCAACTTCGACTTCTCACAACCCACTGCCCTCGCGTGCGCCCATACCACATTTCGACCATCCACCCTCGCTCCACACGTCGCGAGATATACTCGACTCCCGCGCACTAGTCGCCCCGTTCCACACAAACACCACTCATCATGGCGACTACCGTCGACAAGGTGCGCCGCCTCTGCGATACAGACTCCGACAAAATTCATTGCTAACCCATTTCGCACCACAGATCAAGCAGATCGAAGATGAGATGGCCAAGACCCAAAAGAACAAGGCCACTTCCTACCATTTGGGTACAGAACCACGACAGAGAAAGAGCCACACGACATTCGACTAACCACCACAACAGGTCAGTTGAAGGCAAAGTTGGCAAAGCTGAAGAGAGAACTCCTGACCCCATCGTCAAGTGGTGGCGGTGGTGGTGCTGGTTTCGATGTTGCTAGAACTGGTGTTGCCAGTGTGTACGTACATCCACTCGACTTGGCACATCACAAAAGCTGACCCTCGACAGTGGCTTCATCGGTTTCCCCTCGGTCGGAAAGAGTACCCTGATGAGTAGACTGACTGGCCAACACTCCGAGGCCGCTGCATACGAATTCACAACCCTCACCACTGTTCCTGGTCAAGTCATGTACAACGGCGCAAAGATTCAGATCCTCGATTTGCCTGGTATCATTCAAGGTGCCAAGGACGGCAAGGGTCGTGGTCGTCAAGTCATTGCTGTCGCGAAAACTTGCCATTTGATCTTCATCGTCCTCGATGTCAACAAGCCTCTTACCGACAAGCGTGTTATCGAGAACGAATTGGAAGGCTTCGGTATCAGAATCAACAAGTCTCCACCAAACATCCACTTCAAGAAGAAGGACAAGGGTGGTATCAGCATCACCAACACCGTTCCCCTTACACATATCGACCACGACGAAATCAAGGCCGTCATGTCCGAGTACAAGATCTCTTCGGCTGACATTGCCATCCGTTGCGACGCCACTATCGATGACTTGATTGATGTCCTGGAAGCAAAGAGCAGAAGTTATATTCCTGTCATCTACGCCCTCAACAAGATCGATGCCATCTCAATTGAGGAACTCGATCTGCTATACCGTATCCCCAACGCCTGTCCCATCAGTTCCGAGCACGGCTGGAACATTGACGAACTTCTGGAACAGATGTGGGAGAAGCTCAACTTGTGCCGAGTCTACACAAAGCCAAAGGGCAAAGCTCCTGACTACACCGCTCCCGTCGTTCTGAGAGCAAATGCTCGCACAGTCGAGGACTTCGTATGTCTTCAAGTCTCCTGTTCCACAGTTTCAAGCTAACAACCTGCCTAGTGTAACGCCATCCACAAGAGTATCGTCGAACAATTCAAGGTTGCCATTGTCTACGGCAAATCAGTCAGACATCAGCCTCAAAGAGTCGGCCTTGCTCACGAGCTTGCCGACGAAGATGTCCTGACCATCATCAAGCGATAAATACGATCATGCACCGTCAATCGCCTACAACCATCCATTTCCACCCACATTTGATATCCCCGATTTGAGTGTCGGCCTTGAGTCTCGCGAGATCAACGATCCCGTCGCTTGATATTGCTTGCAGCAGCCTTTGTCATACCCATCCAACATACGCTAGTGTCCACCTCACCACACTCGTATCATGAACAACAATGACCGGTCCGGTAAGAGACCTTTTCTTTTTTCTACTTTATGGAATCTTTCTCAGATAGACCGGCTATTGCCCATCCAAAATCCACGACTTTCATCCAATCGTCTTGTCATCCATTTTATCCATCATTTTTCTGCTTTTCTTCTTTTTTTATGCATACCATTTTTTGATTGGCCAAAGCATTGTTATCTTTTTTCCCAGTCGCGAAGCAGGTGCATAACCGCCCCGCACATAGCCTCGGCCCACATCAACTTTTAATCAAAAGGATCTCACATCGACTTGCGATTCGTCAATTCTGCTTCTTTTCGAAGCCGGTCATGCCGCTTTGTGAGCTGATCCAATAATGCAAGGCAGCTTTCTGCTGTGGAGAGACACCATCAAGCATGTCTCTCGCTCGGTTTGACCTCTCACACGCTGCATTGCAGGCCGCCTAATGACGAGGGTTTGAGGTCGTCTGCGACGGCGCCGTCTAAACAACTGTTCGCCTGGAGCTTCAGTACTCAACAGTTCTGGTCTCACGCTTACGTTGTAAAAGTGTCCTTTTGAGGACGATTGCAGACGGGATATCAGCAGCAATATACATCTGCTTTACGGCCGGGTCAATAAGAATCGAAACATGCCATGCCAGGACACCATTGGTGTTTGTGTTGTGTTGTGCTGTCGGCGCTCGGGCCTTCATACACCACCACCACCACCATCAATCTTCAGCCCACAGAAAGCACGAAGCCGATCATCTGCTACCGGCTTTCTGAGACGAATGCGGGCGGGTTACCCTTCCGTGTGGAGTTCCCTTATGGCTGTGCATGCAATTCTGCAGGCGGCCAACAAAGCGGCCGCAGCAGCAGGGCCTCTAGAGTCTCTACGAGGCCCGGTCCTCCACAGCCAACCTGCAGTATGACCCAGCACTTGCTTGCCAGGGCTTCAACACACCACATCTAGTGGTTGCCATTCCCCTCCTTTTTTTCGCGCCTGCGCCCATTACATCGGTCTTCCTATGTACATCGTGATGAATGTCCCCTGCCGCTAATGATCCCTGAGGAATTATTGCGGTAATCCTTTCGGAAACCAGCCTCGTACCGTCCCGATGAGGTTAACTTAATTTCTCACAGGCAAGCCCTGCTTTGACACTATTGTCTTCGATTACCACCTCTTGAAAGGCAAGCAACGTTCTGGTCCCTGAGACTTGTTAGTATCTGCATTTATGCCTAACAAATTGCAGAAGCTTTCTCTCCTCATTGTCAAGGTTCTACGCCGAGCTGCATGCTTCGGCTCGCATGGGGACTGTGCCTCTCTTCTTCCAGGAACAACTTGCATGCTCACAAGGCTCAAGTACATTCATACTTTGCAAGTTCTGGCCACTTGGAAAATTTTTGCAACAATAAATCCAGCACACAAGTAGGATCGAGGCTGTTCTGTGTAACATACAACAATGGACAATGATTCTGAGCAACAACATCCGGCTACGTTTGACAGCATTCCAATGAGGTGGTCAGAACAACAACCATATCCTCACTCCTATCATGGCACGCCTGCGCAAGAGTATACAGGTTTCGGATGGGGATCACCACAACTTCCAATGCATTCTGCTGCCTTTTCGCAATCACCGCCTCTGAGGCCGACGCACCAACAACTACAACCATTGATGATGCCGTGGCCGAGTATGATAGGAAGTCAACAGACGTTCTATCCACCCTTATTACCACAGACTCAAGTGGGCACGATATCGCCTCCCACTGTGACGCCAGTGTCCGCGGGTTCATCCACCAGGTCAGGAGGTACTTCGGTGCGCAAGACGCTGTCGGACGATGATCGGAGACGGATGTGCAAGTACGCCGAGGAAAATCCAACTGCCAAGCAGACCGAGATAGGATGTAAGCATTTTTGTTCGAGTCATGAGAGACCATGAGACTAACTGTCAGTCAGATCTATTTGGAGTGGAGCGAAGGTATGACTGATGACATTCGTATGAATGATGTTAATACTGACCATTGTCAAAGCACCGTGTCGAAGGTCCTCAGGAAAAAAGAGCAATACCTAAATCATGCTCGACCAAAGGAGACTCCACGCTCACCACCGAACAAAAGACCCAAAGCACGACTACCAGACATTGAAAAGACCCTCTCAGCCTGGGTCATCAAAGAGCAAAAGAAAGGTTCACCCATCACAGACGAAGCTATCCGAGAACAAGCCTACTACTTTGCTTCCATCCCTGGCCCTGAGAACCCAGCTTCAAACCCTGTCAATAACCCTGGATGGCTAGAGAAGTTCAAACAAAAGCATCGCATCAACAGCATCAACACCAAAGATCAGGGAGTACGCAAAGACTCTGTTGCAGACTCTGACAATACTCACAACACTCAATCTCCAACTTCACCTTCTGACGAAACCCTCTCGTCCAGTTCGCCAGAAACCATGTTTCCAGCTCTGGACAGCACGATAGTTGGAGGTGTGAAACCCAGCAACAAACGACGCAAATCCCCTCCGTCTATTGATACGGCGTTTACAGATCTAGGCTCTGTTTCTACTTGTTTTACACCTCAAGTATTATCTCCTACAAGCCCGTTTTTCTCTCCTGCATCGTCTGGGGCTTTGCAATCTCCATTCCTGGTTCAGAATTTTAGGGCGCTGGATACGTTTATGGCCGATTCTCCTCCTGCTGAAGAACAAGCTCTTGAACCTTCTCATGGTCATCACACCTCGTCTTTTCTCCCTTCTGGCACTGCTGAGAAAGAGAGATTGGGGAGTATTGATGAATGCATGGAAGATCTGCTACCCCTCCCTCTGCCTCTTGACTCCGACACCCAGCAACATGAAGAAGGATTTGAAACTATCAATCCAGACGCTCTGAGTAATGACGAGGAGAAGGGGGAGAAACCGACCAAAGAAGAAGCTAGAGAAGCTCTCAAAGTGGTGGCCAAGTTTTTCGAAAGTCAACCTAGGGGCAGTTTGGAAGTGCAGGAGGGCATGTTGCTTGGGATTTTGCAGCAGAAGTTGTTGCGTTAAACCGAGCAGATGGGGAGAGAAGAGGTGTGCGTTGGATGTGGAAAGAGAAGGATCGAGATTGCGGGTCTTGATTTTTTGATTCTTTGGACTTTTGAGAGTCGTAGGTTCTGTTTTTGGTTCTTTTGTCTTGTTTTGTTATTTTTTTGCTTTCTTTTGTGTTCGTTCTTTTTTTTTTTTTGTGGATCTTTTTTGGTGATGAGAGCGAGAATGTCTTTTCTGGAAACACACATTACCTGCTGGTTTCAGGTTCACTCCCGGTCATCGCTCTTCTTATTCTGTTTGTCGTATCATGAAGTTTGCCGTTTTTGTTTCTTTCTTGATACACAACCCCTCTTCCAAGGTCATCATTTCCTTGCTTTCCTTTTGTCTTTCGATTTTTTTGGGGGTTTAACAATTTTATTTTTTTTTCGACATGGAGGGAAAGGGGCAAACAAACATATACAACAGATATCTCATATGACTGCTCACGCGAGTCCACAAGATACATTTCAGTTTCTCATCAGGATTGGGGAGAGAGCTTCAGGACTGATTTTATGTATGTACAGGCTTGCATTTCTTTTTTCTCATATAACATTTTGGATTTTCTTATCATATAGCATTCTCTTATTCATGTTCATCTTTCATGATAGAGGGACGCCCATCTCTCATCTCTTCTCTGTGGAAAATCCATACTTTATACACGAACCTCCTCTCTGCTCTCATCCCTCTTTAATACAGCATTAATCCCTTCCCTCTCCAACTCAGGAAACAACCTCACAACAATCAAATCCACAATGCCCACTATCAAATGTTTGTTCAAATACGCATCTCCAAAAACATCAAGCATACTCTCTACCTGCTTCTGTACATCCCCTTCTTCTCTGCCGACAAAAAGCTGTTTTACCACAATAGGAGGTAAAGCAGCAATAATGGCTGCAGCACACTTTGCGCGCAATTCCAAAGCTTGGTCAGGAGTGGGTGGCACGCGACCGGGCCCGAGAGAATTGTTGGGAAACATGTTTGTGCGGATGAGTAAGAGGATGGTGGGTAAACGAGCAGGAAGATCGAGGAGTTTGGTGCGTATGTGGTGGGAAAGGAGTCTAATGGAAAGTAAAGTCAGCAAGACGAGGCCCTGCCAATCTTTCGGAGATCGCAGAAAGTGTTTGAGCGTCGGAACGGGGGCATAGATGCGTGTGAGGTGTGTGTGCAAAGTGTTCGCTCATAGATTGACGAAAAGCCCGTAATCGTCCGGATCATGCTGAGGGACGCCACGGTTACACAAAACCATTCTGTCTAAGCGCCCGTGAACAGCAGCAAGGTAGAGGATAGCGGACGGCCAGGTTGACTCGCTAGGCCACAGGAACTTGCAGCTACTGCTCGAATATCCCAAGCTATTGGCAGATCAGGACGACGGTGTTCGGCGACTGCCGCTTATCCTCGGTCTTTGAGACAAGATAATATGCAGCTTCCGCATCCAGAAAGGCGTCGCCGAGCCGTAATACAACATCGCCTGCAGTAGCTGTGGAGAGAGCAGTCCAGTATCGACGCAAAGCCGGATAAAGTCGTGACAAGCAGAAGCGGGTTTGAACTTCCTTGCAATGAGCGCTTCGAATCGCGACGTGGCGTCCTCTCGCAAACTCCTGTGTGCGTCCAGAATACGCAACGCGAGCCATCATGTCGGTAATTTTTTGCTGCAAGCGCCACGTTCTGCAGGATGCATCCAAGATGCGGCTGACAGGCGGGCGGCCCGTAGCGAAAGGGCATTGGCTCAAGCCGGGATCAAGTGACTGAAAGTACATGCGGGGCTACAAAGATACCAAGGCAAAATTCGGAGGAGGGATGACAATCGAAAGGATGATCGGCGGGCATGGCAGCGCATGTGGAGGAGATATACGATGAGAAAACGATGGGAAATGAAAAGCAAACTCACCTGTCCAATCTGCTGTTTGTGTAACCCACCTTCCATGAGCTGCAGATCAAAAGCCACTGTATGTACGAACCCATGGCTGTAAGCCAAGGCATCTGCAAGTCCAAAGAAAGCAAGTGTGAGCAGCAGCTCCAGAGAGACATTCCCAGTATCGGTCTCTTTGTACTGTCGTGTGTTGATTGCTGGTATAGTGACCCGTTATCGTCCAAGTCAGCATGTATCGCATCTGCTCTGCTATTCGTCCTCGGAGGCAGAGTTGCGGCATCTGACAGAGCTGTAAAGAAGGCCCGTATCGAGATGAAGGCAAGGAAGAGGTATTGCATGACCTGCAAGAACATGCCGGATAAAGTATCCATTGGGCTTGTCGTCGTAACGGCGGATGGCTCTTCTACATCGTCACTATCATCTGCGAGAAGTCCAAACTTCTCGAGGCGGTTAGGACTTGGCGGTGGTTCCTGATGTACATCGGGTTCAGGAGGGCGAACGATTGCAAGCAACTTGGTGACAACATCCCAGATGAACCAGCCTTCGCAGATGTTGCCGCAAACTCCACGTCCAATGATTAGCTCAGAGAATATCTCGGTTACTAAAACTCTCAGTGGCGGATTATTCAAGTCTTCTGGAGGGAGCAGATGAGATAAAACTCCTTGAATGAGCAGTTGGCGCCATGCAGCTTCATTCTCGGCCTGGTCTGATGATGCGAGAGATCCAGGCTCGAAGGGGACAGGAGAGAGAGCAGGATGTGGGTTGATGGCGTGATAGATTTCTCTCGGGTCCGCTACAAGTAAGGAAGTATAGGAACCACTATGTGCAGTTCGATAGGCTGACAAGACATGGGTTAGACGAATACGATATGTCTTTTCGAAATGTGACCTTTACCTGTAACATGAGAGTCGATCAGTTCAGGGAGTTCGTCGAATATCAAGGCTTCCAGATCAACAGCTCTTATTCGTTGCTCGAGAGCGCGAGTGCAGTGAGCGATGATGTGGACGACCTGATCAGTGAACTCATGGTCTGGGGTGATTTTGGAGTACCAAGCATGTATAAAATCCTTGATGATTATGGAAATTAATGCATAGAGCTGAAGGTCGACTTGATTAGAGCTGGTCAAAGGTGGCAGTAATTCGGACAGAGGTTTTGAAATATTTCGAGCTCTGCTGCCTTCTGGACCAGTGAGTTGATGAGGGCATAAGGTGCGTTTGATAAAGGCGACGGTGGCCTCGTCTGAATAGATTGAATCAAGTTTCTTGCTGCTTTTGGATCGGGTATGTCTCGGTCTGGTTGGGTTGTTGCTTCCAACGGATGTGTTGCTTTTAGTCCTCGCATGACCACGCGCAACGGCGCGACCACTTTCTTGATCCATTTATATATTTGAGATCCAGACACATTTCGAGTGTGAGCTCAATTGTTTGACGCAGGCATCGAAACACAATTTTCCATTTTGACGAGCAAGAGTGAAGTTGGAACGGCGGAGAGCGTGTTGATGTCCACAAAGGTGGTCCGTAATTTCGGTGGGGCTGGTTGCTGGCAGGTGCGTTTTGGCTTGCAACCCCAGATCTTGACCATGACATGGCTCTGATCGTCACTTCTTCATCTTTGTCCAACTTTTTGGCCAAGTCGTCGCTATGGCTTCCACAGAAGGCCTTGATCAGGTCGAGCGTATGTCTGCAGCCTACTTGTCTTGTCATTCCATCGCTGACCGCATCGCAGAGCAGCTCAAAGCTGTCATCGACAACTTGTACATGCTCATCTGCCAGGCCCATGAGTTCCGCGGCTCGCAAACAACAGACGCCATGACCTTCGAAATGTAATCGTCCCTTTAACTTCCCAGTCACACAGAATTCCACACTGACACGCCATTCTAGCAAGCGTCTGATCCAAAATCTGCTCTCCCTGTGCCAGACCGCCCGCGTCCTTCCGACCAGCCTCCCACCAGAAGTCATCGAATACGTCGAACGTTCGCGAAACCCTGACATCTATACCCGCGAATTTGTCGAACTGGTACAGAAACTCAATCAGCAACTCAAGGGCAGAAGCCAGGCCTTCGCCGACTTTAGAGACATTTTGGCAAGAGAGATGGCAGGCGCTCTGCCCGACTGCAAACAAGACATCACCATGGTCGTCGAGAGTACTGGAGGCAGGGCTCCTGCTTGAGAATACGCTTTTGCTTCTACTCCATACTCGACACAAAACGCCGTACCTCTTCGACCAGATCAAAAGATGAAGGGAATCATCCTCCACTTCCCCCTCATACTGTCGGCTCCGAACTTTTGCACATACCATTCCCTGGTTCCAGCCGCTGTCACTCCCAAATTCACCGCCACGAACACAAGAGCACAAACGATTGTCCAGTTCAGTACTGCACCAGCTGGCGCTGCAACAATCGAAATTGCAAAGTAAATCAAGCACTCGACAAAATAGTGAGGGCAGACCAACCGATGGAACACTGGATGCTCGGGCACGCTGTATTTCTTCAAGGAAGCCAGATATGCATGACAGTCATGCTGCACACCCGAAGCAAGGATAAAAATCAAGCAACCAACAAAGGTACGGAGCGATGGAGGCTCAATGGTCAAGTGCGAGAGATTGAAAGACTCCTTGAGGAGAGTTGCTAGGAAAGGAAAAGAAGGTCAGAACAGCAAGACATGGATTTTCACAAGACCAAAACCTACGAGCACCTTCGATCCAGACGGCTACGCTCATGCTAGCATAAAACCATACTCCCAAAGCCCAGTGACCGATCCACATACGAGCATTGGATGGCTTAGTAAATTCCAAACATTCATACAAACGACGAAGGCCTTGCAGGAGCATCAGTATCCATGTGACGATGATTTGATCTAAGGTCATGGACTTGGTCATGTTGGTCCAAAATGCCAACTTGCGCCAGAGCGATTGATCAAGAAGGATCTGAGAAAGCCATATGAAAGAACACAATGTGGACACAACATAGAAAGATGCAAACCAACTATGAGGTACTTGGAAAGTGGCAAGTGCGTCTAGCAGGTTGGCGGTGAGTTTCTTTGGCTGTTGACCATTTTGGCGAGAGCCATATGCTAAGAAACGAGAGCGAAGAGAAGGGACACAATGAGCAAGAAGAGCCTGCGAGGAGTCAGCAAACCTGATGATATTGTTTTGTTGTTGTTTTGTGGCTCACAGCTACAGCAGCCAGCAAGAAAGACGCCCTCAAGAAAATGACGAGGTCAAACATAGCGCTAGAAGGCTAAGTTTCTCAGGCGGTTGTTACAGACTGATGGCTTCCTAAAGGGGGCATAAAAAGACTCTGGGCGAATGCAGCACAAGCAGATGACAGGCCTCGCGAAGAAGCCACGAAAACAATGAGGCTGCAAGCACTCAAAAACCAGGCAAGAACAGGCCTCGACTGTCGGTGAGATTGCTAGAGACACATGGATCGGCGGCGTTAGCTTGCACGTGACGTTAGGAGGCCCGTGCCGCGTTAGACAGCGGACCGCTTTCCAAGTCGCAGCTCTTGCTAACGTTAACTGATACTTGCTTCTTCTCAATCCACTCCAACCTCTGTCCGCCCCCTTTACAACCCGACACCTCAATCCTCATTCTGCGGAGCCGGCCTTCGCTTTGCGCTTGTATTGCATGGATATATCCGCGGCATGAGCCACAGCACCCTCTCCGACAGCAACAACGCGCTTGTCCAGAATGCGCCGCCTCTTGCAGCAACCAAGAGCACTGAACCCATGCCTCTAGAAGGCCCATCCGTCTCCTCGCCTCCTTCAGCCCCTTCAGTTCCACAGAAAGATGCTCTCGAGTCCAAAAACAATGAAGCCTTGGACGTCGAGAACGACTCCGAGGCTGAGACTTTGATCGTGTCGCCCGTCAAGAAACGTGACATGCTTAAGCAATCGAATTCTGCCCAAGCTCTAGAAAGTATTGACGAGATTCCTGAAAAGACCTCCGCTCAACCTGAAGAAACTCCAGCACAACCTGCTCGAGGAACTTCGACCGAGAGAGCCCAGACTAATGGCGATGAGCCACAGAAGACCGAGGAACCACTGGCCGAAAAGGTCATCAAGCTGGACGAACAAGACACCAATGCCAATCGAGACAACCAGGACAGCGATAGTGACAATCTGAGCGACGTGTCCTCAGTGCAATCATTCGAGGACGAAAATGGAAATGAAAACGAAGCCAACAACAACGACAATGACGAAGACGACGACGAAGACGAGGATGCAAGGTCATGGGCATCTGACAAGGATGATGAGGAACGAGCATCAAATCCACGGAAACGCAAGCATGCAGATGTCGATCAACCACGTCGGAAAAGGAGGTCTAGCCGAGATCACTCGTCATCACCGCAGTTGCGTAGACACCGGCGGACTGCCTCAGCGCAATCAGCACGGCCCAGCCAGAGTCGGAGTAACAGCGGACAACATTTACATGCAGCCGGCGTGGCACGGCAACGACGCGCCGCTACTCATTTTCCGGTCCGCGACAACATGCTCGCGAGGAACGTCTGGGACTCGGACACTTCTTCTGAAACATCACATCAATATCCCAAAAGCAGACTCACGCGAAACACCAGCAGAGCCGTTTCAACACCTGGTCGACCAATGGGTTTGGCAAAGCGGCACGTCAACAAATACGGCTTCACTCGCTTGGCCGAAGCATGCGAGAACGGCGATCTTGACGGTGTCAAAGAGTGGCGCGAGAAAGACCCTGAGCAACTCGAACAGCGCGAATTTGCAGGAAACACACCACTACAAGTCGCTTCCCTCAATGGCTATCCTGAGATTGTGAGTTACTTGCTCGAGCAAGGCTGCAATCCACATTGCGCAAACGCGGACAAGGACACTCCTCTTATCGATGCGGTCGAAAATGGTCACCTCGATGTTGTTCAAATCCTCCTTAAGGCTGGAATCAACCCTCTTCACTGCAACCTGAAAGGCCAACAGGCGCTCGATGTTATTACCAAGGAGACCGACAATGCTACGGAAATTCGCGCTGCTCTTCGCGAGGCTATCGAAGACTGGAAAAAGAATGGCAGATCCGAACAAACATACAATGTTGAGGAGCCCGCTTCACGGCCTGGACCAAAGCAAGGACTTCAATTTCTTGCACGCACATACGAAAACCTGCTCAAACTTGTTAGCGAGAATGATAGGACAGCCGTTCAAGAGTTCCTGGATGCCCGAGTGCCTGTCGACAATAACGTTGTAGCGGCAGCAGCAAAGACTGGCGACCTCTACCTAGTGAACATGCTTCTCGCCGAGATGACCCCTAAGAAGGCTCGTCAAAGGGCCGATAGACCCATGCTTTCTGTTATCGGAACTTCTCACTTTGACATGGTCAAGGCTCTCACTGAACTGGATCAATTCGAACCCACATGGCGCTCTAAGAGTAGCAACCTGACGTGGTACGAGATTGCCGAGTCCAAGCAGGGCCCGAGGTGGAGAGAGGAGAAAGCGCTATTACAAAAGCTATATGAGAAGGCTGAGAATGCTAGAAAACTCAGCTCAAGCCCGGTGGCTAGACGCGAGCCCACCAAGAAACGACGACGAAGTATCGAACGCCAGCATGACTCTGATGTGGAGATGGAAGATGCCGAGTCACCTGAAAGAGCACGAAGCAGAAGACGATTGGTTTCTAAGAAAGACATGCGTACAGAAAGTAGACAACGATCATCTTCGGAGCTCTCCGACGTTGCACCACCTAGAAGACATGGACATGGCGAACGCTCTTCCGACCAAAACTCCCTCAAACCACCTGGACCACGAAAAGTAGGACGTCCAAGGAAGCACAGCAACTCTCACCTTTCAGAACCACAGCCCAAGCGACACCGTTCATCCTCGATGATTGAGCCTACCGAAGAAGATCGTGCCACAAACGACTCCGAAGACGACGATGAGGATATAAAGATGGAGGAAGCTGATCGCGAGGCCGCAGAAGCAGAAGCCGCTCGCAAAGCCGATCTCGACGCCAAGGCCGATGCTCAGAGATTGGCGGAAAAGCTGCGCAAAGATGAGCAGGCTCGTAAAGAAGAGGAGGCTGCGAGACGCAAAGAAGCTGAGCGCAAGGCTGAGGAAATACGTCAGCAACACGAACGAAAGATGGCAGAAGATCGTCGTCTGGAACGGGAGAGAAAGATTCAAGCCCTTCCAAGTGCTTTGGGGCATATCGTCAGTCTGGCAGACGTTCGTGGAAAAGAGCGACAGACGTATATCCAAAGACACTTCCTTCCCGTTCAGGTTGTCAAGCGAGCAGATCTGGGAGATTTGCCGGATGAGGGCAAGCCTGACGACCTATGGATGCTCAGTTATCAGGCTGCTGCGATTCTCACAGGCAAGGATGCAGATACTGTTCTGGATCTTCCACTTGACGCGAAGGCAAAGCCATCATCGCTCGCTGCAGTTTCAACATCTGAGGTGACTGAAGAACAGCGCCGACTGATGCTGGCGTGTCTTCAGTCGACTAGCCTGGTACATGGACTTCCTTCGAACGAAGACAGCGAACCAGCAGAAACAGGAAATTTGTTGGCTGAGCTTGCAGAAGCCGAGAGGATTCAGCAACGCATCAAGGAAGACCGAGCCAAATTCCTCAACATGGCCGCTCTGAGATGGATGCGATTCAGCGACTTCTACAACATTGCAACATCAGCCGAGTGTCCTCATCTAGCCGGATTGGACATTCAGATGAGGTTTGATTGCTGTCTGGATCCTGTTTCTTTCTCGACAGACGTCAAGACAACCAATGGCACGATTGAGCACGACAAGGAGCGAGTCAATGGCACGAACGGCACTGATGACAGGAGCCTTTCCGCGGCAGGACCCGGAGTTACGACGATTACGGTTGTACAGGATTGAATGGATTGATATGCATGCAAAGCACAGCGCCTGATTGTTGTTTTTCACGTTCACAAAGCATGCATGGTACAGCAAGAAAATGATTGAGGCGTTGTTTTCTATTTCCAAACGAAGGGGGGGAAGGTGGAGTTGTGTGTAGAGTAGCTTTTGATGAGAGTGTGAATCGGACGAGAGAGGCTCTATCTGATTACAGAACTCGGTACATAAAATCACATTGTCCAAATCCTGTTCTACAGCTTCTGTTGCTTGCCTTGAAGTCTTGTAATACGTGTCCTTGACTCTGTCGGGTATTATGTCCTCGTCCTGAGTATGGCTATCTCATCCCAGCGGCGTTCTTCCCGGCGAAGTCGAGAGGATGCCGAGCTTCCCCATATGGTTCTCCCGACCAAAACGTCACCGAAGCCGCGCAGTTGACGGAGCTATGAGCGAGCAAGCGGGTGTCCGGCAGATGATGGATGCTTGCCCGCTTGTAATCAACTTACAACAAGAAACCTCTCTTTCCCTTAGATCCCAGCAACTCCTTCTTTTGTGGTTCCTCAAACATTGTCCTGGTCTTGAAATCGCAAACAACAATGTCCAAACTCTCACCCGCTCTCAAACAATTGATCAATGCGCCGTTTGCGCGTCCTGGAGCTTTACCCGCTCCGCAAGGCATCAAGGCGGTTTACCAGAACTTGGCTAGGGATGCTAAGGAGAGAGGTGTTGGACAGCCTGCTTGGGTGTCGATGGCTGTATGTTTGATCCCCAAGCTCCCAGCAAGAAGCTCTGGCAAGCAAGGACTGACGAAAAGCATCACAGACAGCAACGACCATGACGATGAACTCTCCCGATTCGCTGGTAGAGCTGTTCCATGTCGCAGCTCCTGAGAACGATTCAGTCCAAACGGCAGAACTGATGAGGGAGGTGGGATTAAAGTGTATTGGGTTCAATGGCGTAAGTATTCCCTCCATCCTCTTCCCTTCCTCTGCCTCTTTCCAAATGCTAACTGCACCTTGAACAGGTGCCCCGTACCATCAACATGCTCAACGCCTTCCGCGACTCCCTGCCCCAAGAAATAATCTCCTCGCTCTCCACAACACCAACCCGTATCCCTTCTCCCTCCAACATAACAGCCATGTCCTCCCGCGGCGAAGACCTCTGGAAATCAATCTACGACCCTTTCGACAAGAAGTTGTACGATAAACTCGCTTCCTCGCATCCCGATCTCCCCGTCCACATTCTGCACTCCGAATACGGTGCGCTGTTTGCCGATCCCGAGGAAAAGGTCGCAGGGAAAGTGGGAAGAGTGTTGACGAGTATTGTTGCAGTCAGTTGTTTGAGGACGCAGACGGGGGTGGGGCCTCAGGTGTTGAGTCATGTGTTTGGACTTAGGAAGGCGTTTAAAGATGGCACGGCGGAGAAGGAGGTGCAGGGTGGTGAGTGGTTGGCTGGTGATGAGGGTAGTGTTTGGCTTTTGGAGAGTGTGGATAGACTTGTGGAGGCGTTGAGTGGAGGGAAGGGGTCAAGCTATGCGCCTGGACTCAAAGCGAAACTCTAGAAAAATCAGGCAGGAAACATGAAAGCATGGGGATATGAAGAAGCAAGATTGGCGTATCACAATTGTTGCTACAAGTAGATTGAAAAAGCAACTGTACATATGTGGTTTTCCATAAACATTTTGGTATAAACTACAACATCATGGTATCAAAATATCGGTGTCTAACTTTCACCCTTCCTCTACTCCATCTCGTGAAGGTCATCGGCGACCTTGAACTTGGCACCAGTGTTTTGTTGCACTTGCTCGACAGTCACGCCAGGAGCAACTTCAGTCAGAGTAAGACCACCGTTCTTACGGTCAACCTGGAAGACACACTATCACGTTCCGTTAGCATTCGTGAACATTAAACAGAAACGAAGGCTGAAAAACTTACCAAATCGGTAATGATGGTTGACACACAACGGGCACCGGTAAGTGGCAAACTGCACTCCTGCTGAATCTTGCTGACACCATTCTTATCGACATGATCGGTAAGAACGACAATCTTTGTTTGGTCAGGGTTGGAAACCAAGTCCATGGCACCACCCATACCCTTGAGTACCTTTCCAGGAATCATGTAATTTGCCAAGTCTCCGTTGGCGCTGACTTGCAAAGCTCCAAGCATGGAAACATCGATATGGCCACCTCTGATCATAGCAAATGACTCTGCACTGTCAAAGGTAGAACCGCCAGGAAGGATGGTCACGGTTTCCTTTCCGGCGTTGATAATGTCGACGTCGAGTTCTTCTTCGGTGGGGTAGGGTCCCATACCCATCAATCCGTTCTCAGAGTGAATCCACACCTTAATCTCAGGATCCAAGAATGAAGGAGCGAGTGTAGGCATACCAACTCCCAAATTGACGTAGTAACCTTGCTTCAATTCCTTAGCAGCTCTTCGAGCAATTCTCTCACGTCTTTGCTCGGCTTCGCTCTTGTTGCTTTGATCGCTTCCTTCCACCTCTCTCAGTTTCTTGACTTCGAGTTTCTTTTCTTCGGTTGCGGGGACGATGCGGTCGATGTAGATGCCTGGCAAGTCCACCTCGTCGGGCTTAATCTCGCCGATGGGAACGATGTGCTCAGCCTCTACGATACTGCATTTTGCTGCTTTTGCCATCATGGGACCAAAGTTTCCGGTCGTGTAGCGGAAGACGCAGTTTCCTGCTTCGTCTACCTTGTAGGCGCGGAGAATAGCTACATCGCCTTGAATCGCATGTTCCAGGTTATACTTCTTGCCCTTGAACTCGCGGGTTTCACGTGCATTGCCGGGTTGCAGGGTTGTTGGCATCTTAGAACCCTGCTTGGGGGGACCCATTCTGATGGGAATTTCGCCGGTTTCGATCCATGTAGAGACACCAGTGGGAGTGTAGAAAGCAGGGATACCAGCTCCTCCTGCGCGAATACGCTCAGCAATGGTTCCTTGGGGTGTTAATTCGACGTCCAATTCGCCAGAGAGGTATTTCTTCTCGATGGCCTTGTTGGTGCCCAAGAAAGATAGAATGACAGAAGTGAGTTGACCAGATGAAACCAATTCGGCAAGACCATAGGGACCAGCTCCAGCATTGTTAGAAACGGCCTTGAGTGAGTGCAAATCCTCGATTCCTCTTTTGGCCATGGCTTTGATGATGGTATCTGGGTTTTTGTCAGCCCAATAACCTTTCGCCGATCCCAATTGCAGGACTCAAGAGGGAAGATCAAAACATACCAGCAGTACCACAAAGACCAAACCCAGCACTCAAAATCGTGCTCCCACTCTTGATATCAGCAACAGCTTCATCAGCGCTGGCATAAACCTTTGACCTCGAGCGATCAATCGTAGGCGCCAAGCTCTCGTTCAACTCGATGGAATCCACACCGCTGTTACCACCAGCCTTGACATCATTGATAAACCCACGAGTAAAAGTGACTGTAGCAGCAACGCCAGCTCTCTTGGTCAGAGCAACTCTCGCTGTTGCCCTTGGCAGCTGTGCGCGGAACAAAGCATTAGAAGACGAAGGAAGTAATGCCGAAAGGCGGGTGCATGAACGTCTTGTCGCTGCCATTGTGTGTTGTGTGTACGTCGACCCTCAAAACCAGAACCTCAAGATGTGGAGGAAGAAAGAAGAAAGGATGCAACTTGTATATACGGTAACGGAATATATGGCTAGAGCTAAGCTATATCGGCGGTTCCTCAGTTTCGGTATCTGGCTTCGGAAGCCGTAGGTTTGCCCACTCGGATGTCATTTACGGCAAGCCTGATGCGTTGACGCTGCGGGTTCGTCCGGGGTACGGCTTTTCCCCACGCGACCTCGCCGAATTGCTGTTAAGTTCTTATCCGAGACAGCAATGTTATATTTTCGGAGAGGTAGAAAAACATGTATACCAATCCCATCGTAATTAATGCTGGTCCCACAAGCTCACGGCTACACGCTGCTTCGTAGAGATGAAATTTAACCTGAGGCAGAAACGGCTCGTTGGATATCTATCTACCCTTACTCTATGACGAGCGAGTGACACCTGAATCTATCTAGTTCAAATGACCTATGTATGTCACGATCAGTTGTACTCCCAGCTAAACCCGATAGCAAGCATTTACGAGTCTTACTTCCCATGCATCAGTTCGTTGTCGTGAAGTGACAGTCCAAATGTATCGGTTTACGGTAGACCTACAAGCCAAAGAGTTCTGGGAATTCAAATTTCGCCCTTGCGAGACGAAACCACGCAGGATCAACTCACAACGCTGCTCATCATTTCGAGCATCATATACACCATCCCCCAAGCAGCTCAAAGTGAAAGTAACATGCATCGTTCTGCTGAAATGTCGTCAAACATCGATTCAAGCATAGTTGAGGGTACGACCCTGATCGTAAGCTCATCTCTTGGCGAAGTTCCAGGCTCAAAAATCGAGCTAAGGTCGCGCAGTACAATATGAGAGGAGGGTTGTATGTTGCCAGGTTATCTTGTGTATGTATAGGTAGTTATATGCGGTTCCTGATATGAATAAAAGTCTAAGCAAAAGCAACAGACTTTGCGGCCCTCCCTTGCCCTTCTCTGACTGCCAATAGGAAAAGAAGAAAAGGTTGTACGTGTATAAGTTGGAATCCTTTGCAGGCAGGAGGCCACAAGTCTTTCGTCCGGCGATGACTTGTGAGCCCCTCAAGAAAGAGAACCACTATTGGAAGAATTAGAATCACTGTTGCTCCTTCTCATCTTTATTCTCAGCTACCAATCTTGCAGCTTCGGCAACATCAGCACCGCGAACTTTACTCGCCAGTCCAGCCCACTTGCTCTTAGCACCTTCAGATGCAGATTTCGAAGAGTCGCGGATGACGCTCTCATGCTCGGCGATCTCCTTGTTGTGCTCGACACGGCGAGTGAGGTAGATGGTTGGTGTGCGTCCTCTTCTAGAGTGGATGCGTTGCATTTCTTCTTGGTAGGCCTGCTCGAAGAAGTTGCTGTCCACCGCACCAGGCGATTCGCAGACTACGTGTGTTGTTTGGCCGTTTTCTTCTGACTCATCTGAGGCATGTTGCGAAGACGATTCGCCTCCAATGCCTATGCCAAGATATGTCGTTTCGGATAGTGGGTCGTGAGCATGGCCTTTGTGCGGAGCTTCTTTCAGGGCGCGGTCGACCGAGTCTTGTTGTGCTTCCTGATCTGGGTGATTCGTGTAATTAACATGATCGTGTATCGGATTCAGATCTGGCTCGTCCATTTCTCCAGGGCTGCAGACCATATCATCTGATACTACGATGTCGTGATGAATGCCCTCAGCTGCCAAAACTTGCTCGATTGGTTGCCTGTCGTGGGCATCACTGCTGCGTGTTCGTCTGTGCTTCGTTTCAATACTACCAGGAGGCGCTACTATGTTCGATGCGCGACCGAATATGCCATCCATCAACTCTGGACGCTTGTGAAACAGAAGTTTCTTGAAGCGTTTGACAGCTTTCATCTAGCAAGCCTGTGTCAGTCGTGCGATCATAGCATTGTAGTCTATGCACATACCACAACCAAAAGGTGCTTCATATTGCCCGTAATGGCGTTATTCATTTCTTCTTGAGTCGGCGTGTCGATCATGTCGGCGCAGTTCTCTTCCATAGAAAGTAGAGGATCCTCTCCGCTCTTGGTGACCCACGGATGAACCTAAAATCTGTCAGATCATACATCACAGCATGATTTAATTCAGGAACATACCCTGAGTTCCTCCATCTTGATCCTGCGTTCAGGATCCTTTTCCAGAATCCTTCGCATGAGATCTACAAAATCCGGATTATGCTCTTCGGGCAATTCGAAGTCGTCAGTGCGGATGGTTTCGTACATCTCGAGCAGATGAGTCTTTTCGAATGGTACCCTGCCATATCTGAGACAATATAGCGTGACGCCCATAGACCAGAGATCGGCAGCTCGACCAGAAACACGGCCATGTTTGGCGACACAAAGTTCTGGAGGCATGAACGCAGGCGAACCAGCCGATTTCGCTGTGGTCATGTCGGACTCCTTTTCGAACATTTCTGAAACACCGAAGTCGACGATCTTCAGTACGTTGTCCTCGTTGATAAGGCAATTGTCTGGTTTGATGTCTCGATGCACGATACCTTGCGCGTGTACTGTATAATGTGTCAGTCATCAATAGCAACAAGCATGCGCAAGCCAGCTTTCTTACGGTACTCGATGCCGAGAATCATGTCGCGGAACCAGCATCTGCATGTCTCTTCGTCATAAGGATCGGCTGGATCATCAATACCGACCTTCATGACGACGCCTTTCTTGCACATTTCGAGGACCATGTATAGCGAATCTTCTTCCGGATCGTCCAAGACCTCAATCAGCGCAACAAGATTGTTATGGTGTAACTTCTTCATGATCGCAATCTCTTCCTTGATCAGGTCCAGCGAGTTGTTGGCTTGTGGAGCAAGTTTATCCGAAGTCGACATTCTGTGAAAGGGCTGTCTTTTCTGGTTCGGTCGTCGCAGTAGATTGGATTGCGCGCGCTTGCGCAGGCGTGATTTGGAAAACTCCTTGACGGCATATTCGTTGCCGAATTGATCTACAGCTAGGTGTACTGCGCCAAAGGAACCGCGGCCAATCTCTTGCTTAATGGTGTATTGGTTGATTCGGTGGACAGCAGCGCCGTCATCGTCGCTGGAGCCGTAGTGTGTTCGCGCATTAAGCGTTTCCTGTGCATTGGACGTCAGAGTGGGTTGCGACTGGAGTGTACAAAGTAGAAGGCCGACCTTGACGGTGGTTGTTCGTGAGGGAGTTCGTTGATGGTGTCTTATGGGGCTCTGGTATGCCGGCAGGGACCTGCGCGTCGCGACGAATACTCAGCATGATGTACCAGAACAAGCTTCGTTCCGAAGATCAGCCCTACATGTGTTTGACAGCAGCAGGGCGGCCATGGGTGGTATTTGTACTGGCTAGATTGAGAGAAATACCACGTGAAGGCAGAATGTGTGCATCATTGTGGTGTTGGTGATGGTCATGCCCCGCTTCTGACAATGATGAGCGGGCGTCAGTCGTCCCAGAGGCATCGTGCGAATCTGCCATGTTGAAGACGGCAGAAGAGGAAAGGAAAGTTTCTCATGCGCAGGAAGAGTCAAATGAAAGATGCTTGTATAACATTGCTGCTGGATTCTTTTTTAGAAAGACATAATCGTAGGCTAGGGCACGCAAAAGAAGGAACAAGGTAAAGGCTAGACCCGAGTATCCGAACTTATCAGTCGAGGAAAGCTTTCATTCGACGAACTTGCACCTGCCAAGCTTGCTGTCAATGGCCCCCACATCATCTACCAGAGGGCTAGAACGAACCGCCAACCATCCCTTGATACTATTTTCACCACTTCACCCTTGCAACAATGACTGTATACTCTTTTTATATCTTCGACAGGCACAGTGAGTAGACATTAATCTGAATCAATCAACACATACTGATGCCGATTCAGCCGAGTGCATATACAGCAAACGGTGGGCTCAAAGACCCGTATCTCAATCCCTCAAGGCAGCCCAACGTCAATCAGGAGCCAGTGCCATTAGCAATGGCGACGTCCCAGGCGTCAACTCGAAAGCTCTATCGAATGAAGACGATGCAAAGTTGATCTTCGGTGCCATATTCTCTCTTCGTCGTATGGTGCGACAACTAGGCGGTGAAGACGACAGGTAATCCCTTTTGTTATCCTACCAAACATCGAATTGATGAATTGACGATTTTCAAGTTTTCTGTCATATCGAACTGGAGAGTACAAGTTGCATTACTTCGAGACGGCGACGAATCTCAAGTTCGTCATGCTTACAGATACACGCATAGCGAGCATGCGTACTGTGCTATACCAAATCTGGGCAAATCTCTACGTCGAATATGTCGTCAAGAATCCCATTTCACCTGTCGAGCACGCTGGTGGCGTTGGAGTTGCAAACGAACTCTTTGAAGGTGCACTGGAAAGTTTCATTGTACGTCTGCTTTTTGAGTCCACTACTTGTGCTCTGCTTACAAACCATCTGCAGAATACCGTCTTCCCTCCTTCCTGAGCATAGATGAGGACAACAATAGCGATCGGATCCAGATGTGCAACAGGCTCATAGCCGAGAGCTTCCAATAAGCATCACAACCAGTGCGCGTCAATCCTGGTAGCGCAATCTCACGAGACGGTGCACCTCTATGTCCGACTACTTATACGGACAGATCGCTTTCAGTATCGCAGCCTCCACGACTTTTTCGAGACATTCTCGTTTCAGTCGCTGTTCGTTCGACGCGACCGCCAGACTCGGATCGGTGATCAGTGCAGAGTCGGCGTGTGGGCATGTCAACAATACAGGAAAGCAGCACTGACTGCGTTGTCGATTGATGGAGAAAGAACGACGCAGTCTATGCACGAGCGAGAGTCTGAAGCTTGCAGAGCATTCAAAAGCTGTATTTGAAGTTATGCTAGAGCAAATGTCCTACTCAGCCTCCATCTGTGCCGAGACGTGGCTATACACGTCCGATATGATTCCCATCTAACTCCATGACTCCATGCTTGACATTGTTTCCCTCGTGTGACCAGACTTTTGCTCATTTGCTCTTGTTTTCCATAATTTCGCAACCATTTCTGACCGTGCCAACCAAACCGCCTGTCTGTAGGTTCTCACTACCGCCACCACTTAGTCTGTGCTCAATCTCAGCCAGACCTTGTAACCAGCTAACCTTTGTGTGAGCAGGCACTTCTAGATTTGCAAGCTCCTCACCAAGAGCAGTCAAAATGTCAGCCAAGGCTAGACCTTTGTTTGCCTTCAGAGTGTTGATCGTTGCCAGACATGAAGTGACATCGGGGTTGGAAAGTAGTGTATCGCGGATGGTTGCGATATCAGCAGGATGTGGTGCGGCAATGCAGTCGAAGATTGTTTCGTTTGTGATCAGGTCGCGCTCGATTTTGGCTCCTTGGGGAGGTGCTTGACCTGGTATATGTAGTGGTGTTGACGAAGCGTGGCAAGCTTGTAAAACATTGAGCGCACGACGCATATCACCCTTTGACAAAGTGACAAGCGAATCGGTAGCGTCGGGGGCGATGTTCACGTCTTCCTTCTCGATGACAATATCTACCAGACGTCGAATATCGGCCTCCTTGAGTGGCGAGAAGCGGAAACGAGTGCAACGTGATAGTAGAGCGGGCGAGAGCTTGTGGGTGTAATTGGCGATGATGCAGAAACGGGTGTTGGAGGTGTATTTTTCCATGATTCTGCGCAGAGCCATCTGAGCGGTTGAGGTCATGGCATCGGCCTCGTCAAGAATGATAAGCTTGAAGTTGGCCGGGCTGTTGTCACCACCAGACTTATCACCAAAGGAGGTGAAGATTTGTTTTGTGCTCGAGAAGGTCTTGATCTGTTCGCGGACGACATCGATACCACGATCGTCGGAAGCGTTGAGTTCGAGGACCATTTGACGCATGTTCTTGTTGCCGTAGATACGGCGGGCGAGAGCGAGAACAGTCGACGTCTTTCCGGTACCTGGAGGGCCATAGAGGAGGAGATGGGGGAGTCGGTTGCCGTCGACGAATTTGTTGATTGTGGCTAGAATGTCCTGATGACCGGAGACGTCGTCGAGGGTGTTTGGTCGGTACTTTTCTACCCTGATTACAGTTTAGTTGATTGCGTCGTCTGATAGCATGGAGCAGCTTACCATGGTAGTGTGTCTTGCAGCTCGACGGGCAAGTTGGCAGCACTTCTCTTGCCCTTCTCATTTGAGTTGGAAGAGAATTGAATCGAGGACTGAGCGGCAGGCGCATCAACGTCCATTTCATCTTCGTAGTCGGACATGTTTGCTGATGTGATGGACAAAGGATTGGAACAGATTGTAGTGTGGACGCAATGATTGTCTAGTCGGCGAGTGAAGCTGCCTTTTCGCATGTACAGCGGACGCGTTCAGATCGCGCCGACCGTGCACGTCACAATTTGATCCCGTTCAGGAAAGGTCGGAAAAGTTCCCCAGATTTCTAGGACGAGCATCCAGATTGTCCAAAGAAAAAGTCCGCCAAGTGGTGTATTCTTGTCGCAATCCACTATCCCTCACCATGCACTCGCGCGTTCATGCCGGCGAATACGTGCTACTACGTCTGCCTTCAGATACCCTGAAATTGGTCCAGATTGTGCCGAACAGGTACGTACTTCCCCAATCACCGCCTCTAACATCATCCACTAAGCTCCGTCGCGTTGCAGTGTGATTTCGATTGGCAAATTTGGTTCCTTCCCTTGCAACCTTCTTATTGGACGCCCTTACTACCTCACCTACGAGATTACCGACAAACAATCCGAGACTGATGCCTCCCGCCTACGAGTCGTCCCAGCCTCCGAGCTGAATGCTGAAGTCCTCTCCGAAGATGCTCCTCCTTCAGAAAACCCTACCGAGAAAGCAGACGAATCCTTCGATATTGTCGCCGATGATGGCTCTGTATTGCTCAAGAACAACCGTCTTACAGTCGACGATGCTTCTCGTCAAGCTCTCAGCATGGACGAGATTGAAGAATTGAAGAAAGCTGGAACTGGCTCCGGAAGAGACATTATTGAGAAAATTCTCAAATCGCATACCCATCTGAGCGAGAAGACGTCATTTGCCCTGGCCAAGTACACACTCAGGAAGCACAAGAAGTACTTGCGCAGATTCACCGTTCTGCCAATGAATGTCTCCATGTTGACCGAGTATATGATTGCTGAGAAGGAGTCATCAAGAGTTATGGAGCTCAGAGAAGAGTCACTAGGTCTTGTCGGAAGCTGGGCAAACGTACATTACCACCCTGACGCAGAACCGACTCTCACTGAGGAGGGTACACAACTCGGTGGTGGAAGATGGCTGGTCGTTGACGACACTGGTGGTTTGGTTGTGGCTTCCATGGCCGAGAAGATGGGTCTTCTGTACCTTCCAGACAGAGAGGACGAAGAATCGGATGACGACGAGGCCACTACTGAGGCTGGCGCGCAACAAACAGCTGCAGCCGAAGAAGACGCGGATGTCGAAATGCAGGATCCCTCAAAGGACGAACCAACCACCGAAGAACCAAGAGAAGGAGAAGAAGTACGAGCCAACGGCCGAAAGCGTCCCATAAACAAGCACAACACCAATCTCTCCTCAACAAACACCATCACAGTCCTCCACGCAAACGCCCAACCAAACGTCTCTCTCCTAAAATACTTCTCCTACGACACAAACAATCCAACCGCCGCCCACCCCCTCCACACCCACCTCAAAACCCTCACCTGGCTCCAACTCATCGACCCTACCGCAGACCCTACCTACGACGAGCCAGAAATAATTCCCCAATCCGAACTCGACACGATGAAATCCGGAAAACGCGGTGCCTACTACCGCAAACGCCGCCGCTGGGCCCGCTGCAAAGCCATCGTAGACGAAACCCGTGCTGGAGGCTTTGACGGCTTGATCATCGCTTCCCACATGTCTCCCGCCACCATCCTCAAGAACACAGTACATTTACTGCGTGGCTCTGCACATATCGCCATTTACTCCCCTACCGTAGAGCCCTTGACTGAAATCATGGACTTGTATTCGAAGGACCGTAAAGCTGCTTTCTTGGATCACATCGCTAATGATACCACTCCTCCGGAAGAGGACTTCCCTCTGGATCCAAGGTTGGTCCTGGGACCTACGTTGCAGACGACGAGGATTAGACCTTGGCAGGTGTTGCCTGGACGTACGCATCCGCTTATGACGTGGAGAGGTGGTGCTGAGGGATATCTGTTCACGGCAAGGAAGGTATTGCCTGTAGATGGTAAAGTGGAGGCTAGAGGCAAGTACAACAAGAAGAGGAAGATTGGATAGACAAGGCATCAACATCGTTGTCACATCAAAAGCCTTGGACGAACAGCGCTTGTCCGTATAAAAATCACATCATTCTCCAAGAGTAACATTTCGATCTCACAATGTAGCACAGGACTTCTAACCAGGAACTTGGATTTTGGCGTGCCAGGGTTTGTTCCAAACCAAGTTTCCTCCTCTAAAGAAAGAATGGTTTCTTTTGCATATCCCAAGACTAAAAATGTTGCTATCTATACCAACCAACCCCCTTTCGACTTCGAAATTACACACCAGACCCTTCAATACTCGAGTTGGACCATCTCAATCATCTTAAGTCTATATTGTTTTATTGATCAGAGAATCGGCACGTACGGTCACAATTCAGCCAGAAACCTGGGGGCATCAAATCCGCCTTTTGCCATATGTAAGCGGTCTGAACGGCAAAACCTAGCACTACGGTGGGATTTGTGACAAAGGAGATGGAGGGGAGTGTGTTATTGCTGCACCTGCTGTATGTCTTGGTGTCTTTCCGTTTTGCTTTTGGATATAGGACAGGTGGCAATGTGAAGTGAGGAATGATTGGATGGATGGGTATAGTAGGGAGGTGATCAGGGTCAACGTTTTTTCTTTTTCCCGCAGCGGTGCTTGTGGAAAAAGTCACAACCAACTACCGATCGATTCGAAACGAGCAGGACGCACAGAAAAGGAGTCAACTTCATGTCGGAGCAGGAGTAAGTGCAAATGTATGGATCCGAATGTTTTGAAAAGATCTTGTTGTGGTCAGAGACAGACAGATCAAGTTTGAATATCTTACTGGTCTTGTAAGGAAGAGGACACTTGTCATCATTGATTCCACAACATGTAGATGAAAAGTCGTCGTGTCTCCAAGAGTTTGGTGGAAGTGTGATGCCAGACGCGAATGTTTGAGTATCAACTCGACCACCTGTGCAGGAAAAGGTCGAACCATTTGATCTTCTGCATCAGAAGGCAGCAACTCTTTCTGACATAGGGTCATGTGGGAGGACGCGCAGGCAAAAACAACCAATAGGGCCAGGATGGCCCATGCCAGGTCAATCGATGGGAAAGCCTATTAAATGTTCTGTTACTGGCACCTCACGCTTTTTGGATGAGTTCAAGGTTGACAACCCTTCCCATAGACGACCTCCACATTTTCGAGTGTCCAACTGGGTAGCCAAGTTCTCCAGCGAGACAAGTTGGGGCTCAGAAAGACGGGTATCGTTGGCTTGGGTTTGGCTCGATAGAGTGTTGATTAGAATGCAGAGATACATGACCAGCCCACCGTGGAGAGGCAGACATCACGGTGCTGCTCCCGTGCTGCTTGTCTCGTCCCCCTTCTTGTTGTGATCTGGACGCCGCTCTACTGGGCCTCGATCGGGTAGGGGTCCAAAACCTGGAGGAGTATATATTGGTGTAGATGCTTCTCGATCGGCTGCGAAGCATGGCGTACAGTCGTGTTTTTCGGGTTCGTTCTTAAGTTGCCACCTGAGTCAAATCACCATCAGCTTCTTTTCTCCAGTTCAATGTGCTCAATCTCGTGACGTACCATAACTTCAAACCACCGTACCTTGCATGGCCACAAGTGGCACAAGTATGATTTGTTTTCGCTGGATAGAGCACGGGTTTATGTAAAGCCCAAACAACCTCATCGCAATAGCGTGGTGTAAACCTTAATCGATTCCTCAAGAGCTTTATCCATCGATATTCGACTCTTTCACGGTACATTTCCCTGGCACGCTCGGCGTTCTGGTGCTTTTTGAGTCGATATGCCTCAGGATCTTGTTCAAATGCTGATTCGGGCTCCAACCATTGCTTTGCGGCTTTACGACGCTGTTGTTCACGGAATTGAGGATCATTGGCGTATCTCTCTCTATATCTTCGTAGGTTCTTCTCACGAAATTGAGGATCATTGCCGTATCTTTCTCTCCATCTCTTGCGGTACTCGGGTGTAGCGCATATGTTTCGCATCCTTTGCTTGTGTTTCTCGCGAAATTCAGGATCCGAGTGGTATCTAAAGCGCCATTTCTCATACGCGCGTGCTTTCCTTTCTTCGTACTTTCGGCGATCCTCCTCAGACAGTTGGGTTTGGTTTTTGAATTTAGCATTTCTGTCCTTGACCCTTTGCTTTTGTTTCTCGCGAAAGTCAGGGTCTGATTGGTATCGAAGGCGCCATCGTGTCTTCACTTCCTCGTATTTTCTTTGGCGTTCCTCGTCAGATAGTGATTTTCGGCCGACGGCATAGCAGCTTGTAGACGCGAAGGTTCGAATGAGGGCTGTCAAATAGGAGCTTGGTACTCTAACACCGCTTTGGGTCAAGCCTTTTGATCGAAAGGCAATCATTGAGGTCCATCGGAGAGCCATGTTGACATGAGCATCACCAGGTCAGAGATTGGCCGATGCTCATGAGAGAACTCGTCAAGCCGTCGAAAGGTTGGCCAGTCAAGGAGAGCGTAGTCCGTCTATTGGTATGGTCTGATCTTTGGCGCGCCGTGATGGATGGAGAGATGTCAAGGAGCGGGAGTATCCGCAAGCTTGGTAGCGATAAAGATAAACGGCACAGTTGGCAGGCCAACGTGAGGTCTAGGCGTTTCAAAGCGGTGACGATGACGGAGGTAGCGAGATGAATTACAACAACAATCATCATCATCATGCTTGACCATCAAGACTCGGACTGCTTAGAATTTGACGACAGTCATGTGTTTATGCACGTCGACAGTCGTGTGTAACAACAATCGCGTGTAACAACGACGGACGGGATTGAGCAAGAAAAAAGCAGCCAACCCCGCTTCTAAGGTCCCTGGACGTAACTCTATCATCGCCTCATCTTGGACTCGAGGTCAGCAACATGACTGTCTATTCGACAAGTTCAAGCTATCCATTCCCGGATCAGCAGTCAGAACGTTTGCATAGTAATATCTTTCGCCCACCCAACACTCCTGGTTTCGACAGTATGAATTTCGCAGCCACGCCATCACAGGACAGACCCGCCTTGACAAGAAAGCGGTCACGCGCAAACTCCCACAAGGCAAACACCTCTGCACCTCTGGCTTATGGTGTGAAACATGGCTACACCACTCAAGCCATGAGTCCAGCTCCTCTCGCGAACGAACATTACACACTGGACTACAAATTCGACACACCTACACTCGCAGCTGCTTCACGACACGACGATCTGACGGGAGAAAGAGACTTTCGCTGGAAATGGGATTCTGAAGACGCATCGCCTGAACAAGACACTGCACATGTACCTGGTCTTTTGGCGAGGGAGAGGAACGGGAAAGGCAGGACTGTCAGCTACACAAGCATGGCGAGCACTAGTGACTCTTCAGACACCAAAGGATGGGGAGGCTTTGCTATGAAACTGGTAGGAGGTGTCGTTGGCAAGGTGTGGCACTTTTGTCGTGTGAGTGCTTTTGGTGGCTTCTATGCTGGTTCCGGACGAGGCTATGACTTTGCACAACCTACCCAACTGCCCACACCACTGCCTGGACAGTATCCAACACATGACTTCTTTGGCGACTTTGAACAGGACAACACTCCTGAACGTTCATTCAAGCGACAACAAACGGAATCTGGCTGGGTCATGGTCGACTCAAATCCAGAAGCACCTCGTCCATCCAACCGCAGTACATCTAGAGACAACCCCACACATCTCGGCGCCACGAGAGCAAGCAGTCGTCGTGCCCTCAGCTCAGTGACCCGTCGCGCCCCCTCGCGCCAAACCTCCTACACTGGCTCTCCACAAGCACAACAATCCCGTCTCGATGTCTTCAGCCAGGCATTTGCAGACCGTTCCACCACAACAGCATCCACGGCTTCCACAGCTTCCACTCGATCTACTGCCCCTTTGCGTCCTGCCTTCGCTGTGCATCGCTCACCCGTCACCACACCCATCCGCACAAGTTTCGGTGCCGACCGCCGCTCCAGCATCGCCAGCGCAAACGGAGAAAACCTAAGTCCTGATGCCCAACGCTTCCTCCACCGCATAGAAAGACAAGACCGCGATACCGACAAAAGTATGCGCAAACTCGACCGTCAGATCCAAGATTTGATTCGACAAGGTCAAGCTGCTCTAGGCACCAAGTTTGAAGTCGAATCCGATGATACTGATTTTAATGATGATAATGACGATTGGGAGGATGCTCGTAGATGACACACTCGAGCTGAGGGTTTGGTTTTTCTGGCAGGAGTTTTTTTTGGCGGCTGGTTACGAAAGGACAACAAAAATGATACCCTGGCCTTTTCCTCTTTTGCTTTGGTTGGGTTTGCTTTTCGACGTCCTGGATTGGGACTTCTTCTATACCACTTTCTTCTACATATTCTCGCACAGTTTGTTTGTGCTTCTTTTCCTACCTTTTCCTGGGTGTCGATCGCTTGAACCTCTAATCTCACTACGATATTCGGCCATCACCTTTCCGACCATGTCACGTGTCGAACACACTCTGTCGATACAACATTGACTTCGTCCAACGGGAAGCAGAGGATTTCGCTTATTAGCATCAAATCCGCTTTTGATGATAAACAAGTTGGATGGTTCGGACATTGAGCTTGCTGACTGCTACGCCACCTCGGTCCCGATGAAGGATTTCCGACCGAGATGCCGTCCGCTACACAGTCAGCTCTCTTCATGATGGCTTTGTTGTGTCAAGTGGTTGCCTGCTCGATCCTTCTTCGGCGTTTTGCTGTCATCATGCATGTCCTGGTTGCATTCCTTGTCTCAAATACAGAGTATCTGGACATCATGTAGTCATTCTCTACTTCTTCGCCTGTGGCTTGTCTTCTGTCTACAGCTTATATTCTATATCGCGATGGCGTCAAAATCTAAGCTCCCGTCGTTGCAACCGCGAATCATCAAAAGTGGACCGTATACGGTAGGGGTCGAAGGTGTCGCAATGGTAGACGGCGAAACCATTCCCCGTCGTCATCCTCTGGCCAAGGAACGTCTTCACGAAAGGCCTGAGCCGGAAGTGCAGACCGTCTTCGACATCCTCAGGCAAGCTGCAAAGAAACATGGCCATGCACATGCCATGGGCTCGCGGAGAGTGCTTGACATGCACACAGAAACCAAGCAAACCAGAGATAGAGAAGGAAAGCTCATCGAGAAGCAATGGACATACTACGAGCTTTCTGACTACTCATACCTCTCGTATGTTGAATTCGAGCAGCGCACACTTCTTACCGGTATGGCAATGCGAAGCCTTGGCCTGAGTCGAAACGACCGAATCGAAATCTATGCCGCGACCTCTGCATTCTGGTTCACTGTCGCTCATGGAGCTATCTCACAGTCCATAACCATTGTTACGGCTTATGATACCCTTGGTGAAGAGGGGCTTTCTCATTCTTTGAAACAAACAAACGCTCGCGCCATATTCCTTGACCCAGCACTGCTGCCACGCATCACTAAAGTCCTCGACCAGGTTCCACATATCCGTGCGATCATCTACAATGATGTTGCGCCGCAATCCATCAATCAGAACCATGTGAGCGAGCTTAACAAGGCTCACCCGAATGTTCGCCTGTTGTCCTTCGATGAATTTTTCGAAGCAGGTTCCAAGCTCGCAACAGATCCTGTGCCTCCCACTGCGAATGATCTTGCTTGTATCATGTACACATCAGGAAGCACAGGCTCTCCGAAAGGAGTCTTACTGAAGCACAAAAATATCGTTGCTGGTATCGCTGGTATCCAGCCCATCGTCGGGTCCATCATAACACCAGGAGAGCGCCTCCTTGCATACCTGCCCCTTGCGCACATCATTGAGTTTGTGTACGAGAACGCAGCATTGTATTGGGGTGCCGTCATGGGTTACGGCAGCCCTCGTACTCTGGGTGACTCGTCAGTACGCAATTGTGTAGGAGATATAGTCGCTTTCAAACCTTCTATCATGGTTGGCGTACCGGCTGTGTGGGAGTCAGTCAGGAAGGGCATTTTGACAAAGGTGAATTCCGCCGGCTGGCTGCAGAGGAAGCTTTTCTGGGGCGCCTTGTCTGCGAAGGAGAACCTACTGTACTGGGGCTTGCCGGGCGTGGAGTTGCTAGATGCCCTGGTCTTCAACAAGGTCAAGCAAGCGACTGGTGGGAACCTCAGGGTTGTGATGAATGGTGGTGGGCCGATTGCAGAATCAACCCTACGCTTCATCTCCTTTGTCATATGTCCTATGCTGAGTGGTTACGGCTTGACTGAAACTGTTGGGTGAGTGCCTCTTCGTATATCAACAAAGATCTTCGAAGCGCGAGCTAACATCTTCAGGATGGGCGCCCTCAACGATCCGATGGCCTGGACATCGAGCAAGGTCGGACCTATACCAGCTTCCATCGAAATCAAGCTGGTTGACGTGCCAGAACTGGATTATCTGACCTCACATCAACCAGCCCAGGGAGAGATCTGGATCCGAGGCGCTGCGATCACCGAAGGCTATCTTGACAACCCTGAGGAAGACGCCAAAGCTTTCCACGATGGCTGGTTCAAGACAGGAGACATTGGAGAGTTCGACACCGATGGGAATCTCGGCCTCATTGATCGCAAGAAGAATCTCGTCAAGACTTTGAATGGAGAGTACATCGCTTTGGAAAAGGTTCGTGCATCCTTCTGTGAATCTGTGGTTTCTGCTCGACATATTCTTTAGCGTTCTTTGTTGACTGAATCTTAACTCAGCTCGAATCGCTCTATCGGTCTGCACCGGTGGTGGCAAACCTATGTGTATATGCCTCGCCCTTACATGCAAAGCCCATCGCAATCGTCAACCCCGTACCGACCGTGCTCTGCAAACTAGCCAAAGAAATCTGTGAACCAGACGATGACTACACAAAACTCTGCGACAGGCTCAAAGTGCAGTCGGCTGTCTGCAAGACGCTACAGAGCGTAGGAAAGCAGCATGGGCTACAAGGCATCGAATTGATCCAAGGTGTGGTGCTCAGCGAAGAGGAATGGACACCGCAGACTGGACTTGTCACCAATGCTCAGAAGCTGAATCGCAAAGCCTTGATTGAGCGGTTTGACAAGGCTATACAGAAGGTCTATGCGGATGCCAAGGACTAAAGACCGTCTGAAAGGATAGTTTCGTAGAACGAAGTTGTTCTTTGACATCGGAAAGCATCACTTTACCAGGTGCATAAAATATACGACCATAGGTCTAAGTGGTACAAATGGCGAGTACACCATCCTTCTTCCAGTGCCACGTAAGCATAAGCGATGTGCCAAAGCGTCCCGTCTCTTACTTCAACAAGAGTGTTTGATCTAGATGTCGCTGCCTCAACGTATACCACCAGAGAAGGTCAAGCCTTAGCGCCCTTTAACTGCTCGGAAAGCGGCCATCGGTCCCGCTGAGCGAACTCCGTCACCCGCCATACGATCCGAGCATTCCTTGGCTGGTTTCCTGCACTGCGAGGTCTCCTGGTTGGTTAGAAGCGCAGGAAACCCAGACGGACAACATTCCGATGAGCGGTCCCGACGAATGAAGCGGTCCCGAATGGTGAAAGCCCTCTGGACGCTGGATTTTCATCCCTGCTCCCGGAATCCGTGACTACCAAGCTCTATATAGCATCGCACTTCTCGACATCGAGACTTGCAGTATCCGTCTCTTTCTGACCGTCCAAACTCTCTTCAGGTAGTCGGTTCTTCTCCCAACTGCACGATGGTAGACTCTCCCCTTATCCTCATCACTGGCGTTACTGGTTTTATCGGTTTCCGAGTCCTCTTGGATGCTCTTGAACAGGGTTACACTGTTCGTGCAGCTGTTCGTTCAGCCGCACAATCCTCCTTCATTCGCACTCATCCCAAACTCAGCGCCTTGGCTCCTGGAAGCAGATTGTCTTTCGTAGAAGTGCCAGATCTCTCTCTTCCGGGAGCTTATGACCAGGCCACCAAGGATGTGACTTACATCATTCATCTCGCATCTCCACTTCCTTCGCCCTTGCTTGATCCACAAACTGGGATTTACGAACCTACGGTCAAGGGGACTGAGAATATGCTCAGTGCTGCGCTTCAGACGCCTTCGGTGAAGAAGCTGGTCATCACATCATCGGTGTTTGGCAATATGCCTTTTCCTCCAGGCCCTGCGAAGGAAATCACTCCCGAGACTAGACAGCCAGATCTGCAAGGTCCATTTGAGTCAATGCTTCCAGCATACATAGGCGGCAAGATCAATGCACTAAATGCAATTGACAGGTTTGTCAAGACCCACAAGCCCTCTTTTGACATTGTCAATGTTTTCCCAGGCTTTGTCTTTGGTCCTGATGACAAAGCCCTCAACGTCGAGGATCTTACCGCTGGCACCAATAAAGTTCTCTTACCCATCTTTACTGGAGGATTTGCTGACTCTGCTTTGCCTTCTGGCGTTGCTCATGTTTTTGATGTTGCCAAGGTTCATATGCTGGCTTTGAAGGCCGGTGTGCCTTATAACCTCGGTGTCACTCAACCACATGTCTTCGACGATGCCTGGAAGATCATCGAGAAGCATTTCCGCAAGTCTGTGAAAGAAGGGGTCTTTACCCAAGGTCGTCAATCTACTGTTCCAGTCAACTGGAATGCACATAAGACTGAAATCGATCTCGGCATCAAGTTCAAAACTTATGAGGATATTGTGGTCGATGTAGCTAATCAGTATCTTGAGCTGTCTGGTGAGGAGAAAGCTTGAGTTCTGTGAAGATGATGTCCTGAGTTGGAACCAATAGCGACTGCTAAACAAATGGAAAAGTGTATAGAGTGTTTTTGCTTCCTGGCACATGTAAAGAGACTTTTTGTCCTTGCCAAAGCTCTTGCTACGGGTGTGATCTGACCCTACTCTTGTAACTGGTCAACGTGGATTAGATGCAACGCTACCATTCACAAACTTACCACACATCGACGCGGAATCGCAGTGGAAAACTGTAGAGTCTGGGATCAGAACAAAAGTTTCGAGAACACCTGGATCGGAATATAGGTTCTGCGGTGCCTTGTTGACGCTCTGCCATTTCGTTGTTTGATAGCCGAATCTTTGCCTCTTCTTCCCTACCCTGATTAGTGTATGCTGAGTTGCAGCTCTACCCTCTTGTTGTCGCAGCAAGCATAATCTTGATGGCCCTTGTCCATCTTCTACAGACTAGAAGCACGGGGATCGAACCCTTCCATTGACGAGTCGATAGTCCGAATTCTTTCGACTAGTTTTTGACCTATTTGACACTGCTTCCCTCTGTTTAATCTCCAATGGCTCTTAGATCATTTCTTGTCTTTTTCTAACACACCAGCACAAATATATTAGCCCTTCACAAATCTGCATAAAGCTTGTACAAAGCCTTCCACAATTCCGCCAAGACTTTTCACGAATCTTCACAAATCCTCAACTTTCCACCCGCCAAAATTCTCCACCACCACCACCACCACCACCACGTACCCACCACCTCTAGGACCAAAACAAACACCCTCTCTGCGCTTATACCATCGAGATAGTGCAAGAAACAAAAAGATACCGACGCCCGTGTGATTCGAACACACGCCCCCGAAAGGATTTGATATTGGTATAACTGGTTGCTAGAAAGCAATCATTCGAGTCAAACGCCTTAACCACTCGGCCAGAGCGCCAGAATGTGCTAGTTTGTGCTTTGTATGAATATAATCCAGATACTACGAGGTGAGGCGCATCGTCGAGCAGATTCTAAGGTTAGAGGCAAAAACGCAAAGGATAGGTCAGACTGTGCTAGATTTGATGCAAAGAGTAAGGGGGAAATGCTGGGTGCGTGTAAATCTTGGCGGATTGTAGACTTGGCTTTATGGAGGTTGTGCTTAGCGAATTTTGAAAAGAGATACCAGTGGGAGGTTGTTGCGATCAGCTTGGATAAGAAGTGAGTCGGTTACCCAATTTCACAAAGAAAGTGAAAAGTTCCCCGCGGAGGAAGATGTTTGTCGGACTGTCGAGTTTTCAGAATATGTTGTTAATTAATTCATCTGGATTCTCATTTGACATTATACACACAGCAAATATGATGGCTGGCCAGCCTCTCTCGCCTGGAGTATGCACCAACCTCCTTTCAACAATGCTCCTTTCCTGTTTGCCATTGTTCCTGTTTCCATCATGGGTATACACAAGAAACCTCAACACATCGTGCCCAAAACTCCTCAACAACATAATAAACAAAGAAAGAGAAAATGAGAGTGAGAAGGACTTTAATCGAAGAAACTCTTCTGAGTAGGTGTTTTGAGGTCTCCTTGGTTGATGCCTAGACCAGCCAATCCTTTGAGGACGGGTTTTCCCATCTCGAGTACTGGGCTGGGCAATTCGCTGTCTTCGCCTTCAGTGGCTGCGCCTGAGGAACTCACGCCGTCGACTGTGTCCTCTGGACTACTCATATCGTGGTGACCAAGCAGGAATTGTTTGAAGCTGACAGATGGTTGTTCGTCTTCTTCAACATCATGGCGTAATTGCAATCGTGGTGGAAGGGAAAGTCTCAGTCCTGCTTGGGGTTGCTCGTCGTCTTCACTTCCAACGACGCTGACCTCGTTTAATCCGTATCCATCTCCAAAGTCTAGCTCTTTTTCTGCGGTAGGTGTGGAATCCAGCTTGACCTTCTCAATCAGCTGAGACAAGGTACCAACGCTGGTTGCACGTTCAAACGCCTCTTCTTCAATCTCCATGGATGTAGGTACGCCATGCAAAATGCAGCAATTTCTTTCGAGATATTGTTGTAGTCGGTATTGTTGACGATCCCAAGACTCCGTTACCAAGCGTAAGGCGGCCTGAATGTCCTGGTCGGTAAGCGAGACAGATGGTGCGGAGATAGGTGAGCTGGCAATGTTGTTGACCTTGGTCTTTGATGGCGAGAACGGACGTGACGATACGAGTGGAGTTGTGGTATGCCGTGGTGAGGATGATAATGATGGGAAGGACGGAGGTGCTGGTGTAGTGCTGCGATTGACCGTCCTCTTCATGCTCGCAAGGCCCTTACGCAAGGCTGACGAGGACGAAGACGAGGGCAGTGGCTTGGAAAGAGGAGCAGATACAGCAGGTTTGAGAGGTGATGTCGAAGCAGGTACTTCATCACGTATCTGTTTGACCTGTGTCTCCGTCTGCTTCAGAGCTGCTAAACGGCTTTCATCCATGTAAGGCATATAGACCAGTGTCGTGTTCTTGCCCAATGCGTTGATCATGTCGGTGAAAGCGGAAAGAGGGATATCGTTATGCTCGCAGTGCAGTTCTCGTAACGTGCTGTTTACCTTCAGAACTTCTGCTAGCATACTAGCACCAGGCAAGCCTAGTCTCTGATACTGAACTCGAAGGACATGTAAGCCTGTATTGTGGCGAAGACCATTCAATGCCTGGTTGAGCCCAACGCCGAATCGTGAAGTTTCTAGTCGCGAATCCTCTCCTGAGATGTCTAATTCTTCGAGCGTACAGTTTTCCGCAAAGAGTGACTCTAGTGCACGACTTGTTTCGTCGTTAGCATCACTGGGTAATGTCGTCCTTGAGATGTCGAGATATCTGATGCTCTCATTCTTTTTCACTGCATTGATGAGATGTCGGAACACAGACTCTTCGCGATACTCGATGGCACGAAGGGTGATGTGAGTAGGCGTCGAATCGTCCGAGATCGCCTTACATAGGTGATCGTGATCCTTTGTGATGTTGTTGTGACTTATGTCAAGATGGAGGGAACGAGGCTCAATCGATCCTCGCTTAGTGGCGCGCATGATGGTTGCAATGTCACTACCGGACATGTATGCAGAGTCTAGGTACAACTCACGAAGGGTGTCAGACTGTGGATGCTTGAGATATGTTGCGAGAGCCTGGATCGTGTTCTCATTTAGAGATGTGCCGGTCAGCCTAAGCTCTTCCAGACGCCAGGTAAGAAGAGTCTCAGCATTGAATAAAGGTTCGGCTCCTGAAGTTCGAGATGCAAAAGAAAGATTGAGCTTGCGGATAAATCCAAACACACTAATTTGTCCATCGAATACGGCTGGTGCGAGTCTTGCAAGGTTTCCAGAGATATCCAAGGCTTCCAGAGTGTTGTCTTGGGCGCGAAGAGAGTCCAGAATCAAACTCAGTGTACGGTCAGTCAAGGAACATCTGCTCAACTCAATGGCGCGGAAGTGACAGGCTTTGTCACTAGCTGCACCAACTAGGTAATCAAGATCAGTCTCACTGAGGTGAATACCATTCAGTGCGATCCAGTCCACATTTGTAATTTGATGCTTACAAAGTGGTGAAAGGGCTTCGACCACACCGCATCCGATATCCTTGACTCTAGCCTCCGAGTCGTCAGTGTAATCTGGAGGTTTTGCGATAATGCATCGAGAGAAGTCCATTCTTCGAAGCTTCTTGTTCGTCGCAGCCAACGCACGAACTTCCTGAACCAAAAGACAAGATTGAGTAAGCTCTTCTGTGGTCAGACGGATAGGAGTTCCTCGTTTCGTTCGAGTGCAGACATGCTCGGAGCCGTAAGTGTCGTGAAGTCCATTAAGTACATCAAGTTGAACATCAGCAAATGAGAGCGAGTTGAAAGATTCGTTGTATCGCAAGGCCCGCATGACAGCTAGCAACTCGGCTGCACAATAATTCTGTCGACGTGCATCTGCTAATGGCAGTAGTTGGAAGCGGGGCGCATCCTCGCACGAGTAGTCAATGGTATAGCAGATATTCGATGGGTTGACATCGTAAGCAATGCAGTATGCCGTGAGCGTACGTTCGAAGCAGCAATGATCTTCCGTATCTGAGTCCACTGTAGGAGGAAGCTGATCGTCAATTTCCTGTGGGACGCTAAATTTGAACATTCGAGAAGCACACTCCGGACGAAGGACGTTTTCGACATGGTGAAGACGAAGAGCAATATCGTGAGAAGCCAGGGAAGCCAGATATAGCGTCTTTGGTCGTTTAAGAGGTTGTCGAAATGTGAGCTCGAAATGATCATCTGATTGACTCACTCGAATCGCCGTCAAGTTGAGGATACCATACGATGTGGGGACGTTGCTTGCTGACAGAGAAGGAGATGAAACGCGACTGGTAGTCTTTACTAGAGGTATCACATGGACCTTGTGGATACCTATGGCCAAGAAGCAAACTGTAGATGCAATTTTCGACAAGTCGTCGGTGGAGGATCGCGATTTTGAGAATTGGCGCTGTATGACCTTGTAAATGGCATAGTTGGCAGGATCGTAATCATTCTCACGCTCAACAGCCCTTGCGGCATTTTTCGAGTTGACGACAGAGATAGGATTAACATCTTGTAGTCGGGCCTGGTTAGCGGCCTGACGGATTGAGCGCAACCACAAATCACGATCCTCAGAATCTCCAAACTGCATTACCATGGCTGAAGCCTGTGATCCTTCCTCGTCGAGGTAGCAAACCTCAATGGCAAAGTAAGGGCGACCATCATCGAGCCTGTGAACAGCGACAACATGACGGAGCGTGACCCTGCCTTCCTTGTCGCCTGAAGAATCCGAATGTAGAGATTGTAGATCCTGAGAAGAGCCAATGGAATTGGTTGAGCTATGACGGATTGTCGGACTTCTGCCAAATGGAGGAGGGACACTGCCGATGGTTTCGGCAGCTTTTGACTGATTCTTATAGCGCAAGATATGGGTGTCTGTCAAGACCAGGTACTCTTTCTTCTTACGAAACATGCTACTACTGGTCTGCACTTCGCCATGGTGTAGCACGCGTCCTTTCCGGCAATTGTTGGTATCAAAATCGGCCCAGTTGATGGATGGAGTTCGGCTTGAGGTGGTAGTCAAAGGAGTGTCGTCTTCATGCATGGAACGCATGGATCGCAATGAGCCAAAGACAGACGAAACAGGGCGGCCGCCGCTACGAGTACTCAGGGAAGGACGTGTGACTGGTTTGGGAGAAGGTAAGGTGCCTGCTGAGATAGGCGAAGGATCCTCATCGTGGACCAGCTCTGGTGAGGATTCAAGATTGGTGACAAGAGTGGGGCCGCGACGCTTCTTCAAAGTCTTGGAGGAGTCCTTGTTCAGCTTGTCCGGAGAGTCGCGCGTGGTGGTAGGATGAATCTGGGTAAAAGAGGGAATGCCGAAAATACTGCGCCTCCGGCCGGCGTGCTCCCGACTACTGGAACGGGGCATGACGGACGGCGCTCGAAGGAGAAGGAGAGATTACAAAGAAGATGTCGTGGAGGGATCAGGTCAGGCGTGGTACTACTGGGGCATAGCTGGCTTAAGTCCGAAGATCATGGCGGCGGGAGATCAGAAGGAGAGGGAAATTAGATGATCCGACAGCAAGATGAGGAATTGGCGATGGACGTCAGAAGGAGAGCGATGGCAGCATGTCGACGTAGAGTGGTCTTTGCTACTGGTAGAGAGAGTGATGTGAAGTTGAGAGAAAAGACGAGCGGCGCAAAAGATGGTTCCTCGCGAGCCGGCACGAATTGAACTCTGAATGTTCTAAAACCAGCCCCAACTTCCAAGACGATCAACAATCGCTCGATTTGCGCCTCCGTCAGAGGCGGGCGTTGACGCACCGGAATTGCTACAAGCCGGTAGCTGCTTGGCTATGCGACGTGCGCGTTTCGACAGTAGGGCAGCTGATCGAAATCTAGTTTGAGAAGCCCTTGTGTGAGTTAGATGGGATAAATCAAGAAATAGTCAGATGACACGTCTGAGTGACATGTGTCAGGGCACATCATAATGAAGCCTTGCTGTGCGTACCCTGGCAGAATGAAGAGCGCATATAGCAGAGCATTATTCGTTAACTTGCTGTATGTAAACGTTCAGTAGCAAGTCTTAGAGAGTGCTTGCTCTCCCCGGCCACCGGCAAACCGCTGGGTCCGAAACAAACCTAACGCTATCGATTAGAGAATAATTGGAATGCGCATTGGAGGTTAATTCTGTCAGTCAGAGTCGCCTTTGCGCGCAAACGCATATCAATAATTTCGATGCCCAGCTGGTGCACTCAAGGCGTCCGCCCTCTCCGGCCCTTCCTCACACCTTCGCGTTATGTCTGTCAACCACATCGCCTGCGCCTCTTCTCGACTATAGCGTCACGCCAGCTCCGCCACTCGACGCGCCTGCTGTATGCTGGAGCCAACGACCATGACAATGCTGAGACGGTTCCCTACAAGCCTGTCACTTCCGAAGATGCGAACCAGACCGCCTCCCAAGACAGCCCTCAAGACCTGTGGCCTTTCAACAAGGAAGACTTGAAGTCGCCCGAAAAGAGCAAGAAGCTGGAATCACATGCCAACAAGTACGAAACCGACGATAAGAATCAAGAGATTGAGCACTCAAAAGAGCCCGAAGCAGATCCAGATTCGAGCTCGAGCGCCGAGTTCAACCTCAACAAGAAAACACAACCTTCAAATAATAATAATCGTCGCCGGAACTGTTCGCAGCCATCCGAAGAAGATGGCGAGACCACTCCCTTCCAATCTCCCAAGCAATCGAGTGATGATTCTTCGGCGACCGCCGAAGCAAAGAACACTTTGATTGACTTCTTCAAGTCGACAGACCCAACAGCCACTTCTTCTCTTTACGATGGAGGCGCGATACAATCTTTGCGAGATGCCATGCTCTCCATCAAGAGTGATCCTATATCCTTCCCGAGAAGAACCTTGAGGAGGATGCGCACTAGACGCAAGCGTTTTGTCAACAGTCCTGCGCCCCAGACTCCTGAGCGTATTGCCAAAGCAGAGAAGAAGAGAGAAGCTGATGAAACCCGTGCACGCAAGCACTTTGCCCAAGGCATAAAGACTATGGACGCATCCAGCATTGAGATGCAGCGCCTAGATATTGACCAGCCGCGTGTCCCTCGTTTACATCATGGCCTCGATCGCGTACTTTTCATGCAGGGCGTTTACCAGCTGCAAGACAGACGTTCCAAGGTCTACAACTTTGATCCCTACTTACAAAAGATCATGCCCGTGACCGAGTTCGATTACGACGCGCTCACTGCCTACAAGACCTCTTCTCAAGACAATTTCCTCTCAGAGTTTGCCAAAAAGCATGGCAAGAAATATGTTGGCTCTACTTCCAGCATGACAAGCACCTTGACTCATTTTCATTATCTTCTCTCATCCTGGCGAAAAATCAATACCGACATGTTCTCAAGAGACTTTCCAGACACACTGCAAAGTTTCACTGCTCTCAACCGTACACCTACTTCTATCTTTCTGAGACGTAAAGACGATACTTACGCCGTCGACGCCGACAAGGAGTACGATGGCGCCAATGTCCTCATGTTACTAGGCAGATCCATGGAAAAACTCTTGACCATGCCGACCTCTACATTTGAGCGATATAGAAAGGATAAATCTAGTGGTGTCTCTGAGGTTGAGCGGAACCAACCCGAGGCTTACCACTACTCCTCGCTGGGAGACTTCTTGTTACGATCACAACTCGACGCTCAAGATGATAGGCTACCCGGTACTGGCATGTTCGATCTCAAAACGCGTGCTGTTCTTCCAATCCGTATGCAGTCACAAGATCACGAGCCAATGACAGGATATGAGATTACACAAGCTCAAGGTCAGTACGAGAGCTTTGAGAGAGAGTATTATGATATGATGCGTAGCACTGCACTCAAGTACTCTCTGCAAGCTCGTATGGGACACATGGACGGCATTTTCGTTGCATATCACAACGTCAAGCGTATCTTTGGCTTCCAGTATATAAGCCTCAATGAGCTTGACCGGGCTCTTCACGGTACGCCTGACCTCACCCTAGGCAACCGTGAGTTCAATCTCAGTATCAGCTTGTTGAATGAAATTTTCAACAAAGCCACTGAGAAATTCCCTGACCAGGTAAGTATTTTTGAGTCCTACCTTTGACGCAATACTGACAGTAACACAGTCTGTTCGATTTACCTTCGAGACCAAAGCTGCTGAAACACTTCCATCTATGTACATCTTTGCAGAACCTATGAGCGAAGAGGACATTGAAACCATCCAGAACTCGCAAAAGGAAAAGATTGCCGAATGGGAGCGCAATCTGCGTGATCCGGCCTCAAAATTGAACGAAGAGCAGATCAGTGAACTTGCAGAAGAAGATGGTGATGACACCGCGAAGAAATTCAGCGATTCTGAGAGCGGTTCGAGCCAGGCATTAGCTGAAGGAGATGTCTCTGAAACCAGACCAGGAACATCCGAAGCTCAATCAGAGACAACTGCACAAAATTCACAAGCCGAGAAGGATTCCATTGTCAAAGAGATCGAAGCCATCTCTCAATCTGAGTCAGAGCCTCAAACAGAACCAGGATCACAAAAAGAGGAAGAGAAGCCATTGCTGGGAATGGTTCTCACAGTTCGTTCCAAGGTCAACGGTGTATACGTCGAGCGACCAGAGAATCTCAAGAAGAACCACGATTGGACAATCGAGTATAGTTTGACAGACCTCAAATCAGGGCAGGCATGGAGAGAGTACAGAGCCGCACAGGCTCGGCGCAGGAAGACATATCAGAAGCTCAACAGCAGACTCGACAAGTCGGATCCTGACAGCGCTGAGCTAAGTTACAACGACCATTATATCAACATGCTCAAGGATCTGAGTGAGAAGGGCAGGAAGATGAGGGCCACTCTCGACCAGAAGGCAGCAAACAAGCCAAAGATTGTGGTTGGCATGCCTTATGACAAGTCTTCGAAGAGCCAGATGCCGAACACGGACGATGTGAGCATCGAGAGTGTGGACGATTACTTGACATGGCTGTATAAGGAGAAGGCATGAGTTACATAAGAACTTTGTGGATATAACATTTAGAGGATATTGTACGATACATTAGAATTGACGACCAGACGTTTGACTTGTTACAAAATGTTGTGATTTCCAAATGCTCAACCAGGGTGACTTGACAGTGTGGAGAATTTGTGAATAGAGCATGACGTCGCAAACGACTTCCAGGCAGCGCATCGCACAGCTTGTTCGACACCGAGATACCAGCACAAACGACGTGCGCGCCAGCAAGTCATAGCTCTATTCATTCAATCGACATATATTCAAGATGCCGCCAAAACACCGCAATAACCGCAACTCGCACCCGCGACCTGCTGCGCACCATCACCACGTTCCCTCAGACTACGACACCGACACAGCATACGCAACAGACGCCATGACTTCTCTTCCTCCAGCGGCACCTATTCCAGCGCGCACAAACGAAGAACTGAACCTCAGCGTGCTGCAACGACACGATCCTTCGGTCCACCAAATCCTCTCAGTCGCTCCATTCGCAGTCGTCTACACTTTCAATCCAGCCTCGTCGAGTTGGGAGAAGCAGGGAACTGAGGGCACATTATTCGTCTGTTCGCTTCTACCGCCGGTTGGGGGTCCCCAAGTTGAGCGATACAGTTGCATTGTTCTCAATCGTCGCGGTCTCGAGAACTTCTCTAGTGAACTGTTCTCCGCCGAGTCGGTCCAAGTAACAGACGACTATGTCATCTTGCAGGTCGAAGGAGAAGATGGAAGTGCAAACATCTATGGTCTCTGGATCTTTGCGGAAGAAGGAGGAAGTACGGTGCAGACAAGAGTGGTCAACGCTTTGATCATCCAGGAATGCGCAAAGAGAGCTGAGGATAGCAGAGATGCTGCTGCTGTGGCCGATGTGGAAGAAGAGTATGTCGAGGAAGAACTGCCGCCATCGCAGCAACAGCAAGCACATCAACTACCACCGATACAGCATGAACAAGCACCAGAGCCACAGAGACATGAGTATGAGCAACAACTACAAAGCCAACAACTCAACCTGCTCCATTTCTTCAAGAATGGCCAGCAACAACAACAGCGCCCTACCCTCGGTACACCGTTCCAATCCTATGATCAACAGCAGTACTACAACATGCAAGAGCAACAGCAACTCGAGCAACAACGGCAACAGCAGCAAATGCAAGCCATGCAGCAACAACAAATGAACCAGATGAATGCACAACAATGGCAAACAGCTCAACATCAACATCAGTATGCCGCGCATAACCCTACACCTCCTGGATTTGCACCTCCTCAGCAACATTTCCCGCAACAGCAGCAGCCTCCTCAAGCACATATTCAGCCGCAACCCCAAGCACAAGCTGATGTCTTGATGAGCTTGTTCAACAATGCTAGACGTGGGTATTAATGAGGTGTTGCAATCTTTTGCTATGCGAGCGATATCTTCAAGGATGGTGGAATTGCGGAGATGTGCTCAAACAACAACAAAGATACCCAAATCGCTATGATAGAGAACCTCGAATGTCAATCTTTCCTGGCAATCAGACCTGTCTAGAGTTCCTCGTGATACCCAGAGCTTGTAGTTGAGGCGGTCTAATTTCGGTGACTTTGCGAAGTGTGACTGTCTACTTATTCACTCTTGCTCTGCCATTCGGTCTTTCCAGGCAATCGTTCATATCGTTACTTCTCGCGTTTCGCCAGAGTCGAGCCACTTCAATTCCCCTCGCGCTCCGCATGCCATATCCTAGAAGTAAGCCAGATATCCTTCACTTACCATACTTTGTCTAACCCATCTAGCATAATGAACATGGCTATAGACCCTTTCACGCTCATCTGCGGCATCAATACCTTTTTTACCATCCTCAACATGCTAGCGCCAAAACTTTGCCGGTACCTCTTCATCGGGCTAGCACTTTCTCTCTGGCGATCCACCAACACGACTGCAAAAGATGTTATTGCATCGTGTGTCAAGGACCAGAAATGGGATTTTCGCACTTCTTGTAGGGTTAATAGTGCAGTGTTTGGGATGCAGATTGTGGTGTGGACTATTGGGGTCATGTGTGTTTTGGCAGAGTTGGAGAGTTTGGCTGAGAGTTTGGCTGGGAGAGTAGGAACAAGACGCAGAGAGGATAAGGATGGGAGTGTGGTTGAGAAGGAGTAGATACAACAAGACTTGAAAGAAGGAAATTGAGTTATGAGAGAGGTGGTGGTTTGGGGAATACGAGCGTCTATCACTCTTCTGTTATTCCGGCCTTTCCGAGCGGTTGCTCCTATATCTCTAGAGCAGCCATCTTGCAAAAGGCAGCCATTCGGATTCGACCTCAACACTTCTCGAAGAGAGATCAAACAGACTCTAGCAGGTTATTACAGGCTTCACCAACCACACTTGCCGACTCCGAAACTAACCACCTCAAAGCAACCATGGAAAGCAGCAACTCCCCCTTGGCCGTCCTCCTCATCATTGCCGTTTCCGCAACAACATTTTACCTGTTTGCACCAAGAATGTTTCGCTTCTTTTGTATCGGAGCTGGACTTTCATGGTGGCAATCGGCTCCGGTCGCAAGTTTTAAGACTACTTTTCAGGCTTGTACGGCCGATCACCACGGAGATTCGCATTTCCAGGAATTTGAGTGTAGGGGCAATGTAGGGTTTCTGGTATTGCAGACTTTAGTATATACAGTTGTTGTTATGTGTGTTTTGAAGGAGCTGGAATATATTCTTAGGAGGAGAGAGGGAAGACAGGTAAAGTAAGCTGTGAGTTGGGATAGAGATGAGAAGAGCAGATTAAGTTGTGATCCAAGGTGGCCTAGGAAATACGAGCGTCTATCACTCGTACTCTGTTATTCCGGCCTTTCTGAACGATTGTTCTCATATCCCTGGCCATCTTACAAAAAATAGCCACTTCGATCCATCGTGCTTCTTGTAGAGACAACAGACTGTACCAGGTTACTACACACTCACCAATCCACCTTATTGGACTTAATCTAACCCATCTCGCAGGCTACAGCAATCATGGACGTCAGACAATCCCCTATAGCTCTCATCTTGATCCTCATTTTCTTCGCTACAACATTGTACTTTCTCTCAGCAAGAATGTTTCGCTTCTTCTGGATCGGAGCTGGAATCTCATGGTGGCGCACGGAGCCTACTGCCAGTCTTATGACTACTATCCATGCTTGCACGTCGATTTACTATGGAGAGTGGCATATGACATATGCGTGTAGGAATGACGTAGCGATGTTGATGTGTCAGTCTTTGATCTTCACAATTGCTGTCATGTGTGTTTTGAAGGAGGTTGAATATATCGTTGGGAGGAGAGAGGCAAGGAGCGTGAAGTAAGCTACGGGATGAGAGCTGTGAGGCTGGATGGAAATGGGAAACGCGCGTTGAGTGCTACTAGATGTTGCCCGAGCACATGACAGAGAATTACCATGCATATGAAATTGGAGTTTCCTATCATTTGAGCTGATTTTCCAATTAGGATGATATACCTTGTTGCTGGGTAATAGCAAAGATGTAATGATGGAGCCAGGGTGTTACTGGCGACAGGACCGCGCGTCGTCGGTTTGCGATAGAAGCTCCGTCACCATCTAAACCAGACGTACACACGACTTGCTTACGAACTTTGCGAGAACCCCTCTCATTTTGAGGTCATGCTCAGTCGGACGAACAAGATCAACCTTCATCTGCAACAGAAACAACAAGAACGACAGTAATTGATCCAAACGAACGGTCATACGCAGCTCCTAGACCCACCGCGAATCCACTTCTAGACACCGCAACAGACCAAGCCCATTCAAATGTCACACTCCCGCGACCACAGCACCAGTTCCAGTTCCTCATCGTCCAGCATGGTACCTCAATCACCCTCCGCAACGACTGGTACACTACACCACGTCCCTCCCGTCTCAGCTTTCGAAATCGGTTCTTTGTCCACCAGCACGCCAAACCTGCTACTCTGGATCGGCGGCTTGACAGATACATACCACAGCGTCGACTATGTCTACCAACTAGCCAAATCCCTGCCCCAAACCTGGTCGCTCGCCCAAACAAACCTCAGTTCCGCAGGAAGCGGTTGGGGCATTGCGTCCCTCTCTCAAGATGTAAACGAGCTCTCGTCTCTAGTCCACCACTTCCGCAGCCAAGGAAAGAAGAACATTGTGATTATGGGCCATTCAACGGGTTGTCAGGATTGCCTGCATTACTTTGCTTCCGAAGACAAGAGAGGAGATCGTGCAACAGTAGATGGAGTAATCCTCCAAGCCTCCGTCAGCGATCGCGAAGCCATAGCAATGGACATGGATCCCAAAGATCTGGAACACGCAAACACCATGGCAGAAACCTGGTGTAAAGAAGGAAAAGGCGAACATATCCTCCCCTTGTCCCTTACATCCAGCAATTTCGGCAGAAACCCTGTGACTGCAAGACGTTGGGTGTCTCTGGCTTGCAAAGGAGGAGAAGACGATTACTTCTCTTCTGATTTGCCAGAGGAGACACTGAAGAATACGTTTGGTAGCATTGATAAGCCGTTGTTGATCTTGTATGGTGAGGAGGATGAGTATGTGCCTAAGAGTGTGGATAGGAAGGCGCTGGTCAATAAGTGGATTCCGTTTGTTAAGGGAAAGGTGGGTGAGCAGAGCAAGGAGCTCTTGGGTGGTGCAAGTCACAACTTGAATGGTGATGATCAAGAGGTTGTTGATGAGCTTATCAAGAGGGTTGGTAATTTCTTGACTAGCATTTGAAGAAGTATGATAGAAATATAGATAGACTATATCTGAATGATTGTCACGTTTGAAAAGCAAGGTCTTCGTCCGTTTTGTATGCTGTATGTTTCCAGCGGTCAAAGCATATGGCACGGTGAGCACAGCGCATTCACGAAGCACAGACAGAACAATAAATGAGAGCGAAAAAAATCCTTTCTTTTTGGAAAAACGACTGGTAGAGCTACTTTTAATCCCTTCCCAAGCCATAACTTCGTCTCAACACATTCCGACCAACAGCCCCAGGAACCAACACTTAGTTCTCGTGGAGGAGGGTCTTGAACTCGGCAGCGGGAGCAGCGGGCTTGCCCTCGGAGAGCTTCTGCTGACCAAGACCGGCCTTGGAGAAAGCAGTAGCGTAGGGGTTGAGGCGGAGGAGAACCTGCTTGTTGCGGAGAGGGTTCTTCTTCTGGACGTTGGTGCGCTTCTGGACGGCACCACCCTTGGCAGGGCGGAGGACAGACTGGACCTCGGAAGAGTTGATGAGCTTGGCAATGTCGGGCTGGGCAACAGAGTTCTGGGGAAGGAGGAAGTCCTTCTTGAGAGCAGAGGCCTCAGTGGTGGAGCCGTAGATCTTGTCAAGGGCCTGGAAAGCGGAAGAGGTCCAGACAATGAAGCGACCGAGGTGACCACCAGGGGCGAGCTGGAGGAGGTTGAGGGAGAAGACGGTGCAAGTCTCAACACCGGGGATGTTGCGGAAAGCGGTAACGAGCTCCTTGCCATCCTCGCTGGGGTTGTAGACAACGAGGGGACCACGGCGCTGGCAGTGGCGGCGGTTTCTCAGCTTACCCTTACCGGCGCGGAGCTTCTTGGAAGCCTTGACCTTCTCGAGGTCAGCACCGGCACCGACGGCCTTGAGGAGGGCGACGGCAGCGGAGGTCTTGGAGATGGCAGCGTTGCTGAAGGCGGTCGAGTTGACGACGAGAGGGACCTCAGGAACGGTGGCAACCTGGTGACCACGGGCCATCAGGAGAGCGGCGGAGGAAGAGGCAGCAATGGCAGAGGCGGTAGCGAAACGCTTCTGGCCAAGGTTGATCTTCTGCTGCCACTTGCGCCAGACCTTGGTGGGGGCGAACATGCGACCGGAACGGCACATGTTACCGAAGGCGGCCTGACCGGCACGGTGAGTACCACCACCGGAGACACGGGGGATACGGGCAACAGCACGGCCTGGAGAGGGATTGTGTTAGGAGCGGTATTCTTGGCGTTTCGAGATTTTCGGCGTTGTCTTCAAAACGTACCGGTACCCCAGGACTCAGCAGAGGTCTGGTGGCCAGCCTTCTCGCTCACGGCGTAGGGCTGTCTCTTGTTCTTGGCCATGCCGGTGTGGACGGACCTGTACAGGTCATGTCAGTCAATTGCGCATTGTCGGTCGTGTGGGCGCGGTTTATTCGTACTGGACAATGTCGGGACGGATGGGAGCCTTGAAGACATTGGGGAGAGGGTGGCTAGCCTCGCCGGCCTTGCCGTCGGCGGAGATGATGGAAACCGTGGGTCTGCTGGTCATTTTGGCGGTCGTGGATTGTTCGTCGCTGTCGTCGATTCGAAGGGAGAAGATTCAAAGTTGAAGACTTTGCAAATGTCGGGGGTGCGACTCGCTTAGCTCAGCCAAAATCTTGGCGCCTTGTGGTTGGTCAAAGCTTTGATCCTCATCACGACCATCTTCGCAGCGACGAATTGACTCGTCAAGAGTAAACTATTTCCGACAACCGAGTCTGCTCAAAGACTGTCGAGATGTACTTGAGTACCATAATCCCAGAAGGATGAAGTTGACGAGAGCTTTGAGTAAGACTGAGTGAGCTTTGGGTCGAGCGCTGCTTCCTGCCTACACCTTTAGCCGCGCTTTCCTCTCGAAGAACACCTCAGTTCGCAGCCTGACCAGATCTAACCTCCTTCACCCTCTATGATCCTTATTTCCTCTCGCCTTGTGTGTATGTCGTTATTTCCACCGTCTTGGTCACTTCGAACATCATGCACGCTAGCAGTATGCATGTCTCTTCGAGATGCAGTCATGGGCGCTTGCGGCTCTGTCTTTTGCCTTGCCGCATAGACAGTCTGCGCCGCAGGATGTTGTGCTATTCACGCAGACTTATCTTCGCGTCTAATATCCTCACAGTATCGACCAAATCATCGTCAGGCACTTTGCACTTCATCCTGCATGAAGTGATGCATGTTAGAGATATGCTACCTCTGGCCGCTCACAGCGTCTATCTCAGGAAGATCTTTGATATGCTGCTCGGCCTCTGCTATCGAGCTCAGCCATGTTAAGCGTTTACCGATAAGCCTTCGTCTTGTCCCCTGAGTGTCCACCATACTTGTCTCTCCCAAAGAGTTTCTGCAATGATAAATAGAGTGAGAAAACTAGAGACAGATGATCTCCTCATTGCCCAAGAAGAAGTTAAGGACCAGAAGGCACTCATTTGAGGCCAGTCAGTCTCAGGCTTCCATTCCTCACGTTCGTCTCGCTGGTTACTTGTGTTTTGAGTGTCGTGTTGCAATGGCTTCTGCAGACAAGTCAGACCACTGGCGGGGTCATTCTCGCTCCCAGTATCAACGATCTGCTCTTGAGCAAAACCTTTGGCTATCTTTGCGCTCTCGCAATCATAGCCGTGGTATATGATCTTCTCTGGAGTTGGAATGACCTTAACATCAAGCGAATGGAACTGAGTCTCGCCAGAGCTTCGACGCTTGCAGCGATCGGCTATCCATGCTACAAATATCACACCCTTGATAAATTACCAAATTACTAGCATGCAAGAGCTCATATCTTAGCCGCCCAATGTTGTGGAAATTGTTGAGCGCATTACGCATATTGGCTTTGCCGCAATGGTGGCGGCTACTGCGGCGGCTACCTGCAGCCTGGATTCGCGTCTCTTAGCTCAGAACGATTGGCCATAATGGTGCAAAAAGTACTTCAAGATGACAGAGGAGCGCCGCAACTCTTTCAATTGAGACTTCGATACCTATCAATCTGCATTCAAGTCATGTCATCGAAACCAGACTCGCACATTTACGTCAAGACTTTTGGTTGTGGTCAACTACGATCGAAGGTCTCTGAACAGTCAATTGAGCCTTTGATCCGGACAAAGGATGAAAAGAAGACATTGCTATTGTCAGAAACCAAGAAGCAATGGCAACCATTGACCCAAAAAGCATACTTTCTTGTACCGACTATCTTAGCTTCTGGAGCACTAATCGGTATTCTTCAAGTCTATCTGGAACGCAGCAATCGAGATACAGGTATCTTATTTGCTCCAAGGATCAACGACCTTCCGCTGAGCCAAACGTTCTGTTACCTGTACTTGCCAACGATCGTGGCGTTGGTGTTGAGCTTCGTCTGGACCTGGATCGACCTTGATATCAAAAGACTTGAGCCGTTTGTTCAGCTCTCCCGTTTAGGAGGCGCTCTGGGTAAGGACTCAGTTTTGCTGCATTACCCTTTTGATTTTGTGGCTTTCGTACCCTTTGCTGCCATGAGAAAAAGGTACATAATTTATCCAGCGTTGTAGAGTATTACTGACATTTGAAGACACTGGCCAGTGTTCTCGGCTTCCTTAGCCGTAGTTCTCATATTCTGGGGACTTACTCCTCTACAATCCAGTATATTCGCAACCAAGATGGTCGACAAGGTCCTAGAAGTACCTGCAATCTTATCTACAACATACCTCTCATTAGTTGATCAGAAAACCACATTGACTGGGCTGTACGCTCAATCCGTTTATAACATTGCATGGCTGAATGAGAGTCTGCCGCCATTTATGGATCGGCAAGGTATGCTCGCGCCTTTTTCTCTAGCAGAAAATCTGACGACAGAGACGAACGAGACATGGACGACAAACACACGTTTCTACTCAGTCGATATCAACTGCGAGGAGGTTGGACGTAACATGTATAACTCTTGGGGATGTCACTACGACAACTACTATATGAACCTTGATGCCACCCTTCTGGAACAGGATCAATACAGCACAATGTATGTCGGATATTGGTACGAGGAGAGTATGGATTCGTACCTGTTGGGTCAATGCCCAAAAGAAGCGAACCAGACCTTTCTTGTACGCTGGCTATCTGGAGAAAGTATAGGACCTGTCGATAAAACTAACCCTCAGAATTTTAACACTACACTTTGGTGCAGGCCAACTTACTGTACGTTTTCTACTTGAAAGGCATTGAACTCATATTTTGCAAGGATCCAGTCCAACTGACTCAAAGTGTCCCGCAGATCAGCAGGAGGTCAGAGCTACTGTTGTCCCTCCGGAGATGCACGTCCTGGATATTGTGCCTGTTGGTCCGAAGCAGCCACTACCCGGAGACTTGATCAATATTACTGATTTTGAATGGAGTATGAGTCAAGGCTATGAGAAGAACAACAACCGAGGAAGCTATCCTACTTCGTCATGGCCAGATCCAAAGGAACGACTCCAGTCTAACTTCCCAAAGCTTGTATGGAGCGACTATCTGCCAAATCTGGCAACATTCGCACTTGGTGCATACCAACGACCCCTAGCAGACTATCTTGACGCCGAGACTCTTCGAAATTCTTATCAGGCTGCTTATCGTCTACTGCTTGCACGAAAGTTGGCTGACATATTGTCAAGCGACTTGAGCCATACCGAAACAGTGCTCGCAACACGACAGTACCAAACGCAAACAGTGATCATGGTATCAACATTCGTCTACATAGTTGAAGGACTACTGGCAACCACAACCATCATTGCTTTGCTGATATTTATCATACCTTCATGGAGAAAAACTAATCTCGTATCTGAGCCTTCGAGTATAGCCTCCTTGATGACTCTCACTGGTAACGATCAACGTATCATTAAAGCCACTCGTGAGAAAGATTGTGCGACATCTCGAGAGCTGGAGAATCTCTTCCAGGACGCTACTTTCCATCTGCAACCAGCGAATGATTCTCAAGAGAGCACTCTCAGCTATCTTGGTCCTGATCCGCAAATATTACCTTCAGACAAAGCAAACACCAAATCATTGCCATTACTGCCTATCGAGTTGTCCTGGATCTTCGGAGTTGCTTTCCTGATGCTTCAAGGCTCAGTCATGGCCGCGATGGCATATACTTACATCAGGGCACAACTACAAGATGGTAACGTCTTCGATATCTAGGGTCGACTGTTAGCTAATCGTAGAAGGTCTACCTCTTCCGTCCAAATCTCTGTTTGCCAATCAGATTGTCATCAAGTATCTGCCGATGGTAGTAGGCGCTTTCTTCGAACCAATCTTTACATGGCTTACTAGGACTCTTTGCATGCTTCAACCTTATGAACAGCTTCGCAGAGGCGATTCAGCACCATCACGCTCAATTGACGCGACCTACAGCTCTTTGCCACCGCAAGCTGTGATGTTCCGAGCGCTGAGGACCGGACACATCTCCTTGGCCTCGATTTGTTGCATCATGACGTTCCTGGCGAACGTAGTTTCTGTAGCATTCAGCAGTTTGCTGTATGAGCATACCGTCCTGTTTCCAACGTCGCGAAATTTCACCGTGCCATATCAGCTTCCGATCAATGGCTCTGGAATACCTCACTCTTATACGAATACGACCTACGATCACTTTTACATTGCCATGTCAAATCTTACAGCTGGTACACCTCTGCCAGCATGGACTGATGAAACATTCTTCTACGTACCATTTCAGGGCTCAGAAGGTCGTAACGCGTCTGCAACACTCTACCGTGCGATAACGCCTGCCGTCAGTGCCTCTTTACATTGCTTCCCAATGTATCAAAAGTTAAGTGGAAAACACTTGACATGGGACATTCCAGCTGGCAGCCCGAGTTGTGATCTCTCATCATTACAGACTTACGAGACGTTCGAGTCACAGATACCCGAAGCTATCGAATATCTGACTTTCATGAACACTGTCACGAGTGACAATCATGTTCCGGACTGCGAACTCACTGTCCTAGCCGGCTGGTGTAGATCGTCCATGGAATTCTCGCACCAACCCGTTAACGCATCTTGGATTGGTTGTCAGCCTCAACTCCATGTCGAGCTTCGCGAAGTCGTTGTTGACACTCCAGGATTTGTCCAGTCCTCGAAGCCTATCAATGACACTATGAGCCACGATAATCAGCTCCTCCAGGATGGCTCCAAGGATATTTTTGATGCGTTCCACGCGTTGCTTGCATTGTCGGTTACTCCCAAATATCCATATGTGTCTACCAGCCCGTATCACAACGACTCGTACCCTAGCGACTTTCTCAATTACCTGATGGCCCAAAAATTGAACAGCTCGGCAACTCTAGATCCTCACCTTCCGCCACCATCTTTCAACACAACTGCGCCAATCATGGAAGCTCTGTATACTAGGATGTTCGCAATTGTGCTCGGCTCGCGCATCAATGATATTCTACGACCCACAAACCGGGCAATCGTTGTCGCCGGCTTTGTACTGCATCCAGAGGCGCGGGTCTTTGTCTCGTCGCCCATGTTCATCCTTTCCGTCGCGATATTGGGCGTATATATCTTGTTCACGATCATGTTGTACATCCGTCGACCATGGAGAATCTTACCTCGTATGCCTACAACCATCATCAGCCAAATCCCTTTCTTTGCTGCCAGTCACGTGCTACAAGATCTTCGGGTCATGTCAGATGCATGCAAGAGCGAGCAGAGTGCCAGTGTCCGAGGGCTACGACAAAGATATGGGTATGGGCGCTTCACAGGAACTGATGGAAAAGCGCATATTGGCATTGAGCGAGAACCTCTCGTGCAGATTCTCACCAAGAACGATTTGCGTCTGATGCAGAAGGACACATCATCATTGTAGCGCTCAGAGATGCGTTAAGCAAGACAGGCGCCTTCACAAACAATAACACAACGTCTTCCTCCACTAGGGCTCTGTATACCACTTTTCGTGTCATGCATCTGTGATGGAGTAATGGAAAGCTCGGCGGCTCAGTTCGTACCACGCTGCATGTGCACACGAAGCAAAAGCGAGGTGTTACAGGTCTAAAACATGGCCGCTTGTTTCATGTTAGCGACTGATGTTCATCGGGATGTGGCTGCCGGCAGATCTGGGGTCTGAGCTTCACCACACGTCCCTTCCGAACGTTCCTTCTGCATTGTCTTTACACCAACACTCTGGGAAGAGATTGTTCTTCACAGGCATGGCAAGATTCTTGCTGTCGGCACATAAGAGTGCTAACAGAGTCATTCGTTGTCTTCCGTGTCTCACGCGATAAAGCAGCAAGGGAATTCGGCACAAAGATTGCTTCTTTGTCACTCACTCCTGATGCACAGACGCGCCGCGTTCCGAGGCTTGTGCATCTCCTTTTCGACCGCCTTCTCGCCTTTGTCCCTTGATTGGACAAACCCAAGAAATCGTTTGCTCCTATGTATGTACGACGGGAAAATGCTTTGAGCCAGTATCAACCTCGACTGTGGATGCGCCACAGCTCGTGACTCTACTAGTTTTCGAGTTGTGCAAAAGAGTCTATTCGAACAAAGCCTGGCTGGAAAGGAATGACTAATAATATCTGATACGGATTGGCAGGCAGGCTGTGTAGGTGACAGGAGACACAGGAGGCAGATCGAGGTCTAAAAACAACGCCTCGTCATCAGCGTCAACTGTTGCTGTCTCGCCCAATTCTGGAGACTGCTGTGTGACCAGAACCAAGCTTTACCGTGCTGCAGGGGCGGCCTTGACCGCCATCGTCCTTCAACACACGCGATCGGCCATGCGCAAACTTGCACGGACATGTGCAAGATTTCTTCATCCGTCTTTTACAGTGGCTTCGCGTCGCGCTTGGGACGACTTGACAGCTTTAGTTCAGTCTCACCAGTACAGCAAAATGCCTCCTGAAAAGGCACATCTGGCTTCCTACTGGACATCAACGGCCCGCAGGTCTGTGGAGCATGACCAATTCCCTTCCAGAGTTCAATGTGTAGATCCCCACTATGCAACTTGGCTAGTTTACGCACAGAAGCCGGTGTGTGCTTGACCTGCATTTCGCAGACATGTGGCGGGAATAGGGATATTCACCCTTTGCAAACAAAATCCTATATAAGAACAGTAGGTCCCTGTGACTTTCAAACTTCCCGCTCCCTCTCATTGTCTAGTTCTGCTTTGGAATCGCCTGGTGCAATTCCTATCACATTCTTTACAGTTTGCAAGAACGTCACGCGCCAGTCACTCTTTCCGCTTAAAATTCTTTGGATTCGCTTACTCGACCTGGTTTAGATCTTGCATTGTCAGGTGTGTTCACATGTCTTTGATCCTTCGCAATCTCCATCATCACTGCATTTCCTTTTCATTGTCAGGACTATTGTTCCATGCTCAATGCATTTTGCATTGTTTCTTGTTTATTATCTTCATTCAAGATTTCATTGTGCTATTGTGCTATTGCATTGGGACATCATGACGTGCTGGCACAACACATATAATCCTCGAATATTCCATCCGTACTGCCTGAGACAGACATACAACTCGAAGATTCTTGAAACCAAGACACCTAACACAATTTCTATCCAGTTCTACAACTCTCGAATCTCAAGTCGCATAGCAGGTCTAGCGATATAAAAGCATTTCAAAGCCAACCTTCTTGCACCACATTCTTTACCAGAACTTCAAAATCACAAAATGTACGCCTCGACTGTCCTGCTGGGCTCGGCACTTGCCCTGATTGCAAAGTCCAATGCCCATGTCGTAATGAACACGCCTACACCATATGGTTTCAGCACCCTTCAGACCTCACCTCTCAACGGTGAAGGCTACAACTTCCCTTGCCAAAGCGGAAGTCGTGCTAACGCTTTTGATGCAACTGGTGTTTACAACCCTATGAAGGTCGGCCAAGACAATGACCTCAAATTCACCGGTACTGCTGTCCACGGTGGTGGCTCTTGCCAACTCAGCGTGACTTACGAGTACCCCCCTCCTGCCGACAAGTCCAAGTGGAAGGTTATCCACAGCTATATCGGTAGCTGTCCAGCTAACGCCCAGGGCAACATTGCTGAGACTGGATCTGACGTTGATGGAAGACCAACTGGAGCTCAATGCACTGGCGACAACCAAAGCGAATGTCTCAAAGACTTCAAGTTCCAAATCCCAGAGGGCATGAAAAATGGCAACGCAACTCTCGCCTGGACTTGGTTCAACAAGATTGGTAATCGTGAGATGTACATGAATTGTGCACCTATCTCGATCACGGGCGGCTCCGACGATGACACTTTCTTTAACAGCCTTCCTGAGCTCTACGTTGCCAATATCCCGAATGAGTGCAACTTCAATAGTGGAAGTTTTGTTGTCGGTTTCCCTAACCCTGGCAAGTTTGTTACTTACGGTGAGGCTGCCACAGCTGGCGACCTGGGCTGTCCTACTAGCTCTGACAGTGCATCTGGTTCCGGATCAAACTCAACTTACTCCTCAGCTTCTCCTTACGGTGCCAGCTCTCCTGCCACAGCTCCTACTTCTTACGCCGCAGCTCCTTCACCATATGCTGCTGTCCCCACCCTGGCCACAGTTGCTAGCGCTGTCCCCATGCCTTCTGGAACTGGCTACGCCGGATCTTCCAACAGCACTTCTGGCGCTTGCTCTGGCGGTAAAGTTTCATGCCCAACCCCCGGTTCGGTCATCTGCATCGACGAGAATACATTCGGCCTTTGCAACATTGATTACTGCGCCGTCCCCCAAGCAGTGTCTCTTGGCACCACATGCTCAAACGGCGTCATCTCGAAGCGTGATGTGGTTAGAAGAAGAAGCTCGAGAATTCATCGTCACATCCCCGCCCACATTCACCACAAGCACAGCTTTTAAGCGAGTCAACAACTTTTACGACGATACTTTTGGGATCCGGTATCCTTTCTGCAATGATGGGAATTGTTCATATCTGGGATGAGGCGCAAGTCTCGGGGTTATCTTCTTCTTTAGCATGCATGGCTTTTGCACTTCATGAATCAATTCTTTCTTTCTGATCTTCAAATTGTCGTCTCTGTTATTTTGTGTTCTGTTTGTGAACTAATTGTGAATCGTGACCATGTGTAGATGGGTACGGAGAGCTCCGAGGTCGAGTATCCTGCACATAACCGCTGGACCACAAGACGTGAATGTTTTTGCTGATGTGGTGTAACGACGAACAGAATGGCGGCAGTGGTGTTTCAGGCTTTGGCGATGACGGAGTGAGAGCAAGCCCTCGGAGGCTCAACTCCCAAGCGTGCCTCCACACGCTGACCGCCTTCCTCGATATTGTCCACTGCGGCCCATTTCACCTTTGAATCTGCTCCTGAATATTTGTGATTATTGCTTGTGAAAAAGCCTCGGACTATATACGAGACGTGGTGATTCAAGGCCATTTCCTCTAAAGAGACCACAGTCAGCTCCCTACGTCAGGCATCATTAGCTTGAATCAGCGTCAAGCAACACCGCCACAGTCGCAGGGTCTAGCCGTCTTTGCTGCCACTGGTCGCTGCTCTCTTGCCCCTCAGCCACGCGACCGGCCATTGCTGCCCTCTTGACCTCCACCAACTTCGACTTTGACCTTTTTGCAACAACCAGACACGCTGCAATCATGTCCGGTCAACCCATGGAGCAGGACAAATACATCGACAGCGCCGTGCGCGCTGTCACCAACAAGCGACCTGTCCCCGAGATTGATTTCACTCTCCATACCATGGAGGACGGCACCCAGGTTAGCACCCTGGAGAGAGTATGCAAGGGTATGTACTCAGCTCCTAGCCTCTGCTCTGCACTGCTTGGGAGCTCGTCCATACTGTTCAATGCGTCGACAGACCAAGCTGACCCGTATTTCAACAGACGTGCAAGCGCCCGCCTTCCACCCACCCACCGACGAGCAGTTCTTCTCTCCCACAGACCCCAATAAGCCCAACCTACAATTCCTCAAGCAACACTTCTACCGCGAGGGTCGCCTCACCGAGGACCAGGCACTATGGATTTTGAGCGAGTGCACAAAGGTGCTCGAGAGAGAGCCCAACCTTCTGGAGATGGATGCCCCCATTACTGTCTGCGGTGATGTTCATGGTCAATACTACGATTTGATGAAGTTGTTCGAAGTTGGTGGCGACCCTGCGGACACACGCTATCTGTTCTTGGGTGACTACGTCGACCGTGGATATTTCAGTATTGAGGTACGCTCTTCCCACCCGCTCTGGGCCGCTCCTGATCTGACATGATATGCAGTGTGTTCTCTACCTCTGGGCCCTCAAGATCTGGTACCCCAACACTCTCTGGCTTATGCGCGGTAACCACGAATGTCGCCATTTGACTGATTACTTCACCTTCAAGCTGGAGTGCAAGCACAAATACTCCGAGGCCGTGTACGAGGCTTGCATGAAGTCATTCTGTGCTCTTCCCCTCGCTGCTGTTATGAACAAGCAGTTCCTGTGTATTCACGGTGGTCTCAGTCCCGAGCTGCACACACTTGAGGATCTCAAGAGCGTACGTTGCGCTGGTCTTCTATTGCTCTGTTCCATACTAATATGCTATACAGATCGATCGCTTCCGCGAACCTCCTACCCACGGTCTGATGTGCGACATTCTCTGGGCTGACCCGCTCGAGGACTTTGGTCAAGAAAAGACGCAAGAATACTTTGTCCACAACCATGTCAGAGGTTGCTCATACTTCTTCTCATACCCCGCTGCATGTGCTTTCTTAGAGAAGAACAACCTGCTCTCTATCATTCGCGCACACGAAGCCCAAGACGCTGGATACCGCATGTACCGCAAGACCAGAACTACTGGATTCCCTAGTGTCATGACTATCTTCAGTGCACCCAACTACCTGGATGTTTACAACAACAAGGCTGCTGTTCTCAAGTATGAGAACAATGTCATGAACATTCGTCAATTCAGTGAGTGCTTCCATTGATGCTAAGGAATTGAGATTTTGAGCTGACGAGCAAATAGACTGCACACCTCACCCCTACTGGCTTCCCAACTTCATGGACGTCTTCACATGGTCGCTTCCCTTCGTTGGCGAGAAGATTACTGACATGCTCATTGCCATTCTCAACACTTGCAGTAAGGAGGAGCTCGAAGAAGAGACTCCCCTCTCATCTGGACCACACTCGCCTCCTCTTCCATCAAACGTAACAAGCATGGATCCAGAGAGCACCGAGGCCAAGCGTCGTGCCATCAAGAACAAGATTTTGGCGATCGGTCGTCTGTCAAGAGTGTTCCAAGTTTTGCGCGAGGAGTCGGAGCGTGTCACTGAATTGAAGACTGCCAGTGGAGGAAAGTTGCCTGCAGGCACATTGATGCTGGGAGCTGAGGGTATCAAGCAAGCCATCACCAACTTTGAGGATGCTCGCAAGGTGGATTTGCAGAACGAGAGACTTCCTCCTTCGGGTGAGGAGGTTAGAAGAAACAGTGATGCAGCCAGACATGATGCTTTGACGCGTGCGGCGCAGGAAGCCGAGAACGATCAGAAGCTGGCTGGTGTCGCCAGAAGGATAAGCATGTGAGTATTGGAACTGTCCTTTGGCTGTGACAGGAGGCTAACAAGATACGCAGGTCTTCGGGCTCAGGTCGTAGCGCCAGAAAGTAAGATACCCCTACGGTATGGTGGAGGAGTTTTTAGTGAGAAAGTCTTTATTTTAGGCCAACATGACGACCTGTAGCGCGGACATGTATATTACAGCTGCAAGGAACAGCGCGCGATGCATTGACTGCATGGATGAAAATATTATTGAAACGCCGTTTATCTTTTAGGTGACCAAAGTAAGAAATCGTGGATATTCATGATGGAAATTGACTTCATGTCATGGGAGCTTTGACGACGCTTGGCATACAGCATGGCCATGTCTCGTTGCGGGCAGGCCGGAGGAGAGACACGATTGAGAAAGTCATTATGCTTCTTCGAGTGCCATTGGCACGGAGGCCCCTGTCGCCAAAGACTTGCGCTCGTCTGGTTGCTTCCACATATACGCCATCAACAACATGGCGGTCCGGATCGTCAATTGCCCGCAAGCAGCCATCCGCTGTCGCATCCACGCGCCTTGTACATAACCCAAGACTCGCCCGCGCACATGCCAACAGCCCATACACATCACAGCGTGCACAAATCAGACATGCGACCAACCTAGCCTCAAGGACAGCCATCAATCCTCCCTCAAACGTTCCCGCAGAAAATCAACAACTATATGCTTCTCTGGACCGGCTGAAGGATATCGCTAGTGACTATGTGAATCAGAGCAGACTACAACTTGCCTTGCGAGGGCTGGAGACTTCACGACCTACTGTGAGGATTGGTCTGCTTGGTCTGGGACGAGATGGAGATGTTGCTGCTAGGAAACTTGCACGTGTCTTGCTTGCCGATGCCCTGGGAGACGAGGGTCAATGGGAGAAGATGCTTAAGCAGCCATCGCAAGACGGCAAGCCTTTGCTTCTGAGGTACGAGAACATCATATCTGCTTTCTTGTGCGAATGCTGATGTTTGGACAGATACGGAGCCGAAGACGACATTCCGCGTATGAACCCGCTTGTAAATGAATTGAACATCCCATCGCGTGTCCTGGAGAAGAACAATCTCGAGATCCTCATCACGACTCTAAATACACCCAGCGGTCCTAACATTACCGCTGACCCCTCAGGACTGGCAGAAGCCATCTTGGTACCTCCGTTGCAGACTCCCGTCGCTTCCTCTGGCCGTACAGGCTTCGTCCGCTACCCCGTCCACAAGGCAATTGTTGTAGGAGAAGGAATCCAAGGATGCATGGACTTTGGTCGTCTTTCCAGTGCTCTTGAAGCCACACCTCTGGGTGTCACAGGTGCAGAACAAGATCTCATCCAAGTCGCTCTGAGTGTACCACGCGACAGCCGTCGCACACAAACCAACGACACTGGATTGATTTCTCCCGTCGACATTGAGCAGGCTGGACTAGCTCTCGATCTCTTCCGCCAGGATGTCGCCAACGGTGCCATCTTCAACTCAAAATGGCAAGCCAGCAACATACAAGCCATCATCAAATTCATCGCCTCAGATCCTATTGACCCAGTTACTGGTGACTCTGTAGGCTTGAGACCAACTGTACAAGCACATATCCGATCTACCCTCGACTCTGCAGCCGACGCTATTGCTCTTTCCGAACAAGTCGCTAACAATGCTGTCATCTCTAACAGCATCCCTGATCAAAAACGCCAGGAGATCTCACAAGCGATATCGGCTTGGGCACAACACGCACACACTGATCTTCAAGTCTCTCTTGCCAATGCACTAGACTCGCGGTCCTGGCGACGAACAACCTGGTCACGACTTCTCTGGCGTGTCGACGATGTGGGCGTTGCCTCTGAGGAAGTGCTACGTTCACACTGGCTGCTAGACGCTGAATCCACCCTCGCATTCCTCGCTGGCAGAATCGAACAAGCAGGATTCTTCCGGAGCAGAGGTGGTGTAGCGAACTTCAATCCTGATTATGCCATGCACGCTTCCGACCGCGCAGTCGATCCAAAGACTGGAGAAGCAATCTCAAAGGAAAGAGCTTTCCTCGCTCCTTCCCAACCTTCCTCTGCTCCCACAACGACTAAAACCTCAAAAGGCTTCTTTGGCAAATTCTTCACTGATAAAGTCCCTCAACCGACCACTGCAGACCTGCTCAACACCCACGCTCTCACTGCAAAGGTTGCACAAACAGGTGGCATCGATATCTTCCACTCTAGGCCCTGGCCCCTGGCTATCCACTTTACACGTCAAAAGCTTTTGCATACTTTGGTTCCTTCCCTGCAAGCCCGCGCTCAAGCATTGCTTGCACAGTCCCTGACTACCATCGGCGCAACCTCTGCCTTGGGCGTGTGGCTCTACATCGCCACCTCCGGCACCATGCTAGCAGAATCCGGCGCTATTGCCGCACTAGGTCTCGTCTGGACACTTCGCCGCTTACAAAAGAAATGGGAAGGAGAGAGAGAAACATGGGCAGCCGAAGTGCGCGAACATGGACGTGTGGTCTTGTCAGAAGTGGAAGATGTGCTTAGGACGGTTGTTAGAGAAAACGAAAGAGGTGTTTTGAGACAAACTGATATTGAGGATTGGCAAAGAGCCAGAGAGGCTTTGAAGGAGGTGAAAAGGGCTTTGGGGGATGTAGAGGAGGTAGAGGAGAAAGTGCAGGAGATTGGGGTTAAGGTTTAGAGACAAGGGGAGGTTTTAGAAAAGCATTTACACTTCACTTCACTTCTTTCTCGACTTTTGTTTTTCTCTTGTTGTGTGTTAGAATGTAGGTGGTGGAGTTTGGAGCATGTGGCTCCTTTGCCTTGAGTGCTGTATCTCGTACTGCGTCTTCTAATAACTTACACCAAGTTCTACAAGTACATCGAGTACTCATTTTTCTGCTTCGTTATACCAGGAGGCTTGGACTGATACACTTCGACGTGCAGGGTGCATGCCGAGACGTTTTTTCAGGATGCGATTTCTTGAAACTTGTCTGCATCGTACACTGGACTTCAGTGAAAATCAAGGCCGTTTGATATACCAATAGTCTCGAAATATGACCACAGCACAGTCGCTGGCCTTGTGAATCTTTTCAACATAAAATTTGTACAGATATAAATACAGAAGACATGACTTCTCTTTCCAAATCCCACTCAAAAACGCCGCCCAATGCAACATTCTCGATGGTGGGTCTAGTTGGAGCCACGCTTGTTGTTCTTCTTCTTGCGCGAGTTGGAATCCCTGCTCTTGACTTCTGAGCTGCGCAACATGGCACGCTGTCTCTGGTATTGCCTGACGATGTTGTCGACACTGCCAATGTCGTGTCTGGGCTGGCGCATGTAGTAAAGTCTTGCTCTTCTTGCTCTCTTCTCCTTCCTTTGGACAACTTCGATACCTTCGACATTGGGACTGTAGATCTTGTACCACATCTCGACACCAACGCGGGTCAGGTTGTTGCGCAGAAGGATGGCTGTGTCGATGCCTTGGCGGCGGATGTTGAGACATACTCCGGCGTATTGGTCGCCGTTCTTGAGACGAACGAGAAGGATGTCACCGACGTTTGCGCGGTCTACGTTCTCGCGACTGAAGAGGCGGGTGCGGGCGCCATTAGGGTCGAGGGTGGAGATTTGGGTCTGAGTGATGGCGGCGATGGGGTCTTTGCAGTTTGCGCGTGCTGAAGGGACGGCGGGGAAGACGGGGATCTTCTTCATGCTGTGTTCGCTGTCTGGAAGCAGGTCAGAGCTGAGGGTAGAGGTCCAAGTAGGTGGTGTGTCGTACTGCGGCCGGTCATGATGGCACCGGGGTGGAAGTTTACGGGCCTGCCGGTGGTTGTTGGAGCGGCGGTGGCATAGTAGCGCGAGTGATGCTTGTCGGCGCGCAATTGGCGCAGAGCTGATTTGAGAGCAGCCAGTGGCCGTGCTGGAGTAGACATGGTCGTGTGCGTGGTCGATGTAATGGATGCTCGCTGCTGCTGCTGCTGATGCTCGACGGGCTTCCGCAGTCCGCAAAAAGTTCGGCGGGCCAATCACGACGCCGCAAGCCCGCGACTCTCGACCGCGAATTGCTCGACAATTACTCTGCTAACAGACACAATCAATCATGACGGATCTCTGTAGGACGTGTGCATTGCGCACTCAGCGTTCGGCTGTCTCTGCTCTTCGTCGCAACACCCAGACTCGCTCATTCACTGCCTCGTCTTCTGCTCAAAGGAATACTGGTATGCACATGCAGCCCTCCTCGCCATCACTTTCTTAGCCCTGACAATCTGTCCAGCCACCCTACCTGTTTTTGCCGAAACCTCGTCGCCCGAACTCGATGATGTCCTCCTCCAACTCCGTACCAAACACTTCATTCCCGCCTACCTGAACAAGCGCCAGCGCCATCTCATCTTCGGAGACAAGTTCAAGCAAGAACTGGAAAACAACCCTGCCTACGCAACTCTCGGCGACGAAGAGATCCCTCTCCTTCACATCGACCGCAGAAAGGATATCCCCGCTCGCAAGCCTTTGGTCCTTCAAGCACTGCGCCTGATCGAGGAGAACGATGAATGGCGTCAATTGCCCTCTCTCCTTGAGGGTCTGCACAAAGCCCGCCCACACCCGGATCTGGCCCTCCAAGAGAAGATTTTGAGAAAATTGCAATTGGCCGATCAATTCCCTGTTATCCTACGCTCGCTGCGACGATCGCATGCCACTGGCCTCACTCTCAAGAACGACGCCGTGCTAAATCAGGTCCTCAATGCATTGCGCGAAACCGCTTCGCTAGAAAATTGGGAGCAGACTCGGTTGGAAAAGGCATTGAAGCAGGCAGATGAGTTGGCTGAATTGCTCGAGTCGGCAGACCACGGTACAGGAAGAAAACTGTCACCAGACGACCCTAGGACACGTCCTGCTGTGATTGGTCTGTTCTTGGAGTTGCATGCCGTCTACGCACAACAATACCAAGGTGGTCAGGACGTGAGTGGCAAGGTCAAGGCCTACGCCACCAGATTTATGGCTACTTTCAACGAGGCAAACCAAGTATGTGCTCTCAACTTCCTCCCTACAATCACTAAAACTAACAATTTTCAGCCCGCAGAGACAGATCTCCCAGCAGTCGGTTCGCCGATCGAGTTCCTCTCAAAGATGTCCATTTACCACGGTCTCAGCCTTGCATACAAGATTTTGGGCTCTAACATGCCTGATGCTGCTCGCGCAAACCAGATTGTGCAGCAATATGAGCAGAGATTGAGCACGCTGGCCGCTGCTTTGTCAGCGAGAAACCCTGAGCCTAACAGCTTTGCAGCCTCCGCTCTCAAGGCATGGGATGCCTGTGTAAGGTAGACAATCTTATGCTGAGAGCAAGACCAATGTAATAGTAGGACGAAAAAGTGTACCAAGATCAAAGACCATCTTATTTTTTTCTGAGCAAAGTTGATTGCGCTTTCCAAGGGATTGCTAGGAATTTCGTGATATGTACACTGCTAAGATTTAGAGATTGCTCATCTACGAAAGTCGTCAAGGAAATAACATCATTACTGCGCCTGTCCAAATATGTTCGCAGCCACAGCAGCACAAATCTCGTCCTCTGTCAATTCTTGGCCTCTGATCTCAGGAGTCATGGCCTTTAGCAAAACCGCCTCTTCAATCTCTCTGTACTTGTTAGCTGCACTCAACACCATCTGTCCGTGTCTGCTTTCGTCCGCCATCAACAGTACAGCAGCTCTTGCTACCGGCTCAGCGCTTTGCAAGTTCACCTTCACACCCCTGTAATTCGATTCGTCGGTTAGACCAGTGACTGTCCAGGAAGGACACAAGACGTTGACACGTATAGGCAGGTCAGGATACGTGACGGGAGCGAGACCACGCAACAAGCCCAAGACACCGTGTTTGCTTAGACCATAATCAGCAGCGCGGAAGCGGTAGATTGATGATGTGGATCCGGTGAGTGTTATACTTTGGACACTGTCTTTGGGAGCGGGGTGCTTTTGCATGTAGTGTAATCCCAGACAAGCCGTGTTGACGACGGCTTTGAGATTTACGTCTAAGGTCATATGATTTGGCTCAGTCGGGTCACCGTTGGTGTCCTCGTCGAGAGCGAGGTAATTGGCCACGGGTCGCATTCCTGCGTTGGCAAAGACGTGATCGATGTGGCCATGCAGGTCCAAGGCTGCTTTGAAGAGGGTCACCAACTCGGGCCAGATTGTCACGTTTGTGCGGACATATTTGTACGAGTCTGCCGACTCGGAGTCGAGTTGCGAGGGTGGAGGATTCATATCACCATTGATGACTTTAGCTCCAAGACTGAGAAGCAAGGTTGTTGTTGCGAGGCCAATGCCTGAAGAGCCGCCTTTTGCATTGAGTCAGAACAATTGACTGCCGCTTAGGTAGTGTTCGCGGCATACCGGTCATTAGGACGACCTTGCCTTTGACAGCTTGTAGGTCTGCATCGTTGATTGTGATTTCCGCCATGTTCTGACCTTTATAGCTGGACTAAACAGGTGAAGAGACTGGTACGGGAGGAGAGGAGATGGGAAAAGAGGAAAGACGGAATGGACAAGTGACATACTACCTTATTCGACCGAGGAATCGGTAAGCTTACTATACATTGATCTACCACTGTATATATCCCGGGCAACGAATACGAAGGATCAGAGGAGAGAGGGGCTGGGAGGGGAAGTTGTGTCAATCGTTGCCAACACTAAATCAACCTCGGCATGATGAGAACAATCCCCACCAGATGGAGATAAGATAAAAACTTAACCCCACAATCAGTTGCGGCCAAAGAGCCGCATGACGACGGATTTCATGCACAATGAAAACACGGATGCGGCAAGAACGGGAATTTCGAACAGAACACATTCCTCAAGGACAATTGGCACATTCCTAAGATAGACAATGAGTGAGAAGGCGCTAGATGCTCTTGCTGAACGCGTCAGCGCAAGGAGGGAGGTAAATTTGCTGCTTCCGGTCTTTGTTCCTGCCTATTAACACCCGCGTGTTCAGAGCCACGACGAATTCAGCAGTGACGAGCAACAAGCCCTCGAAGTAATTTCTAGTCGATACTATCCTTTCTCCTACATCAATCCTAACTGCATACTCGGCAGGTCATTTTCGAAGGACAATCAACACCGCGACGCAAATCATCAATCGTCAAAACCAACATGTCGCGACCCGTCGCAAGGCGTAACGACACATCATGCTTCATTCATAGCATGTTGGAAGAGAAAGAGGATGGTACCAAGCATGAGCAGAGTCTAGAGGGAGAGCATCAAGAGAGACCGGCAGACAAACTCACGGGCACACCACCACAACATGGTGATCACATGCAATCACGGTTGCTCACGAAAAAGCAATTGTCCGACATGGCCTTTGGTATCCGTGAGCTGTCCAAGCGCCTGGGTCGAGTCAAGTTGATGCTCAAGGTCAAGAATATCTTCGTGCTTACCAAGCTCACTGATGCCACTCTTTGTGTTAAGGCGGCAGAGTTGACAAAGTGGTTGCTGGATCAGAAAGAGGCACAGTACACTGTGTAAGTCGTAGAATTTCGAACACAAAATTCGGCGACTGACGAGTTGCAGATATGTTCAGGACAAACTCAAGGATTTGAAGACCTTCGACATTCCGTGGATCCTCGAAGGAGACGAATCAAAGACAAGCAGGCTCAAGTACTGGGATGAAGAGCTTTGCAAAAAGACGCCACACAAGTTCGATATCGTTCTCGCTGTGAGTGCCATACCTACAAGTTTGTCATGAATAGCTTACTGACATTACGCAACAGCTTGGAGGTGATGGCACAGTTCTCTTCGCTTCTCTTCTATTCCAACGCATCGTACCTCCTGTCCTCAGTTTTGCCATGGGATCGTTAGGTTTCCTTACCAAATTCGACTTTGCGAGGTACACATCCATTTTACCCAGAGCCTTCAATGACGGCATTACTGTTTCTCTGCGTCTTCGCTTTGAAGGCACTATTATGCGAAGCATTCGTCGCGAAGGCGATAGCGATGATGACCACAAACAAAGAAGACTGGACGAGGAGCTTGTGGGCGCCGAAGCTGATGATCACCACACACACAAGCCGGAAGCAGCATACCACATCCTCAACGAGATTGTTCTCGACAGAGGTCCAGGAGGATCCATGGTCGCGCTAGACGTCTACGGCGATGAAGAGTGCTTTACCACCATTGCAGCTGATGGGTTGATTGTCGCTACACCAACAGGCAGTACAGCATACAATCTGGCAGCAGGTGGAAGTCTTTGTCATCCAGACAATCCCGTCATTCTTCTTACAGCCATTGCTGCACACACATTGAACTTCAGGCCAATCATCCTTCCTGACACTATGGTTTTGCGCATTGGTGTACCATACGACGCGCGCAGTTCTGCATACACCAGTTTTGATGGAAAATATAGGTATGTTACAGTCCCTTTTTTACGCGTCCTTCCTCAAAGTACTGACCAAGCATCAAATAGAACCGAGCTCAACCCTGGCGATTATGTCACCATCTCTGCGTCACGGTTCCCTTACCCCAGTGTCTTACCTCTGAACAAACGCAGCGAGGACTGGATCGAAAGCATTTCGCGCTCGTTGGATTGGAACTCACGAGCGAAGCAAAAGCCATACACGGAAGAGAAGAAAAAGGAGGAGGGCGAGCAAAAGCAAGATGGCGAGAACAAGTCCTGAACGAAGGACGATATGCATCAATCTGGCTTACTACCTTTGTTTCGCTAATAAGATACCTATTACCTACACCACTTTTGATTTGGAGCCATATCTGAGCGAATTTATTGTATATAGAAACCTTCCTCAAGAAGCTATCTTTATTCAAAAATGGTAGGCAGCCCAGAGCATAAGTCCCAAAGACACATACCCTGCACTGTTGGTGAGACGTGATGCTGCAGCGGTAGCAGCTTCTCCCTGAGTCGTTGATTGGAACAGAAAGAGCCGACATTCTTCCGTCATTCAACCGTTGGCAACTTCGACCCCAAGACTTACCTTTTGACATTGAGTCGTCACGAAACAGGAACAAGTCGTGGTTACGCATCAGGACTTCTTGTTTACTGTCTCCATCGCTGATCAAAATCAATGTGACGACCATTGCGTACCTTGGCACGTCGACTCCGTGAGCTTCGGCAGAGTCTAGTAGACTATACGCCCTCCATACTCTTCGTGTCTTGCATAGCATCTTTTGTACCATATGACAATTTACATCATGCTCAGATCAGCGATTTATAAGGCTGACTTGACTTGGGTCAACTGAGCGTGTCAACTAGCTTCCTTTGACATACTAATCCAACATAGACAATGATCGAGTCGATCATATTGTGGACAATGCAAACCTTCCTGCTGCGTGGATCATATCTGATCTGTCTCGACCAAGAGCTTTCAAAAGCTTTAATGACAATGAATTATACACAGAGACTTGAAAACGGTACCTCAATGCGAAAAAGTCGTTCCTTTCAAAATGATCGAGTCCGGATCCGGAAAGTCCTTTGTTGAAAACAATAATCGTTACCTTCCATACCATATACCTGACTAACAACGCTCTCGATCTCTGTACATATTGCAGTTCAGCACATATCATACAGTCTGTGAACCGTCGCCTACAGATTTTTTTGCAAACATGTCAGATGCTGGAGGATACTACCCCGATCCGTACCGCAACGACCGGATAGACATCGAATTGCGCGCTCTTCCTCGACAAGATGCACCTGAAGGTCATTCGTGGGTATTAGGAGGCAAGCTCGGTGCAGGTGGTTTCGGTAGAGCATATCTTTGGAATCTTATCAATAACGCAGATCAAAAAGTTGTTGATCGCGTCGTCCTCAAATATACCGAAGTGCGGTCGGAACAGGTCATAAGTAATGGAACTCTAGGAAACGGACACATCAAAGAAGTCTTCATACAGAGATCTCTGGTACCGAATGGCACGCCTCCAGACAAGGTCTTCACTGTACCCTTGTTGGGTGCTGAGCATTGCTCTTGGTCACTTGACTCTTGGAGGTTCTACTCGCCCTATTTCGCTTTCGGCGATCTCTTCGATCTTATCAAGACGCAGGGTACAGAAGATCTGAGGTCCACTATGACAGGCCATCGACAGATCCCGGAGCCATTCGCTTGGTATATACTGCACCGTCTTGTTTCTGCTGCTGTGGTTATGGATACGAAGTTTCGCACTAGTCAAAAAGACTATCAAGTCGTCCACGTCGACTTCAAGCCTGAAAACATATTCCTTGGAGCTCCTGGATCTCTAGGCAAAAACAACAGCTTCCCCGTGAGCACATCTGTTTCAGCTTCATCTGCATGTCCATGGCTGACTTCAGCAGGCTTATCCTCCGGTTTATCTTGGCGACTTTGGGAATGCACACATCACATATCCAGGTTCGTATACTAGCCGAACAGTATAGTGATGACCAAACTAACATGATCAAGGCGATCCATGGGACTATCTGATGTACGGAGGATGTACACAAGGCTGGTCTGCTCCTGAAATTACACGACTCGGCCGTATGAAAAAGTGAGTTTTTTTTTTGGCTCTTGTCGCTGTTGATAATATACTGACAGTGAAACAGGTCATGGCAAGCCCCTGGAGGTTCTTATACGGTAAGTGCATCAAGTTTAGATCACAATCGAGTTCATTCCCTGCATCCATGGTTGTTCCACAATCTATGTCTTTCAACACACACAATCCTGCCTTTGGTAAAGATTGTACTGACACTTTCTACAGAACGTCTGGCAAATTGGCTACACCATGCAATCCATTTTGATGGGAGTAGTATCTTGGCAAGAAGACATCAAGTGGAACGATTTCGACTATGATTACGAACCTCGCTATATGCCGCTTCCCAAACGCACAAAAGCACGCGAAGCAGAGAACCCTCTCCGCAGAGACTACAGCACGGAACTACTGGATATTCTCAACGCTATGGTCTCATTTAAGCCGGAAGCCCGACCAACACCACAGCAATTATTGGATGTTATTGAGGAATACATGCCTCACTTCACCCAAGGCATGGAACGTTGGGGCACTCAAGAATGGTTCGAGGAGCTTAACGGTGGCGGAGACCACACAGAGTTCGATGTCGATGCTTCTGAAACCACACCATTGCAAGGCGAGGGCTCCGGTAAAGGCGTCACCGACAAATTCATCGACAAGTTCAAACATCTCTTCTGTATGCCCAGAGCTCGTTCCAAGCGCCGTACTCCACGCAGAAGCCCCATCGATAGGGATCTCTCGCCCTACAGCAAGCTACAAGCAAGAAACAAATCTCGCAAGCGGCGTCAAGACATGGTAACCCGTCAAATCAAAGAAGGTCTCAGACCAAAACTCCAGCGCTACGTCAGTCCCGATCCCTCGGACGATATCTTTATTCTTCCAGACGATCTCAAGATTATACATCCCAAGCGGCCAGAAACTATTGGTGACTACTTTGCAGCTTCCGATCCTGAGCCTACGAACTACATGGAAGATATAGACGATGTTGAGAAGTATAGGACAGCTAAGAGGGCTTTCGAAAGAGCACATCCTGAGGGTTATCCTCCTGTTGGCGAGGAAGAGTATGACTTCAGGAAAGAGGGCGAAAAGCCAGGAGAGGTTGTGTTGGAGCCTGCAGCTTAGAAGCAAGGGAAGGAGCTATCGTAAAAGGATGCAAGGATTTGGCAAGAGACTCTCTAAGGCGTTTGGTAGATTTATTCTGAAATGTTGTCTATTGGTGCAAGCTTTCAAGTTATGGTCTGCTAATTGCAATCATCTTTCTTGCTGTAGTGACTAGATAGAAGTTTTGTAAAGCCGGCTTCTTAACGACTTTCTATGCACCTGTCCCCTTTAGTCTGACTACATACTATACTACTGATGAATACAGAGTGTTTCTGCGTCCGTTGGATAGTGTGCAGCTTGCAGACTGTCTATTCTGACCTTCTATTCGCTGTAATCCTTGGAGGTTCTTGAGCTCGCGACGGCAAGCAAGCAAGGTCGATGCTGTCGGCCATATTCTGGCATAAAAGATACATTGATCTCATGTGCATCGGCTTTTTGAGCCAATGGCTCCACTCCAAAAAGCGCTGTTCCTGCATATGATGCAGACGTCAAGAGGTTGTTGGTTCGTGACAATCGAAGGTAGAGAAGTTGGTCACACGGCAGGAACCGTGCTCGGTTGGCTGCGTTTCTTTTGCCGCGCGCTTTTCTCAAGCCGCTTCATTTCTCTGACCTCGACACATGCTTTACAAAGATTTCGTAAGGCAAGCGAGGGTGATTTTGTTATCATGTTGCCCCCTAGAATGGAATCTTTGGGCCCGAAATACTCCCCTCGGCGCTCAGCCGAGCCTGGCTATGGGAACATATGTCTAACAAGTTACATATGCAGCAGTCCGATGAGCAATAGTTGGAGTCTTGACATGATCCGTCAACCAAAACCTAGGCCTCCATTATTCAGACATGATCATTTTCAGAATGGAAGAAGACAACGAAGTGCGCTTTCGCTGCTTTGCTGCCGAGTGTTACACCTGCGGCAAGCACACAAAAGAAAGCGACACTGATGTTCGAAGAGAGAGCGCTCGAAAGTCATGACTGAAATCACCCGAGTCAAAGGGGAACAACAATGCGACAATTTGAGCAAAGCCCGTAAGCCATGCGCCGATCTACAGAGGCACGGAGACGCTGTAAGCGCCCTCCAATCTGTTGAACATCGCTCACTGGTTACCTATATAGTGACAAGCTGATCAATTTGAGTCCTGCAAGTCTAGTCCTATCGGTTTGTCAAGCACAGTGGAATGGAATTGCGGCGTAGCATGTGTCCGCTTTCAACAAGTGAGGTCCTCTAGGACTTTTAATGGCTTGAGCCCTCAGGTCTCGCAACACCCTGACATATCGCTTCTTACTGTACCTGTCCTTGTTTGATGCTGTTCTGCTTCTGTCATCTCTAAGGAGTCATCCATAATCCTCATTTCGACAGAACTGCTCCGGACACTTACCTTTGTGGTCTCATTTCACGAGAAAGCTACGATATATCTGCCAATGGTTTCGACCATGCGTAGCTTTCAGAGATGGTCACGACGGTCGCTAACGCAAGCAATCGCTACTCTCGGATTGCTTCTTTTCTGTTACAGCGCAACAACATCGTTGCAGCAGTGGGAGACAATAGCAAGATCTGCGGCAGACAGACCCGGGTCCAATCCCCTCGCTATCGAGCCACGCACCTCTTGCTGGGAAATACCAGGAGCAGACGAGGTACTGGTCATTATGAAAACTGGCGCAACCGAGCTGGAAGCAAGATTGCCAACTCAGCTTTCGACCATGCTACAGTGTTTCCCGAATCGAATGGTGTTCTCCGATCACGCAGAAGTATATCAGGGGCATACGATCGTCGATGCCTTGGAGTCTGTCAGTCCTGCGTTGAAGGACAATAATGCCGACTTCGAGTTGTATCGTAGACTGCGCGATAACGGACGAGGGTCGTTGGCTTCAGATGAGCTTCACGGTATGCCGAACGAGATCACAAACGAGGCATGGTCTGGTAACGCAGAGAATCCTGGCTGGAAATTAGACAAGTGGAAAAACCTGCCTATGGCCAACCGAACGTTCCACGAGTATCCTGAGATGAAGTGGTACGCATTCATCGATGCTGATACCTATATCATACGGTCCTCTCTTCTGGATCACCTGGCCACGCTGGATCACACCAAGCCTTTTTATTCAGGTTCTCATATTTACATCGGCCCAGTGGGCTTCGCCCATGGCGGATCCGGCTACATTGTTTCTCAACCAGCGATGCGCATGGTAGTTGAGCACTTCAACACGCATAAAGAAGAGATCGAGGCTTTTACGGATGGACACTGGGCTGGCGACTGCGTTCTCGGAAAGGCGTTCACCGATGCAGGCGTCGAATTGACGGGCGCGTGGCCCATCATCCAAGGTGACTATCCGGGTATCGTCCCGTACATTTCTCCCGATGGTCGCCCGGTGCCTCCTTATGATACAAGAATATGGTGTAGCCCGACTATCTCATATCATCATATGCAGTCAGACATGATTGAGGATTTGTGGCAATTTGAGCAACAGTGGCTGTCGAACTTGAAAGAGGTAGGAACTTTCCACTTTTAGAAACATAATATGATACTAAACGATCGACGCAGGGCCAGTCAAGGACTATTCGACATAGCGATGTTTTCAATCAGTATATCATGCCACGTCTAGAGAAACCGCGAGACGACTGGGACAATGGTAGTGGGCATGACGTCGGACTTGCCCACACTCTCGATGTTTGTCATGGTTGGTGTATTTCTAACACGACTTGTGTGCAGTACGCACTTGACGGCGATGGTAATTGTCGGCACTTCAACCTACCACGATTGGGTAAAGCTGTGCCTGGTGTAAAATCCGGATGGCTTACGGGTCGAATTGAGCAGCTTGTTGCTGCTATCCCACTGTGTTGATCATCATGGGCTGTTGTTTGAGCATATCAAGAGTACCTTATACATGATACCGTCGAGCATACTATCAATTTGAGCAGACATGAACAGCACATAGTCACACCGATATCTCATATCTTGTTCTGGAAATCAGCTTATGTGACGCTGGTATGACATATCTTGACTACGCCTGACCTAGGGAACCTTGCTGGACGTGAATCAAATTCACGTCCCGTCCAATCGAGTGATGCTATCCGTTCTGTTCAATGATCCGAGTAGCTTCGACTCATTCTTCTTGATACAGGAAGTGGGACATTGAGCAAGGAACGTACGGATTCAATATTGGCGAATCGATGTCTCAGTTGTCTCTGCTCGAATCAAGGAGCCTGTCTGAACCTACGGATTTACCGCCAGGGTGTAGGTTTTGACAGTCCTTGTCCATTACCAGGCCAACACCCGACTGACCGTAATCGAAGGCATCAAAAGTGCTTATGATTGGTGACTCACAGTACGCAGTCTGCATCTGTACCGCTGGACACGTTGCGATGAAGGCTCGCGGCAAAGCTCAAGAGATGAATACATAAAGACCTCATACCAATCGCAAAACTCAACAGTGCTCTCGCAAATCTTGGTCAAACAATCATTATAACCCTTTGATCCCATTCTCAAACTTAGACCACAACACTTCAACCTTCTTTACAATCTGTGTCGAAAATATGAACGTGAAACCTGAGGATTGGGCTGCTCAAGTTCTGAAAGTCAGAGTTGTGTGTCATACCGCTGGCAGAGTGCCAAACACAAGAGCCAGTGACAATCACTGGTCGATTTTTTTCATCATCGGGGAGAACAAAAGTGTTCAGTACAATATGACAGCTGAAGCTGGATATATCGACGGCAACTTGGAAGTAACCTCCTACAGTTATATTGAGAGTCGCTCGACACTCCGATACTGGGACTTCGAAGCCATCAGCTTCTTCACGATTAGCATGTCTCATAATCTTCTGGTTACTCAGCGTCGCTTTGATCAGTACGATATGTCTGGTGGTGGCTCTGGATGCCGTTGGTGGGTGTGAGTCGAGTCATTCATTGAGGATTGTGACGCCGGAACTGACCTTTTCTCTAGTTACAATGTTATCTTGGTTCTAGCCAGTGTAGGATGGATTCGTCCCGATGCTGCTGCATCTCTCTGGCCCCATCTTCTCTTCAAGTATTTGTCACTCCAAGATCGAACACCTCTTCCAATGGTGCAGGGAACCGTTACCTTCACTGCAGCTCATTAGGTATAGCTCGTGGAAATTGTTTCGAGGGGTTTCAAGATTGCTTAGACATTCAGCAATGTCGTGTGGGAGCACTCAGTCATGGAACACAGAGCAGATACGAACAAGTGTAGTTGTTCAAATCGATACATCATTTTTCCCGTTCAATCTCACAATGAACTAGCGCATGTGAGGTCAAGTGAATATACCAGCATCAGAACTCTCCTGCAAGCAGTCAGCTACACTACGAGACCTTTGTCCTTGAGGTCTTGCCAGGCTCTCTCGCTGAGTTCTTTGGCAGTCATGCCTGGAATTACTGGCTTGCTTGGCTGAGAGCGCGATTTAGTGCAGAGACAAGGTGGGCACAGACATTCGGTAGGATGTCTTGGCCTCGGGTCCAAAGGCTTTCTGATTTTGAGCTCGTCTTAGTGTCAACGTTGTGATATGGCCAATGCAGAACTTACATGGAGTACCTGTGACTATTGAACCAAGCCAACTGCAACGAGGTCTTGTTTTTCCGGTCCAACTCACTTAGGGGCTCAAACTCGTCGATCAAAGGGAATGTAAAGCCCACATCCTTGCGTTCCTGTGTATTGAATTCCAGAACAGCCAACTCCAAGACCCAAGGATAGAAACCAGCATGAGCCCAGTCGATGAGAGAGATCCTTCCATCAGGCATCCAGACGAGATTTCTCGGCGCAATGTCGTTGTGGTTCAAGACAAATTCGCCCAATTCCACGGTCCAGCCTTGCTGCTTGCCTACCAATCTATTCTGGATATACTTCTCGAATCTTGCCACTTCGCCTTTGAGATCCACAGGCTCTTCCTCCCACCACAGGCCGCGTGAAGTACCACCTTCCAACGGACCAGGTATGCTGCTTTTGTGTGTTTGAAGGTGGCGAATGATATCAGCTACACGCTTCACACTCTGCAAATCCTCAATCTTGTCTCTGATTTCTCCGTGTATCCTCTGCATGACTAGATAAATGTTCTCGTTGTGCGAAAAGCAACGGTACACTTTAGGAACCACAACGACAGATGGATCCAATAATTTGTGCGCTTTGATTTGGTTGCGGCATTCTTCGACAGTGACGAGCATGTGCTTGACCACGAGTTCTTGGGACAAGAATATGATGCTTCTTGTTTGGTAAAATCCTTTTGGCGCATTGTTGCAGGCTTCGATGATGGCGGTGTCAGACGGCATGGGTGGCACGTCGCCATCCGGACAGGTATAGAAGACGTCAGTCGCGCAATGCATCTGGTCCTTTGTTTCTAGAGATCGATACGATGGGATTATCAGAACCAATCACACGTCCGAGGCGGCTGCTTGAATTGTGAGAGAAGTCTGACTCTCACGTCGACACGCCAGTTGTGGTTTATCATGTCTTCCTTGGTCGGCGTGTTTGCTGCTCCGCGCTTGCGCATCTTGTGATCTTGGTCTTTCGTATTGTCCAATCAAGAGGAAACATTGATATGTACGCGCCCGGCCTATGCAGGCGCGCACATCAATATGTCTTCTCCCAACGAGCAATTCTTTCAACTGAACAGAAATGCCACACATCCACTACAATAACAATCGGCCAAATGACAGAAACAAAAGAATGGGCACAGCCGAGATTCGAACTCGAGTTTCTTTGTTTACAGCTCAGGACCTAGATACCAGCCAAACACTCGAAGGTCCGATATATAAGTCCACCTGTAATGTCTGCAAAGCGTCTTGAGACCACTAGACCACTGTGCCTTCTTGCAGGCGGAAAGTAAAGTCAGCTTTGGTCGTTTATATTGAGACTTGTCAAAAGCGCTGGACAGCGGTAATTCTGGGAAAAGTGAGTGATGATAGTGACATGAGTGAGTGAGAATCAAGTACAGCAACAAACAGAACTCGCCTTGAGTAGCTCTATATTACACGCCCGTAGCGTCGAAAGTCTATATGATCGGATTGACATGATTAAAGCGCACAACTAACAACGCTCCAAGGTCTAATCGGTCTCCCGTCCTCAAGCTCAACCAAAAACCAGAGCGCCTCTCTCGCACGGTCCAATTGTCCACTTTCCTCATGTGCGCGGGCAAGTAAACTCCAAGCCTCACTGTCATCCCAGCCTTCGCCGGTCTTGGTCAGTGCGGTGAGCAAAAAGTATGCTCTGTCTCTGGCTGCTAGGCGTGTTTGAACAGCAACACTGGGGGTAGGGTCCGTAGGAAGAACTTTGGGGTTTGTAGGCGTAGAAGGTGTGGAAGGGGCGATGATGGAGTTGGGATTGGGAGCTTCGGCGGGTATGGCTTGGGAGTAGATGTCTAGGAGAATGGAGCTGATGCCTACGATACCAGCGGCGTGGTCGGGGTAGTGGGATAGTGCTTTCTCGTAGGCGGCGAGCGCGTCGTGAGGATGGGATCTGGCGGCAGCCAGAGCACCGCGCTGTGTAGTGTCAGTATTGTAGTGTAACTTATCGAAGAGAGACTTCATACCTCGGCCCAGACGTCTGCCCACAGTCTGTTCACACTGCGGCCACCTCCCCAGCCCTTCTCATCGAATGCCTTTGCAGAGCAATCTTCTCGTGCGACAGCCTGCTGAAGCTCTTCTGCCAGCTTATGTGCTTCGTCGACTGCGCCTTCTGCATCCTCGAAAAACTCGCTGCGGGTATACTGCCCTGCTATATGTAGCCAGACCTCGATAAGCAGAGACACAGTATGCCGCTTCTGCCTGGCAGACGGATAGTGCGGACGGGGTGCTGCAGATGCCTTTGTCGGGTGTGGGGCTGGCAAGCGTAAATCTTGCGATGGTGGTTGATCTGGGTGTCCAATGGGTGCGGGTTGCTTTTTGGATTCAAGGTTGTGAGGGACTTCTCGCAATGCTTGGTTCTCGTTAGACTCTTCTTTCGTCGCAACAGCGGGAGTATTTTCTGAAGCAAGAGCAGCCTTCTCGGGATCGGTTGCATGTCCGTGATGATGAAGATGTTTTAGAGGATGATGAGGTAGATGAATCTTGTGGTGCTGCTTTTCATGCGATGTGTTCTCGTCGGTAGTGGTCGCTGCCGGTATCGAGGTGTTATTGTTCGCCGTTGGAAGTGGAGGTACATCCTTCTCTTGTGCAGGACCTTCTGCATTCTTTCTTGTGGACTTTGAGCGGCTCATCATACTACCCCTGACGCTCTTGAGTGTGCCTTGCGTCTTGACAGATGGCGCAATCAGAGAAGTTCTGTCTTTGGGTGGCGGTGGTGCTACGCCATTAGTCGATGTGGCGTAGAGCTTGTGATACAGTGCAAGCACTTGAGAGCCCGCGTCGACTGCCATCTCGGAGTCATCAAGCGTTTCGGTAAGAGCCAACTGCGTCAGACGGAGTTGCAGCAATGCCTCCTTCTCTGGGTCTTCCATTTGGTGGATAAGAGCCTCGCCATCAGCGTCTCCAAACATGATGTCAGCCCCTCCGAACTGCTCGAAAGCGACATCACAAAACTCGACTGCGTGTTCGTAATCACCTCTGGCTGTGAGAAGCAATGACATAAGATGATAGAGAGGGATCATCTGAGACTTGCGGGCAGTACTGCTAGATTCGTCGTCTTGTGAGGAAGCCAAAGCAAACTTGACGACCTGAGTAGCAGGCAAGAGCTGACGGTTCTCGGCAAGAACAGTGCCCAATAAGAGCGCAGTTTCAGGGTCGAGGTTGCCACTTGATGACATCTCGGCAGCTTTTCTTAATGACTTGATAGCCTTTTCTCTGAATTCGGATCTTTGTGCTGGGTCGTGGGTCAATCTAGCGTAATTGGCTTGGCTTTCACCAATAGCGCGATAAGCAGCGACAGAAGACTCAGCTGAGATGAGGATACCAGTTGCAGTCTCGTCATTCATGGCGGCTTTATCCGGCTGACGACCATCCTCATCCTTTCTAGAGACGGTGATGGCCGAACTTGGGCGCGGTTGTTTGAGCCAGTCAGAAAGACGCTTTGAAATCTCGAGAGCTTTTTCGCCCTCGGCTTGTGAGCCATACCTGCATAAGACTCCGATAGCTTGGGCTGCGGTCAAGACTGCAATATCATCACTGTCTAGACCTGGTTCATTGTGTCCAGTCTTTTCAGCTCTTGACTTTGATCGGCTAGTGATATCTGTGTATGAGTCGAAGGCTTTGATAGCGAGGTCAAACTCGGCCAGCGAGGCATGAACCGTAAAAAGGTGACGTAGAATTAGCGTAGAGTGGAAGGTTTTGGTTGCGGCGCGATAAAGAATGTCCAAGGTGCTACGGCTGACGGCAGCTTTACCGCCTTCTCCAAGATCAACTTCGCGCCAATTCGGGCCGCAGAGGATAGACCAATTGGAAACAACCGAGTTTGTCCATTGCTCAACTTCCTCGTTAGATTGATTTGCATGAGGGAATCTAGTCTTGTGCAGCAGGACACTCTCGTATGCAGCCTCGACTTGTTTCAGCTCGGATCTTTGACGCAGCCTCATTTTGGCTAAATCTTTGGCGGGGTACTCGGAATTGTAAAGAGCCAAAGGAGATTCTGCCGAGGACGTGTAGACTAGGTCGGTGCTCAGAAGGAAGGAAAGGAAGTTGTAGTACATGGCCCAAACATCCTTGTTGGAGACATCGTAGGGACCAAGGGAGTAGCTCGGGGCGGCGGTCTTGGAGGCCGCATCGCCCGTCCAGATACGAGCCCATGCTCTGTATGAGATCAAAGCGGCGTTCGCGGTGGACAAAGCTGATGTGTGGCCCTGCTTCGACTGCAGAGTGCAGATGCGACCCAGCAGACGGGCAGCCCATGTACGATATTCCAGGTAGCTAGCCAAGTTTACAGGAGCCTGATCGATGGCCGACAGAGCCTGGCTGTATACGCGGAGAGCGCTTTCTGTAGAGAGGTTCTGCTCGGAGGCGACACCCAGAAAGTAGCAATATTTGATCAAGGCCAGACGAGTGTTGGGAGTCAATTCTGCGGGCGACTTTGCGAAAGGCGAGACTTGTAGCCAAACATCGTCTTTCAGGCCACCTAGTACGGTAGACCACTCAGCGCGAAGGAAGTAAATCTCATGGAGGGCGACATTGGCCTGGAAGGCATCATCTTTGTGGGCAGATTCGGACTCGATGGCCTGTACGAGCTTGGGAGTCTGATCGAGGAGGGTGGTATGAGAAGCGGCCGAGGTCTGGGTTCCCGGACGGCGGTTGGACGATGAAGCAGTGTGGGCCTCAGAGGTGGCAGCAAGTGTCAGGCATCTTCGGTGCGGCGCGTGTTTGTCGACCTTGCGAACCAGTTCGGGCACGTCGGACCAGGAGCCATTCAGACGGGCAGCATTGAGGCTGGCGATGTAGCGTTGAGCCTTGTCGCTTTCTGACACCTGTACGCGAACATGTCAGCGACTAGCTCTGTCTTTCAGTAGCAACACCACGCACACTCATGGCTACTGTCGTCTGTGTCAAGACACGGTGAGCATCACAAACAACTTAACCAAACTTGATGCTTCGTCATGCGCATGCACCCCCGACTCCCGGCAACTTGGCCTAGCCTGTTCGGGATTAGTCCTCTTCCGCGCAACATTCCCCGGACTTTATCACAAAATATTCAGACAGCGAAAGGCTTCGGCATTGTTTTCTCTTTGCTAGGATAACATATTCCAATATTGGTCAGGAGTAGCTGCATTTTGGATAGCTAGACATGGCTCCTCAAGCCACTTCCGTTTCTCTGCTAAGAGCTGCATCTTTCCGCATCTCGAATGCATCCAAAGCTGAGCTTCCTCAGGTTGCTGCTCTGACTGCTCAGTCTCTGCTTTCTTGCCGCGACATCTTCACCCAACCCGATCTGGCCAACCAAAAGGACTCTGACGCCGCTCTCGCTCTCCACAGGTTCAACACTCAGATCACTTCATTGCTCGGTGACCGCCATGTTGAAGGACGTTGGGCTGCTGTTGTTCTAATCAAAGCTACCATTGAGGCAGGTGGTTGGGAGATTCTCAAAAAGTCCATTGCTTGGGTGCGCGGTCTCTTGATTCTGCTCAAGAAACCCGACCCTCCTCTTTTGAGATGTCTTACCATTGTAACCCTGACCCGCATCTTCATGCTTACTTGGGAATTCCCCACTCTAATCAGAGAAATCACCACTCCCTCTCTGCCAACCTTTGTATCCACCTGTCTCAACAACCTCGCTTCACGTCAACCTACCCCTCAGGAGATAAAGGCCACTCTGGAATGCTTCGCTCAACTTCTGCCTCGCCACCCTACTATCTTCCGCCAACACCAGGATGCCGTCGCAAAGCTCTTGACTGTTGTCTTCGAAGACAAGACTTCGGGTGACTGCGTTCTCGATCTTGCCTCTCGTATCTCTGTCTTGCTTCATCAATGCGAGCCCAAGAATGGCGCCAGCGAGAAGTGGGAAGCTACTCTTGTCGCTACCCTACATAGTGCTCATGCCATGGCCGATAGAACTTTCATGAGCGTCGACGAGGATTGGCAATCTGTCACTGGCACGAATTTTGTCAACAAGAACATCTTGTCTGAGCTCTACTCCAAGGCTCAGCAGGCCAGAACCCCTGCAGAAGGTCCTGTAGGCCAATTCATCACGCCGGGCTACCAAGGATTGATGAACCATCTTCGATTACTTACTGCTTACTTTGCATCAGCTACTTCTGCCTCTGTTGTAGCATCTGTAGGCGCTGTGACAGATCTGCTTACTAGACTGATGTCCAACACCATCTCCACTAGTTCGACTAGAAGCACCATCCGCTTCAAGCGTGATGTCACCAGAGAGGAGCGCGATGCATTGACTGAGGTCCTTCCTCAGATTCATGTTGCATGCTTGGAAGTCCTCTCCATCTTTTTTGACCGCTACGGCAAAGTTCTTGCGCCGGCCTCGCAACCCTTCCTCGACCAGATTATGTGGATTTTCCATGCTTCTTCGGCTAACGTTGAAGTCAGAACTGCAACTTATGTTGTTGGCAAGAAGATCTTGGATGTTTCAGGTCAGTCACTCAATAAAGACGCCATTAGTGCCTTGAAAAAGTACATCAATGCATGCTGCGAAGATGTGTTGCCTACCAAAGAGGAAAAAGACGCTCAGAACAGCAATGGCAACAAGCAACAATCAACCATGAATGCCGACACCTTCCTCAAGCAAGGTAGCGCCAAGCCATCGGCGAAGACAGAGCTTGCAGGGCTGAAGTCCGCAGCATGGGATCTGCTTCCTACTCTGCTTGGCCAACTTCCTGCAGAACATTGCTCTATTGCTCTGCGCGCAACTATGGACCGCACAGCAGTTCTGGCTCGTCATAAAGATGCTGTCATGGCAAGCACTCTCAATCATACATCTACAGCCAAAGCCGCACGCAAAGGCAACAGCCTGCTCCCCCTCCTTGCCCGCGAATACCCTACCGATCCCTCGGTGGAAGCTCTTCTCCGACCCAGAATGCCCATCCTGCAGACCGGCCGCAAAGCCACTGATGCCGAGACCGAAGCCGAGGCCATCGACGAAGATGAAGACTCGATCTCTGAAGATGAAGAAGATCAAGTCCCAGCAGAAGACATCACCGAGATTGCAGAAAGCGTGTCACATGCCGCTGGGTCATCAATAGATACCTCAAGCAACAAAGATCTCGCATCCAAGGAGCAAGAACTCGTCAACTGGGCATTGAACGAGTATGTCCAAGGAACAATGGGTCAAAAAGCCGCGGACGAGCTTTCTGGCAAATCGACCAAGGGAAGTAGCAACGAAGCCATTGGAGCAGCTATTGAAGCAGCACACGAAGCGAATAGAAGTAAGAGGCAACGTGAGGATGAGCCTGAGACGGTAGTGGCAGACAAGAGACAAAAGTCCATCGAGCCTCAAGCAACTGCCGAAGACAGCGACGATGATGAGTTCGTGGTCCCGGAGATTGTCATGGGCGATAGTGATGATGAGGACGAATAGTGGGAACGATCTGAAAGATCTCAAATCTGAATCTAGACCCGTGTGCAATGTTGACCAGGGAGATCTGATCTTTAGAAGGTGCGACATCTCAGCCGCAGAACCACCTAGCTTCCTCGACACCGACTACCATCGGAATCAACATCATCCGAATTTCTTCTTTCAGTCATTGCACCGTGGTCTTTGATGCGCACTTGCGCTGCAAAATAACAACTTCAGGGATCCCTGAGAATCTCGGCACTTCAGCAGTGGGTTCTGTGCGTCAGCTATAGTACGTGCTCAAATTGCTTGTTGCGATCTTAGGAATCTCGGCCATCCGGCCCATCCCGTGCAATCTGATTGTATTGTCAAGATGCATGGATTTTTGCGCACTTTTCGGTTTCAAGTGAAAAATGCATTAGAAAGAAGCTATGTGGGGAGAGGTATCCACAAGTTCCCTGGCTACACAGCAAATCTCGCTTCCCCAGTGAAACTCGGTCTGCGTACGTTTGACGTGACTTTTTGCTTGTACAGCTTGAAAGATGGTTATGCTCGCCCATGCTCGCCCTTGTGGCAATATATCGTGCTTAGCCTGAGCGGGGAAGAATGCTTGCTAGTATAGCCAAGCTTCTGACAAAAAATGGTGGAGGCTTGGAAGTGAAACTTTGCCTGTGCAACAGCTGTATATTGAGCCAAGGTCAATGCATCTCTACAAAAGGTCTACCAATCGGATGCTGAACGATCCTCTACTATTTTGAGCGGAAACAGGTTCGTACCAAAGTTTTTAGGCAAAAGTGCAATTAACTCTAGGCAGATTGAACGTGATCGACGTGGGGACTGCTTGTTGAAGTTGCGTGTTGGTACTAGTATAGAGTTTAGCGAAGTTTCAAGTTCTCAAGCAACGGCCGTCTTCGGTCCGAAGCTTGTTCTGTCATCCTCTCCTATTGTGACTGCACGCAACAGTCTTGGCCCCTCTTGCCTCGCCTGGAATTACAAAGCCGCTCATCATATTGCTTATGGCTGGTTGAGATAGATTAATCGCAAACAAGTTTCTGCACGTTGATTCATGCTGGACTGGAGCAGAACGCAATAACAAGCGATGCAGTCATCGACATTTTCGCTAACCAATACGTGTGGTTTGGTCGAACACCAGGCTAGAACACCGAACCACATGGCGTGTTTCATGGCGGTCCTGGCGATCATCGCCCATGCTCTGTAGTTGCCAGTAAGATTCTCCTCTGGCAGAATGCTCGAGCTCATCAATACCAAACACGACCATGTTGCTTGCACCGCATGCCGAGAATTGGTAATAGGCTAAACAGCAGATCTATACCTCTTCGTGTATAAATATCGAGTCTGCTCTCGACAGAAATCGATTCTATCATCCAAACAAACACACTCATTCCTTCAAACAACAATCACCTTCTCTTCTTTCCATCAACATGAAGTTCACCACTGCTATTGCCGCCCTGGCTGGCGTTGCCATTGCTGCCCCTGTCGCCGAGACTGAGTCTCTGGAGAAGCGTGCTACTCCCATCAACTACGTCCAGAACTACAACGGCAACATGGCCAACTTCAAGTACAACGAGGGTGCTGGCACCTACTCCGCCAGCTGGAACAACCCTGGTGACTTCGTCGTTGGCCTTGGCTGGACCAAGGGTTCCGCCAGAACCATCAACTTCAAGGGTAGCTACCAGACCAGCGGCAGCTCCTACTACGCTGTCTACGGTTGGTTGAACAACCCCCTCACTGGTAAGCCGAGCAACCTATCAACCTTAGCAATAACAACCGCTGACAAACACAATCAGAGTACTACGTCGTTGAGGACTACAGCTACGACCCTTGCTCTACCGGCACCCAGGTCGGCACCTTGACCAGTGACGGCTCTTCCTACAAGATCTGCACCCACACCCAGGTCAACCAGCCCTCCATCTCCGGCACCAAGACCTTCGGCCAGTTCTTCTCCGTCCGCCAGAACAAGCGCACCTCTGGTAGCGTCAACATGGCCAACCACTTCAACGCCTGGTCCCAGCACGGCTTCAAGGCTGGTGACTACAACTACCAGGTCTTTGCCACCGAGGCCTTTGGCAGCTCCGGCAGTGCTTCCGTCACTGTCTCTGGTTCGTGTAAGCATCTTCACTTTTGCGGTTGAAAAGGCTTTGCTGACAATGTTTCTACAGAAGGAACTAGCACTAACAGCGGTTCTGGCTCTGCCTCTGGTTCTGCCTCTGGCTCTGCCTCTGGCTCTGCCTCTGGCTCCGTCCCTAGCTCTGCAACCCCCTCAAAGGCTCCCGTGACAACTTCTGTTCCCAGCAGCACCGCTGCTCCCGCCGGCGGATCTAGCAGTGGTTCTGTTGCCGTCTGGGGTCAATGTGGAGGCCAAGGAGCTACTTTCGGAGCCTGTGTTTCTGGCACCAAGTGTGTCTTCCAGAACCAGTGGTACTCTCAGTGCCAACCCGCCGCATAAGTGTTGAACTTTTTGTTGTTTCCTTTTTCACCCAAAAAATCTTGTTAGATGTCAGGAACATCGTTTGTCAACTGTCATCTACACAGTCTTCTCTGTCTTGAGTATGCTTTTTTATTGAGTAGCTATGCTTATCAATTGAATATGTTTACTCCATTTGTTCTTACTTGCTTTGACTACCATTATGCACTTTTCGCTCAGTCGAACAGTCCTCTTTATACGACTCATGACGTACAGTGATAGTTTATGTCACTGTACAGGCCAACGATGAGATGGATTGTTGGGAGATTCCCTCTTTGCTGTACATTAGGGAGTACAGACAGGACTGGCTCTTAAGAGAGAGCCAAATTAATTGGGCATGATTCAACGGCTTGGCAGATGACTCAGCTGCCAAGAGAACTCCGCTGAAGCCCTTTCTAGCAGGACCACCCTGACCTTTACATCGTCTTTGATCAACCAGCTTCTCAGAACTTGCAACAATTGTTTTTTTCGGCCTTACATGGCGCAGGCATTCCATTATTTCTATGGCAGCACTATATGTGGACGCACGAGACGTTGCTGTCCTGTGGAGTGGATATAAGGTAGTTTTTCGTGCATATGACAACGACTGATGAGCTCCGCCACTTGTCAAGATATGCTCCACCACACAATCTATGTGAGCGTAGTGGACCGTAGTCCTGCGCTTCATCCTCCTGCTCTTCATGTTCCATGTGAGCGACTGTGAAAACTTAATCATTCGCAGTAAGTATGAATTCGCTACTTCCTCCTACGGGAATGATTTCGAGGTGTATGGGTGCTTGTATTGCATGGTTTCAACACCCTGCATCCGTGCCACTCTCAAGGATTTCGCGATATTGATTCACATCTCAACCAATCACCTCACGTTATCCTCAACATCAAGCAATCAATATATCTTGGCGCATGGATACTAGTCCGTGGGTTCTCAATCCTCCAGGAAAGATGACACCGTCGTACATGCACACACTCAGCTCCACGATCCAGAATATCTGAGCTATGTTCATTCATCTAACAGATCTATGACATATAGACACGATTGTCATACTTCATGCGAAGGACTTTGATATCTCTCCTTTCCACGACCAATCGCACCGCTATGAAGCCCGGTACACATCATATGCGAAGGATTGGATCTGCAAGCCAATTGCTCAGAATGGCCGTACTATATGCAGGCTATGCAGGATACAGCCTGGTAGTTGCTTTGCTGGCTGGACACAATAAGAGCGGCCCTCGCCTGGAATGAGCGTTGTGCTGCGTCCTTGCTATTGCTTGCTCCCAGATCAGCAATTCTGTCGTTACCAACATAGCTCAAACTAGCAGCGCGAAAGTTACCGACCAATCTATGCTCAGTTTGACTTTGCACGGATATCTGTTGTCGAACGCAATTTTCCAAGTGTCGTCTTTATCATGTCTCACCGAGTACGGAAACGCATCATCGCATGTGTCGATGGCACATGGTACGACGCAGATGGACAAGAAGGTGGGTAAAGACTGTCTGTCCTTGCCAACGCTTTCAATCACTAACAACGGCCAAGGACAAGCGAATGGAAACAACACCAATATTTTTCGAATTTTTGCCTCGATCGGCCGCGGTGCTGTCAAAGATGAGCATGGCGAGACCATTGAGCAGGTGAGCTTCTATGCGCAAACTGCTGTCTTGACAACGTCTGTTTGCTGATCAAGGCCAGATCATCCAATATTTCCCAGGCATTGGAACCAATGAGAAATCTTTCAGAAAATGGAACTCTGGTGTGACTGGCGACGGCTATGCAGAGCAAATTGCCGAAGTCTACAAGGTGTGTCAACCTAGTACGAACAGTGGTAATACTAACAAACATATCAGTACTGCTGTCGCAATATCGTAAATCCGGAAGACGATCTCTGGTTCTACGGTTTCAGCCGTGGTGCATGTGAGTTCTGTTGCTCTAGTCGGCAACGAGAAATAAAGTCTGACAAACTCAGATGTCGTGACCGTAGTCGCTGGTCTGCTGGAAACCATAGGAGCTTTGCCATATGACGACAACTTTCAGGAAACATACAAGAAGGCATGGGACTTGCATAAGCTGATACAGAAAGGCTGTCTGGGAGGAAACGAGGGAAAGGCATGTTTGACATTCGAAACTCAGATCGCAGAGGCTAACCGAAAAGACAGCTCTTCGCGATGTTAGTCGTTTTTAAGATCCTAGACGTCTAAAGCTGACAGTAACAGCAAGGATAAATCGAGAAGTTGCCCCAAGATCGGTTTCATGGGCCTCCTTGACACTGTCAAGCGCGTCAGTAACGATCCTGATACGAAAGCACATACATTGGCCTTCCACAACTCTGTGAAGCATGTTTGTCATGCTCTCGCTCTGAACGATACACGCTTTCACTACACACCCGAGTTGTATGGCCCAATCGCCGACAGTGATTCACTCCAAGGTCGATCCCTGATTGAAGCTTGGTTTGTGGGTGCGCACTCTGATATTGGAGGCGGAGCTCGAGATGATGGGCTCTCGTTGTATCCTCTCCAGTGGCTACTGATTGAGAGCCAGCACCACGGTCTCATTTTGCAGCACAACTCTCAAAGAATGCTGATCGAGGATCCTTTGTCCTTGGTCTTTCCATCCCGGAGGCAAGACCCGCCTACTGATCAAGACGCTGGCGCGGGAGACCTGTGGACGTACCAGTATGCCAACGGCATCAAAGTTCAGATGCACGACTTGAGGTCATCTCATAACCATGGAAACATGCAAACTGTACCGACGAAGTTGACAAAGAAGTGGTCTGGCTTCGAGAATACTTACAAGTCAAGATCGAGTTCAATCGCGACCACATCGAGTAATGCAACCACTGCAGTAAACAATGATATGTATGCTTCGAGGCGATCCACTGATGATAGCACTCGGCAGGGAAAAAGTGGTTTCTTGAAAGGATTATTTGGGAGAAAGAAGTCAACAGACACCTCATCATACTCGACAGCACCGCGAGACTACGAGACGGCCGATGAAGCAAGTAGTTTCGCACCAGTTCGACATCTTATCCGATTGCATTCAGGTTTTCCCCACATTCTTTACCAACAAAACCGCAATCCATTCAAAGACGGTAAACTACAAGGCTACTCTGAGAGTAAGAATGACACATGTTTTCGTGTCCCGAGGTGATGGCCAGATGACTGACAATACTCGTTGTTAGGACCTTTTGGCTGTATCATCCATCCTTCAGTCTACCTGATCATGGATGTTTACGCCCGTTTCGGAATTGAATTAGCGATGAAGCCATTCGCGAAAGACATTAATCGATTCCGCAATGAGCAGCATCCTAACATGAGAGATCCATGGCTAACATTGCAAACGGAAACTTCACCGCAAACCAGTGTCAAAGCATGTCGTATACTCGTGTGTGGCCGCACAGGAGTCGGGAAATCCACTCTGATCAACAAAGTCTTTGGTGTGCCGATGGTATGTATAAAGACTCTCTTGAACTCTTGTGCCGTATCTGATTTTACGGCCAGACTATCGAATCGCATATGAAACAGGGAGACCACAATATCAATGAAGCTTTTGAATCTGAACATCATCCTGGGATCATCATCCACGATTCTCGAGGCTTCCAAGCGGGAGACACCAGAGAATTGGGCCAGTTCCAGGACTTTATCAAAAAGCGTTCAGGAATTTCTAATCCGAAGGAGAGCCTTCACGCCATTTGGTATGCGTGGCGCGCGCAGATCGTATCGTCTGATCTTGGAATATGGCTGACTTTATCAGGATATGCATGCAAACAGACACAGACCGAGTGGTCCAAACCTCCGAGAACGAGATCTTCAAGATCCTAGCCAAGTATGCGGCACACATTCCCATCATCATTGTCGGAACGAAAAAGGACAACTTTCTGAACCAACAGGAGACTGTAGCTCGAAGGGATCTGAAGAAGAGCGGCGTATCTGACTGGGATGCTCTGGACAATCAAAGCCGAGAAAGAGCGGAACAGAATCTCGAAGCAAGACGAGAAGAGGTTAAAGAGGAGCTTCGAAAGATACCGAACCTCAATCTCGATTCGATCGAGTTCTTGCACGTGTCTAAAGGTATGTTGGAAAGGCTAAGATCAATTCTGGGAGTCTACTAATGACATACTACAGACGATGATGAATCCATCCGACGCCTGGTGGATCAAACTCTCGAGCTGATCACCAACGACGAAGCACGGCTCAGATGCATCGCAGCACAAGTCGTTGACACGGAAGCCAAAGTAAAACGGGCAATAGACGAAAGCATCCGTCTCCTTCGGCATGGGATTCGCACGTCGTCAGTAGCCGCAGTAACAGTCGTCGGCTCTAGTATCTCAACACCAACGATATCCAGAATTCTATGCGACAACATCCTAAAATGCTTTGGTTTTCCAAAAATCGACCCAGCAAGCGTCAACAACATCATGAATAAGATCATAGGTTGGAATCTGTATGGCTTTCTCGCGCAACAGATCGGTCAAAGCGTCACTCTAGGCACCACTGTCGCTGTCTTCTGCATTTTCTCTCTGGGAGGAGCTCTTCCTTTGGTGGCTGCACTATCACTGCTCGAAGTTCCCACAGCTGGCCGTATGATTGTCAAATGCGCCTGTGACTTGATCCTCATCCTTGACCGAGCATTCAAACACGGAGGCAAGTTCGTCACAAGCAAAGACATCAAGCTGGCCTGTCACGAGTACGTGGCCACAACACTGCAGGGCGGCTGGTCTAAACGAAGACAAGTACATGCCCAGGTCAAAGGCCTGATACCTATGGCGTCCAAGAAATTCAGCGCTGTGCGAATATCTGTCATTAAGGTTGGTATGGAAGAGATTATAGAGAATAATCGCTGGAGCCCGAGTGAAGTGACCAATCGCACGGATTCAGGGCTCGACTTGGTGACGACACCTAAATTGAGTCTAGAGTCTCTGAGGGATGAGAACGAGTTGGCGGACTTGTTTACAAGCGACAGCGCGTAGTTGCTGTAGACTCCATGTCTTTAGTCTTGTCTTGGGTTCTGCAAATGACAATTCGGTCATGCTGTTGGAATAGGGGCGCTAGTAAGCTAATCCACACGATGATCATCACCAGATAGCCTTGTTTCTAGTGATCGCAACCTCATAGCCTCGCCCGTATCATCCAACGCCTCTTCTTGCCCACGATCAGTTTCTTCGCACAGCTCTACGCCCCATAAGTGCTTACCATCAGATGCCTCATTCCATCTATCTGAAACTTCTATCTCGCGAAATGATCGGCTCTCGGCATCAGCCACCCTTTCACATCACACATATTCACTATTGCCGAATATATAGCTTCCAGTGGGTACAATCACTGCGAAAAGAAGAAAAAACAAAGAAGTCTAGCAATCATTGGAATAAGAACAGGTTAGCCACTTCAGAGAGGGAAGGGGAAAAAAAAGAGGTGTATTTTAGACACTATTTGGTGTAGATATGAAACTAGAAATTACTAATTATGGTTGATAGAAGCTTATTGAGATATTCTCTTTTCTTGAAGACAGCTTTCGATCTAGACAGAGTGTTGGCTGTAGCCAGACTCCTGGCCGAAATCAGCCCAACGAGGAGCACTGTTGTCGTCGCAAGAGTACTGCACAATGGCGTCAGACTGTGCAGTGTTGCTGCCCAAGATAACCTTGCCATCAGGAGCGGTGATGGAGAAGGAGAAGAGGGCAGGACCGTACATCTGACCAAAGAAGATGCGGAAGGGAAGGTATTGTCCAGCCTCGAGTGTGTACTCTGCGGAATCGGCGCGTTGGAAGCCAGTTTCTACCTCAATGGAGGCGACAGCATCTGCGTTGCCTCTATTCCAGCCGCTCTGAGCTTTCTCGCCAAGCCACAAGAAGACAATGTCATCGGGATTGGAGATGGTGAACGTGTAGGTGCCAGAGACCTGAGCAAAGACCTATATCTTCTGTCAGCGTTCTGAAACTTCAGCTTTTGTGAGAAAATAACTTACGTAGCCACGGTGGTTCAAGATGAAGTTTTCAGAGGGTACAAACATGTTTGAGTCGTAGATCTGCATGCTTGTGCCTGCAGCAACGTTGATGCCGCCAACCATGCTCGTGGTTGTCTCCCATGTTGGTTCGATCGACGCGTACTTCGAAGGCTCGACGGAGTTGACATATCTACCCTCTTGGTAATCATCACCACCGTAATAAGCATACTGAATTCCACTGTTGCCACAAGTACTGGGGATGGGAGAGGCAGTGACGGTGATAATTGATGTCTCGAGAGTTGTCTGAGTAGCGGCCTGAACGGTGACGATAGGAGCTGTAGAAGTAGAGGTGCTAGTAGCCTGGGTAACCACCATGGAGCAGGCGCTGGAAAGGACTGAAGCGGGGTACTTCGTCAGAACAGGGGGAGTGTACAAAGATGCGGAGGCGTCAGTCACAGCAGTGCGTTTGGCGAAGATGCTAGCAGTGGTCGTGGTGGTGCTCAAAACAGTGCTGGTGGCCATGGGAGTAAGGACGGTTGAGGGAGTGACAGTAGCAACAAGAGCGCTGTATCCAAGAGCTGCGGAGCAGAAAGGCTGAAGAGTGGCATACTTGATGTCAATAGAGGCCTGATGAACGGCGCCGTTGGTGTCACCCTTCTTGGGGCTGAAGCCAGGGTTTAAAGTGTTGGTGAAGGTGTAAGAGTACTCAATCATGTAGTCTGACAGGTATTAGTTGTTGCTACGTCGATACAAGATCTGCTAGACTCACGGTCGTTTCCACGGTACTGGCCCTTGTTAGTAGCGTAGCTGGAATCCCAAGCCTCGGTATAACTAAGATAGATTAGTTCTACGTCCCGCAATATGATAAGGAATACTCACAGAGCACAGTATTGGCCTTGGCTGTTGGAAGTCTTGTTGAGGTAAAGCAGATAAGTGTTGAAGAAGTTGCAGAGCTTGACAGGAGCGCCGTTGTTAGGAGGATGGGCAATGTTGTAAGCGTTCTGAGCTTGACAGTGGGCAGCACAGAGAGAAGCGTTGAAAGGACCTTGATTAAAAATACGGCTGCCCATGTAGGTATCGAAACCCTGGGAATCTAACGGAGCGTTGATGGCAGCATTGTTGAGGTACTGAACATTGCCGAAACCAGCAGGGACTTCGAGGGTGTTGTTCATGTAACCGTTGGAACCAGCGATGGCAACCTGGAACTGGCTGCGCCATTGACCATAGTTGTTGGCGTTGGACGAAGAAACGGGACCTCCCCAGAAGACACACTTGATCATGGTTTGACTGGTAGGGTTAGGGCATGCAGCAGCAGGATCGACACTTGGGTCTCTTTCAAAATACAAGTTGAAAGACATGCAGCCATTGATGGCATTGCACTTGGAAGCACACTTCTGGGTGTCGTATGAAGAGAGCGTGGTGTAGCCAAGATAACCATAAGCATTGTTACTGGCGTTCAGGTTGGTGAAGGTGTTTGAATATCCAGAGGGAATGGGAGCAGAAGAAGCAGCAGCAGCAAAGGCAGCGTTGGCTGTGAATGCCGCTACAGTATCGTCATTTGCATTGGCAGGAGGAGCATAGTCTCCAGAGACTCCAGTAGGCTGAGGAGCACAAGCGCTTCTCTTTCCAATGACTGCAAGAGGAGTTTGGGTAGCGATAGCGCTGACATCCACTGAAACCGAAGTAATGTCATCAGTAGCCTGAGCGGCGAGGGAGGTGACATCGTAGGTTACGCTCGAGGCAGTAGTAGTGTAGGAAATGTTGGGCTGAGCGATGACCATATCAAGGTCGATGAGCTGAGGAGCAGGAAGGGCAGCGGCCAAGGCTGCGAAGGCCGGAACGGCCAGAGAGGAACGCATGATGGAAGAAGAGAGTGACTATGGTTAGAGGGAAGGAACGACTGAGAAAATGGAAACAATGAGAAAGAAGAAAGAAGTGATCTAATTGATCTGTGATGATCGACTGTGTTTTGATGTTCTGGATACAGAGAGCTTGAGCTTCTTCATATATCTCAGCCTTTGACTTACCTTGCTATACCAAGGCATTGATTTTTCGTCGGTCATCTCCTCTGTAGTCCGCGATCCGAAGCTTCACAGGCTGCTATTACAGAAACGAAGCCATAGAGGGAAAGAGGTGATGAAGCAAACAAGCCCAACATGGCTGCGACTGACCGAAAACAGGCTCGTGTATGGGTGGTGGCGTCAAGAAGGCTTCTGAGGCTGCGGCACTTACATCAATCCGCAGCAGGCGCGATAGTGAAGTTCGTAACTCTCTGTAGACCGACTCAGTGCATTGCGGCGAATGAGGTTTTCGAGACTTTCGAAGACCTCAGTATTGGAAATCGAGAGCTGAGCTGAACAATATACGAAGTAGAGACGGACGCTCCGGAGCACTAGCGCAGATCCTTTGAGAGACTTAGATGGCGAGATGCCCTGCTCAGACCTTAGTATGGCCGTGTTGCTGGGAGTCAAGACGGATGATCGATGTAGCATAGACGCCAAGGTGCATCTGCAATAAGAAGAGAGTCTGTGGCTTGTGGGGTATGTCCAGGCGAGGCTGATGATAAGTGGCCATATGTCTTGGTCACATTACGGTCGTCAGCATCCGTGGCTTGCTCAGCGCGTCCATCGCGGTACCAGACTCGACCGCTCAACTTCAAGCGTGAGCACGATGGGCTACCTATGATCCTAACGTTGCAACCTCGAGTCTATGATCTCTTGCGATCTCTGCAGGCTTTTGGAGTTTTTCGACTACCATTCTTGACTCGTTAGCTCCAACACAGACCTTCGTGATCGCGGCGGGATCCCTAAAAGCCGAAGCGACCTCATTTCCACCTCTGAACAAGCTAGTGATTGCTATACATGTTCACGAATGCTCCGCCTCTTTGATCCAAGAGGATCATGGCGGCTTTTTCTCAGCTGCACAAAGAAGATTGCAAAATTTGGCAGCGAACTATGGGGCACAATTTGAACTCATGCTCTTAATCCTCATGCTCTCTTGGAGTGGTGGTCTTCTCCATCCAAGCTTGCCTCGTCCATCTAGGATGCGGGAGAGTTGTAGCATTGAATCAAGACATAGATGTCGATGTCGATGGGAAATCATTATTGTTGTTATTGATATGACCTTTGAAACACGATCTCAAGAACAGCACCAACAAGTCAGTTAAGTGCTTGGTAGCGCTTGCCAGTACCAGCTGAAGCTCTTCTGAATGTCTGATCGTGAAAATTGTACTTATCATATAAGCTGCCACAACACGACTTTGGGCTCGGCAAACGCCAACAAACATGGTCGGCTTCATCTCAGATACAATGAAGAACAATACTGGTTCTTGTTGTAAGTCCGATGCCGATGGTAGCACAAGAGGCATTCGGGACAGCCAAAAATTCTTGTGACGATGGTGACCCTGTTCTATATGCACATTTCATTCACCCAACCATCCAGTCTTGCATTACTCGCTCCCAGTCAGATAACTGCAATTTCGAAGGCAGAGACCACGATCTCTCTATCATGTTATGCTGTGAGCGCGAGAATAATCAGACAACATCGCCTTCACTCAGCTTCGCTCGATCGACATCTGGAGACCACAATACATCAGAACCTGCACGACTATCGTCATAGAGCTTCTCCCTGAATTGGCTTCCAGCCCGTGCCTGTTATCTCAGGCAGTAAGAAGTAGAGATTCTGCCTGTGGCACTAAGAGCAATACTGCTTCGCGACAGTGTTGCCATCATGGCGATCATGGTGCCACTACTCTGTACGTGTTGTCTCGTTCAAGGTCGTGAAAGCTATCAGTTGTAGGCTCGGCTTCCTGATTGTAGCAACGGTTGTCAGATGTCTAGTGAGACACTCCAGTGACTCTTCTCGGTATATCTTGGAGCGAAGCTCATGTCGATCTCCGGCGGGGCCATCGCTAGATCTTCAAGTAGTCATGTTGTTCAACATATTCAGCTTTGTCAATGGTAGGGTACTGTACCACTCCTGAACGATGTGCGTCCTACCCTTGCAGCCGTAGATGGTCACGCATTGCAAATATTTGGTCTCAGGTTCTTTCAAATGCGCGATCTCACCTCCCCGTGTGCTTGAGGCACTCACAGCGTAGCTATAAAAATGCACAATACCTTCTTAAAAGATGCTGTCTCTACAGAGACAAAATCATCAAAGGCTTTCTCTATAGTCAAACTCATATTCGAATCGCCACTGTGCATTCCGATAGCCTATAATAATCCTTATGCCTCGGACGGGGAAGAGATTCTTGGTTGCGAGATTGTGCTTGTCTTGAGCACACGGGAAGGCTATAACACCGACTTGCACGAAACAAGTTGAGAGGCTCCCAGCCATTGGTGAGTACTCCATGTAAGAGATGGTTCCGTCAATTCATGATGGCAGGCACATTTGCAGTGCAGCTCTTGCTCATTTGGCGATGGCTGTTTTCTTCTATTCAACCGGGCTCAGTTGATCTACCAAAGCTGTTAATGCTTCGCCCGAAACGGCCTCACATTGTCTTTGACATGTTGAACGCCTAAGAACGTGCAAGCGTTAGAGATGGCGGAGTCAGAGTCAGACACGTTGTGAAGCATCGATGAGCTTCTACGCACCCTCTCTGATGACAGTTGCCAAGTGAGGATGTTGTCAGTCAATCGAGACAAGACGGCTGAGAAAGGGCGATGAAGTTCCGCATGCTGGCGATTCGGCGAAGGATGAAGAGGACAAGCGAGATGGTCGAAGGCAGAACACTGGGTACTTGATCCTCCATCTGTGGCTCACAGGGCCAGCGGTCCGACGGGACATTCAATCTCGACTTTCGTGATTTTTGATTCGTTGATCTCGAGGAAAAAGACTCCGAGTGCGTTCCACGGCGTTGGCATGTTTTTCGCTCGATGCAACCTCGCGAGCCTCGGAATTTCGGACACCTTGACCTGGCAGGTTGAACCTGCACTTGAGCGAGAGAGCAAGAATCCCGCGGGCCGCGTCAACTGTATGACATAACTCCTCAGGCGTTGATGGTGATGGTCGACAGCGGGAGGTCGTGCATGCTGTCAGGGGAAGGCTGAAGAAAGAAGGAGCGACGTTGATCCTTGGCCAAGCTTGGCGAATTCATCCTTCGCTCTGCAAAGCTCATGCAGGCACAAACACAATTCCAACCACAAACACTTCTTTTTTCTTCGATCCTCTTGCCAGCCGCCATCCGGTTGCTATTTTTCGATCATTTTGCTTCTTGTTCCTGAAGGACCCCGCAGAATACCCCAGTCAAGTCGACGGGACGACGGCAGGGTTTCTTGAGCTTCTTGAGCTTCTTCTCGACATCATTCGTTCATTCTTCATTTTCTTTTCGTCATGTTACCCACATTCACACTCGTACTCACACGTATCGAAATGCCATCTCCTTGGAAATATTCCTGAGATCTTCAATTCATCCTGCCTGTTCCTCTTCGGCCCTGCCGCCGACAACCGCGAAACGTGAGATGCAATGATTTTCGCCTTTGTTGATGCTCGCGATTTTCATCTCGTATCGTGGACTCAACAGCAACCCAACCTTTCGAACTCAGAGACTGCTGTAACATGCTGGTAAAATTTCTCTCAAGTCAATATGGCAAGTTCTCGAAACGTCAGATATGCTGCTCTTTTAAGTAAGCTCAGCCGAGAAATCAGCATATGGAAGTGATGTTCATATGTGCCCATGTACCCGCATCCTCCCCTCTTGACTTTCTAGTGTTGGGGTACACTTTTGAGTCAGAAGTCTGCAACCCGAGTGGTCAACATGATCTGTGACTGCGGCTTTACCTAACAGGATGCATTTTGTCAGCCACCTCCACTTCCTACACTCGAGCCAATGTTGAGCTGCAGGTCGTATTGATGACGCTCAACTCGACTCTGAAGTTCCGTCTCCATCTTGATGCTAGGGCAGGCTATGACATCTGTGAGAAAAATGGCTGGTGATCATCGTCGATACACCACGTTGATCATAGTTGCACCTCTCGCGAGGTGTGTATAAAGAGGTGATGCTTGACCTCCCATGGTTGTTCTATCACTCACAACCACTTGTCGATTCCCACGACAACAAGGACATTTTCTAATTCTATCTTCCCTTCGCTTTCTTTTTACCTTCGCTCACAGTACTTTTTCGTTGTCGAAAGTCCGAAATGAAGTACACACTCCCATCTTTGGCCCTTGCCTCTGTGGCATCTGCCCGTGTTCTTAACACCAGACAGTCATCATGCTGCTTTGGAATCAACGTCTCTGGCGATGGTGTCCAGGGTGGTTCTCTTGGTCAGCTTAGCGATGGCCAGAACCGCTTCGGTCCTAACCAGTCTGGTGCTACCTACTGCATCGACAATGGCAAGATTACCGACAAGAGTGGCAGAGGATGTGTTCTCACCGATACCACCCAGTTCCAGTGCGATCAGGGTGCTTCCCCCACCGGAGGTTTCTCTATCGCTCCCTCTGGGCAGATCGAGCACAATGGCGATGCCACTTTCTACGCTTGCCCTGTTGACGACAACGGCAACTACAACATCTACACTCAGCCTCTTGACAACATGCCCAAGTGTGTCAAGGTTGGTTTGAGCTCCGCCGAGGGACACTGCGCTGCCCCTTCGTCCACTCCTGCCTCTTCCTCGGCTGCTCCTGCTACCACTGCAGTTTCCGTCTCGGTTTCCACCCAGCAGTGCCAGCCTTCCACAATCGTGAAGACCATCACTGAGCAGAACAATGTCACTGTTCCCGTTACTCAGTACATGACCCAGACCCAGACTCAGGAGCACACCGACTACCAGACCGAGACTAAGCAGATCCCTACAACTATTTACCAGACCAACACACAGTACTCTACCATCAATGAGACGCAGACTGTCCCTACTACCGTCTACCAGACCACTACTCTCTATAAGACTGAAGAGATGACAACGACCGCTGTCCGTACTGAAGAGGAGACCCAAACCCAAACTCAAACCCAGACTCTTCCTCCCGTCACCCAGCAGGTTACTCAAAAGACTACCGTCGAGCAGCCCACCACCATTGAGCAGCCCACAACCATTGAGCAGCCTACCACTATCGAGCAGCCTACCACTATCGAGCAGCCTACTACTGTTTCTCAGCCCCCTGTCACTGAGTCGGTTACCCAGTCTGTTACCCAAGAGATCACCACCTCGGTCCCTCAGCCCACCACTGTTTCTCAGGCTCCTGTCACCCAGACCGTTTCTTCTTCCCAGCAGCCTTCTGCTTCTCCCTCCAGCTCTGGAAAGTGCCCTCGTGACCTCCCCAACATGGATTCTTACTTGAAGCCTCGCCTGATCGTCCCCGTCAACAGCAACCAACCCGAGAAATCTTATGGCACACAATACAACGCTTATGTCGGTCAGGGCAACAGCACCATCTTCACCTTCGACGTCCCTCAGAGCTACCAGGGCAAGCAGTGCGAGGTCATCTTCACGTTCCCGACTCAAAGCCAGCTTGAGACTTCTTTCGTTTCGGAATCAGGCAACGGCGGCATTGACTTCAAGCAACTGAAGGATGCCGCTGATGACAAGACCACCTTTAACAATCAGCCTGACGTTGCCAAGGACTTTGGTGAGAAGGGTGTTTCCACCGGTAACGCCTACACCATCACCACTGGTGACTGCGCCGCTGGCATGTCAATCTCGTACGAGCTTACGGCTACTGGCAACTACGAGACTTCCTGGTTCCAGGTGAGTGACAACCCTCAACTAATGCACATGACAACAATACTGACTCTAGACAGGACTGGAACCCTTGCCCTATCGGTCTCTGGGTCGTCGCTAACTAAGGGTGTTTTCTTACCCTAGCATGAAATAATGCTTGGTCACCATCAGGGACCAGAACCAAAACCTTCCGGGAGTATGAAACGTCCCGAACCAACTTATGACTCTCATTTATACATTTCTCATCTTTGTATTACCATTTAGAAACATAGTTTTAGCTTAGTGTAATGTAACTTCACTATGACCTTGATTACCTTTGCATTTTTGAAACCTCGAAATTTGTGCAAGAATATGCGACCCTGTTTCGCTTGACGCGATCTGATGTTTCCATGATCTTCTAGTATTCTATAGATCCTCTGAATTGCAGGCGCCAGATCCATGGTTGTCAATATCGCTTTCCCGTGTGCTTCCAAATTTTGGCAGGAGCAACCCATCTCCAACCCGAGATCTCAGGGTCCTTAGAAGCTACTGAAATGCACAGTTGTGTTTGGACGATCGAGTCTGGTCATCGAGATAATTGACAAAGCGATTGCTCTCTGAGGACATCACACTTTCCAGAAAATCATTGTGCAGTTCTATGGATATACTGTAACTGCCTTCAATATCTGGGAAGGTGCTCAGAACTCTTCTTTCCTTGAGCCCAAGGTCCACACACCACGTTCAGCCCATCTCGTACTCCTTGATTCTAGGCAAGACCATAGAGTTTCGTCCCTCAAGAATTGAGGTCGCTAGGCTCTGCCATCTTTCTTGAACGAGATTAGTATTTTCTCCTATGCCACTGGTAGCAAGCCAACTGCTTCTCAAACTCTTTCGTTCTCTCTTCATTCTCTTTATTTGATGTAGAATGGAGACGATGGAAAGTCTTCGACACTTGGAGTCGGAGGCATAGGCTTCTCGATAGCTGGTTCGCTTGGTCTGGGTATAAAGCGCGGCATGACTGTCAGGAATGTTGATGGGGACGATGAGAGTAGTCCTTGATTGGATTATAGTCAGCGAGAGAATTCGTTGGTATTGAATATCGCAGCTGTACTTTTAGATGTTGTGCAAGTGGTACGCGGGAGAGGTTCTGAGAGACCAGGGCATGACTGACTCTATATAGTTCGTGATCCCAGAGATTGTCGCCACCGCTAAGTATTCTTCTATATCAAAAGAAACAACTGGAAGCTAAGTTCATTGTCTTACTGTTGGTAAGACTTTGCAAAACATTTCTTCTGTATCTCAAGATGATATACACAATATATCGCTTTGTACTCTAAGACTTTTGTTCACACCATTGTATTAATGTCTTCAAGTGTCTCGGCTATCTTTAGTATCCCTATTGTCCCAATGTGAAGGACCATCGAAATTCAAGGACAAAGTATCCTTTATCCCATGAGGAGGTGCTCTGAATCGTTCTTTCCCTAAACCCAACCTCTAGCAATAGACACCTAGCTCTACAATCGTTCCAACTCTTGCTCCCACTGGCAAAAGCCCAATGAAATTTCTCCCCCTGACATGCCCAACTCCTCGTGCTGTCACCTACTTCGTGATCTTTGTCTTCTCGAGAGAATCAGCAAGAGAATTTCTTATCATCGTCATCCTTGAGGCAAGCCTTCTGAAAGTCAAATTCTTTCTTTCTTGCAGCGTTCTCTTTCTTGATAATAGCTTGGAAGCTCTTCTTTTTTGAGAGGTTGGGCATTTTTGGGGTTGGCTCGCTGGCGTTGAACTTTACTTGAGGCATGGTTTGGAAGGACTGCAGAATGGATCAGTTGTTGAGGATGAGATAGGGGTTCTGAGGCGACTGTTGGTGGTAGGGAGGGTTTGCTGGTTTGTGGCCTTGGAGTTGTGCTTTACTCCTGTGATGATGGTGTTTAGGGGGAGAGATCAAGTGAAGCCAGTACTGTAGGCTATATATCTTTCCAATCTCTCGAAGCTGTACAAGACTAACACTACTGTTGAAGTGTTGGTGCACAGAAGAGTTCACTTTAAACAATGTCCATTGTTACATCGTAAGTGAGACCTTCGAAGACATCTTCTTTGTCGCATTCTCTTAGATGATCAACATGAAAGTGCTTTGTATTCCATATCTCTGTTAATGCCATTGTTCAAGATGAAACTGTCTCAGTCAATGTTGGCTATCTTTAGCAAGTGCATTGTTCCATTGTTGTGATGTCCTGGTCTCGAGATAAGACTCGACTTCGAGGAAAAAGTCTACAATGTACATGTGCACTAAGTACATACAAATATGATACTCAGAGCCTTCTATCGAGTTCTCCCAGCGTCCCATCAAAATCGCTCAAACAACCAAGTGCCAGTTTTACTAACACCTACCAACCGTCCTCTACCATCCCTCAAACAACAAAATCACTTACACCATTCCACCCCTCAAATCAACTCTATCGAGATGTACTCCTGGCTGAGACAAGCAGCAAACGACACACGCCGCCGCAATGCACAACCATTTGGTAACAATCCTGGCCAATTGACCAGTACACAAGCACAACAAATAACAGACGCCGGCTTCCAAGAGTTAAGAAACCTTGACCAGAGACATGAGGAGATGAGAAGAAGGACTGTGGACAGAGATCTTCTGGGTGGTCTGAGTGAAATGTTCAGTGTATTGAGTATTAGCAAGTAGGGCTGCAGAGGGGGAAACATGGAAGAGATATGGACGTGATGTGGATAGTGTAGTTGTAGTTGACTGCGAGTTTTGTTGCTGTTGTTGTAGTGTGTCTGCTTCTGTTGATAGAAATGGGAGGATTGAAATAATGGCCAAAACCTCTTGAACACCATTCAGAAATCGAGTCTGAGCAAGGAGAATTTGTTGTGCTTTCTCGGTCGTCGTACTTTGTTTTGTCTTTTGAGTTCCGAGTTGCATGAAGTGTTGGTGGAATACATTTTAATCTGTCCTCTAGATGCGACAAAATCTTACACAACACGTCTACTAATCCTCCGATTCTCTCTCTGTCTCTTAACCTTCATAACATCCCTCCTCCTCTTTTTCCACGCTCTATTACTATCTCCCCTATTCTCCCAAAACCACTTTGCAAATTCTGTTTCTTCTTCTCCTTCTGCCTTTTCCTTAACACCAAGTGGTTCGTAATTAGCATTTTGATATTCTTCTTCTTCAGCGTCGTAGTTTTCCTCAATATCCTCAGAAGCGAATTGGTTGGCAAATGAGAAAGAGAATTTGCGGCCTATGGCGGCCGTGTCGGGGGTGGGTGCTGCTGAGCGAATGTCCCTGGTGCGGGTGAAGGGTGTGGAAGGGTAGGCGGGGTCGGCGTCTTCCATGTCTTCATCGATGTCGTCGGTGATGCCGAAGGAGAAGGAGGTGTTGATGGGAGCGGGGCGGGGTGTTGAGTCTGAGGGGGCCTTTTCCTTGAAGAGAGCTTCTAAAGGATGGACTTCGCGGGGTGGTGTTGTTGGTTTGGGGGATGTTGCCATCGGGGAGGGTGATTTTTGGGGAGTTGTGGCTGTCTCTGGAGCAGTTTCTTCTTCGTCTTCTTCTTGTTCTTGTTCTTCATCGGAGGAGTCGGACTCTGACTCTGAGGAGTCTGATGCTGAGTCTGCTTCAGGCTCATCTTGTTGCTCTGTTGACGCTGGAGCAGCGATTTCTTCAGCACCTTCCTTGATCTCTTCTGCGATTTCTTCCTTTTCGGCTTCTCTTTCTTCCTCTGCTTCTTCGTCTTGGTCGTCATCACTGTCATCAGTCATGTCTTCATCGCTCTCGGAGGATACATCCGAGCTCTCGTCGCTCGACGAGTTGTAGCCTAGAACCTTTGCACCAGCAGTAATATCCTTGTGCATAGCAGGTTCCTTCGGTGCAGCAGGCTTGATTTTGATCTCGACAGGCGTATCCTTCATCTTTGCGATCCTGTCCTCTCGCTTCGGCTTGACCTGCACCTCCTCGACAACATTTCCATCCGCGTCCACCCAACCCTTGCCAGGTACGAAATCAGCAGTTGCAGATGTCTTGCTCGAGACATTCGACTTCAAGAACGAGGGAACAGGTTTGTTCTTTTCAAACTCGTGAATGACAGTAATGTTCTTTGGTTGTTTCGTCTTTTTGTTCTTCTTATCCTTGCCTTCTGCTTTTTGAGCCATCATAACGGCCTCAGGTAGTTTCTGCTTGAACAGGACTTCGGGTTTAGATGAGTACTTCGACTTTTCCCTCTTTGGCGTCTTGTCTTTCTTATCCTTTGTGGATTTGTCCTTTTTGTCCTTGTGTTTTCCAGGCTCTTCTGTCCATCCGCGCTTGACTTGTCTCTGATCAGGCAGTTCGAAACCAGCAATCTCTTTATCCTTTTTCTTGCTTGATTTTTCCTTTTTGGCCTTTTTGCGCGGTTGTTTTTCTGCTTCTTCGTCTTTGTCGTGGCGTCTTCTCTTTTCGGGCTTTGCTTCTTGAATAGCCATCTTTTGACCTCGCAGTGTTGCACCGTTGAGTTTCTTGCGCAACTTGTCGGCGTCGGCTCTGGGGAGTTCTACAAAGCCAAAGCCACGTTCGGGAAAAGTTTGCACGGTGTGGTAGGAGATGTTTGTGGCGTTTGGTTGGATGGATGCGGGAATGATATTCGGGTAGAGGGTTGCGTTGAAGGGTGTGATGTGTAGGCGCACGCGATCGCTTTCTGCCATGGTGGAAATGGCAGCGGTCAGCGATTGGGAAAATTGTTTGGGCGCGTCTCTGTCTTTGCTGAATTCACATGAAAAGCGCCGTCCCCGCGTTTCGTGCTTGGCAGGTCTTGTGAGACTTGCGTTCATCTGGCCATTGATGATCCATCAATAAAGCTCATCTCGACGAAGAACAGACATAAAAATTATCATGAAGCAACGATTACAATTTCTCTTCCTGTGGCTGGGCTTGATAGCTCCAGCGCTATGTGCTTGTAGGTATCACTCTCATCAAAGACGAATGTCATACTCACACTACCCTTCTCCTTAGCGGCGACATCTTTCTGCAAATGCACATGCTTCAGCAACAGCACCATCATTCCCTTATCAGACCTGCCTGGTGAAAGCACAGCCAAAAAAGCAACTTGCAACGATTGTAACAGACAATTCTGTCTGTCATACAATCTGCCCATATGCAAGGATGCCAAGGACGATGATGTCTTCACCACTTGCTTCCAAAGAGACTCGACCAAAGATCAGATGATTGTATATACTTTCATCCTTGTCACTTGTGGTTTGCTGATATGGGCTGCTGTAAAACCATATGCCGAGACCTATCTCGAGGTTTGTGACCTGCCTCAACATATCTGTGTACTCTATACTGATCAAGACCAGAAATTCCGGAATCGACATAGCTACAATCCTGTAGCGCAGAATGGCAATTGATCTCTTTCGAAAAGAGGCGAAGAAGCTTTTTGGCATGATACCCTGGAATTTGTACAAGTGGTTTTTTTAATATTGTTACAAGCAATTGAATGCGATGATCCACATCATGACCTCCTCAGCAACCAGTTTGTCCAGCTCTTTGACTTTTCTTGCACTGCCAGTACTGAAGCGGCTGCTTCTCTGTCCAATGGACCTCCAATCAGAGCCTCTGAACCAACAGTTGACGGCTTCTGCCACTTGTGCTCCTCAACCTTGTCTTCCACCGCTTTGACAATTCCCAAATCCTTGACCTTCTCTTTCGCAGCCGTCGCTGTTTCCTTGACCTCCGATGCAGCATCTGAAGCAGCAGCTCTTGCAGCAGCACCCAAGTTACCTCCCTGCGGTTCCTCCTTCGGTGCCGACGAAAAGATGCGGCTGATAAGTCCAGGCTGTTTCTTCTGAAGTTCGGCGGCCTCAAGTTTGGTGCGTTCTTGGTTGAGAAGGAGGATTTGATCTTCGTCGGCAATGCCTTGGTTGAAAGCTACACGGGCTTCGTCGATCTTGACTTTGTGCTTTGCTTGTTGGTCGGCCAGCCATTCGTTGCGCTTCTTGCGGTTGTGCATGAGCATGTCTCCGATGGCGAAGGATGCTGTAACTCCACAGACGACTATTGGGATCAATGTTAGCGTTTCGTTCGTTATTTCCAGGTCTTCTTTTGTGCTCTGCTGTCGCCTCCATTCGTTGCGATGCATGGAACTCGGGACTAAGGGTAGCGCATACCGGTCAAGCCTATCAACGAATAGGCAGTCACTCTGTGTGCTCTGTCTGCCCATTTTCTTCCAACTCTAACAACAGCATCAAAGTTTGATTCCTTGCCCGTTCGTGCTCTGGCAGCTGCAGCTCTTAATCTTGCAATCTTTTGCTGAGGAGTTTCTCCGGAAGGAGCGGCATGACCCATGTGTACTGGGGCAGGAGTAAACTGGCCCTGAGGTTTGGCGCTGGCATATGGTGTGGTTGCTGTGAAGCGGGTGGCATCTTTGGCTGATCGAGCCATTTTTCTAGAGGTGTTGTGGGTTTTGCGGGTATCTCAAAATGTGTCCAGTAAAGAGTCCAGAGGTCAGGTAGGTAGGGTATGGCAGTTGAGGATATGGAGCTTCGTGCAAGCAGTTGTTGTCGGATCTCTCTTGCAACGGGTCAAAACTTCAATGATGTCGAGAAATCGCAACTTCTTGCATGATCGATGCCCTTTTCTTGGCGCGTTCTTCGGTTCCTCTCTTCCGTGCTGTGGCTCGAGCCCTAACGCTAGCCTGTTTGGTCAGCATTGCTCTTTCCCGTCCTGCTACTTTGACGAATAATCAACTATTGGTATACACATAACACAAGATCATATCAAAATAAGATCATAAACATGGCGGATCCAACGGTTCCGCCTGATCTCGCTTCAATTCTTGCAACCCTCGCACAATTCGCACCACAACAACAACCAGATCAACAACAAACTCCACCACCTTCAGCCACAACTCCAACCATCACAGATCCTAGACTACAAAGACGCCAACAATCCCAACCTCTTCAACCAACAGCACAACCTTGGAGTCAAATACCAAGTCAGACCCAGCAGAATGAGTCTCAATCAACAAGCACTTATAACCCTCAAGCTGCTGTCTTTCAACCTGTAAATCCACAAGGACGAGCACCTTCACAGCCATCAAGGACACCGATACCTCAGCAACAGGAACAGACTATCATTGATCCTGCAACTATCACCGAGTGGTCTGCTGGTTTGAGATGCGTGACCAAGATCGCTGCTCAGAATCCAATCTTTGCAGACAAGATTCGTGGTGTGAGTTATGCAGTCGATTGATTATCAAACGCAAGACTAATTGTGGTTTCAAGTTGATTAACGATCAGAGACGAAATGAGATGCAATGGTATGATTTTGACGGAAAAAGCGTCTACAAGGTTGAGCTGATGAAGAGACTAGGTATTCGAGCAGGCAAGCACTGAAGCAAATGCAAGCGAAAAGATCTACTTCTACCAACGAGCTGCAGAATATTTTGTAAGTACTTCCTTTCCTGATCTCCTCGTCTAGAACCGTCTACAAACATCACCGTCTCAGCTATCTCCTGATATTCCAATTCTCCAAGCGACTTTTGCTCCCTCAACTCACATATTACCTCCCAGCAAAACAATCGGCAGTACAAACACGCCCACAACCCCTCAAACCCCTGAGGACAAAGCCGCAGAACTTGCTGCCTTTGACCAAAAACTCTACAAAGCACAACTCGACATGAATGAGAGCATGTCTCAAGTACTCAAGCATTTAGGGGTTCCTTTCTTCGGAACTCATGCTGCGCTGATCTTGCCTGATCATGTTGGTAATGATGCTGAGGAGAGTAAAGTGATGGATGTACAGGGAGATAGACCAAAGTGGTCACCAAGAATCACTGCCAAAGAGTTGATGGAGTTGAAGAGGAGGATGGTCGGTCACCTAGAAGACATGTACAAGAACTAATGTGTGAGTTCTTGTGGGAGGAGTATGGAAGAAACAATGCTAAACCAAAAGAGCAACATGCTCGAATCACTACTATAAGCAGCAATGCTACACCCCTTCAACCTTTACCACCTCTTTCTCAAGAAAAGAAGTAACATGAGGAGTCTCCTCTCCCCATTTTCCAACATCCAAACTTACCGTCCTTAAATTCCTAAACCCACATTTCTCATAGAAATCCGTACTCCCCGGATCCGTAGAAGTCATGACAAAGATCTTGAGACCTAATTTCTTTGCCTCTATTTCTCCATTCTTAAGCAACAAACTCGCTATCCCTTGTCTTTGATGTTCAGGATGGCATACCATGTAATCCAAAACTTGTTTCTTCAATTTAGTAAAGAGTGGGATACTTGTGATGTTAAAAACACACCTAGATAAGGACCACCACTTTGCACAAGCTCATTATACACTTTTCCAAGTTTTGGTCCAACGAAATCTCCCATCTCATAGTTGAATATCTTGCGTTTTCCATTTAGTTGTGTTAAATCAAAACTCTCCTTAAACGCTTTCTGTTGTACTAGTGTAGGAGCGACCATTTGTGCATCTAACCAAACATCTTTTGAGGTTTCTAGCTCTGGGAGTTCCCAACGCGTGTATGCGACTATTCTGCCAGTTGGAATATGGATTACTTTTTGATGGCGTAGGAAGTCGCGGTTGGAGGTTATATTCTGGGGCATACGGAGACAAGTGTCGTGGATTAAGTCTTGGATTGGTGTGTTGGAGAGAAGCAGCGTGTAGTGTGGTGATTGGGACATGGCGAGCATCATTGTTTCTGCGAGACCTGGTGCGTCTGTATAGTCTACAGGTTGGATTTCGTAATCCATAATGAGAGAAAGTGAGTGTACACAAAAAACTTGTATAAATGTGATATGGAAGAAAGGAGCTCAGATCTTGCCTAAAGGGCGAAGTTGCTTCTGGATCAAGAGGGATTGATGGCAGACTGAAGCCGCCGTTTCGTGATTGGTCGATAAAGACCTCGATGTTTATATCATTTCGCTGCTGCCTGATTTATCAGTCGACATCCACTTTTGAATAGAGTTTGATCCCACAACTAGGTAATTTGGTACACGAGTTTATTGCCCAAAGCTCGCTTCCTTTAGCAGCTCGCATCGCCCTGTCTCACTGGAGCCTTGCCTTACCTTACCTTCGCAACGCCCAAATTTCAGGTTGTCGAGAACGAGCAGATAAAACATCTTGAGACGCACCTAGCAACAGAAGTTTTGAGTCTAGTGCTTTCGGTGGAAGGAACTGTACCCCAAAGGACAAGATCATGGCGGCAAACTTTGAGAGAAACACCCCCCTCCATTCTCGAAGACTTCGGTATCGCGCTCCCGAATCGCCAGAAGATGACACATTCTTTCTATCCATTACCAACGACATAAACGCCTACATGAACTCAAACATCACAAATGCCACAATACCAAGCAGCAAAGATGCCAAAAAGTATCAGGAATTCGTGATGGAAAAATGTCTCTTGGGTGTAGTAATTTGCCTACAATCTACAAACACCGACAACGACAAGAGTACATCAAACCCCATCGGTGCCATCCATCTCACCAAGCTTCCAGAAAACCAAAGCCATCATCGTAGCACCGAGATCGGAATTGAGATATTGCAAGAGTATCAGGGGAAAGGGTATGGAAGTGAAGCCATTCGATGGATCGTGGATTGGGCTTTTGAGAGGCTTGGGCTGCATAGAGTGCAAGTTCGGGCGTTTGGGTGGAATGTGAGAGCGATTGAGTTGTATAAGAGGTTGGGTTTTAAGGAGGAAGGGAGGTGGAGAGAGGCTCTGTGGCATGAAGGAAAATGGTGGGATGATGTGCAATTGAGTATTCTTGAGGATGAGTGGAAGCACGATGGGCGGCGATAGCATGTTAGATTGTCATCTTTGCTTGCTCGTAACTGCACTCAGCACAATCTCATCAGTCGTTTTCGAGACACGATTTGGTCTAGGTAGTGCCCTTTTACGGCTTGCATCGGATTCGACGTCCAACCTCCAATACTTCTTTGTCTGTGACGTGCTTTGGCATCTTCAAGCGAACTTTCGCAATCGATGTCTACTCTTCTTTGTCTACCCTTGGCTTCACTCAGTCAAGTCTCCTTTGTTGTGTGGCGAAGCCAACCAGTGGCAGACTCATGCGAATGCCGGAAAAGGTCTACATTGACCACAATTGCACTATTTCATAGAGAGCCTCGGAGGATGGATTGACAGATCCTCTTTTCCTTTCTTCTCATTAGGACGACATTTCTCTTCTCCTTGAGCTTCTCCCTGTGCATTCTCTGAAGTCGATGTCAGCAGAAGTCTAGAGTTGATTTTAACCTATCACTCCCACATCTTTTGGACAGTCCTCAAGATCACCTCTTCGAATTGTTCTGGTTAGAAATTGCCAACCAAGTACAACCCAGCACTTTTCCCGAGCCCAGTCTATCCTCGAAGCAAATCCAAGAAAACATGGACACCCTAGCCAAAGAAACAATGGGCCTCCCAATTTTCATCTGTCCCACAAACCACCAAATAATCTCCTCTGGCAGCGGCAGCAGTAACACAACCTCTTCAACCTCCACTATTATGAGATTTTCAGATGCAGACTTAGCAGCTGCATCACCACCAACCTCCCCAACATCAACGCAATACTCACCTACAACATCTTTCTTCGCAACCGCCACAGCAACCCGTTCACCGACTGCCATAGCATTCCCTTCTATACTCCCATCTGCCAGCACCACCTCAACAAACCGCGACACAAGAAGAAACACCTACACCTACACACCACCCACCTTCTCGCCAGACCATCGCCGCGAATCCCTTCTTTCCACGCATCGTCTCTCTGCAGCTTTTGACTTCGCATCAAGTTTTGCTTCGGAAGTACTTTCTAAAGCTGCTGATCAGGTATTTGGGAACGAAGAGGGACGAGCTGCAGAAGCAGGCATGCAGTTGTGGGGTGAAGATTTGGAGGCTGGGGAAAGAGAGAACAAGGAAAAAGGGAGATATAGTAGATTTGGAGAGGAAGGGGCGTTTGAGAGTTGGTTGGATTGATTGATGGGGGAAAAGACAGGAAAGGCGGACGGACTCAGGAAAGAAAGGGACAAGGAATTTGTGGTTCAGAGATATGGAGGTGGAAATGTAATTGGTGTGCAGTGTAGTATCATGATTTTTGCGATCTTTGAAATCTTACTTTGTAGATGGATTGACCGATACTCCGTTGGCGGACTTGCCTTTTTGCCTCTTCGCGCCTAGCATTGGTTGTCAGCGGGACCCGACAACATCTCCAGCTTGTTTCGGCAGCTAGAGACCTAATTTCAGGGCCATTGTTCAGGTCTTTTCGGTTCCATTACATCTATTCTTCTCCTCATCCTCATATGATCGAGTTTATCCAGTGATTGATATTTTCCATAAATTTGCTTGTCCTTCCAGGCTTCGTGAATGGTATCGAAGAAACCATTCAAGGTATAGTACACATCTCTTTCCGTCCATGCTCTTTTTGTACAAAATCTTCATCTACATCTAACCCATAGCCTTCAAGAAGTTAGCCTCCTTGATCTTGGCACGTCTGTTCTTGCGCATCGCCTTTGTCAAAGCATCTCTAGCCTCCATAGCCTCAATCGCACCTTGCAAAGTACCATCTCCAGCAGGCAGATCGATAGTTTGTTCGTGCAGAGGGATTTTAGGGGCCAGTGCTTCGGGGTTGAGTAGTTGTTGTTTGCGGAGGGCTTTGGCAGCCATACGACGTTGCTTTTTGGACTTTGCTGTTTGAGAAGAGTTGGTTAGCTATGCTTCTTCGAAGTGACAATAGAAGCAAAGGAAAAGCACGTACAGAACAAATCTCCCTCGACAGATGCAGCATCAGCTGCACTCTCTCCAGCCTTCTTCTTCAAGATACCCCATAACCAGGTTGGGTACTCCGAGTCTTCCTTGGCGACAGGATCGTTCTTTCCCTTGATGAAGTTCAAGCCCTTCAGTGGTGTGCCAGCAGTTACCGAACTCTTTACTGTGGGAGCTGCCTTCTCTGCACTCGGTGCTTGGAGTTTAGCAGCTGATGGCGAAGGGGTCAAAGGTGTGGAGAATGGCTGCGCAGCGCCTGTTGATGTAGCGGCAGATGGTGTGTGCGAAGAGCTGTTTGGGTTGCCCTGTCGTGGTGCTGCTTGAGCGGCATTGGGCGAGGCGGTGGCTCGGAGTGGTGAAGTTGTGGTAATGGCGCGACGGAATGGGAGAGCGATGGGACGCTGGACGGCCGTCCGTAAGCAGCGGTTGCAAATCATTGTGTGGTGTTGCGACGACGAGTGGTCTAGAATTCGAATTGCCTGCTGAATGCGATGCGCTTGAACAAAGATTCGATGAGAGGTTCACTGCCAAGACTTTGCGACCCTTTCCGCAAATGGACTTTGTTCGGTTCCGCTTTCCATCATGGTCCTGACATGCTTTTCCTTGTGAAATGCATGCCTTTCGCTGAATCGCAGAGGCTAGGAATATATTGGTGCACTGACGATAGATCAAAACGAACATTGAGATCGCTCGTGAGAATGATCATGTTCAATAGATTGCAAGAAAGACCAGGGGCCAACCTCGTACTCGGTCTGATGCACTCATCACAAGGAACACAAGCTATACTTCTTCTTGCATATGCGTAGACACGAGAGATTCAGATCAGAAGAACAAAGTGGCATGACAGCCAGGGGTATATTCAGTTATTGTAAGGAGCGAAGGAGGAACAAGGGTAGAAATATGGTATAAGGACAAAAGTAGAAAACACCCCCCTGTGCAAGTGCTTGTGAAAATGAACACCTGTCGTTCAGTCGTAATGTAAAAGAGTTGGCTATTCTTTGCCAAAAAGTGAGAATCGAACGCTCGTCAAGCCCAAATAACCATGACGCCGGTTTGTCATAAGTCGTGTTTCACCTCGAGACCAGAATCTATCCTTCTTCAGTCCCGTCTTCTTCAGATGTCATGCTTCTGGCATTTGATTGTGTACGTGACTTTTTCGAGGGTGAAGATTGGCTGTCTCCAGACTTGCGTTTGGTTCCGTTGGTGGGCTGCTGCATCTCCACACTACCACCGCCATTCTTCGCAGCTTCGGCATCGAGAGCGGCGACTTCCTCAGCCGTGAGGAAACGTCCTCCTGGACCACGCGGCCGTCGCATAGCATGGTTGTGACGAGACTCATGCAGGTAAGGCTTGCGACCTTTACTAGTGAGACGCAGTTGCTCTTCCAGCTTCTGTCTTGCCAAACGTCTTTTCAGAATTCGGTGGAATTGCTTTGCATTGACGTATAGAGGTGATTCTTCAGTGGTGCCAACAGCTTCTGGTGATGAGTGTTGTTGAACAACTTGTTGAACCATCTGTGGCGCAACTGATGAGCGTCGCTGTTGCTGCATGACAGTCTGAGGAGGTTGGACTGCCTGACTCATGCGACGTGCGACCATTTGTTGAGGGATTGCTTGAGGTGCTGGCATGACCATTTGACCTGCCATAGTTGTGTTGACATTCATATGACTTTGTGACGGTGATCTCGGTGTTTGTCTCTGTTCGCTCTTGACTGATTGTCCCATGCGTGGTGATTGTCTTGGGTCTTGTGCTAATGGTTGCATGGTTTCCGGCATATAGTTGTAATTTCCTGAGGCAGCCGCTGTTGCCATGGCGGCGGCTTGTGTAGGAGACATCTGATTTGCGCCCATGCCGTAATGCATGCCCTGGACAGGGTAGCCTTGCGAATACATAGGCATGACCTGATGAGCTGCACCTGGTTGTTGACCGTAGGCGTGATTTTGCTGTGACATGATGGGCGAGACTTGGTTCTGTTGAGTGGGAGAGGTTACGGGCGGACCTGATTGACCATTGTGAGTTGGCGCGTAAGCATTGTGGGTATGCGCATGTGGTTGCTGGTAGGTTGTATAGTCCATGGCGACGGTATGTTCGTTTCAATACTCTATAGGTTGTATGGAAGGACTCGCTGTCGCGCGATGATGATTCGATGGAGTTGTTGAGCTGAGGCGCGGCGGGGGTTTGCTACTCGATGTGATAGTCGGCGAGGGTTCAGACAAGATTCAGTCGGAAGTGAAAGCCGTGTCGAGGTTGTCGCACAATGCGATTGTTATACAAGGCTTGCTTAGTGAGGTGTGTATGGGTGACGAAGGTCTGTCGCATTCAGGTCGAGCGAGCTTCCAGAATCCGGGGCGAATGGTGAGTCGTTGCCAAACAAGTCAAGCTTGGGGAGCTTTGTCTCGACGCGTCTTCTACGACGCGATGCTGGAGAGGCGATGGGATTGGTAGAAATAAGATGAAGAAGCGCAACAAGTCGACCAAACAGAACGCGAGGGCAGAGCGGGATCTAATCACGGCCTGGGCGTTAGCAGGGGAGGAAGGATGACGAGGGGAATTGATTGAGGTCGGTCGCGGGTGCAGCGGCGTGGCTGTGGACTGCGGTCGGTGTGCGCCGTGTGTCCCAAGGTGATGCGCTGGCAAGCCGCATGCAAGCCCGACGCAGCCTTTCTGCCGTTCAATTTCCTTCTGCTGCCTTACCTGAGTTGCTTATGTCGCTAGACCGAGGTGTTGCGACGAGTGTGACCTCTTGCGCTGGCGCAGACGCGTGCAACGATGATGTACGTTGCTGGGCGTCGGCTTGTTCACTGCTGGACGTCGCGGTTAGCATTGCGCTCTGCGCATGTTCTTGGACTGAGCGATCAACGGCAACGGACCTTTACCGTGACACTGCAGGTACGCACGCGCAAAGAAGGTGTATGCTTTGAACGACAACCTATCAAGCAGCTTCGCCGAAGCTTCGACGCGACTCAACTTGGGTGCAAGCTCCAGATACCGTCGAATCACGGCGGCTAAAGGCGATGGACGAGGCGATTGGTTGATGGTACAAGTTCCCTGGGTGAGAGGCCTGTGCAGGAAATCGAGGAAGATGACTGGCTGCTCGAACCTCGAAGTTTGAAATCTCCACTTTCTGCTTGCCGAGCCAGCCATCACGTGCCCGTGTCATCCCGGCGCTTTTCACATGTATCCCGGAGCCTCGGACTTTGATAAATGCCATGACACTGGAATGGGCACCCATGTGTATGGCAACGCTTGCAACGTCAATATGCTCTATACTAGACCTGTAGGCATTCAGAAATACCGTGAGAACCGCAGAACCTTTTTCTTGATTTGTGAATTGTGACAAGCAGTACAACTCCGTTGCCATCTAACCGATATTAAAAGAGCTTGTCCCCGGCTTGACGAGTTCAAAATCCAGTATGCAAAGCTGATTTCTATAAAGCTGATTTCCGCAAAGTAGTACATTGCTTAGCCAGAAGTCACCTGTCGTCAACATATTAAGGCCCTCGAGGACCCCATAATGAGCGACTGCTACGTCTGCTTTATGCTGGTAATTAGCTATCTAGGGCGCGTGCACGTAGATACTCTACAAGTCCGGATACACTGGTGTCAAAGTTATAATCCGTGCATTAGTTAAATCTATTAACTAACTGTCTACTAGCCCCTTAGAGCTAGATATAGCTAACTAGCCCCTTATTAGGATAACTTTTAACCGACTAGTTTAACCGAGGTTTGCTAAACTATCCTTATTACTAATACTCCCTCTTAAACCTTAGTTTAACTATAGTCTAACTATCTTCTACTGCTTCCTCTAAAGCTCCTTTAACTACTATAGTTAATCCTATCAATTCTAATAACTATCTAATCTTCTTCTTACTTAGAGGTTTAGTAAAGAGGTCTACTAGGTTATCCTATCTAGGAACATGTTCGACTACTACTTTCTTATGTTTAACTACCTATCTAGTTAAATAATACTTAATCCTAATATGCTTCGATCGTAGATAAAACTATAGTTCCTTACTAAGGGTAATTAAGGCCTAATTATCCGCTTTTATTAGAAGCGGTCCTATTATACCTTTAACTTATCTAAGTCTTCTAAGCAATCGCTAAAGCTATATAGCTTCTTTAACTATAAAGAATATTACTTAAAATTCCGCTTTATATATTAAGCTACTAATAATTAGGTTAAGTTTGCTTAACTAGCTAAAAGCTTCTCTACTAAGAGTAAAGATATAGCCGCTAGTAGATTTACTAGTTCGTATGTCGTCTATAAAGCTAGAGTCGGTATAGCTAATAACTCCCTCTAAGCCCTTATATATTAATCTAATATTAAGCGTTTCCTTAATATATCAGACGATTTGTTTAACTACTATCTAGTGTTCCTTAGTTAGATTAGCTATATATCGACTAACTTATAAAACTACATAGGTAATATCTAGTCTAGTCGATAGTATTATAAACATTAGTTTACTAACTACCTTTTAATACTACTTAATATCCTCTACCTTTACCTAGTAGTCTTTAGGAGTTTTAGTTAGAAATTTGCTAACTACTATAGGCATAGGTACTAGATTATAGTTTAGCATATTAGTTAATTCTAGGATTCCTTCTAAGTAGTTTAGTTAAGTAAGCAAGATTGTTTTAGCTTTTAAGTCTTAAGTTACTTTAAGTCCTAGGAAGTGCTTATAGGGCCCGAGGTCTATTATCTTAAACGTAGAGGAGAGTTATGCCTTAAGTTTATTAATAATTTCTATATCTAGTCTAATAAGGAGGAGATTATCTATATAGACAACTACTATAAGGTTTCTTATAATAAACACTACTTTATTAAACTCGCATTATTTAAGGTCGAAGTTCTTTAATATTACTAAGATAGTTTTATACTAGATCTAGGATGCTTACTTAAGTCTATATAGTACTTTCTTTAATAAGCATACTTTACTAGGGACTTTATAGCTATAAGGTTATTCTATAAAGATAGTTACATTAATATAACTATAGAGAAAGGTAGTTATAACATCCATTTACTTAATATACTAGCCTTAGGCGGCTACTATAGCAAATAGTGCTTTATAGGTTATTAGTTTAGTAACTAAGGCAAAGGTTTTAGTAAAGTTAATACTATATCATTAGTCGTACCCTTTAACTACCTAGCATGCTTTATATCTTATAATCTTTCTATCTAAGTCTCTCTTAATTTTATAGACCTATCGACTACTAATGATTTTACTAGTAGCCTCTAATCTATTAATAAGTATAAAGGTGCCATTATCTATAAGTTACTTTAACTCGAGCTTTATAGTAGTGTCCTATTATATACGATCTAGTAAGTTTATAGCTTAATAGTAGTGCTATAGTTCATCTAGTTAGCTTATTAGATCTTTAACTAGGTATAGTATAACTTTATTAGTATTGTCGCGATTATCGTATTTAGTATCTAAGTCCTCGACTTTAGCTAGGTTATTGTTACTTTAGTTATCTTATTTAACTCTTTTCGTATCTAGTTTAATAACATTAGGTTAAACGTTATTATCGTTCTCTCTCTTAAGCTATTATCGCTTAACTACGTAGATATAAGGTAGGTTAAACACTTATTAAATTAGTACCTAGGGAAGGTTATTAAACGCTACTAGAGGAAGTGCGTCCTTAGTACTAAGCGGAGCATCTATAATCGCTAGCATAGATAGGAGTTTCTAGTCGCTAGTCTACACTAGCTTAGTTTCTTTATTAAACACTACCTCTAAGTAGCGCTTAACTCCTCTAGTAAAGAGGTTCTAGAGCCTATATTAGTTAATTCCTTCGTAGCCGAGGAGCACTCTAATTTATCTACGTTTATCTAACTTCTTTAGATAGAGCGCTTTCGGTATAAGCTTATACGCTCTATAACCGATTCTCCTAAGGTAGCTAAGGTCTAGCTTTTACCTAGTCTATGTCTCCTATAGTGTTTAGTTTAGCGCCATAGTAGGACTTCTATTATAAAGGTAAACCATAGTTTACAAAACTTCGGCCTAGAGTGCTACGTAAAGGTTACTATCTAGCATTATTACCTATACTCGGTTAAAGAGGTAGCCGTTTACCCTCTCTAGTTAACTATTTTAATTCGGTTTATATAGGGCTATTAGTTCTATAATAGCACTAAAGTTAGCTAGCTAGGAGGTAATCGTTTTAGTTATAAATTCGTTATTAGATCTAACCTTCTTTAACTGTCTTCCTATATTATTATAGGCCTACGTAGCCTAGAAGCTAAGGTAGCATAGGATCTCTAAGCGTGATTTTATAGTAAATATCTAGATTATTCTAGTAAAGTCGTTAACTATTAGTATATAGTATCGCTCTCCTATAGTAGTTAGTAGCGTAATTAGTCCTCTAAGGTTAATAGAGATTATTTCGAGTCTTTTAGTTAAGCGTTACGTTTCGTTCTAATTATTAGTTGCTTTTATTTTACCTTAAATGCATGCTATATAGCTAAAAGATTTACTACTATCGTAGGCCTAGATTCCTATAGTCTAGAGTTATACTTTCCTAATATTATTAATTCTAAGGTAACTAAGTCGTTAATGCTAATGTTAAATATCCTCTATAGAGTTAATATATTAGGTAAAGAATACCTTTAGAACCTAGTTTTAGTAGCGTTTCTCCTAGACTTCGGCTAATTTAGTTAAAGAGGTGTCTAGTTTTCTAAGCCCGCCTCTAGTACGTTTACTAGTTACGATTAGGATTATCTTACTATCTAGAGTGTCTTAAACGAACTTATACCTTCTACTAGGTAGTATATAGAATCTAATTCCTTAATCGTCCATTTACAATTCTAATAGGAGGTTTATCCTAAGCGTAGGGATATAAAGGACCTTACTTAAGTAAAGTAGTTAAATACCCTATAGTGTTTAGATAGGGAGTTTAATAACTCCTTCTCTAAGTACGATATAGTTCTCCCCTTCCGCCTTTACTACTAGTAGTTATTTAAACATATTAACTTTAACGAACTACTCTAGTTTATAGGTAACGTAATAAGTAGCTACTATGTCGATTGCCTAGTCTAGTGCTTTAAATCTAGTTAGTTTAGCAGCCGTTATAAAGAAAG